ACTCAGGAAAATTCGATACAGCAATAAAAATAGCCTTAACGCCTATAACTGATGAAAAAATCATTCTCCTTCTATTTAAGAGTATGCACTCTTTGGATACATTTGGGGTCCGTGCATATTCAATTTTAGTATTTTCTTAAACTTCTTCTTAAAATTTCACCGAAAATGTGATTAGAAAATATCCCTAAAATCCGTTAAAATTTAAACATTTTTATTTCTATTATGTTAATTAATTTGTTTGATGCTGTAATACTATTTCCAAAAATTTTATTGTTAATCGTGAATTGATAGTAGAAAATTTTTTTGTCTTTTATTAATAAAGATTATTTTCCAAAATGATACACTTCAAAGTGTACATCTATATACATAATATCAATCAGCAGCAACTCCGAAGGGTGTTGAATCTAATCAATACTTTATGAATGTGTTTTTTTCTTTTCTAATCCAATTTCTATAAATTTTTATTTCTTTTTTTTTATTATACTTGAATAAAGCTTGTATAAAATTTGGATAATAATAATTCATTTCATTTTAGAAAATAAAAATTTAGCTTTCATTTTTCTATTCAACTAGAAACATACATTATACTGATAAATATAAATGTTACTCTGTAAATAGACCATCTTCTGCAATTGTAAAACTGTTTTTGAAAGGTCAATTTACGATCTTAGCTTTAACGTACGTGGTCAAGGTCAAGCTCAGTAAAAAGCTATTATGAATAAATGTCTATATACACGCAGAGAAATGTATAGTAAAAATTACCATATTGCATAGTAATTTTTACCCTAATTTTACCCTGAAAATTACTATGCAGTATGGTAATTTTTAGAATATGCACAGTAATTTTTACCCTCACCCTGCAGTGTCACCAAATTACTATAAAATTCAGGGTAATTTTTACTATACATTTCTCTGCGTGTATGTATAAGATTCATTTGTTGTAAAATGAAAGAAGCGCTTTGCACATGTTACTCTAGTAACCCTAACAGATAAGCAACGTTTTAGTGAACTATCAACCATAATACCAAGCATAATAAAAATAATTATTTATTTTTATAAACGGTTTCTCGTAGAGATTGACGAGAAGAGCAGTTGTACCAAATGTCATTGTTTGGAAATAATTTTTGCTATTGTTTATTAACAATTGAACTTTGGCAAAGTACATTTTTTTACCTTTCACTGCTTACGCAGCGAGAACCGTTCGTTTTTTCGAAAAAAATGTAGATACCTTTTTCGTAGAGAATCGAATTCTCTACAAAAAAGTTCGCGAGAGCGTACACTTACCCGTCACAGGTAAAAAGGTGCAGCGCTCTGAACACGCGCACTAAAACTGACCCTTTTTGCGTTCCGGCGAAATGTGCCGTTGAGCGCCTTTTTAATTAATTAATATAAAAAAAATATTTCTCATGATTTAAAAATATAAAAAAAATTATGGAATGTTCAGAATCGTTTTCTGAACATTTTCCCGTGGAAATTTTTTTAAAAAATTAATTTTTTTCGATTTTTTACGGTGTGGTGAACGTCTTTTTTTTTTTCTTTTTTTTGTCAACTTTGCGCATCTGTATTATTAAACAATCTTTGAACATTTTATTGCCATTTTAGGAGTGGGTAGGGTTTTTCTCGCTCTACAAAATAGCTATCTCAGTTTAAAAAAAAAAAAAAATTTTTTTCCCCTTTAAATGTTTTTCGTTACTATCACCACTATTTAAGGGCTGAAGATATTATTATTTTAAAAATGATCATCAGCAAACTTTTCTAACTTCATCTAGAGAAGATAGAAAAATTTTTTTTCCAGCAATATTTATAAACAATCTTTATAAACAATGGCTGAAAAAAACTATTTTATAAATTCTGTTTTCAATGAACATATTACATGTAAATTTTTGTAATAAATCCTATTTTTTAATTTTTTTTTCAATCCTATCGTAACATTTTTTTCTAAATTGTTTATAAAAAAATATTATTTATTAATTTTATGAATTTTTAACTAAGCACTTTCATATAATTTCAAGTGCTCTACTTGATGACATTATTTAATGTCAGCCCTTAATGCATAGGGAATTCACACTGCTCTTGGACTAAGACATGTAAAACTTTACTTAATCTTCATTTTGTTTTCTTTTATTACGAAAGAGTTACAGAGTATGTTTGTTTAACCTGACAGATAAAATAACATTGTGATAATACTAATAATTGTTTCTTATTATTATTTAAACATTTTTAGGCAATATTGAATGAATAATTTATGATATTATGTTTCTTTGTTAATGTAAACATTACTAGTTTTTTTTTGTTTCTTATTTAATAAAAATTAGTGTTTCATTTACAATCCTATTTTGTCGGAGACCTTGTGTTGATAAAAACAGTTGTTAGAAAATAAGGAGAGAAATAATTAGTGCTGATAATGTGACTAATAAATTTTAAATGTTTTATTAACAATTATAAGACATTCCCGTTAATATAAAATGCCTTTTAAAATAATTAAAAAAATATTAAACAAAAAAGATTTTTTACAATACATGAATACGCGATCTTTTAATGACTGTTAAAATACATCGACTTAACCTGCAGGTAAATATAGCTAAGTAACCACATTTGCCCTTCCTGAACCACTACTCTATTTTAAAAAATTTGAATTATTTTTTTCAACAATTTGTTTCAGTCATATTTATCATATCTATTAATGTACATCATGTACGTTCCGTGTAACCATTCATTATACAGAAAATGTTTTCAATTTTATGGTCATTTTGCAAGCATTCAATAATTACTGAAAAATATTTGTTTGTTAAATTGTATATAACTCTGTTCTAATTAGTGCGAGTGTTATTTTACTTACCATCATTATCACAACATTCTATACAATTTTTTTCATATTATTTTACAGAAGAAAAAATTGACATTCCTCTTAACACGTCATTGATAAGATTCTATTTAATAAATTTTTACTAAAGATCAACTGAAATAGTTAACTTTGAAATATTTTACCTTTTACCTTTACCTTTTTTATTTTGTTTTTTACATTAATAAATAACTATATTTGATAGAGAGAAAAAAGTGTTTGGCATAAAAAATTCACTAAGCACTGTTCCGATAACATAGGGTCTTTTTCTAACACGTTACAGTGCTTATCGTGCTGTCTTATAAATTAATATAATATAATATGTTATATTAATGATAATATTATATATATTATTTATTTAGCTTTACTTATCATCAAATTTATAGTAATTTTTACAATACATCTCTCTCAAAAATTTTTCATAGTGAAAAAATTTTAAAAATTGTAAACTGATATAAATAATAATTAAAAACGATTTCTACTCATTGAATAATAAATTAAAATATTTTTTTGAAAAGTGACTACTTTTAAAGTTTCATGATATCATAACAGTATGGAACTCTCGTAGTACTAATCTCCACTAGAAGTTTATTCGTGTAAAGTAAAAAAACGATCATACTGAATTACAGAAGAGTTCTGTTACAAAACGTTCCATAAATAAAACGAAGCAGAACTCCAATCGAATTCTAAAAAGAAACTCTAAAAAAATTCTAAATGAGTTTTGAAAAATATATGAAAAAAATTTCTTGTTGCTTTAAAATTATAAAAAATAATATTAATTATTCATAAATCATAATTAATAGAAAATTAATATTATATTTATTTAATTTTTTTTATCAAACTACTATATTGGTCCCGTACTTTGATTTTAAATAACACTGATAAATAAATTGCAAATCCAAATGTAAAATAGGTATTTAAAAACTCACCACTCAAAATGCTCACCAGTTTATAAAGACTTTGTTGATAAATGTTTGTCGAAACACTTAAATTTTTTTAAATTTACAGTTAGATTGTTTATTCGTATACTGCCGGAAAAAAGAATTAATTCACAAACGAAATTATATTTCTAAATCAAAAGAATATATACATACTAATGTATGTATGTATACGTATATTGAGTCATTCGAGAAAATAATTATTATCATTTAAAAGAAGGGAAATGGTCTATAATGGTAATATCCATTACTACAGCAGCTTTTTTATACTATTTTTTTTGCTGATAATAAAAGTTAGTAGAATATAATAACAAAATAAAACAGTTCAATTAAGAGTTTAAAAAAAAAACTGGATTTATTTTTACATTTAACAGTTTTATTTTTTTGAAAAAACTTGACTGAATTATTTAGTTTATGAGTAGAAAACACCATTTTCTATGTAAATTTATGCTTTCAAACATGCTATTAAGAAAATTTACTCCTTTCTTTGTCAAATATTCGTAATTTTTATTATTAAGAAATTGATATTAGTAATTAATTATTATATATAAATTCTAATAAACTGAAAAAAAAATTCCATAATTACTGGCAACAACGAATAATGAATTTCTTAAATCTTGACCAGTAACTATAATTATTCGTATACAAATAAGTTTGATTTTTGTTGTTTTTACTTTAATAAAATAAATTAAAAATAATGAATAAATACGAAAGAAGAATAAAATAGCTGAAATAAACTTGAGATAATTTAGTTAGCTACAACGGATGTGTTAAAAAGAGGTCGATAACCAGCCTCTTCGTAAAACATAAGGTAATATCTCTCACTATGTTTATACCGTAATCACTTTTTGACTTGTTTTAGAAAATATAAATACCTTATCAAATGTATTTGGAAAAATAAAATTCATCATTTTGTCATTGATTGATTTTATAAAATTTTTTAAATTCAATTTTTTATTTATAATAATTTATTACAATTACTCTTATGAAATTATTTTATCACAATACATACATTATTATATTGTAATACTTTAATTGAAAATAACATTTAATGAAGAATGATTAAGTAGTGCAGTCATAGTGGAGTGAACACATTAATAACTGACTAGTTAAATGCAACTCATGAATGATAAATCTAAAGATATTAACACTGTAAGATAAAATAAATTTGCGAAAAAAAAACAATGAATATTCAGCTTGAAACAATTTAAAAACAATACCTATAGTGAGCTGGATGGCTCTGAGGAGGAGATGCTTTATCACTGTGAAACGAGGTACTAAACGTCATGATTGAATACAAGTGATTTTCGTGTCCGTTAGAATATTTTTTCTTTTTTTGATACGCTTCTGCTTCATAAAGGCCCGCTTGTCTGCGGAGCAACTTTAGTAGTCAGCTGATAGTTTTAATTTTTATCACTTCCACTAATTTACGCATATTTAAAGAAATTTTTAATTAATTAATTATTTTTAAAATATTTTCTTTGTTATAATGTTTAAAGTCCAAAACAAAGATAATTAATTATTGACTACGATGATGACTATCATTGCCAATAAACACTATTTTATTCAAGTTATTATAAAAAATAATATAATAATATTATTAAATGATTTAATATAATTTAAATAACTAGAGTTTCAGTCACAAATTCAATTATTTTTCACTCAAGATTTTATTAGAGTTCACTGTACTTTTTTCAGATTTATTTCAAGCCTTACTCGATAAATATATTATTTTTAACTGTTATTTTTTTGTTCATAGCATTCCAATAGTATTATTGATATTAAATTCATAAACTATAAGATAAAGCACAATAAGTCATTCACTTTAGCACATGATCTTAAAATTTAAATTTTCAGTCAATTTTATGAATTGTTGAAAGTGAATTAAGAATGAATGTTGTTGTAACTTACAGAAACCAAGAGAATTATTTAGAAGGAACTAATCAGAACCCGTGTAACAATTTTACAATAAATAGCTTATAGCTAAAAGCCAACTGATGGTAATTGAGAAGACCGAGTAGAGGTGCATGTCGACCGTTCAATTGCTATCCCCTCCACTGATCAACCAGCTTCCCCTTCCTATATCCTTAGTACACTCATGCTACGCGCATTCTCACCCTCTCTTTTTTACTTATCTTACTTATATTAATTTATAGTCAACATTCTCTGTTCATACAATCATGAGGTTGTAAAAATAAAAATTATGGAAACAAACTAAAATATATTTTTATCATTTATTATTACAACTAATACAAATACTTGCTGACGTACATTTTTATCGCCTGCATAAGTCTAAAATTATTAGCCTTTTCCCTCATAGGGAGAATCTACAATATACATATAACTAGACGCACACAAATTGAATTAATACAAATATGTCCATCGAACAAATGAATCGTTTTGAACCCAACTACTCACTGTCTAGTTGTCATAATTCTATCCATGTCTCATTATGGTTTTAATTTAAAATAAAAATAATTAATTTTTGACTATAAAAAAAGCCTTTGTACACTTTTTTAATCACCATTCTAAGATTGTTTTATGATAAATCCCTATAACTACTTGATTACAATATATTTATAGATATTATTTTTAACTGTATAAAAAATGACATGTTACAAGATATACGTATATATATATTCGATAATTTATATAAAATAACATTGAGGATAAATTTTTTTATATTATTACTTAAGGAAAAAGACTTCAATGTCGTCATTCTTTCGATTTTTGGAGACTTGACAACTAAACAATTAAATTTTGATAAATTCGTAAAAATCATTAGTCCACCCAATAAAATTTATAAGTGAATTCGTACATCATTTTTCAAAAAAATATTAACCAATTTTAAATGGCCTACAAGAAATGATTATTTAATTGAAAATTTCAATTAAACCAACAGTAAATTTTTGGATAAAGTGAACAGTTGATTGTCAATATTTTTATAAGGACTAGAATTCCAAATTAACTATAAATTATGATAGCGAAAATTTACATAAGCAAAGCCTTGATTTGCGTAACAACTTGATAATTTAACAAGAGATACACATACAAGCGTGCGCAAATCAATGACGTTGATGAAAACGTCAAGTCTACACTTGAATTATGACCAACTTAAACAGTAGTTTCATTTAATATTTATTGTCGATGAAAACTTGAATTACAGTAAAGTATTGTATTTTAACAAAGAAAAGTTTTTATGATGTTTCATTTGAATTATTAGGGTAGAGTAGGCCTCTATCTTCATTCATTCCTTTTTCTTTCTTATTTGCACAAAAGTTTACACCAATGGAATCCAATTTATAAAAGTTCTTTTATCTGAACATAGATTTAAAGAATAATTTAATAAAAAGGGTTATTTATAATAAAATACAATTTGATTTATTTAGCTGAAAGGTTAAAAGGTCAAATCACTAGGGTTTAATTGAGTAAGTACTTAACCTTCATCATTGTTTTCATTACGTCAAGCAATTGTACTTGACATGAAATTTCATGATTGATCGCTATTTATTTCACATTCGCTAAAATTCACATTTTATTTAGTAGTAATGACAGAAAAGTTTCTTTATTATTTTTAGACAAATTTTTCGATTAAAATCGATTAAACTTTTTAGGTGCTACATAATAGAAATTAAATAGAATCGAATCAACTATGTTGGGACTTATTATGTTTCCAATTGAATTCGATTTGAATTTCATCAGGTAGCATTTTTCCAACACTATCAAAATAAATTTAATTTATTTCTACTTGATTAATTGAGAATAAATATATTTATTTAAAGCAGTGAGTTTAATTTTTAATTGTCGAAAAATAGTATTAAAAAGGAAGCTTCATAAAATAAACTGCTAGTCAAACTGACAGAAATAAATCAGGAAATCGCTTTAAAAAAATGCTTTGTAGAAGAATTTATAGAAATATTTGTGTCACTCAGCTTTGAAATATCTTATTGACAGAGGAGTCTAATGAGGTATTTGTGAAGATCCTTGTCTTAAAGAAAATAGAAAGAATTTGAATATTTCAGACAGCTACTGATATGATTCTCAAAGACAATCCTGACTACGTCACTTAGGTCATACTTATGTTACTATTTAAATCAACTTTCATCTATTCTATCTTAGCCTTTTTTCAATAAGATTTCATGTTTTAGCTTAATCTAGCAAAGATTTAAAAATACTATAGTTTCATTTTTGGCGAGGTTGATAAAAAGACAGAGTACCTATTAGCGAAAAAAATTCAATAAACACTCGAAAAATATTATTAATTTATCAAAATAATCTTTAAAATGCTTTTTGAACTTTTTCTTCATCTCTTTACACATTTATTTATGTATTTAAAATTATTCAAGTTTTTAAAAATATTTATTAATACTTGTTTTTCATGTTTTATCTTACCCCTCTTTTCCCTTTCAATTATAGATGAAGGAGAATATCATTAATTTGAATTAGGAACTATTATTTATCTAAATAAAACTCACTATAGTAAATAGTACTTTTTACGTCATGATCTTACCTTACAAATTGATAATATTGTAAGACTGTAAAACAATATAATATGTTTTTTTTTTTATATTTCGTTATCTTAATGATGAATTTTATCACAATTATAAAAAAATTTTAAACGTTTGTTACTTAGCAACCGTTGACAGAACTATCTGTTATAATGCATTTATTGTATTTGCGTAGAAAATTAATTATTCAAAGTTTCAATTTATCGACAATAAATGATTGAAATAACTATAAAACAAACAGCATAATTTTAAGTAAAAACTATCCTTGAGATATCAATATATAATGAAACACTCAATTTTTTATAGATATTTAATTGTAGATTGAATGTTTATATAAAGTTGCGAACAATCACATGGAATATAAACAGAAAAAATTATTAACTTTAATTGAAGCAATTAAACATATTATTAAATATTAAACATATAAGAATACGTGATTCGTAAATTTACAACATCAGTATTGACAAATAGTTTGATTTTGCGCACAGTAGCCCGCCTAAAATAATTCTTTATTATACGTGTATTTGTATATAAACATATATGTATATACATATACACATACATTGTTATTAATTAATCGAACAACTTGTCAGTTCTAACGCACATCTACATTAAACATAGTTCATATATTATGCGTAATACTCAATTATATTTCTACTTACATATTATCTACAGTTATTATTCGTCTATAAAAACCATTATTAGCGTGGTTTTTTGAGCCCATAGAGAATCTTTTATTCAAGCTTAACACTTTATCAAACCATGATATCTACCATTATTTTGTTTATCATTGTTCTACACTCACTAAAGCAATTATCATTTAGAACTTATAATAAGTTACGTACAAGCACACACATAAATTAAACTTGAATTAAAATTTCAATTCAAAAATGTCTATGAAGATATAATTATTGACAGGGCTTTTTCTTTCTAAATACAAAGTGTTGGAATGTGTATGTGTCGGACACATAAAATATGTGAGAAATATTTTGAAATCAAGTTGGCAGATGGAGCCCCAAAGTAATGATAATGTTTGAAAAAAAAACAACCGTAGACTTTTACTTTAAATGCCACCTACCTACAAGTAGATAAAGGTTTTTTTTTGGATAAATAATTCAAAGAATAAAAAAAAATCTAAAAAATAAATACAATTCTTAATCAATTAAATATTAATTAACCTTTTTAATAAATATTTTTGTATACTTTTGTATGCATTTGGTTTTCTTCTTTAAATCGAAATGCTCTTATGCCTAAAAAGAAGAACCTTATTTATTTTTTTTCACAAGTATACAATACACTATTGTGTAAATTCTAGTTGAGGCAAAACAATAAATTTAATTGACCATTAAATTATCCTTATTTAATTCAAAAATAAAACCAAAAGTGACTGTTATTGAGTAAGTACTCTTACCATTTCTGCCGAGTTTAACGTAAACAATTGAATTTTTAAGATTCATGAACCCAACTAATAAATTATTGATTATTTAATGAATAATCCGATGGCGAATAGAAGGTGTATTGAGACATCTCATTATCTAATAAGTAAACTAGAACAAGTTTTTTTTATACTTTTAAAAGTTATATTACTACATATTACGGTATTTTCAAAATTTAATCAACTTTTATTATTTATAAGTGAGGTATCAGCTCAAATCAATTTTAAAAATTTGATAACATACAAAATATTACAAGGAGTATTTAAATAATCATTGAAAGATAAAAAAGAACACATATTTTATCTTTATAGCGCATAATTTAAAGCTTCAGTCCGCATGTGTTGATGAAATTTAGAGAAATTAAAAAACTATCTTTATTCAATAGTATTATCATGATAATATTATTTTAAAAGAATCTAATACCGCATACATTTTTAAGGTAGTTATCGTTCAATATTTTTGTCGATAAAAATTGATTAAGTTTATCACAGACATAGATAATAATAATAATATTTATCTAATCCCACGATTTGAATAATTTCGTCTGTCTAGTTGACGAGATAATAATTATTGAAGTTTGTTATTTTTTGAGGTTTGGCCAATGCTTCATACAAACTACCCCTCTTCTATCATAGTTTTTTATTTTGATTGACTAAATTTCTCGACAAATATTAATAAAGAACTCCTGAATCGCGAACAATCGTTATACAAATATTCTCAAAATCTAATAACAACAGTTTTCCGTATATTTTTAATGTTATTACAATAATAATGAGAGAATTTCTGTCATACATAACCATTCAAATGTCATATTGAAGAAATCTGACAACACTGTAGGTAGCTAAAAAGAGCGTGAACCCCTGTAGAATTCAAAAAGTAGATTTTTAATGACAACCAATATCCATACGAATGAGAAAACAGTATAAATAATAGCTCTTTCTCTCTCCTTTTGTTCCGCCATTTATCGGAATTTTAAAATATATCATACAGTGTTGCACGATCAAAAGTATAATAGTATAGTTTATCTGTGTAGTCATTTTTTGAATGTGTGAGTATATATGAGTACAGACTCATTCAAAATGTTTTGGAGTACAATCGAAATTATAAATACATTATTGCATTAAATTATCTCACACCTTACAATAACTTTTGGACTATATTGTAGCACGAAAACTTCCTTAAACATCAACACTTCTCAGAGTACTATCCTTTTTTTCGCAAGTCTACTAAACAAGTTCCTACGACAAAGAGTTATTCTTTCAAGTCACTTATGAATTAAAATAACTCTTTTTTCATTTTTAAATTAAATCTGAGTTCGAATCTCACTAGTAAATATTAAAAATGTTTCTATTCTAACAAGTAATTTTATTTTTTATCAATATCCTTACTAGTTTATTTCAAAAATTTAAAAGAGACAATTACAAATACACTTTCACGCTTAATATATTTATCTAAAAATAATTGTCAAACTTTAAATGTTGTATTCCACCTTTAAGATAAAAAGATTCTTTTTCAAATAGTTGGAAATATTTCAACAGTTTATCTCTCTTGGTACACACTACAAAAATATTGTCCTAAGTACCTGGCAATCATCATGCATATGAGATAATATTATAATATCTGAAATAACTCTCACACGAAAATTATACAATATATTGGAATCAAAAAATACTTTTAAAAACATAGTGAAATTTTAAAATTTGTTTTGATTCGTGTATAATTATTGGAGATAATTTTTATTTATCTTTTTTACTTTCATCTTTTTCTGATTCATTATCAACTTTTTTATTTAAATTCTCTTCATTATCGAACGTTTCTTCTTTTGTATTATAATCTTTGTTGTCTTCTTTATTTAAAATATCTTCTTTTTCATCTTCGTCTTCTTCAAGAAGATGATCCCAGTCATAGGGATCCCCACCATCACTTACCCGTTTCAATTCTTTCTTTAACATTTCCAAACATTCTCTTCGCTCTTTCCACTTTTTTTCATCTATCGGTATGGTTTGCTTGATCATACCTTCTTCATTTATGGTATTTTCATCAATTTTTTTTGCTTCAGCAGCCTCGCGTTCTTTTTGTTCGCATTCTAATATATATTTTTCGTAACCGTCCACCTTTTTTTCGAAGAAGAAGAAAAACACAAACGTCATAATTACAAAATAAAATCGAATTTTTTTCGAAATTAGTTTCATACCAAAAGTAATTATAAAAAATTTTTTTTATTTATAGAAAGAAAAAAATGAGATATTTACTTAAAATATAGAACCTTATGAAGTATACTCGAATTATAGTGTTAAAAAATTTTTAACAATCAATAAATTTAAAAGATCATTCACATCTAGAAAAAGGAAATTCATTAAAAATATTTTGTATAAATGATGTTAATGCATATTTCAATATTTTTAACATTTGTCTATGAACTTGTTTTGTCCAAACTTTTTGTTAAAGTGCCCGCTTTTATTACAATTTTTTAATAGTAGGTATCTTTTTGGTAAACACTTTGCCCTTTGTCTCCTTAAAAAAGACAATAACTCCAAAGAGAATCTAAAAATCAATGTGAATAACATAATAAATGTACACTGTATTTTTTTTTATTAATAAAAATTATTTGTTCATAAAAAATTTTTCAAATTATTTTTCAATAAATAATAACAACCGTTCAAATGTTTAGAAATTTTTTAACACTGAAATTGGAGTGAAGTCTCGCTTTTAAGTGATTATCAAAAAAAGCAACAAATAAAAATTTTTCATTTATAAAGAAAAATAAATATAGTTTACTTTATCTTGTAGCATTTTTTGCATAGAATTTTGTTGTTTTAAATGTCGTGGTAACCAAAAGCAAGCTTGTAGAAGACGTAGTAATATCCAAGCAGCCCCAGCTAAGGCCAAATATGTACAGGCAGTAAATACCATGTTTACAAAGTCGACGGAGACCTGCTGATACTTCATCGTTTGAATGTTTTATTATATCTAGAGAAATAGAGGTCATCATTCATTGATTATCGTGATGAACATAATACAAAAAGTAACAGTGTAATTATCTTTTAAAATAAAAGACAATGGTATCCTATTATTGATATTGATTAACATCATCAAGCACTTATAATATTTTTTAATGAAATTTTTATACACATTATTTTATTTTATTTAACGATCAATAAAATAATAGATACATTTTTTAAATTTGCCGTAGCATATATTGCATAACTAATGGTTACTTGCTTTTCGTGAAAGATAAATATAATAATTAAATAATGAAAAATAAAAACATCAAATAATACTTTACTTACCATAATAATAAAAATGACGAAAATTTATAATTATTTCTTTATTGTCTGCCATTATTTGCTCGAAGAAAATTTAAATTATAAATTGAAAAATTTTTAGAAAAAAGCAATAAATAAAAAAAATATATTTGCATAAAATCTAAAAAAAAAAAACAGAAAAGTGTAACACACAATTAATAAACTTCTCACCTTGGCGAAGGATTAATAAAATTAAAACATTTTTTAAATTTGAAGACGGAATAAATGATACTTCTGCAGAAGAAGCGGTAAACAACTCAAACCCTTGACGAATAGTGAAAGGAACAACGGTGTGTCAAGTTGACAAAGTGGACATTACATCAACACTGACCCCTATGACAACAATCAATATATGAGTACAGCCACGTATGATCGACAGACTAGAGTAATAAAACTATGCTAGCATGACTATTCACAATTTTTGATTTTCCATAGAAACCACAATTGATACATTTAACGGTGCTTCTAGAATATGTGTCATTCGTTAAAATACTGACACAAATGTGGAGATGAATAAATCAAATTTTTATAAACGTTTTTTAAAGAGAATAACAATATGTACTAATAATAAATGCATGCTAAATTATATAAAATAATTCTTAATTTATGAATAAATAACAGATAATAATGAAACAGATTTAATGGATATTTTGAAATATTTAATTTAAAATGAAGACATTTAATACATATGATTAAGGAAGGATAATGGCTGGCGAATAAAGAGGAATGCTTCACGTTGTAGATCTCACGTAAAATAAAAGATATGGTGTCGCAGAGTTACGTGGATTTGGTGCAAGCTTATCAAGTAATTCCCGTTCACGTATGGCCCGGACCAATTCATCATCACACTCGAGCCATGTATTTCCGATATTTTTTACACGACGTATTCCACAACATTCCATACTTCGACAGCCCATTTTTATCAAATGCTCCTTATTTTCACTGATATTGGATTTGCTTCTAAAACACTTAAGGATACTTGATGATGCAGAATTCGTTGAATTGCTACTACTACTACTCTGTGATACATTATGACGACGAGCATCACGATCACATCGGAAATATTCTGTAAACATTGAATCCTCTGGAACCTTTGTGTAGGCTATGTAATGACCAGCAGTTGATGTTGCACCTTGATGCATTATTACTGAATATAGCTTATACACGTGTCGGGATTCTGATGTTCGATTGGATGTACTACTTTGTTGATCATTGCTGCATTCTTCACAAAAACATTGTAGAGTTAATGGTGTTGGCATATAATTATTAACTTTTTCCATTGAACTGCAAGATTTTCATTATTTTATTAATAATCTCGTTATCTTTTCGTTCGTTAAAAATTATAAAATCACTAGTATTTTACCCTGCTGCAGTAGAAAATCTTTTAAGTTGTAAAACAAGAAGTCTTGGTAACGCAGGAAAACTGACAGCACGCCGAGCTTCATTGTATCTTAAACAGCTGGAGCACCAATACTTATCTCTTCCACACAAAAGTTCACTAGTTACCACAGAATGTCTGTACACCTCGCTACCATCTATCAATTTTCCATTTTCATCTACAAGAAAAGTCACTTTTAAATATTAACTTCAAAAAGTAATCATTTTCTTTAATTACCTTTTTCATTTGATTTGCCGGTTTCAATAGGAACACAAATATCGCAAAAAGTTTCTTTACGCTCAGTAACATGTTCACACTCCAGGCAAGTAGTACGAAGTAAACTAACACCTTCAAAATCTTCAGAAATAAAACATTTTTTACTTTCAGGTCGATGAGATATCAATTCTCCATTGCCACCAATGAAATCCATATGACCGTTTTCGAATGATCTCGGAGGTAGTGTAATTCCATTCATATTGGTTTGTGATAAACAAGTAGTACTTCCTCGTGTTGGTTGATATTTTTTTTGCTTTTTTTTACGTATGCTTCGTTTCCCAGAACCATTACCTTCAAATTGCACATCCATCAAACGGTCCATAGTGAAATCCATCATGTCACCATTACTTTGGCCAAACTGACTTTCTCTATATCTTACTAATAATTGAAATGTTTCCCGAATGTTATCCAATAAACAAACAAGTAATTCATGAGCATCTTGTTGTTGATTGCCTTCAAATATTGGATTTACATCTCTATAAAAATATATTAAATCAGTATATGGATATCAAAATGATGATAGTGTTTTTTTTTTCTTAAAAAACAAACCTTAAAGCCTGTAAAAAAGCATCCGGTTGATAAGGTTCACAACTATCTCTTGTTTCAGATAGCCGTAATGCCACAAACAATTCATGAAGTTTTTCGGTAGCTACTTGAATTCGAGATTTATTCAATTCACTAATACCTGAAAGAGCTGATAGATCTTTACTACTCCAGCTTCGATTACCACTTGACGTCAATGAAACTCCGGTACGACCAAGAGATGATGATTTGAACTTTACATTTACATAAATTACTGATTAATAATACACTTAATGATGATTTATTATGTTTTAATAAAAATTAAATTTTAATTTACCTTTGTTTGTAACTGTTTATCATTCAAATTTGACAAATCAGTTGCAAGATGATGCAAATTGTGCAAAAATGAAGGTGCAAAGCGTAATGTATATATAACGCTATTTAAAAAACAGGTATTTCCGAGATTGCATAAAGTTGCTATTCTCAATCCATCTGAACTTCCACCTAAAATATCATACGATGAATCTTGATGAGTTCCTAGTTGACTTCGATATCCATTCAACATTTTGCTAGTATCTGTATACAAAATATTTATATTAATACTTGTTAAGGATATTTATGATAAATTCACATAAACTATTCTATTAAATTCATTCCATAATTGAATATATTAATAAGTATATCTTACTATATGGAAGATCTTGATCTTCGAAAAAGCCCCCTCGTGAAGACGAATGAGGGGGCTGAGTAATATTCTTTGAAATATTATGATCACGTCGTGAAAGCGATAAACAAAATTTTTTCCTAGGGGGTACGGACCGTTCATCCGAGTCTTCCTCTGCTTCTAACACTGTCATTTTCCACTAACCTAAAAGCAAATAAACAAAATTGATTTCAATTATAATAGTCAAATGAAAAAACAAATAAAATCAATAAACGAATAATATTAAACTTAACAAAATCACATTCCAATAATTAAATAATATTTACACAAAATAAGTGGATGATTGTTACGATTGAGTCGATGGTCAACTGAATGCAAGAAAAATTTCACGATCATCTGTTTTAAAAAAAATGTGAAAAAAAACAAGATGAAATATATACACGAATTGTTTGAACAAATAAATATTGAAAGAGTACCGAGTACTCAGAAATTACTCACGTATTATCAGGTGAAGGAGTCATGGAATAAAAGAAGTTCACAAATATCAACACTTATCCCAGGGGTAATTGCGTAATGATTTTTGTAATGATGTATACATTAAGATACGAAAGACTACATCTTAGTAAGACATTGAGCGTATCAACGAGTTAATACAATAGCCATTTGCTTTCTGACTGAGAATGACCACTAAAATGCTTACTGTCATCGAACTTAACCCCAAACAGCAGAAAGATCACTTTTATAACACCAATAATTTTATTACACAATCCTTGAAATATCAATGAACTCCAAAATTTACACTAACTTTGGGTGTATTAAAATGAAGCAGAATTTATCACTTCACAAGTTTACAAAATGATTTTTCTTCTGGAGATATAAGTTATATCAATTGGAAAATATGTATAGTCAAACTGAGAAAAGAGTGGCTCCGAAATTTTGATAGTTAGATGTGTCCCCTCTATAATGATTTACCCGTTTTGCCATCGTTTTCTTATTTCTATTGAAACGTATTGCGCAAGCGCTAAATGAAAAACAACCAAGCAAAAATTGTTCATAAACATACTTTTTTCATTTAAATGATACTTTTAAATTTTTAAAGTCCAAAATGATGAGTTTAAAATTCATTAACTTAATCAAAATAAATATTTTGAATTAATTTATCTCTAAAACAAAATTTTCTTTGTTTTATTTTTGAATTTCCCACTTTGTCTTTTCATAGATCGGTGTACATTTGAGTAAGTAGGGGAATAGAGATGTGAATCGGTAATTGACGGGTAAATTTACCGTAAATTACCGGTAAAAAACGCGTCAATGACCAAGCCTGTTTTACCATACCGGTCAGAAAAATGCTGATCTCTGATTGGTTAATACATGTCCAATCACAGTTTAGAATTCCCAACGGCATACAACTGTTTATTTGTTCTATCAGGTATATATTTTCATTTTTATTTGTTTATTAAAAATACTGATAATATTTAATATAAGAAAATTCAATTTGTAGATAAGGATTTTCATTGAGAACTTGGTGCAATGGGGGAAAACAAATCAATATATAAACATTTCTCTGCATTACCTCTGCAACCTAACCAAAAATTAAAATCGTATTCATGTAACTATTGCAAGAAAAAGTATGCAGAAAACATTACTCGCATGCGAAAACATCTTTATAAAGAGTGTAGAAGTTGTCCTCAAGACTTACGGAAACTTTTAAAACCATGTAAACCTCGTAAACGAAATAATTCTCATCTAAACAGCACAGACGACTCATTTACTATTGAAGATTTGAATGAAGCAGACAATAGAGCAAGTACTTCAATGATTTCAAATGAAAATTTACCAAATAATATAAGTGTTTGTAGCAATAACTATAAAAAAAATACAATCGATAGTTTTTGTGATAAAATGTCAAAAAAAGATGAAGATTCTCTACAAGAACTACTTGCAGAAGCGATTTATGCATCTGGTACACCATTATGTATAACAGAAAATCCATATTGGCTAAAATTTTTTAACGCATTACGGCCTTCATTTAATTTGCCATCAAGAAATCAAATATCAAATAATCTTTTAGATTCAGTATTCGTTAGAACACAAAATATGGTTAATGAAAAAATTGAATCTGCTACTACTGTTGGAGTGCAATGTGACGCATGGTCTAATATTCGCAAAGAAGGAATCATCAATTTTATTGTAACAACCCCAGCGCCAGTTTTTTTCAAAACATTTCCAACTGGAACCGAATCACAAACTGCCTTATATATTTCTGAAAAAATAGGAAGTGTTATTGATGCTTTGGGAATTAAAAAAGTTATCGGAATTTGTACAGATAATTGTGCTGCAATGAAAAGTGCTTGGACTTTGATAGATCAAAAGTATAATGTCGACAAATTGTATTGTTATGGTTGTGCTGCTCACATTCTTAACCTACTCATGAAAGATATTGGTAGTCAAGCAACTGTTGAAACTTTGGTGACAAGTGCAACAGCTATTGTAAAAGGAATAAAAGAAGTACAAATAATGTCAGCGATTTTCAAAGAAATTCAATCTCAAGATGAACGTAGAGTATTTATTACCTTAAAATTACCAGCTAAGACAACCAGTACCAAAAAATACAGAAGAAGAATGGGAAGAAGATGAGGAAAGTAATAAAGGAGAGGATGAAATAAGTGAAATTTGTGCTGAGCATAAAGAAGTTGAATTTTTAGAAGAAGAATTTACTCAAGACTAATTAGTGATGTTGATGGAATTGAATCAGTATTAGACTTGTTATTTCCTAATGAAATATGTCAATTATTATGTGATATTACTAGTTGATAGAAACTATAGATTATATGGTTTTATTTTTTCATAAATAATTTACATAAAAGTTAAAAAAGTCAAATTCTTTATAATATGTAATAACGAAGGATTATCTATTTTATAAAAAAAAATGTACCAAAAACTTAACTAAATAAACGTTTATAATAATTTTCAATATATTTATTATTTCTGTCCTAACAGTCAAAAATGTAAAATATTTTTTCTATTACAAATTACAAAATTTTTTTTTCATCTTATAATAATTAATTAGTTTTAAATTAACAAGTGCAAAAAGCAAAATTAACTAATGACCGGTAATTTACGGTAATTACGCTGACCGACGGCTTGACGGTAAATTTTACATTCAGAATTTTTTGACGTCAGAATACCGTCAGATACCGGTAATTTTACGTGGTAATTACCGAATTTTCTATTACCGGTAAATTCACATCTCTATAGGGGAAATTATACTATACACTTTCTCCTACTATACTGATACATATATGCATATATGTAAAATATAAATAGTAGAGTTGCTCCAAACAATTCTTCTTTTAACTCTTAAACGATATATGCATTGGAAAATTATTTCAACAAGGCCGTAACATCAAAATTGTGCTCCACGGTATTAAAAAAAATTAATTTTCATAAAAAATAAATTTACTATGAAAAGAACAACTCAACTTATTAGAAATTAAAAATAAAACATTACTGAAACAAATTTATAATAAATTTAAAGATGTATCACACCTAATTGTTTATTAAATCCAAGTGTTATTTTTACATCATCTGAATAAAACAACTTCATCACTAAAGTGACCATATTATGTTTTTACCGGTAGAATCATGCTCAATATAAGATAAAATTACATTTGCGAATTTTCATTATAAAATAATCATTATAACACTTGGTATGAACGAAATTTTGATTAAATAAACATCAAATTACAATATCTCAAATCTAAAGATGAATTTATCCACAAGAAATTTGTCGACAAGGTAAAGTGACTTCAAGCATATTACAATTTAATTGTTCAATTTATTAAGTATTTAATTAATTGATTATTTATTTAGAGGGTTATTTTTGATATCAAGACTCCAGTTATTGAATATTAATGGAGTATCATCTGTATCATCTTCAGAAATTCATATTCCTATGAGAAAAGAACGAGGTCCAACAGACATTCTTCGTGCACTTGAGAAAACAATAAAACGTGATCCAACAGCTCCACAATATAAATATCATGATGACCCATATTTAATTCCGATTTCGAGCCGTCAAAAACGTGCTTATGCATTAGCTCAAGAAGCTGGACGAAAAGCAGCAATGTGGATAAGAGAACAACATTCAAATTTATTTCAACATAAAGTAGCAGATCCTGTAATTGATAGTTTCCTACCAAAGGCTGTTTATAATGACGAAGCAAAAGTTTCAGAGGAAATTTTGAAAAACGTTATTAAAGATGGCCACATATCAGACGCGTTAACAATTTATAAATTATTGCAAGAAAATACAAGTATTGAAACTAAGTGTGAACTTTTACAATTATTGTGTTTTTACAATAATGAAGAACCTCTGTCGGAAGAACTGATCAATGAAAGATGGTTGAAAACCGTATACCAACGTCCTACATGGAGAAATTGTCCGGATACTGATAAACTATTCATGTATTTGAAAAATCAAGATATATTGATTGCTACTGAAGCCTACAATGCTATGATGTGTGGTTATGCTAAATTTTATAATGAACAAAAAGTTTGGCAATTATTTGAAGAAGCAAAAAAAAAGAATCTTCCGTTATCTGTAAAAGCATATAATGCATTAATTTTAACTGTTCCTTTGGTGAGAGATACAACAGAAGAACGATATAACTTACTAATAGAACTTTTTCAAAAAATGAAAAATTATAAAGTACAACCTGATATCGGTACTTTTAATAGTGCTTTAAAAACTGCAGTATCAATAAGAAATCGCACAGTTTCTGAAAATTTATGCCGTAGTTTATTTGCTGAATTTAAACATCTTGGGATAGAACCATCATTGGCTTCTTATAATTACGCTCTTCAAATTTTTTACAGAAAAGACTCTCCGCGGAATTCTTTGTTGAATGAAATTATTACCAAATTAGAAAACACATCATTCATTATACGTGACAAATTTGATTTATATTTCTTTATGAATGCAATGGAAATTGCATCAACTATTTTAGAGGACGCAGTTCTTGGTGATAGAATACATAAATTACTGATGCATGCTGATAATTACAACTTTATTGGAGACAATTTTAAGCAAAGCATATATTATCGACATTATTTAATATTACAAGTTAGAAATCAAGCTCTAGATGAGTTTGTTAAAAATTATTATGACTTAATAGTCCCTCATATTTACACAGCAGAGCCCAGCGTAATGGATGCTATTTTAAACGCTGTTGAAGCTAACGATGTTGAAGTGAGTAAGACTTTATTACCTAAATTTTGGACTCATATAGTTCAGTTTGACCATTTGGAAAAACGGAGTTTAATTGCGAAAGCATTAAATTTAATGCGAACACATTGTAAACCGGACAAAAATTCTCCCATCAATAAAATATATGCTGACGCTGGATGGACAGTGTGGGATTATGTGATGGTAAATTATAAAATAAATAAAATCAATTTTTTATCTTTTAACAAAACCGTTAAATACAATTTTAATTATTATTTTTTTACAGAATCGACAAATTCAAAGAATTCAAGAGGTTACTTGGACAGCAACGATTTTGTGTGATATTGCAATATTATATTATCGAGCTGATGAAATTGAAAAATGTGCTTCAATTATTGAATATTTATTCGATAAAAGACAACAAATTATTGGAGTTCCTGAAAAATCACAAGTTGAAGAATTATTTAAATCATTCATAACAGATTGCCATATTGAACCAATTGTGGTAAGTGTAAAAATTTATCTTTAAATCAAATTATATTTAGTTTTAGATTATACGGAAACACAAATAAACTACTTTGATTTTGAAATTATTTATCATAAAATAATTCTTATTTCTTGAAAGGTATACTAATACCTTTATAATTAAATAACTTTTTAATTTATTGAAATAAGTTATTGCGATAAATCTAAAAATAAACATTTAATATTTAAATTTAGTGTCTTTAACAATAATTTCTTTTTTTTTTTTCTGAAAACAACATTTATTTCCAATTCAAGTATTTATCCTTTTTATTGCGATTGACTTCATTTAATCTTTCCTATTTATAATTTCATAAATGTAAATAAAATGTTAATATTTTCACATTTTAGGATCTTGTACATTACTGTTCGGAAGTTGGTTATGAAGATACTACGTCAATGATAGTACAAGTTTTCAACAATTTATCTTTAAATGAATGGCAAACAAATCGATTGAAAGGTCTTGTAAATCCAGAAACTATACCCAATGCTGTGTAGAATTCTTAAACCGCGTAACTACCTTTACTAGAATATAAAAAATTATTAATAATTTTCTAATTATTGAAAAATCATTTCTTTTTTGTTAGATTTGGATAAAAAAACAATTTTACTCATATAAGAATAAAATATCACAGAAATCAAACTTAGAGGTTTATTATTTTATGGACAAAACAATTAATAAATTTAAAATTCTAATTTTAATTGACCAAACGAGAGATTTTAAATAATCTGATTAAAATTTTTATTGAATATTATTGAAATATTGAATGAAAATTTATTGATTAACATAATATTTATTACTTATAGTTAAAAGGTGTTATCACTTGGAATTTTTAATCCTTACTAAAGAGTGAATAAAATAAGACTAAGATTTTTATAAGAAAATAATTAATAGTACATGAAAAAATTTTTCAGATTTCTTGCGATTTTCCTATCAATAAGACACACCTTTTAAGCATTAAATTATTTTACAATAAGTATTTAGTAATCTTCTTATTACAAATACAGAATAAAGATAATTTATTTTTCCTGTACAAATAAAATGATATCCCCAATATAAACGATTATTTTCAATTCAATTGATTTATTTAATCAAGTACAAGTTTAACAAGTGTTAGAAATTTATATGAATCAATTGATAATTTTTGATTGACATATATAAATGTCCTTGTCCCTTAAGCTTAGGGGTTTAAATGAGTAATGAATTAACTTGCACTAATACTGCGGGAGACTATGGCCCCTAGTTACTAAAATACTTATTTCCTGTATCGTATACGGATGTCACAACTTCGTAGATGACTTAAAAGCTTAGAAACTAAAAGAATCTCTTTGTATCCTAAACCTACGGTGATCGACAACATACATATTTGTTTAGCCTTTTAAAAATATAAATACAATACTTGAAGTAGTGTTTTCAACATGGACCCAGTAAGTAGAAAACTTTCACGTGAATTGGTGGCTGATTTAATAGCTAAAAATGAACCTGACGTAGAAATTATTAGTCTGGATGAGGAACCAGGTTCTAAACGAGGTGATAATTATACGTCTATGTTATATCGTCTGAGAGTGAATGGTCGAAAACGATTGAAAATAAATGAATGGATACCATGGGATACTTCATTAATTTACAAAGTTTTACCAGAATCTAAAGCCCGTCGTGATGCTTACAAGAGTGAATTACTCTTCAGGAATGAAGTAGCATTTTACAACAGAGTTTGGCCAGCTTTAAATGAATTACAGAAAAAGAAAAAAGTCTTTAATGGAATCGTTAAAGTATATATGGCTAAATCTAATCTTATCATTATGGAAGATTTGAAGAGAAAAGGCTACGTGATGGCTGACAGACGCAAAGGTTTAGAGTTAAATCGTCTAAAACTTGTCTTAAAAGCACTTGCTGGATTTCATGCGTTAAGTTTAGCACTTCGTGAACTAAGGTAAATTATTTTAGGTTTTCTTATCAATAACATTAAATGTTTTTTATTTTAAGTTATTTTTAAATAAATGTCATTAAAGATCAGAAGTGTTCAAGCAACTAACCGATGAAAATAATAATGAAAATGCAACCGAAGGATTATTTCGAAGTGAAAATGAAGATTGGTATCGAAATTATTACCGAGTTGCAGCTAAAAATGCTATTGTAATGGTATCAGAAGCTTTACCTGCTGATCAAGAACAGAAAAGAAATAATATTTTAGAAAAACTTGAATCTTTTCTTCATGAAGACGTATTTTTTCGTTCTATGTGTGAATTAGCATCTAGTCAAGGACCTTTCACAGTTTTTTGTCATGGAGATTGTTGGACGAATAATTTTTTATTTTCAAATGACTCGGAAACACATTCAGAAGTATTATCATATTTTATTTATTTAATTGTTTATTTAAGGTACTTTTGCCATATACAATCGTATTTTACGAATACTTAAAAAAAGCCCAAAAGTCATTTAATACATTGTTTTTTTATCTGACTCAACCTATTTTTGTAAACTCAATTTGATCAAATTTAATTCAACTGATAAATCAAATATTTTGTTTGTCAATACTTGATAAGATCTTATTGTATCTAATTAGATCTAAATGTTAATTTTATTTGATCTCAGTGATGTAAATTCAATATTTTATTTTTAGTATAATTACTAGTAAAATCCAATTTCCAAATATTAAAAACATTCAATTGATGAAGCTAATATTCTAATTTTCAATCATTACTCAGATTAATATAAATTTAGAAGGAGAATATTACTATTTGTTAAATCTAATTTAATATAATTCAATTTTTAGATGTAATAGATTGATATCCTTGAATTTGATCTAATGGGATCTAATCATATTTTTCTGAAGTTATAAATTAGAAGAATTATCCGTATTAAGATATTTTTGTATTATGGTAGAAGTATCTCACATCAACTAGTTGATTAAATAATTAAGCATAAACAAACTTTGTTTACAGAAAGTTTATCTGGTTGATTTTCAATTAATTCGCGTTGGTTCATTGGCTCTAGACTTAGTCAATTTCTTATATTGTTGCACCACTGGTGAAATAAGACAACTTCATATGACTTCTCTGCTTCTACATTATCATTCACATTTAATGGAAGCATTACAAATACTAAATCCACACAAAAGTAGAGATCCATTAGCAACATGGGAATTGTAACTTTTTTTTTCCTATTATTATTATTATTTTAAAATAAAAATTGATGACAATTATTACTATTTTATTTTTAAATGAAAATATGTTTACAGATTAAATGAAGAAATTCGAAGATGTGGACGATTTGGATTTGGAATGGCATTAGACATACTGCCATTGAGTACATGTGACAGTGATAATGCTCCAGATTTATATGAAACAGCTAGTGGAAATAGTGAGGAAACACAAAAACTAAGAGCTCCTTCTCCAGGAGGTGCTGAGTGTGCACGTTTAATGACCGACGTAGTACTTGAATTAATTCAAAACCGTGCTCTCTGATTTTATCCAAACATATAATCTATGAATAATTAATATAAAACAAAATAATATATATTTAACTATAGAAAGGGATTAAGAATTTAAAGAAGCAATATTTACTGTTAAAAAAGATTATGTATCCTTAAAAGAAAATAAATAAAACTATGTATCATTAAGAACAATATAATAATAATATATAGTATCAATACTGTTAATGACAATTTAAATCAATTAGTAACAATAAAGTGATATTAAATATCATATTATATGTAGAATGACTATTAATTGTTATAGATAACAAATGTGGTGTTAATATGTATAATAGTATTCAGTATTAAAATCTGTATAAAAATTTTTGAAGTAAAATACATTGTATAAATAAGGATAGCATTATTAAAGTAAGTCTAACTTTCATTTTGTCCCATTATTTTAAATCGAATTAAGAAGATTTTTAATAAATTAATAATAATTGTAACATTTTCTGTATGGAAAAATAATTCATAAAGGAATAAACAAATATAAATGCACATGTAAATTTTGTTCAATTCTTTTATATAGAATCAAATATAATTTACATAGATTCTAATGTCAATAATCTTGATATGAATAATTATCAAATTAATAATGATGATAGATTACATGAATCATTTTGAGCCTCATTTAGATGGGAAAAACGGAATTTTTAATAGTTATTTAGATGTTTAATTAATCAACCACAATGTGTTAAATCAAAAGTTATAAAATTATTTTAACATATTCATAATTACACTATAAAAATCATTAAATACTGTAGAAGTTACGCACATTTTTATACTCTTTTTCTCTTGAATGAAATTTATTTTTGAAAATGTTCTTTCAGGACTGAAAGGATGAAATAATACTCATTGTAGGATAGCATAACTATTAAAGTCACCGTTGTTTTATTAGATTAATTACTCTAGATGTATGTAAAATTAGAAAAAAAAACTTATTGTTTATGATAAGCAGATATTTTTCACACTATTTCGATTTACAGCAATGCATTGTTTTATGAAATAATTATTGTAAGATTTATAAAATGCTGGCAGCACTTTTATTAAATAAAAAAAAAAAGATAAAACTACTAAAAAATTTTACTTATATCATTATAAATTGATGTTAATTTTACGATTGTTGAGGAGGTGTATGTGGGGGTGGTTGTGGTTGTGGTTGCGGTTGTGGTTGAGGACTAGGTGGCTGCTGTTGTTGTTGAGCAGATGGTTGCCAATTAGGATGTTGCTGACTTTGCTGTTGTTGCTGAAGTTGCTGTTGCTCTTGTGCTAATCTTTGATGTGCTTGTTGTCGTGCTCGAAATTCTGCAGCTTTTAACTGTTCTAAATGAAATTGTTGTCTTTCTGTAATAAGTTGTTGCCTCTGATATTCAAGGCCTTCACGTTCTCGTTCCATAGTCGTTTCAAGTTCTTCAAAATGACGTAATTTGATTTCAAGTTTTTTCATTTGTGTTTCTACTAAAAGAGCAACTAAAGACTTAATTTTGCGCTCTTCAACAGCTGCTAAATGTTTTGCTTTAACAGCGGCTGCAGCCAAAGCAGCTGCTGCTGCTGACTGTAGTTGTGCATCTCTAACCACTTTATCATTTTTCTCTTTAGTTTCAGGATCTTCAGAATTATCAGTAATTTTAGCTTTGGAGTCTACATCAGCATCTTTCATTTCAACATCTATTTTATCTGGTTGATCAGTCCTATCACTTTCAGAAACATCTTCCTTTTTGGACACAATTCCACTTGGTGGAGATGTTCCTTCAACATCTTTCTTTTCACTTTCATCTTTTTTGCCTTCAATGTTTGAAGCTGATGGTGAAGTAGCAGTTCCACCAGGAGTTGAACTCACTGATCCATCTTCTGGTGGTTCTGGTGGTCCAGTTCCAGCAATTCCAGATTGTGCTAACCCTGCTGCAGGATCAAATTTTCCATCTGCATTAGCGCTCGCTTGAACATTTCGTAAATGCTGATCTAAAAGAGCGGCAGGAACTTGATCTTTAATAGCAGCAAATTCTTCCATAGCTGCTTTAGCAGCACTCGCAGCAACTCTCGGATCAACAACAGAAGCTAGAAAGGCTACAGTACTCATTACTGGATTTCCAGCTTTTGAAAAAGGTATTGGCTGATAAGCAAGTGGTCCTAGACCTTCAGGTCCACCTTCTTCTAAATAAGGATCTTCAATAGGAAGACGTAAGAAATGAAGAATACATTCATCTTGCGTTCTTGATCCGACATGCTCACAAACTTTATTCCAATCATCTTTATGAAGCTCTAATCCCTCTAATAAAAGTAGCGTTTCTTGTTCAGTCCAATCTCGAGTTGCTCCAGCCGCTTGTTTATTTTTTAAAACTGCAGGTTTCCTAGCATATTGATCAAGTTTTAAACCGAAATTAGCCATTGCTCCAATCACACCCTTTTCTTCCGGTACACCAGAAAGAGGTTTCTTTTCAAGATCTAAAAGTTGTTTTGCAGCAGATGGTTGAGGAGTTTTCGGTGGATTTGGATTGACAGGAGCTAAACCTGAAGGTGTGTCAGAAAGAACGTGGAAATGTGATGTAGGAGGTGGACCCATAGGTGTTGGACGAGACTCTGCGTCAACTTGATAATTAATAAGACCCCATTGTTCTAAAAATGCATGTACTCGCATTATTGCACATACATCACCAGCTAAATTACGTCGGCATGCTGTTGAAGTGATGTATTCAGTTGGATTTAGTCGATAAGTATCAATCATAAAATTTCTGTATGCAAGATAAATTTCTGGTGTTTTGGATTTGTTTTTTCCATTAAAGAATTCTGAGAGTGCACGTTTTTCGATAGTGTGAATTGAATTATAATCAAACCAAGCTGAATAACTTGGAACAACAATATGATGAGTTTGTTCAGTAACGTTATCTTCAGGTTCATCTTTACCATTATCACCTCGTTCTTTACTAACATCACGTTCTTCTCTATCTTGGGCTCCCTGAGAACCTTTTTCTGATTCAGTTGGTTCATCTAAATCTGCCATATTACCTGATTTGAGTGGTTGAAGCTCATTATCTTGTTTTTTACTACCAGGAGTCATTCCAGTATTACCACTACCTGGTCCTGATATTGGTACATTAGTTGGATTAGTAACAACTTCAACAATTCTGGGCTCCGCTGGAGGATCCTCCATTCCTTGAGTTAAATCTTCTTCTTCATCGATTCCACCTCGTGTTTTTTTTGGTGTTGCAACTGCTGAACCACTTGCAATTCCTGCCGGACCACGACCACTTTTACGTTTCCCCATTTTTGGTGGTGGACTTGGTGATCTTTTTCTTTTTGGTTTTTTGGCAGAAGTCGGTGGATGAGATGGAGGAGTCATAAGATCTTCAACTGACAATCGATACTTGTGAATCCGTTTTTGTCCACTATCGTCTACTTCATAATCTTCTTCATTCATCCATTCATTATACTGATCAAGATCTAAAGCCCAAGTGGCTGATACTTTATAAGTTGATCTAGGTGAAAGTCCGTATCCACTTTCAGGAAATTCAATGGGTAAATCTAAAGATACCCAAGAATCATAGCTGTCGGGAAAGTAATACCAATGAAGTAAAACATTTCGTTCTCGACGCATACATGGTCGAGCATATTCTTCTTCCATTGGATCGACAGGTGGATAAATAACATGGGTCGCATCAGTTTCTGTTTCAGCTATAGTTCCTTGATGGCGTCTAACTATGTCTTTAATTTTTGCAGCAGTTGCTTTGTCAACTTCAGGTTTGACATAAACGCATGGCGTTATCATACATCTATTTTGAATGAGAGCACGCTCTGCAGCCATCAACATTTCAACAGCTCGATCCATTCGTGAACTTGACTGTAATAAATTTATCAATTATTTCCAATTGTCAAATTATTGAAAAACTTAAATAGTAAAACTTACTTTTCCTACCGGAAAATCGAATCTTCTCCATCCTTGTTCTTGTTTGAATTTGAATGCTGTTGCTAAAATGTGACATAAACCTCCATTTGGTTTAAAATCTAGGAAGCATTTCATCTAAAAATACAAAAGGTATGTAAAAAGAATCGATGAAAAATACTGACTTACGTATTTTAAACGTAATATACAAAATTTGTATGAATAGGGAAAAGATAAATAGAACAAAAAGATTTGAAAAATAATAGAATTATTAAACGAAGTTTGGTTTACATATTCACATCATTATTTTTTTCACATGCTTTTGCCATAATATATCATAAAATTTTACCGGTAATCTGGTCATTGGTGGCTTTGATACATTCTTTCCAAGATTATCCTCTTGAAACTGTATAAGTTGAGTCACCAAAGTTGCTAAACTTTTGCTAGTGGGCGGATCCGTTGTAACATACTAAAAACGATTAAAAATTCATTCAATGTAATAACACATATAAAAAAATCAAATAGTAGTTTCAAGATTTCAATAAATGAGTAAAATATAATTATTAGTATCACTGAAAAAACTTTATCATATAGATGTTGAGACGCCGGAATGATGCTTACTTTTTTATAGTTCTTCAGAAGCCATTGTTTAACTCCATCGAGTTGAGTGAGCACCTCAACAGATTCAAAGAACTTGGGATTGGGTCCTCCGTCTTTTTTTGGGCCAAGAGTCAGCATTTTTCCTAAAATATTCACTTAAAACTGTTAATATGCTGCACAACAACTATGCCGTCCTGTTCACAAACATTACAAACATTAAGTATATGAAGTTGGCTGTTTTGTATATATAAAATATCAGCAAGTATTTCACTATCTTTTTATCTCACAAACAATTTACTTACTTATATATCCTTTTTAATTGTTAATGTGTTTTTCAAAAAAAAATTATCGTTTTCATTTTTTTTACATAAACATATTACGATTAATTAAGGAAACATGTATTTTAATTAAAAATTTTCTTAAAACCGGATACTAGTTAAAGTGTAGTGCAAAAAGCCATCTAGTGGTATTAATTAATACCATTTAAATTCAAATCAACAGAATTTTTATATTTACTTATACGCTAATTTTCATAAATACAGAAACAAACTCTCCATAAATTTAATAAGAAGAACAAATTATTATACGAACAAAAATTGAATTTTTTGAAAATCAATTCCAAAAATAATAAAAATTGTTGTCATCGAAGTTTACTAATGACCTCATGAATGTGAAGTTAGCTGAATAATATTAACGACCATGTGTATTGTTCCTTAAATAGATCATGTACATATGTATGTATAATATCATGTTCAAAAATTAACCAATTATGTCGGGTACTGTGTGTTTTTTTTTATGTAAAAATATTGTGATTGGATAATTGAATTCGATTTTCTACACTACTAAGCGACATAAATGGTGTTAGATTGTTGTATACAAAAACCTATTTTGGTTTTTTTGAGGTTATACATACGATTTCCTATACCTTCCTATATTAAATTGAGACAGCATTTATATCCGGTATACCGGAATATATTTCTTTCCACCTATAGGTAACTTCCGGTGCAATGTAGTTATAGAAATGGATATAAATGAAATATTTGAAAATTTAGTACTCTCAGAAGAAATTTCTAAAGAAAACGGCTTTAATGAAGGTTACAAAGTAGGAAAAAATAAATTTTTAAGAGGATACCATTTAGGATATCATAAAGCCAGTGTTTTAGCTGCACAACTAGGATATTATAATGGTGTGATAGAGTACTGTCTTACAAACACTTCCAATCCCCGATTAAATGAACAGTTAAAAAATTTGAAAAAACAAATTATTATATTTCCTAAATCAAATGATGAATTTGTTGATATTTTAGAACAAGCCCAAGATATAAAGTTTAAATTTACGAAATTGTGTTCTATAGCCAAAATAAATTCATCATATCCAGAATCAGAAAAACTTCATTTTTGATAAATTTATCAGAATGGCCAATAATGAAGAATATTTAAAAAAAATTATTGCTTTCATTGATGATTACAATCTTCTAATAAATTGTCACTTAGTTGACTTTATTACTCATGATCTTTGGAATAAATGTATATCAAGTTCTCTGAGGACTCAACTTCACAAATTTCAGAACAGTAATGTCAACATATTTAAAAATGTAAGTGAGAATAATTCTCATGAATTATTGAATTTCTTCGATCAAATTGATAATCTAAGTTTAAAGAATTATTCTGGTGTATTAAATATAGATAATTTGTCAACTTTTGCTTCTCTGAACGATAATAGCTGGAATGAAATCTTTAGAAATAATAATTCTCACGAGTTTATGAAAGATAAAAAAAAATATGAAATTTCTTTGTTTACAAAAGTAATTGGATATTTATCAAAACTAAATTCAAGTTTAGTGATCGATGTTGGAGCTGGAAAAGGATATTTAGCTACAAGTTTATATCAAAATTATAAAATACCTGTATTAGCTATTGACTCATGCGAATCAAGACATAAAAGTGCTCTAAATCGACAAGAATTGATAAAAAAAAAAACACATGAATCTTTTCCATTGGTACAATTATTTAATAAATTTATACTTATATACTACTTTATATAAACAAATTGAAAGTTTAAAATAATTTTTCCTTTTTAGGTTCATCATTCAGTTCAATTTATTGATGATACAGTTGACTATTCAAAATTAGTACAAAAATGTTTTAAAATTAACGATAATACTATTAATAAAAAAGATAATTTCCTACTCGCTGGATTACATACTTGTGGATCTTTAGCAGTTGCTATGATCAAAGCTTTTTTGAACTCTAACTGTTTAAAAAGCTTATGTGTTGTTGCTTGTTGTTATCATTTAACCGACGAATCACTAACTGGAACATTGAAGTTATCCAAAAACTCTAGAATGTTAGCTCAACAGTCCGTTGATCGAAGTATTGTGAAGAAGCAACTATCTCCATCATTATTTTATCGAGCTTTATTACAAGTTCTTTTAAAATCTTTTGGTATGCAAACCCAAATTAATTAAATTTACAAATTACAGTAATTTTTTGTTTGTTCATAATAAGTGCACAACATGTTGTTTTATTTGTACACTTATATGTAATCAAACTAGGCATCCAGTAGACTATTTAATATAATGACAAATTTTACTTAATTGAATGAAAAAAAAAATTCTATTATATAATCACTTAATAAAGTTTATTTTCTTGCAGACTCAACTCATGTCAAAATAGGTAAAGGTGGTCCCTTAAACGATTTTCCAACATACGCAATGTGGGCACTAAACAAAATAGGTCTTCCAGAAAATCAAATACCATCTTTAAGTGAATTAACAAATTTATACAATACACATGCTGATAAAGAATGGAAATTGAATGCTTTTCAATATCTTAGGATTCATTTAGGTTCAATAATTGAAGCTGCTATAATTCTCGACAGAGTTGTTTATTTAGAACGAAGTAAAAAATGTTCAAAATTGTCTATAGTCCGTCTGTTTAATCCTTTATTATCTCCAAGATGTTATGCAATTGTTGCATTAAAATAATTTTGTGCACATAAAGATATGTTATCTAATTGAAAAGAAAGTAAAAAAGATGATTTTATTATGAGTAAAAATAATTTTTTATAAACATTTTAAGAGCTTATATAAAATAAATGATTATCTTATATTTATACAAACACTATCTCTTTTTTGATATGACTCTTGAGATTTAGATTAAAATATTAGTCCAATATTGATATAATATATTTTATATTGATGGGAAAAACTAGCTACCAATCAATAATATCTCAGGGAGAACATAGTTCAAGATTATCAGTTAGTCTTTTCAGTTCTATCAGGAATCACTATTGCTAACCTTTCTCTTTGATGCTTTTTACTTTTCATTAGTTTTAAAACGTTCTTCAAATCAAAGGAAAGTGAAAGTTGATTTAGTTTTAATTTTGATTTTAATTAAAAGATTATTACCATGAAATTTTTTGAAAAGATTACTATAAAATCACTCAAATTATTTAAATATTCAAAAAGTCATAATATTCAATCACCAATTATCATTCGAAAACTTAGTTCACAAGATGTTTTTGATCGAGAGAATAAATATGGAGCGCACAATTATGCTCCGCTACCTGTTGCTCTTTGCAAAGGTAAAGGAGTTTTTATGTGGGATGTGGAAGGAAAGCGTTATTATGATTTTTTAAGTGCATATTCAGCCGTTAATCAAGGTCACTGTCATCCAAGAATTTATCAAGCTTTAGTGGAACAAGCAAAAAAATTAACTTTAACTTCTAGGGCTTTTTATTCTGATGCTCTTGGAGAATTTGAAGAATTTATTACAAAATTATTCAAGTAAGTACATAAAAAAATATTTTACTGAATAAAATAGTTACATTATTACTATTCTTTTTTTAAAGATATGGAAAATGGTTACCAATGAACACTGGTGTAGAAGGCGGAGAAACAGCATGTAAAGTTGCTAGAAAATGGGGTTACAAAGTCAAAAAAATTCCTAACAACTGTGCCAAAATAGTGTTTGCTGAAAATAATTTCTGGGGAAGAACACTCAGTGCAATTTCTTCAAGTACAGATCCTACTAATTATGAACAGTTTGGTCCATTTATGCCAGGATTTGAAATAGTTCCTTATGATGATTTGAAAGCATTAGAGAAGAAATTACAAGACCCTCATGTATGTGCTTTTATGGTAGAACCTATTCAAGGGGAAGCCGGAGTTATCGTACCAAAAGTAAGAATTTAGTTTTTGTTAAATACAAAATCATTTGATAATAATAATAATAATAATAATAATAATAATAATAATAATAATAATAATAATAATAATAATAGTTGTTTACATTCACTAATATTTGAGTATATTTATCACTTGTAATCAATTAGCTACTTATATATCAGTGAAAAGTAATGAAAGATAAGTTATCATATATAATCTATATTTACTCTGGAATTGATTATTATTATCATAAAACAATTATTCTATTTGTAAAAATGGCCTTTTTATAGGACGGTTATCTCAAAGGTGTCAGGGAGTTGTGCACAAAGTACAATGTTCTGTTTATCGCGGATGAAATACAAACAGGCTTGGGAAGAACAGGAAAGCGAGTTGCCGTAGATCATGAAAATGTCAAACCTGATATCATAATTCTAGGAAAAGCTTTGTCTGGTGGATTTTTCCCTGTTTCAGGTATTTTAGCAAATGATGATGTAATGCTCTGTATTCAACCTGGGGAGCATGGATCTACATTTGGAGGTAATCCTTTAGGATGTAAAATAGCTTTAGAAGCTGTCAAAGTTTTAGAAGAAGAACAATTAGCTTACAATGCTATGAAGCTTGGAACAATTCTTAGAAATGAACTAAACAAATTACCTAAAAATATAGTGTCTATAGTTCGGGGTAAAGGTCTTCTTAATGCCATTGTGATTAATGAAAAATTTAATGCTATGAAAATTTGTCTGGAGTTTAAAAATCAAGGGCTTCTTGCTAAGCCTACTCATGGTCATATTATTCGATTTGCTCCTCCCTTAGTTATCACTGAACCACAAATGTATGAATGTGTTGACATTATTTCTAAAGTAATCAATAACTATAAAGAGTAAATAATTATTATGGTTTCATTCTGATTGTATATAATTCTTTATTCTAAAAATGAAATTCATATGGAATAAAATTAATCATTAATTATTTATAAATAATAATGAATTATTTGAATCATGTGAAATATCAATAATGTATAAAAAGTCTTTTTGACAATTCTGATTGTTATTTACATTATAAAGACCTATCTCTTATTTTCATCAAACTGACATTTTACAAGTATCTTTATCAAAGATACTAAAGATTCCAACGTGTTTAGGACTGAAGCATAATACACTCAATTTGTGTGCTATAACATTTTGAACAAATAATAAAGATACTTTCGTCTCAGCTATAAATAACAGTTATCAGAGTCACAACGGTCAGATATTCATTTGAACCCAACTTATTAACATCTTTTTATCATTAAATTATTTTGATAAAATAATTATCCAAGTTTTTTTTTCTTTTTTTGTACAAAAGTAAAACTTTAATTCTTTTTCAAAATGCAACCAATGAAAAATAAAATAGTTTCTGCATCTCAAACTATTAAATCAGTTAGATTTATTAGTACTATGCAACAAGAAATAATTCAACGTGATGAACAATATGGTGGTCATCATTTCAAACCATTACCAGTGGTACTAACAAAAGGTGAAGGAGTTTACTTGTGGGATCATGATGGAAAAAAATATTTAGACTTTTTATCCGGTTTTGCGACTTGTAACCAAGGTCATTGTCATCCCCGATTAGTAAAAGTGATGAAAGATCAATGTGGAAAACTTCACCATACATCTAGAGCTTTTTTTACTGAAATGCATGGAGAGCTTGGTGAATACTTAACAAGATTATTTGGATATGACAGATTCATTCCAATGAACACAGGTAAAATAATTTTCATTATTTTACGATGGCAATTTGTTGACATTTTATTTATTTGAAATGAATTTCTAATCTTTTAGGAGTTGAAGGATCTGATCTTGCAGTAAAATTAGCTAGACGTTGGGGATATCGAATTAAAAAAATACCCAACAATGAAGCGACAGTTGTTTTTGCTAATAATAATTTTTGGGGTAGATCATTAGCAGCAACATCAGCTTCAACTGATCCTGTATGTTATACAGATCTTGGACCATTTATGCCAAAATTTGAAAAAATTCCTTTCGATGATCTAAATGCTTTGGAAAAAAAGTTAAAGGAAAATCCAAATATTTGTGCTTTTATGATTGAACCAATACAAGGAGAAGCTGGAGTCAAAATACCCAAGGTAAAAAACTGTTTTCATAAATATACAATAGACTTAAAATGTTCAACAAATTGTACTTGATTTTTTTTTGAAAATTAAATTATTCATACATCTCTATTCATATTCACGTTGACAATAATGATGTTAAAATTTTTTACGCTAATTATTTCTCTTCCTAAATACTATGAAAATAAATAATTATTTTAGTATTAAACATTAACAATAATACCATTATTGTAGGATGGCTATTTGAAAGGTGTTAGAGAATTATGTACTAAATACAATGTTTTATGGATTGCCGATGAAGTTCAAACTGGTCTCGGAAGAACAGGATTCAGATTGGCTGTTGATTATGATGGTGAAAAACCTGATATTATAGTTTTGGGTAAAGCTTTATCAGGAGGAATGTATCCTGTATCTGGAGTTCTTTCTAGTCATGAAGTACGTACGCATAGATGTACTATAATAGTATATTATTTTTCAACTTTCTGGAACACCTCAGTATTAGCTATTACTTTTCTCATCGACCTTAGGATTAGACAAACTCTGACTTTTCGAAAGTAAAAAGAGAAAAACTCATACACGATTTTAATATTAATCCAGAATTTTTTTCACTTATTTTTGTGTAAACAATAATGAAACACTTCGCTCCCAAGATCACATATTGTCTAGTCTTGATGTATTTAATGAAAAAAATGAACAAAAATTGCCTATTTCTAGTCTAGTACATAATTTTATCTATTAAATATTAGCCAATATAATAATCATAACAATTATTCAGATAATTCTTACTCTTACTACTGGGTCTCATGGAAGCACATTTGGAGGTTCTCCATTAGCTTGTGCGATTGCTCTCGAAGCTATTAAAGTACTTGAAGAGGAGAAATTAGCAGAAAATGCTTCTAGGCTGGGAAAAATCGTTAAAGAAGAACTGGAAAAATTGCCCAAAGATATTGCTAGTGAATTCAGAGGACGAGGATTACTTTGTGGACTTTTGATAAATAAAGAATTTGCTAATGGATGGGATATATGTTTGAAATTAAGAGACAACGGTTTGTTATCGAGACCTGCTCATGGACAAATAATTCGAATTTCTCCACCACTAGTTATCAATGAAGATCAGTTAAGAGAAGGACTTGAAATTATCAAGACGACTCTTCTTAATTTCAAGTAGAATAAAAATACTCCATTAACAATTTTTTAAGAAAATCTATTTTATATTTTCCAATAGATAACTAACTATTTTTGTTAAAAATACATATATCAGTGAGTTAATGAAATCTACAATAGGTTCTAAAAAAACCCAAAAAATTTTGAATAATTGTTTGAATTCTTTTTTCAATTACAGAAAAGAATTTCAAGTTTTTCAAAATGTTGACGAGATTTTTGAAAACTAAGATTATGTATACAGCCATATATTTTTTAACTTGAAGTTAATAAATTTATTTTGTGTAATTACTAAGTGACTTCACTGTGTTTTTTTAAATGTCTTTTAAGACTAAATGCTTGAGAAAATAGCTGATTGCATTGAGTACATTTAAATGCTTTTATAGATGTATGTAAATTCATATGACGTTGTAAATGAGATGACAATTTAAATTTTTTACCACACAAACGACATTGATGAGGTCTTTGTGAATTATGTGTAGCTTGATGTGTTTTCAAATGACTAGATTGTGAAAAAGCTTTATCACACAATTCGCAAACAAATGGTTTTACTTTCGTATGAATTCTTAAATGTTCAATATAATTACCCTTTCCATTAAAAGACTTATTACAATATTCACATTTATGAGTTCGTGTGTTTTTATGAAGCTCTAAATGAATTTTTAAATTAAATTTCTGGCTGAATGGTTTGTGACATACTTCGCAATAAAACAAATTTTTTCCACTATGAAATTTCATGTGTGCATTGAGGTTTTTCTTTAAGCAAAAATTTTTATTACATGTCGAACATTCATATTTTTTAAATTTTAAAATTGTTTTTAATTTGTAACTGTTTTTTTCGTGTGTTTTTTGATGTTCTATCAAATAAGATGGATAAGAGAAAATTTTCTTACAAATATTACATTGATGAACATTTACTTGAGTATGTAATCTCATATGTGCATTAAGTTTACTTTTTGATGTATAATCTTTATCACATTTCTGACACTTGAAAGGTCGTTCACCCGTATGAGATAATTCATGCGTTGTAAGTTTTGATTTTTGAGTAAAACATTTTCCACACACTTTACATTTGTGTTTTTTATTAATTAAATTTGCAGTATCTTTATTACTTATTTGTACTTCAAAATCATTATCATCGGACAAATTTTGGGAATCGTTTATAATATTATCAGCTTGAATATCTTGAGAAAATCGAGGAATATTATTACTTAAATCAATTAATAAATCTTCTTTGTTTATCTCATTAGATTCTTGTTCTGCTGTTGTTAATGTTAAATTTTCCGGAAAATGTGATTTTGAGTTTGGATTTAAAGAATGTTCATCACGAAAATATTGAACATCTGGTCTTTGAAAACTAAAATCTTCTGCTGAATTGCTCGAATCTTCTCCGATATCAATACTATTATCACACGATGCTTCTATATTGTTGTTCAAATGAGAAAAATGATTATTCATAAGTTGATTTTGATTTGGCAACATATAATTATATACGGAGTAATGAAAAGCACAAGCAGCTCTATCATTTCTCTGTGTTAATTCAGTCATTGTACTTGATTTTCTTGCATATGCTAATGATCCATTAACATTATTTGTCATTATTAAATCATTTATTGGAGAATCAATATTGAAATGGGGATTTTGTGATTCTACGATATGCATATGAGGGAAGGAAATATTATCTTGAATCGCAGAAACATGTGACCGACTATGGGAGTAAAGTTCTTGATAATCCATAAAAACTGCTCCACATTCCAAACATTTAATAGGTTTTTGTGAAGTCTGTATTGATGTAAGTCCTTGGTTTTGTTGATACAGTTTGCAGCCTGAAACTGTTGTATAGGCAACCTAAAATATAAATTATATTTAACATTAAACAATAAGTTTAAAATTATTTAAACTACATTACCTTAGCAGCAGCTTGTCTTAATGCTCTGTCTGCTGCTCTACATTGTTCTCTGAATAAAAGGGCTGACTCAGCTCTAGTTACACAACGATTACAAAGCTTTTCAGGAAGACCATCTCCTTGCCAAACCTAAAACACATATTCAATATTTAATTTTATCCATGATAATATTCTGTAATTAACATTTTCAAATCATTATATCACCTCCAAACAAGATAAAGATCGTAATTTTGCTGCAAGAGAAGATCCTGCAGGACCAACAAATAAACAAATCATTTTTTCATCATCTTCTCGTAAACAAGTTCGACACAATCGGCTTATATTTTCGCTGTCTATTTCTTTAGTAACAATAAACATTATTCCGTTTCAAAACAAAAAATTAAATTGACTAAGTAAATCTCCAGCTGATATAGTATTATTGTTTTAAAAATCTACTTCTCTATTTTTTAAGAAATTCGAATTTTTGTTATCCTTAATGTTAGGGAGCAAATTGTTGTTTTAAAGAAAATAAAACGATATGTAGTTTTTGATCGTAATATTATCAAACTCTGCTAGATTAACATGTTTTAAACATGACTTGATACATAAGTTACTTGTACGAAAATGACCAAAACATGATATAAAGATTACAACATAATATATAGATCAACGAACTGTGAGTGCTATATTTATAACCCTATCGTCAACATATCAACTTATGGCTAAACATATATATGTATACAAAATAAAATAAAACCAAATATATTATATATGTATATTGCGCATGCTTAATATCCATTTTAAATAAAGTTTAGTTTTTCCATCCAATCGAATTTTAATATTTTTTTTGTTATCAATATAAAAATTAAATATTTATAGGTTTTATCTACTTAAATATTCAAAAAATATCGAATTTTATGCATTGAAAAATTAAATAAAATTTTTTTATAAACAAAATATTTTTAAAATAGTTGTTTCCGGAAAAGTGATTTTTATGCAAAAATTTTTCTAGCTGAAATTAAAAGAGAAAATATTGATTGTGTTTATTTTGATACTATGAAAAAAAATAAAAAAATACTTGACAAAAGTAAAATGAAACAAATCATTATGAGTAAAAACATATGACTTTAACTCGAGATATAAATAGGATGAGCTCGTGCAAAAATAAGTGTAAAAACCACGATAAACTTGAATATGTACGAAAAATATTTTATTTGTATTTAATGGGTATTTATAATTGTTTATAAAACAACAAACATAATAAAATATTGAAATATCCTACAGAGTGTTCTGCAATGCTGTGAAGTTTATTTTCACAAAAAAGAAGATTTTTATTCCTTCAATCTTTTGGAATATTTTTCTATACTGCATAAAAATAATTAGATATATGTATATATAACAAATGTGACCATATATCTTTTTCATCCATTTATATACGTTATCTTTGACACGTCGGCTATAAATGTTACAATCGAATTAAAGAAAGTTGAGGGAATTATCTTATATTAGTAATTTGTAACTTTATTTCATTGAAAAAATGAATTCAATAAAGTAGTACATAATAAATGTATCTGATTCAATAAGATATACTGTTTGTATCAATTATGTTTGAATGAAAAAAAATTGAAGAAAATTTTTTAAGAAATTTATGATTTAAATCAATGCTAATTAGCATAACTTTTGAGGTTAATTTTAAAAAAAGAATTAAAAATTCTTATTCTAACATAAATAAAATTTTCTATGTAAAATTTATTATCCTTAATTGAAAAATAAATTTTATACTAAATTCTTAAACATAAACGATCAAGTTTGATCATGATACATAAATAAAAAAGCTTTTTATTTACCATTCTGAACGTAAAAACCATAAATGCCTAGAAATAATTGATCGCCGCATTTGAAATGACTATTCATAAATGATACGACGTTTTATAAAGACTTATAAATATCAAAGAAAAAATTCTAAAGTAAGTTTCTTTAATAAATTTTTTTCTCATTAAATTGTTTCAATTATTTATGTCATTTTGTTTATAAATTTTCTTCGTTTATGTTTAAAATGATTTTAAAATAATAACTATAAAAATTAAAAATAAAAGTAAAAAGTACAATTGAAATAAGAAAAAAATTGATTTGTTTCAGAACATGGCAATAAATAATATGAACAAACTATGAAAAATCTTCAAAAAGATGGAAAGCACCAATAATGATAATCAAACATATTATAATTTAAAAAGAAGATATCTTTTGATATTTCTTCTTGCCAGTTTTATTGATTGGTTACAAGGGCCTTATCTCTACAAACTTTATCTTCACCATGGATACAATAAATCAGACATATCGTTTTTTTACATCACAGGTTTTGCAAGTAGTGCATTGTCAGGCATTTTTATAGGCCAGCTTGCTGATATCTTTGGTAGAAAAAAATTGTGTACATTTTATTTTATATCAACAATTTTAGCCTGTATTGCAACGATTTCAAAAAATTCATCAATTTTATATATTGGTCGAATATTCAGTGGCACATCGTCTACAATACTATTTTCAATATTTGAATCGTGGTATATAAGTCATCACCTATCCTACAATTTTGCTAAAAATCAAATAAGCTCAACATTTGCTGATTCAACTTTTTACAATGGTTTACTAGCAATTTTTGCTGGATTTTTATCATCAATACTTGCAGATGGTTTTAAATATGGTCCAACAGCTCCATATTTATTTAGTATTCCGATGTCACTTCTAACTGGTTACCTTTGTATGATTTTTTGGACTGAAAATTTACCAACAAAGTATTACTTTGGTCCTTTTAAAGGTATTTCTATTATCTGTAAGAAAAATTACACTATTCTGATTCATGTATGGCTTATTCAAACATTGTTTGATACATCTATGTATTCTTTTATATTTGTTTGGACGTCAATTTTGGATCCAATTCGACCTAGTAATGGCCTTATATTTGGTGCTTTTATGCTTTGTATTGCCCTTGGAAGTGCTTGTCATAATTTTTTGATAAACTATTGTCGAATTACCCATGTAATATTACTGTGTTTAAGTATTATTATAGCTCTTGTTAGCACTATTGCCAGTACTATAGGTATTCATGTACAAATGCAAAAAAATGTTGAATCGATTGGTACCTATATTTGTTTGATTTCTTTTTTATTTTATGAATTATCTGTAGGTTTGTATTTTCCAACTATTAGTTACGTTCGTGGAATTATCATTCCTGAATTTAATCGAGCAAACATATCAAATTGGTTTAGATTACCATCCAATATACTTATTTGTATTATTTTATATTTCATCAGAATAGATGTACCTGATAACCGTTCAATTTTTATATTAAATGTTATTTGTTTAAGTATTGCATTTATTTATAGCATCAAATTTATGACAGCATACTCTGATAGGTTTAATGAGAAAAATGAAACAAAGCTATCTATCAAATCATCTTTAATAGTTTAATTTTTAATAAAATTTTAATATAAAAAAAATTAATATTTTGCTGTAAATATTTGAAAAGAACAAAAGTTAAATAAAATATTTTTATCATAAAATTTTTTATTTTCTATTGATATTTATTTCAGTGGTCTTTTTCAAACAAAACTTGTTCACCAATATAAGTTTAAAAAATATGTATCACATATATTGAATAAAAATATTCTAAAATAAAGGTTTCAGATTTGATTTCAAATAGTGAATTATAAGAAATCGTTAAGTTGTTTTTAAAAATAATCCAAAATTATCAGTCTCAACAATTTTGAATTACATAGAAATATTTTTCAATCACCAATTACAAACATTCTTAAAATTACTGTAATATCAACAACGATATGTTAATGCATATTTGCTGTGAAAACTATAATTAAACTATTTATATAATAAGAGAAAACTACTTTTATTATTTTTAAGATAATATTTGCAAGAACATAGTCTTGATGCAGTCATTGAAAAGTATAATTTTTTATGCTATTCATTTTTACATTAAACCTCTACTTTTAAGTAGTTATATTCTCAATCTTTGAAAAATGATTATAACATTAAAAATATAATTTAAAAAGCCTTTTATTTACAGTTAAACAACTCTATTTAATGAACAATGATTTTTGGTTATAAACATACGAATAGAATACTAAAAGTATCTCTAAAAGTTTTATTCCGCAAATTTCTGAATAAAGATTAATATTAAATTGACTTTTGTTTCGTATAATATAGTTTAAGCGCTAATCAATAATCATCAATGGTAGTCTGAATTAACATTAATTTTTTTCAATTCTTATAAATTTTTCGGCTTTAAAAGCTTTTTTTAAATCAAGTTGCTTAAACCTTGCATACATTGCAGACGCTCCTAGCACAGCAAAATTACTAATCCACCACAAAAATGGCTTTCTTTCATTATACCAGTATGATGCTAAAACAGTTTGTGCACACGCTTTGGCTGTTCCACTAATATTATGAGTTAATGGTGAAGTCACTTGTATTTGTAAAGCACTTACATATCCAATTGCAAAACCACAAACTCCTCCACTAACCATGATAAACCAAAAATAAAGATCATTAAATTTATTATAATTTAAAATGATCTGATATTCACCATTTATAAGTATTAAAGGAATAAACAGAAAAATGCTGTATGCATTATTGTAATATGATAATAGCCAAATTTCATCATTAACAAACGGAAGAATTTTTTTTGTATAAATGGAGTATAACGACAAGCTCAATGAACCTAATACCCCAAAAAATGTCCCGAGAACAGACAAAGATCCGGCAATATTTTCTTGATCTACTCCTAACCAGAATCCACTTATTATGACTGCACAACAAATAATGCAACGTAGAGATGTCTTGTTTCCTGTTGAATTAAACATTTTTTTTCTTGTAATGACAAAATTGAGATTTTAAATAAAAATAGAAGCTAAATTAGTTGTAAAGGGCCAAAAATAATAAATAATTTTGATACTTATCAGTGGATAATTATAAATTTAGCTTAGTAGACAATTCATTACGTAGACACTTTATTGAAATTGCTTTAGTTATTATGAAAAATTCTATCAATTTTTGGACTAAACTTCATTTGTACAAAATCATCTAGTTCACTCAAGAATTTTAATTTAAAGATATTTTTTATAACTGATTTTAATATTTTTTATAGCAACATGACAGACACCTCAAACACATTTTTATTTTTTTTTAATAAAGTTAAAATTAGAGTAAAATATATCAAAATAGTATAAAAAGTATTTTAAAACGTTTATCACATTGCATTGTTGATATGTTTTATAAATTTTTTTGAGTTATTAAATACGTACCGAGTATTAAATAAGTGAATATAACATTAAAGACAGTTGTTAAGGATCTTCCAATATAATAGAAGGCGACGTCAACATATTTTAAACATAAATTATTACTAGCTACCATCAAAGTGAATAAAATGGAAAGAGGCAATACCTAAATAATATTATAACATTTATGTTGATTTGGAATTAATAAAAAATATATTTTTTATGATTAAATAAAAACTTACTTTTTTGAAATTATTAATAGTATAAGGATTACCATCAGGAAATGATATTACTTTCGGGTAAGATTTTGCAAGTTTACTCAACGAAAAACATATAAACATCGTAACAGCGCATTGGAACCACGTTATAAACATCGGAGCATCCAGATTTACTTGTTTACTTGATAAAAGATTTTTATTTACAAATACTGTTAGAATAGATATTATCCTGAAAAATAAAATTTGTATATTTATTATCGTTCATGATCGGCACATATTCTAGTGATTAATGCAAAATTACCCTTACCAATATGCAGTTACAGCTGTGATGATTTTAATGTATTTGGTTGAAAGTTGGTCTTCTAAAATCATTTTTTTTCTTTTGTAAATGTTTTTTGAAATAAATAAAAATTATTTCTCGATTTCAGGAATGTCATGTGTGTTACTTTTCATCAAATAGTTGACAATTTATTATTCTCACAGACGTACAAATTAACATCCTTCAAAACGTAATTTTTCTGTAACTTTATCAACTCGTTTTGATTCTTTCGGAGCTTTGTAATTAGCCACGTGGTCAACTCTAATTATTCTGCCTAACAACTTAATTCCATTTAAATTATCAACAGCTAAAATTGTACTTCGTTGATCTTTGTAACACAAAAAGCCGTATCCTTTAGATTTTCCTGTGTCTTTATCACGAATCAAGTTAATATTTACAGGCTCACCGTACTGAGAAAATACTGTGATGATATCTCCTTCAGTTAAGTCATATGGAAGACCACCGATGAATATCCAAGCACTATCTTTGTATTCGTCATGCCATGAAGTAGTCCCACCACGTACTAACTCTTGTTCTCCGAGTTTCGTTATGTTTTTAACATTGGTTAATGGATTCATTGCATTCTTTGTAAATTAGTATCTTCTAATTAAAAAAAGTTTCTGATCTAAAACAATGTAGAAAAATAAAGGAACAATTTTTCAGTACACTGACAGAAATTTTTTCCGGTGGCGAATTATACAATTTACTTGTCCCCAGTATAAAAGTGATAGGTAAAAAGTTTCGGAAGGCAGGTAAAGAAAGTACCTGGAATCAGTAAAACTTCGTTTTAAAATGAATAAAAAAAAAACTTAGTCTAAATACAGAATATACCACTCCTGAGTAGACTACAAGCGGTTGAAGAAGTAAAAAGTATACAAGTTTTATGAAAATAAAGTACTTGTATTTAAGTAGTCTTTCTACTTGGAATCAGTATAATGTGAGCCAATGTATTTTGTTTATCTCAAGTAGGTAGATAATAGAAGAAGATTACAAAGTTTACTTCAGTTGATAATATAGTTTTCTTACACTGAGAATCTTCCTTACTTACCACAAGTGTATTTTATACGGAGATCCCGTATAAAGCGTACTTATGCTAAGTATAATGCTGTTTTACACTTTAAACACCATGTTCTCACATTATGAATCCTTTTTTATTAATAAAAAAATACTTGTTACTTGATTCAAGTATATCAATTCTTCACTGCAAGTATATTATATACTTAAATTAAGTATACGAAGTACTCATGCTAAAATTTTTTTCTTATTAAATTTAAAAATTTCAAAATATAAATAATTATATTAATAATAAAAAAGTTACTGTTATACCCATTGGTATTGGTCATTTAAATTAGTGACCATTACTAATGAAGTAATTTAATGATTAAATATTCAGTAATTAATAAATAGATGAAAAGTAATCTTATAATAATTACAACAATTACTGTTGTACTTTTAAATACGTGGAGCTGCTACACTTACCAAATATTTATACCTGTATAACTTTTAACAGGTGCAAAATAATAAAAAACTTTGCATGGATGAAATGTTCCATTTTAATTCTGCACATTTTGAGCCCAAAATCGGGCTGATCGGTGCATTTGAACCAAAATGGGAATGATTTAAATAATTCATTGTTTATAAAAATAATGAAAAAATCAATGATTTTCTCTAAAAATGAAATTCAATATCTCCTTTTTCTAAATAAATCGCCAAAAAGTAATATTTCTAACATTTAGTATTTTTTATTATTTCCTTAGACGCGACTGAAGCTTTTGTCAATAGTGAAGCTTCAGTCGCGAATAACTTTTTATCTATCTTAGATATGTTCAGTGCTTTTTTTTTATTAAAATTACATTCTGAACAACTTTTATTTAAAACATTTTTTCATATCTATCATAGAATCGAGAAATTCGCGAGCGGTTTGTTTTCGCGATTTACTTCCCCCTATGCGTGCCAAACAATTTTAACCTACACCATTGTGTTTCTCGCAAAATTTCCGATCCAGTCATCTATAAATCATTAATTTGGCCGCAGCAAACCAAAATTATCTCATTTCCCTCGTTGACTGGACTATTAGCTATAAACTATCTAATATCATATCTTTGATGATGATAGATAAATTATTAATTGAACAATAAAAAATCCATAGAGGTAATTATAATTTTCTTATAATTACAACAATTATTGTTGCATATTTCAATATCTCGAGCTTCTGCAGTCAGACTCTTTTACTGTTAAAAGTTCATCTCCAAACTCAGCGCTCAGCAATAAACTTATTTAATATTATGTATTTAATTATGATGAATAAATTATTTATTGTACAATAATTAAGGCTGGGCTGAAGTCAGAAAGTTTCCCGAAGTTGACTTTACGCCCTCACGTTGTGCGGCGAAAAGCCGAAGCTCGATATCAATTGAATTGAGTAGGTAACAGAGAAATCGTTCGAAAAATGATAATTTTCAGGGATGCACTAAAAAACGGGAGCCTTAGGGCACCAGAAATTTCAGAATAATCTGTTCCGAGCAAGACAGAGCACAGAATACATCTATCTATCTCCGTCTTATTTTTTAAAGAAGACTGCGAGTTCGAACAGTTGACGAGCAAGCACATCCCCCACCCTCTGTTACCAAGCCTGAAGCTTATGATATCTAACGTAAAAAAAGTAAATGAAAATATGCTGGCCCTGTAGTCAGAAAGTTCGACAGTGATTTTACCGAACGGTGTTCGATTCAAATTGCGGCAAAATTTTTTTTTATTTAAAGTGCATGTAATTGCAATTTTATCATGCCAAAAATGAGTTTTAAATTTCAATTTTATGTAAAATTTTTTTTTCAATTAATCAATGACAAATGAGAAATATTTGAACAGGGCCATTAACCTTTTTTTGTACAAATACATTGATAATAGCCTTTTTTAACAACTTATTAATAATAAAAATTGTTTAAACAATCCGCGGCGAGTTCCGACACTTCACCGGCAAACTCGACCCCCACTTTCTGTGCCCAAGCCTGTAGCTTATAATTTTCAAGCATCGTATATATAATTGGAACTATAATAGCTCAGTGGTTAGAGCCCCGACCTTTCATTTTGCTGGGCAGGGTTTCGATCCCAGTCATAGGCAATTTTTTTTTCTGTTTCTTGTTCAAGTGACTTTATATACTTATAAATCAATTCATATATTTTATTACATTATTCTTCCAATTAATTACGAAAAAAACTTGTTTTTCTGAAATAAGCTGAGGGTGAGGAACGAGTTACTATGATTCTCTTTTTTAGAAAATGTTGTCTCCAAAAGACTATAGGAATTAATTTTGAACTAATATAAACAACCAATTATTGTATTTATATAAATTTTAATGAAAAAAAAATTGGCTATAACTGGGATCGAACCCTACTCGGTAAAATGAAAGCTTGGTGTTCTACCTACAGAGCTAACATATTATCTCTAACATCATGTTTATGCATATATCTATACTCCTATATTGCTAGTTCCCGTAAGTGGGGCGCGTGGCCTATGAAGTGAGACAGAAAATGAATATGTCTGTCTCTTTCTTTTCATTTGAACTGTTGTGCGCAGCGTCACTACCGTAGAGGGAGAATTGGCAATTGGAGAAGGGCAAGCCACCTCCCTTTCACAACTATAAATTGAGTTATAGTAAATAAGTCTTGTATGCTTCGTAGCTCAGCGGTAAAGCTCCCGACTCCGGTAGTGAGTCTCGGGTATTCGAATCTCTTCATTCTTTTCTTTTCTCTATTATTATTATTATTAGTAGAATAACTTCAATTAATAATTGTTTAAACATGTATAATAATTAAATCATTCATATATAATAATTTAATATCTAATTTCAAAGGTATTTCTATACATATTTCTTTGTAAATAAATTTATAATAAATAAAATAATCTAAAGTTGTAAGAACAAATTAATTTTTATTGTTCAATAGTCTAATTCAATTCGATGACTATAAATGATATTTTAAATACCAGTATAAATTAAATTGTTTTATAAAAATTACAATTGAAAGTTTTTGAAGAATTAAAATTTTAAAGTCTTTTCCCCAAGCTGCCCCAACTCTTGAGTTTGACCCCAACATCCACAGTAATAAATAACATGTAATAAATGCGAAAAATATATATTAAGTCATTATGTTCCTTTAAATTATTATTTTTTGTATTAGATTTTACAAACTACATACTAATCACTTTTGTACATCGCCACAATAGTTAACATTGCTCTCCTATTTTTTAATGTACATATATAAATGTGATGATGATAAATAAATATTCATGATTATTAATTTAAAAAATATTTTTTTAAAGTTTACTGTATAAAAAATGTAGCATTCATGAGCTCTGAAATTAATTTTAAACAATTTACCAAATAGAAATGTTTTTTTTCTTTCCTTAATGACAAAAGATTTCATTTAATTTTTTAAAATGACGTTTGCATATTCTACTTCTTATAAGCAGCTTCATTCAAATGAACACATATTTGAAACAGGCATTTCAGAAAAAATGGGGAATTGATTAAAGGATAAAGGATAAACGGATATAAGGAAATAAAAACTAAGATAAAAAAATAATACTTAAACAATAAATAATTTATTATTTACACATACCAGTAAAACAACCAATTATACATTATTAAACTTATTGGTGTTTAAATATACGAGTTTTGTATATTTTTGTCTTATAAAATGATCCTTCTCGGACATTTTTTGGCTTCATAATGTTAACCGAGTATTAATAGAATTCAATAACGGTATTTGGCAAAGTTGCGATCGATGATTATCCAAAATGTGTTCATTCATGATTTTATTGTCAAATTGCATCCCTATGTTGTTAAATATTTATTTATTAAAAATTGTTAATTGAAGGTTCACTTATTTCCGATTGATATTTTCTGATAATCTGTTCGCAAACTTTGCAAATAGCCATTACATCCTTTGATGGTGTTATATATGGTCCGCGATTTTTATTTGCGATAATAAAGGCATTGTGCCTTTAGTAGCGTCGCCTTTTAATTGTATAATACAAACTTGACATTTTACATGGAGTCAATTAAAATATATAAAAAATTGGATGTAGCATGTAAAACAGACGCTACTTCATATGCAAAATGAATATCTCATATCTCATTTCTTGTACAAATTGAAATGCTATCTAATGCGCACGCTCCATTCACATCATGCGCACAAGTCGCAGCGTATAATAAGTGAGACAAACGCATATATGTCTGCACCGTAATGTTTAAGTCTCTCTCCCTATACCGACTAGCAATATAGGAGTATTACATATATGTGTTTATGTTTATAAATTGTATAATGCAGGCTTGAGTACGAAGGTGAAGATAGAGCTTGCCGGCGAAGTGCCGGAAATCCCGTGGATTATTTCAACTACTTCTAAATATTTCTAAAATTGCTTAAAAAAAAGCTGCGTTCGTATAGATATAGTAAAAAAAGTGTTTATAACCCTGTTCATGTTTTCCGACTCGGCGTCGATAAATTACATAAATAATTGAGAAAAAAAATCAAATCGTTGGTAAGAATTCATTTTAGCATGTTAATATTATAATTACATGCAAATCTAACAAATGAAAAAGAAAAAAAAAACTACCATGACTGGAATCGAACCCTGCCCATCAAAACGAAAGACCGATGCGCTAACCACCGAGCTATTATGATTACAAAACATTTATATATGCTCAAAAATTATGAGCTGCAGGCTTGGGCATAGAGAGTGGGGGTAGAGCTTGCCGGAAAGTGCCGAACTCGCCACAGATTGTTTAAACTACTTTTCAATGTTGATAATAATATGATTAACTTGTTAATAACACAACATTGTTAATACATGTAAAGATGTATAAGTATAAGTTGTTAAACACAGGCTATTATCAATGTATTTATACAAAAAGAAAGTTTATGGCTCTGTTCAAATATTTTTCGACTTAGCGTCAATAATTCAATGAATAAAGAGAAAAAAAAATCAAATTGTTATAAAAGATTAATTATAGCATGTCAATATTATAATTACATGCTTATCTAACGAATAAAGTAGAAAAAAAAAAATTGGTTATGACTGGGATCGAACCCTGCCCGGCAAAATAGAACTCTGACGCCCTAACCACATGGCCAGCATAATCTCGATATTAAGTTAATGTATATTTGTTTTTACACTACATGCTTGGATGCGCGCCGACTTGGAATTGAGCTTCCTTATTAACATTTATACTTAATAAAAATGATAATAATGGATGAGTATATGTATTTGAAGTTATTTGCAGGTATTATATTAATTAATGTTAAATGAGTATCATCATTTTTATTTATCCTAACTGCAATAGTCATCAAAGTGTAGGGCATTGTAAAGTGATACAGTATGTTTACATCACATACATATATTACCCGTACACACACATACAGAATTTACTCGCCAAAATACAGGGCACCATCAGTTCTGGATACGGATTGAGCATTTTTTCAATATGGATGACTGAGGTCATCTGCGAGCATAATGCTGTCACCTATCAGAATTTTTTCAAACTAATTTTCCGGAGAATATCATCTGGAATACAAGATTTCTAATTATTTCTAAATTATTCAATTTTATACTATGAATTGATTTTTTAACATTCAGACAGGTGGCAAGGACTGACGCAAACACGAATTTTGGGCGAAAAACGTATAAAAATGAAATAATTAGTGATTTTTCATCTGAATGATGTGGCTGCCATCTTGAAATTTAAGCGCGGCAAGTCAATTCATATTTTTTTCATTATTCTTTCTAATTTTTTTAATAAAAATATTCACTATATACAAAAATTGTTGTTTACGTCAGTCCGGCATTAATTCCTCTGTAATTTGGTACCTAATTTTATAGAATAATTGTAATTGGCGAAGAAATTAGAAATTTCCCGATCCCATGTATTTGGATAGGGGGAATCAGTCGCCTTTCTGACTTCAGCCCCAGCCTTAATGATCAAAAATAACCGTGATTTAGTTCGAATTACAAAAACAAAATACTGTCTACAACTATGGCGTTTGACGCCTATGTTGCACGTGCTTTAGTTATAATACGATCGAAAGAATTTCTTTTCGTAACGTAGCGCTAAGCCATAAATTATTTAGTCTCACACGTTAATCAATGACAAAAAAAATCATTTTAGAGTCGTTTATCAATTTTTATGAATTTCTTTATTTTGTGGGGTGGCTTGAGTCAAGGTCAAAGAGGTTTAGACTCATTGAGGATGAGAGGCTATGAATACATTAACAAACGCAAAATGTCATATTTCTGTGTCCTTAGGATAATTGTATAGTCCAATCAAATGAGGGAAATGGGATAAATATGATTCGCTCCGGCCAAAGTAGTGATTTATAGATGACTAGATTGGAAATTCCGCGAGGAATACGATAGTGCAGGTCAAAAATGCTTGGCACACATAGGGAGGGAGTAAATCGCGAAAACCCGCCCCCTCGCGAATTTCTCGATTTCTATGATAGATATGAAAAAATGTTTTAAATAAAAGTTGTTCAGAATGTAATTTTAATAAAAAAAAGCACTGAACATATCTAAGATAGATAAAAAGTTATTCGCGACTGAAGCTTCACTATTGACAAAAGCTTCAGTCGCGTCTAAGGAAATTAATAAAAATACTAAATGTTAGAAATATTACTTTTTGGCGATTTATTTAGAAAAAGGAGATATTGAATTTCATTTTTAGAGAAAAATTTTTTTTTTTCATTGATTTTTTCATTATTTTTATAAACAATGAATTATTTAAATCATTCCCATTTGGTTCAATGCACCGATCAGCCCGATTTGGGCTCAAAATGTGCAGAATTAAAAATGGAACATTTCATCCATGCAAAGTTTTTTATTATTTTGCACCTGTTTAAAAGTTATACAGGTATAAATATTTGGTAAGTGTAGCAGCTCCACGTATTTAAAAGTACAACAGTAATTGTTGTAATTATTATAGATTACTTTTCATCTATTTATTAATTACTGAATATTTAATCATTAAATTACTTCATTAGTAATGGTCACTAATTTAAATTGACCAATACCAATGGGTATAACAGTAACTTTTTATTATTAATATAATTATTTATATTTTGAAATTTTTAAATTTAATAAGAAAAAAATTTTAGCATGAGTACTTCGTATACTTAATTTAAGTATATAATATACTTGCAGTGAAGAATTGATATACTTGAATCAAGTAACAAGTATTTTTTTTATAATAAAAAAGGATTCATAATGTGAGAACATGGTGTTTAAAGTGTAAAACAGCATTATACTTAGCATAAGTACGCTTTATACGGGATCTCCGTATAAAATACACTTGTGGTAAGTAGGAAGATTCTCAGTGTAAGAAAACTATATTATCAACTGAAGTAAACTTTGTAATCTTCTTCTATTATCTACCTACTTGAGATAAGCAAAATATTTACAAAAATGCAGTAATCGCTATTCTTGGTATAAATTAATATTATATTAGGATTGAGTGATGAAAAATTTAAAATCAAGTTAATGTTATTATGATTGTACAGTACACGTTAAACTTCATTTTGATATAAAATGTACTTGCATCAAAAAATAATTATACTCAAATTGAGTATATTTTGTGTTTGCCGCTAGTATACTTTCTAGCTATCACATTTTTTCTGTCAGTGTAGTGAACATTCATGTTTTAAATTGAATAGTCTAAGTTTTCGTAACTTTAGTAAGTTCAGACGAACTAAATTATACTAACTTTTAAAAATATTTAATGTAGGCAAATGTCAGAAAGAAGATTGAGAGAGCCTGCGCCATAAGGTTATTATTATTATTTTAATTTGTTATGGCTCGGAATACGCCATAAGGATAATTTTTTTAATCCTTTATGGCTGGCCTGTAGATAGATTTCTCCCTAAAAAGTCCCTAAAGTCGAACCAGTGGTGGGGAGCCCGAAAATATGGAAGCAACTGAGGAACTATTATGATTTTCTGTATAACAATTTTTGATAAATAATGACGTACAGTACCGGACATAAATGCTGTTTAATTTTTTGAAGGTTATACATGCAATTTCCCTGTACTGTCCTATAGAAAATCACATAGCATTTACGTCCGGTACTGTAGAATAATTTGGAATAAAATATAAAAAATATAATAGACATAAAAAATTTTAAAAAAAAATTTCTTGTATAACCTCCAAGTCTGTTCTTTCAGTGTAGAGATGTGAATCGGTAATTGACGGGTAAATTTACCGTAAATTACCGGTAAAAAACGCGTCAATGACCAAGCCTGTTTTACCATACCGGTCAGAAAAATGCTGATCTCTGATTGGTTAATACATGTCCAATCACAGTTTAGAATTCCCAACGGCATACAACTGTTTATTTGTTCTATCAGGTATATATCAAAGAATACAGACCCATAGAAGCCCAGGGCAATAGGATTTAAGGCTGGGCTGAAGTCAGAAAGTTTCCCGGAGTTGACTTTACGCCCTCGCGTTGTGCGGCAAAAGGCCGAAGCTTGACATCAACTGAAATTGAGTAGGTAACAGGGAAATCGTTCGAAAAATGATAATTTTCAGGGATGCACTACAAAAAGGGAGCCTTAGGGCACCAAGAAATTTACAAATTTTTGAATAATCTGTTTCGAGCAAGACAGAGCACAGAATATATCTATCTATCTCCGTCTTATTTTTCAGAGAAGACTGCGAGTTCGAACAGTTGACGAGCAAGCACATCCCCCACCCTCTGTTACCAAGCCTGAAGCTTATAATATCTAAACGTAAACAAAGCAAATGAAAATATGTTGGCTCTGTAGTCAGAAGATTCGACATTTATTTTACCGAACGGTGTTCGATTCCAATTGCGGAAAATTTTTTTTTTTTAATTCAAATTGCATGTAATTGCAATTTTATCATGCCGAAAATGAGTTTTAAATTTCAATTTTTATGTAGAATTATTTTTCAATCAATCGATGACAAATGAGACAATATTTGAACAGGGTCATTAACCTTTTTTTGTACAAATACATTGATAATAGCCTTTTCTAACAACTTATTAACAATAAAAAATAGTTTAAACAATCCGCGGCAAGTTCCGACACTTCACCGGCAAGCTCTACCCCCACTCTCTGTGCCCAAGCCTGCAGCTTATAATTTTCAAGCATCTTCACCATTATTGAAACCATAATAGCTCAGTGGTTAGAACACCAATCTTTTATTTTGCTGGGCAGGGTTCGATCCCAGTCATAGGCAATTGTTTTTTCTTTTTTTTGCTTAAGTGACTTTAAATACTCATAAATTAATTCATATATTTGATTAAATTATTCTTCCAATTAATTACGGAAAACAACTTGTTTTTCTGAAAATAAGCTGAGGGTGAGGAACGAGTTACTATGAATTCTCTTTTTTCGAAAGTGTTGTCTTTAAAAGACAATAGGAATTGATTTTGAACTTATATAAACAACCAATTATTGTATTTATATAAAATTTTAATGAAAAAAAAAGGAAAAAAAAAATTGGCTATGACTGGGATTGAACCCTAATCGGTAAAATGAAAGCTTGGTGTTCTACTCACAGAGCTAACACATCATCTCTGACATTATGTTTATGTTTATAAATTGTATAATGCAGGCTTGAGTACGAAGGGTAGGGATAGAGTTTGCCGGCAAAGTGCCGGAAATCCCCGTGGATTATTTCAACTACTTCTAAATATTTCTAAATTGCTTAAAAAAAAGCTACGTTCATATAGCTATAGTAAAAAAAGTGTTTATAACCCTGTTCATATGTTTTCCGACTCGGCGTCGATCAATTACATAAATAATTGAGAAAAAAACAATCAAATCGTTGTAAACAATTACTTTTGGCATGTTAATATTATAATTACATGCAAATCTAACAAATAAAAGAGAAAAAAAAAACTTTTCCATGACTGGAATCGAACCCTGCCCATCAAAATGAAAGACCGATGCGCTAACCACCGAGCTATTATGATTACAAAACATTTATATACGCTCAAAAATTATAAGCTGCAGGCTTGGGCATAGAGAGTGGGGGTAGAGCTTGCCGGGAAAGTGCCGAAACTCGCCACAGATTGTTTAAACTACTTTTCAATGTTGATAATAATATGATTAACTTGTTAATAACATAACATTGTTAATACATGTAAAGATGTATAAGTATAAGTTGTTAAACACAGGCTATTATCAATGTATTTATACAAAAAGAAAGTTTATGGCTCTGTTCAAATATTTTTCGACTTAGCGTCAATAAATTCAATGAATAAAGAGAAAAAAAAATCAAATTGTTATAAAAGATTAATTATAGCATGTCAATATTATAATTACATGCTAATCTAACGAATAAAGTAGAAAAAAAAAAATTGGTTATGACTGGGATCGAACCCTGCCCGGCAAAATAGAACTCTGACGCCCTAACCACATGGCCAGCATAATCTCGATATTAAGTTAATGTATATTTGTTTTTACACTACATGCTTGGATGCGCCGACTTGGAATTGAGCTTCCTTATTAACATTTATACCTAATAAAAATGATAATAATGGATGAGTATATGTATTTGAAGTTATTTGCAGGTATTATATTAATTAATGTTAAATGAGTATCATCATTTTTATTTATCCTAACTGCAATAGTCATCAAAGTGTAGGGCATTGTAAAGTGATACAGTATGTTTACATCACATACATATATTACCCGTACACACACATACAGAATTTACTCGCCAAAATACAGGGCACCATCAGTTCTGGATACGGATTGAGCATTTTTTCAATATGGATGACTGAGGTCATCTGCGAGCATAATGCTGTCACCTATCAGAATTTTTTCAAACTAATTTTCCGGAGAATATCATCTGGAATACACGATTTCTAATTATTTCTAAATTATTCAATTTTATACTATGAATTGATTTTTTTAACATTCAGACAGGTGGCAAGGACTGACGCAAACACGAATTTTGGGCGAAAAACGTATAAAAATGAAATAATTAGTGATTTTTCATCTGAATGATGTGGCCGCCATCTTGAAATTTAAGCGCGGCAAGTCAATTCATAATTTTTTCATTATTCTTTCTAATTTTTTTAATAAAAATATTCACTATATACAAAAAATTGTTGTTTACGTCAGTCCGGCATTAATTCCTCTGTAATTTGGTACCTAATTTTATAGAAATAATTGTAAATTGGCGAAGAAATTAGAAATTTCCCGATCCCATGTATTTGGATAGGGGGAATCAGTCGCCTTTCTGACTTCAGCCCAGCCTTAATGTCGCAGTAGAACGCTCAGTACTAACTGCGACCACAGATGTCGCAGCAGTCCAAATGAGTAGGCTGGAGATGGAGTGGCCAGCAGTCGTTGACCAAACGTCAATCGAACCAGTATTGAGTCAGTATGTAGATGAATGTTTGAATTTTTAGGTGATTTAGATAGCAGTAAACAATGATAACATGGATGAAAAAATTCATTAAAGAAACAACTAGGTAAACCACTAATCAGAGCCAGGTTATATTTCCGAAATTCTCGACTATTTCCAATTAGGATATCGCATTTTAAATAATGCAAATTTCGAATAAATGACAATGGAACATGATTTTTTCATCTTTTATAATTGAGAATTTTTTTAATTATCAACATTGAAGAATAAAAAATGGCAAAATTATGAATATCAGTCTGATGTAGAATTCTGTATAATTAAAATATCGAAAAGTCGGAAATCAAGCTCGCAGGCAATTATGAGAGCGTCCATTTTAGGGGAAAAAGTGCTTAAAACATAACTTTTCCATCTTTCAAAATTAATTACTTTGTCAATTATTAAGATTAAGGAATCAAAATTAGCAGAATTATACAAAATAGTCTAATGTATAATTCTGTATAATTAAAATAATGAAAAGCCGCGAATCAAGCTCGCGGGCAATTATGAGAGCGTTGTATAATTCTGCGGATTTTCATTCCTATTTAACGATTTTAGGAGTATCGATACGTCGGTTGTCGATACATATTAAGATCGATACATTTTTAATTGATTCGATCCGATACAGTGTATCAATACTTTCGACTGTATCGTGAAACCCTATATAGTTTCGACGACCGTTTTGTCGTACGATTGTTGCAGCATTTAGGGGTCATAAAAAACAATATTTTTTGCAAGAGGACAATAAATTTTAGTGATCTCCAGGTAATAATGTTATATATTCATAATCGGTAATAAAACATCTAAGAGTAGTGCCATAACATAAATTTTACACTATTCGACATACCACCTAACCTTACTTACTAGATTGTATACATTTTTCTTGTAGACGAAGTCTAATTAACAAAATATTATCAACTCCTGGTAGAGTTTTAAGAGTGAGACTTTTTTCTAAATTCTTATAATTTTTTATGAATAAGCGGGGAGCCTATTCTTTTTATTATCCATCTCAAAAAGTTGAGAAGTCACGAGTACAGTGGTCTATCTTGCGGTAGAGACTATACTACAGGTAGTTTAGTAACTTTAGGTTAATCGGTCATTTCAATAAAAATGGAACCTGTAAGCAGAACATTCACTATTTATCGTTGAAACAAACTAAAAATAAGATTTATTAATTTTGAAATTTTCTTTTCAAGATGGAAATTGAATACTACCGTTTTGAATGGAAGGTCGGTACAGCACCTATGGATAATGAGGAGAACGTGATGGTAACTTTTTTTTCGAATATTTTTTTAATAAAAATTTTTAGGACAATATTAATATCACTAATTTATTCATGTTAGATCGATGATGCTTATAATATCCACTGCATAAAGAAGCATCCATTTTACGTCACAATTGAATTGCCCCGTACACTTATAGGACTACGACTTATAATCTTCAGTTTGATCAATTCTTCATTACATAGTCAACTCATTGAACGCTGTGAAAAGCATACTAAATCTGATCGATTAACAAAATTATGTCATAAAGCACTCCCATTAGTCATACGTGAAGATCTTTCTTCGGATTACCCTTATAGGTATGCCGAGAATGGGAGTGTTGCAATCATACTGCCACCGCAACAGCAAGTACATGGAATTCCTGTTGCCATCAAGTGTTCATCAAAATGTACTCGAAAACCATTTAGTCTCATGGTATGCGTATTAAATGAAGAATTAGACGTTCCAATAAAAATTCTGCCGATGCACGTTTACGAAAATCGGACGGAATTGATTGATAGCTGACATAGTTCCTACATTTCTGGTGTCAACCGATTCTTGTAAATCCTTTAAGATGTTTTTTACTATTTTTTCAGCCAGTACGCCATCTCTAAAATCAATTTGAATAGACTGTAATCGCGGGAAATTCGCCATTTCTCGTCGTTCACTTAATATTCTAGCTATTTGAGCTCTAAATTCCGTCCGATTTTCGTAAACGTGCATCGGCAGAATTTTTATTGGAACGTCTAATTCTTCATTTAATACGCATACCATGAGACTAAATGGTTTTCGAGTACATTTTGATGAACACTTGATGGCAACAGGAATTCCATGTACTTGCTGTTGCGGTGGCAGTATGATTGCAACACTCCCATTCTCGGCATACCTATAAGGGTAATCCGAAGAAAGATCTTCACGTATGACTAATGGGAGTGCTTTATGACATAATTTTGTTAATCGATCAGATTTAGTATGCTTTTCACAGCGTTCAATGAGTTGACTATGTAATGAAGAATTGATCAAACTGAAGATTATAAGTCGTAGTCCTATAAGTGTACGGGGCAATTCAATTGTGACGTAAAATGGATGCTTCTTTATGCAGTGGATATTATAAGCATCATCGATCTAACATGAATAAATTAGTGATATTAATATTGTCCTAAAAATTTTTATTAAAAAAATATTCGAAAAAAAAGTTACCATCACGTTCTCCTCATTATCCATAGGTGCTGTACCGACCTTCCATTCAAAACGGTAGTATTCAATTTCCATCTTGAAAAGAAAATTTCAAAATTAATAAATCTTATTTTTAGTTTGTTTCAACGATAAATAGTGAATGTTCTGCTTACAGGTTCCATTTTTATTGAAATGACCGATTAACCTAAAGTTACTAAACTACCTGTAGTATAGTCTCTACCGCAAGATAGACCACTGTACTCGTGACTTCTCAACTTTTTGAGATGGATAATAAAAAGAATAGGCTCCCCGCTTATTCATAAAAAATTATAAGAATTTAGAAAAAAGTCTCACTCTTAAAACTCTACCAGGAGTTGATAATATTTTGTTAATTAGACTTCGTCTACAAGAAAAATGTATACAATCTAGTAAGTAAGGTTAGGTGGTATATCGAATAGTGTAAAATTTATGTTATGGCACTACTCTTAGATGTTTTATTACCGATTATGAATATATAACATTATTACCTGGAGATCACTAAAATTTATTGTCCTCTTGCAAAAAATATTGTTTTTTATGACCCCTAAATGCTGCAACAATCGTACGACAAAACGGTCGTCGAAACTATATAGGGTTTCACGATACAGTCGAAAGTATTGATACACTGTATCGGATCGAATCAATTAAAAATGTATCGATCTTAATATGTATCGACAACCGACGTATCGATACTCCTAAAATCGTTAAATAGGAATGAAAATCCGCAGAATTATACAACGCTCTCATAATTGCCCGCGAGCTTGATTCGCGGCTTTTCATTATTTTAATTATACAGAATTATACATTAGACTATTTTGTATAATTCTGCTAATTTTGATTCCTTAATCTTAATAATTGACAAAGTAATTAATTTTGAAAGATGGAAAAGTTATGTTTTAAGCACTTTTTCCCCTAAAATGGACGCTCTCATAATTGCCTGCGAGCTTGATTTCCGACTTTTCGATATTTTAATTATACAGAATTCTACATCAGACTGATATTCATAATTTTGCCATTTTTTATTCTTCAATGTTGATAATTAAAAAAATTCTCAATTATAAAAGATGAAAAAATCATGTTCCATTGTCATTTATTCGAAATTTGCATTATTTAAAATGCGATATCCTAATTGGAAATAGTCGAGAATTTCGGAAATATAACCTGGCTCTGATTAGTGGTTTACCTAGTTGTTTCTTTAATGAATTTTTTCATCCATGTTATCATTGTTTACTGCTATCTAAATCACCTAAAAATTCAAACATTCATCTACATACTGACTCAATACTGGTTCGATTGACGTTTGGTCAACGACTGCTGGCCACTCCATCTCCAGCCTACTCATTTGGACTGCTGCGACATCTGTGGTCGCAGTTAGTACTGAGCGTTCTACTGCGACATAAAATCCTATTGCCCTGGGCTTCTATGGGTCTGTATTCTTTGTATATATTTTCATTTTTATTTGTTTATTAAAAATACTGATAATATTTAATATAAGAAAATTCAATTTGTAGATAAGGATTTTCATTGAGAACTTGGTGCAATGGGGGAGAACAAATCAATATATAAACATTTCTCTGCATTACCTCTGCAACCTAACCAAAAATTAAAATCGTATTCATGTAATTATTGCAAGAAAAAGTATGCAGAAAACATTACTCGCATGCGAAAACATCTTTATAAAGAGTGTAGAAGTTGTCCTCAAGACTTACGGAAACTTTTAAAACCATGTAAACCTCGTAAACGAAATAATTCTCATCTAAACAGCACAGACGACTCATTTACTATTGAAGATTTGAATGAAGCAGACAATAGAGCAAGTACTTCAATGATTTCAAATGAAAATTTACCAAATAATATAAGTGTTTGTAGCAATAACTATAAAAAAAATACAATCGATAGTTTTTGTGATAAAATGTCAAAAAAAGATGAAGATTCTCTACAAGAACTACTTGCAGAAGCGATTTATGCATCTGGTACACCATTATGTATAACAGAAAATCCATATTGGCTAAAATTTTTTAACGCATTACGGCCTTCATTTAATTTGCCATCAAGAAATCAAATATCAAATAATCTTTTAGATTCAGTATTCGTTAGAACACAAAATATGGTTAATGAAAAAATTGAATCTGCTACTACTGTTGGAGTGCAATGTGACGCATGGTCTAATATTCGCAAAGAAGGAATCATCAATTTTATTGTAACAACCCCAGCGCCAGTTTTTTTCAAAACATTTCCAACTGGAACCGAATCACAAACTGCCTTATATATATTTATATTATATTTTTATGATTTATATAATCATTTTAATAATGCATTTAATAATATTGGAAATATTTTTTCGGAAGAAGAAAAGCTGAGCATATATACTTGTTTAGAAAATCGTAAAACTATGGCTCTACGGCCCATACATTATGCAGCTAACTTACTTGATCCTCAATTAAAAGGAAAAAATTTAAATAGGTCAGAAATGGTTGAAGCTCATCAATTAATTATAAATCTTGGTGATAAATTAAATCTAAATAGTGATAAGGTATTCAAAGATTTAACAGATTATGTGTCAGAATCAAGTATGTAGAGTTACGACTACGTTAAGCGAGCAAGTATAATCACTTCAGCATGTCAATGGTGGCAAAGTATTTGCCAAAAATCTTCGTTGAGCAAAATAGCTGTGGCTATATTGACTTTACCTGCAACATCAGCTGCAACTGAGCATGAAGAAGTTGAATTTTTAGAAGAAGAATTTACTCAAGACTAATTAGTGATGTTGATGGAATTGAATCAGTATTAGACTTGTTATTTCCTAATGAAATATGTCAATTATTATGTGATATTACTAGTTGATAGAAACTATAGATTATATGGTTTTATTTTTTCATAAATAATTTACATAAAAGTTAAAAAAGTCAAATTCTTTATAATATGTAATAACGAAGGATTATCTATTTTATAAAAAAAAATGTACCAAAAACTTAACTAAATAAACGTTTATAATAATTTTCAATATATTTATTATTTCTGTCCTAACAGTCAAAAATGTAAAATATTTTTTCTATTACAAATTACAAAATTTTTTTTTCATCTTATAATAATTAATTAGTTTTAAATTAACAAGTGCAAAAAGCAAAATTAACTTAAGCAAATTGGCAAGCAAGTTCGAAAGCAAGCCATTTCCTCGGTAAAAAGCTCATCATATTCATCTATATAGATGCGAATGACCGGTAATTTACGGTAATTACGCTGACCGACGGCTTGACGGTAAATTTTACATTCAGAATTTTTTGACGTCAGAATACCGTCAGATACCGGTAATTTTACGTGGTAATTACCGAATTTTCTATTACCGGTAAATTCACATCTCTAAAAGTTCCTCATGTGCTCTTGTACGTTTGCGCAGTAGCGAAAAACGTGGTAGAAGGGGTAGAAAATCAGTGGTGGGGAGCCCGAAAGCATTGAAGCAATTGAGGAACTCTCTTCTCAGTCCGACTATAGATATTTTTATTATGCATCTACTTCATGATATGGCTGAAAAGTAATTTTTTAATTCTTTGAATTAAATTGTGAGTTTTATTAAATACATATAAATATTTCATTTAATTAAAAATTTTAAAAATGAATCGACTATTTGGCCGTGCTAAACCTAAAGAACCTGGACCTAGTCTTGCTGATTGTATTTCAGGCGTAAGTACTTGAAATTACAAATTTACTCAACTGCACAACATTATGATTAAATGATAATTAAATATTAATTGCGAAATTTATTTTAATTTCTAATTACTATTTTTTGTACAATAAAATTAATTAATAATTTGGAAAAAATGTTTACATAATGAATATTAACAAAATGTAAAGAAATAGTAGATTAAAGGATACAGAGAAAAATAAAAAATTTATTTATATTACTTATTTTTTTTTGTCAATTTGATGAATAGGTTGATAGCAGAGCAGATACAGCTGAAAAGAAAATACAAACTTTAGATCTTGAATTGAAGAAATATAAAGATCAAATGGTTAAAATGCGAGATGGTCCAGCTAAAAATGCTGTAAAAGCTAAAGCAATGAGAGTTTTGAAACAGCGTAAAATGTATGAAGCCCAAGTAGATAATCTCCGCCAGCAAGCTTTCAATATGGAGCAAGCAAATTATGCTACCCAGACATTAAAAGATACTCAAGTTACAATCAACGCAATGAAAGATGGTGTTAAACAAATGCAAAAAGAATTCAAAAATATTAATATTGATCATATCGAAGTAAGTATTTATTATAGATAAAGTTTTATCGAGGAATTTTTAAGAAAAAAGTAACTTGTAATCATTTTCTCTAAAGGATTTACAAGATGATCTGGGTGATATGCTTGAACAAGCAGACGAAGTTCAAGAAGCATTGGGTCGTAGTTATGGAATGCCTGAAATCGATGATGATGAACTTGCCGCTGAATTAGATGCTTTGGGTGATGATTTAGCATTGGATACTGATACTTCTTACTTAGATGATGCTATAAAAGCACCAAATGCTCCTGATAAGGAACCTGGTGCAGCCTCAATACGCAATAAAGTAATAATTACATAATTTATTGATGTATTATTGATTATTTTAATAGATATGTATAATTTGATATAACGATTTACTTTTTTAATCTCTTTTTTTAGGACGGTGTTCCTGTTGATGAGTTTGGATTACCGCAGATACCAGCCAGTTAAATTTTATGTGCATTTTGAAAAATACTTTTATTTTATTATTAATCTAAATTACAGTAATTAAATTATTATTAAAATCTGTCTGGGTGATTTAGAGGTATCAAAAGCTTTTAAAAAGTTTCTGTAATACTAATGCTTAAAGTATAACATAGATTAATGTATTACATGTACATATTATTATTAATTTTATTATTGTATTTTCAGCAAACTTAAACATAAAGTTTACTATATTTTAAATTATAATTATTAAAATAATTTACTTAATTATTGAATATTGTTTTATCAAAATTTTCAAAAAGTATATAATCGTCGAGTTTCAACATATTTTTGATTTTCTACTTCTTGATAACGATCATGAATAAGTTGAATGCTTTCTTGTGCTTCACCAAAATGTTCCAAGTCAAATCCTTCAACTTGAGTATAATGATGCAAATATGCCTTGCGTTTATACAATTTATTAAATTGATCAAGACGATTTTTAAACATAGCACGCATGAAAGTAGAATTAGAGAGACATAAAAGAGATTTTGGATGACCTGTTGGTGGTATCGCACAAAAACCAATTTTTGTTGCTTCTTTACTCCAAGGTGTAAACTTTTTATTTTTCTGAAACCTTCAATTAAGTTTAATAGTATCTTATTTTATAAATAATTTATTACATCTATTACTTAACATTTGTTTACATACTTTTTAATATTTTTTTCTAAACTCTCAATAGAACAATCACCTCGGGAAATATATGCTACACCAATTATAGATGATTTTGGGTGTAAAGGATCTAATTTTAACAATTGGTGAGATCGAGACCAAACATTTGTAAAAAGTTCATCTTGCAACCTGAAACAAAATCGACTTATTTAAATATTATTATTACTGTGAATTATTAATAAATTACCATAATTACAAAATATTTAATTAACGAACTGATAATTTTTAGAAACTGTTACTGTTGAATTCATATGAAGTGGACTAATGCTGCTAAATATATAATTTAGCTGAGGATACGGTACTAAGTTTGTTGCTATATCATTCATGTCCGTATTCAAATAACCTGGGAATCGAGCTCCACTAAGTGATAATGAAAATTAAGTTTTTTAACACCAAAAAAAATTTTACTCAGCTATTAAAAATTTACCTAGTTAAATGGAGAAGCATATTTACAATAATACTGTTCATATCTTTGAATGGTTTCTTAGAGATATTGTGACTTGATTGATTTTTCTGAAATTTACAAATATCTAACAGTGCATCATTGTCGATAGGGAACACACAAGTAGCATTTTCTATTAGTTCTTTTGTTCCTAATAATACATTATAAGGTGCTGTAATAACATCAGAAGTTTCTGTTGGATATACACTTGATAGAAATTTATTAATATTTGGATAGTCGTCTTCTAAAAAATTTAAAGTAGCCGTTCCCAAGCCTGAACCTGTTCCTCCACCAACAGAATGCATTAGTAAAAATCCATGAAGACTGTCACATTTTTCTGCACTTTTTCTTATTACATTTTGAATTTTATTTTTATATAATCTTCCATGAGTATGATAGCCGACAGCCCTAAATAATTTTATTTTAGAAAATAATTTTTTTGTTAGACTTATTTTTATTTACCAATTATTCCCTGAACCAGGATAATTTGTTATTGTACAGGATTGATCAAAGAGATTTCTCAAAGGACCTCTTTTAAATCTTGATACAACGCTATCTTCCATATCTATCAAAATTGCCTGAGAAATAAAATATTGTTCAATACAACTAATTAAGTGAAATTGATAAAATTTTTAGTTTATGTAAATGGTGTTACTCTGGCTTTAACTTTGGCTAAATTTAAATCAGCAATATTTTTATAAGAATGATTTATTTTGTTATCAGGTACGTGAAAAAAGCTATGAAAAGCATCCGTTACATTCTTCTCATCATTTTTTATTGTTCTTATTTGATTAAATGTCTCATTAGATTTTAATATTCCATATTCACGTAAAACTAAAGGCCAAAATGTACTTCCAATTTGATTTCCACATTGTCCGACTGGAAAACGAAATTTTTTAAATAAACCATGCTTAACTTTTACGGTTAAATTTCAAATTTTTCTAATTACCTTGAATACTAATAAATTCACTCATAATATACGAGTATGTAAGTAATAGTAATATAACTTTAATATAATTACAAAGTAGAGTATGAATACACTTAATATAAATATTTAAAATGAAATTCAATGTTATTACAATTAAACTGCGGATATTTATTGAATATCATTTATTTACCCATATCCCTTCTTTTTTAAACATACCACTTTCAAACGGATTAAAACTTTTGTATGTATTTTTCGATTCACCGCAAGGTTACTTAAAACAGCTTTTTTGTTTGTTTATAATTGACTGTTTTTAATCTCGATATATTAAAAATATTTTTGTAGCACAATACTTTTGGCTATCAAAATTTTTTTTATCTTTTTAAGTGATCTCGACATTTCGCATTTTATCATTTGTAAGAATATGTTTTTAACACTAATGTTGTGGCAGTGTAACGATGATTTTGATCCTGACGTGTTTATCATAATTTGAGACTTTAATAACTGAAAAATTTAACAAAATGAATTTTTATGCATTCTGTAAATTTTATTTATTATTTATATGCACGTTATTAATTTATCATGTATCAACACAAGCTACTCCTACTGAATCAAGTAAGTTTTTGTATTATTGAGGTTAGCCTAAATATTTTACATTATCCATACCGGTATTTGAATATTATTTCATTGAAATATTTCAAAAATATAATGTTTTTTTTTATAGTTCATTATTTACAACCCGGAGATACCATAGAAAATTTCGCTCCCGGATTACGTATATTTTGTCATACTGCGAAATCGAAATATTTTATTTATTTATGGAGAGTATTAAAAGTAATGTCCCTATTTATTTTTTAGTTTTATAGCAATTGACATTTTTATGATAAATTGAATTTTAAAAATTTTTACAGATGAATCTCCATACAAATTTAGACAATTACGATTTATATGATGGTAAAAGTCCGAGTGAAGTAATTGAAAAACACGATGTAAATCAACGATCTTGGAAATTTAATTGGTTTAATACAAAGAAAAGCAAAAGTTTTAAAATTAATCCTCTTGAAGATATTTGTTTAGGAATTTATACTCATCCTTATATTGATCATCGTTATAAGATATCGATGGAATTAATAAGTAAGTCATCATTGATAAAACCAACTAATAATACTAAATAGATTTCAATAAAATAGCTAAAACATATATGAGATTATGATATTTTTTATCACTTATTTTATCAGAATCTATGGTTTTTGTGAGTTTGTTCATTACAATTATCCTTTTATTTTTTTTGTATCAATAGTTGATGTTATTCAGGTACACTTTTTATAATAAATCTAATTTAAAAAAATTTTATTAATCAACAGAAATTGATGTAACTCAAGTGTTGACAACGATAGCAGGAATTATTCTTTTTTGGAGTGCTCCTAAATTAAGTAGAAATTCATTATTTTATTATTTAACTGGCATTTGTTTAGGAGTCACTTTTTCACTACTCATATTAATATGGTTTGCTGCAAGACTGTTTAGTCAAGTAAGTTTTAATTATTTTTTATTAAAATCATTGTAAATTTTAAGTCAGTTTATTTATTTGTAATTATCATTTTTCTTATAGGGCAAAACAATGTACTTAATTGCTGGAACAGGCTGGCTAATGAGCACATGGCTTGCTCGAATAGTATGTGATAATGTACAGATGATATTAATGCAGTACAGAGAATATGTTATTGGCTACTTTTTATTATCATCGTTAATTAGTTTTCTTATTTGCTACCGTATTGGACCCGTCACAAACACCCGAACTAAACAAATTATTCAATGGTTTCTTCAAGTAATTTTTAATGTTAAATAAATTCTTCCATGATAAACAAATCATAAATATTAACGATTATTAATTGAAATTATTAATATATTAAGAGTTATTGGTTATTATATTGCCAATTATTAATATAATTTAAGTACTAGTCTAATATATTAATGATTGGATCAATTTTAAGATGTCTTATCATGAAAGCATTTATATTAGATTAAGTAGTCAAGCAGCTTTCTTTTATATTTTTTTAAACTAATACAAGATCATTGTAGGTTTCAGGAATGGTGATGATTTATTTTAGCAGCTACTTCAGAGAAGCTTCCATTGGATTATGTATTTTATGTATTTTAATATACAATTTCCCAACTGTTATGTATCATAGAAGTAAAAATTATTGGTATGCTTAATAATTCATGAAGCTTTTAACATTTTTATCCATAAAAATTTTATTATTAATTACAACATTATATAAAGAAATTGTTATTTTATATGAATTAAATAAAATTATATTTTTAATACATTTGTAATGAATTTATATGTTATTTATTATTTTAATAGGAGAAAAATGTTTCCAAAGCGTCAGAAACTTTTAACAGAAGACGAATATCGGATACAAACTATGATAGAAACGTCTAAGGCTTTGGGAGGTTTACAAGCATATTGTTCCAGTCCTGAATCTAATCCTTGGAAGATTGTGATGCGCTTAAAAGATCCCGTGAGGTAATTACACTCAGCAACATAACTTTTAAAATACCTGTATTATTTAATTTACATATTGATATTTATTTATTAACTTTTTTATAATTATAATTAGGTTTGCTAGATTTATGGAAGGAGAGTCACACTTATCTGAAGATGAAACAATGCAACACGATTTAGAAATAACAAAAATGATTGAAGAGTGTGAATATACTGAAGACGAATACGAGGAAAATGATTGAATTTGTTACATATTTTGATTGAAAATGACTCACATAATTTATTTTGATTTTATTAGTTAATTATTATTTCTCATGAATCTCAATGATTTTATTGATAATTATAAAAATTTGAAATGTGAATTTACAATTAATCACTTATACTTAAACTTATATTTACAATTATTGCTTTCATTATGTTATATTCAAACTAAGAAATATTTCCATGTAAGTATAAAATATTTTTATCAAAGTCATGTATAAATATATATTATAAAAATTACTGTTTGTTACCATTAATATATTTATATAATAAAAAATTTGATAACTTTTGATAAACTGTTGTTTTTTCTTAATAGATTCTATAGATTTTTTATCGTAATCGAGAAATTTTTTTACTCTTATCATTTTCAATGGCAGGTGGTGGTGGTTTAGTACTTTGATGCCGATTGTAAACGCTGAAAGTAATATAATTATTTATAATCCATTTCAAAGATAAAAATTTAATGATGAATTCAAGCATCTATTCAATGAATCAAGATACTAACTATTTATATGTTTCGGAGCGCAAATAATCCATTACATGAGATATTCCCACTTGTAATTGATCTCCAATAGGAGTCACCCATGGATTGAACTCCATTCTAAATACTGCTTTGTTGCTAACTAAATCCAGATTACCTATTTCTGGCGGCAGGACCGTTAAACGATTACCTTGAATATGAAGCTCCCGAAGCCGGCTTAACTCACCAATTTCTTTTGGAAGTTCTATTAAATCATTTTCTCTCAAGACCAACTGAAATCATTAAATTAAAAATTTTATTTTTTTAAATTTATATTTTTCTAATAGACAGGAATTCTTGGTTTCTTACAATTTGTAGGTTTTTCAATTGACCTATTTCAGGTGGAAGATATTCAAAGTCATTATCGGCCAAATAAAGAGCCCGCAAAGTTTCTATAAAATGAATAATAAATTATTAATGAGCTATGATAGAGTAGAAAGACAATTTTCAGTATAAAATTTTTATTGAATACCCATCATAAAGAAATTTCCGGGAAGGTTTTTCTCATTTAAATTATTGTAAGTCAAATCTAAAACTTCAAGGACAGGAAAAGCACCAAAACCTCTTGGTAAAGCATCCAATCGATTCATCCTATGATAAACAATTAATGATAATGGTTAAATTAAAAAATACAAGTTTTAAATGTTAGTTTTTAACTAAATACTTGACTTAAATTTATTTATTTATTCAAAAATCCAATTAAAGTCAATTATTTATAATTGTATATCGAAATTGTTAACAATTTGAAAACAAATAATAAATAAAAATAACGAACCCAACATTTAATATTCTTAATTTTGGCATTTGAGATAATGAAATTGGCAACTCTGTAATGTGATTATTGAAAAGATTCAATATTTCCAAGTTCATAAGATTTGCTAGTCCAGGTGGTACCATTTGAATTTTATTGTGACTAAGAGTTAACCTGGTGATATTCAACATATTAACTGCAAAATAAAATATAATTATATTAAGTAGTAACTACATTATTATCACAGAAGAACTTTAAATTATTTAGAAAAAAAGTGTATTATTTAATATTTTTCACAATAAAAAAAAAATTATGACATAAAGTTTTTATTAAAAAATTCTAAATAATATTTTTACAAATATTGATAGTATTGCATGATTCAAACGATAGATTTGAAAAATATTTATGAGTTTTGTTTAAAAATGGAGTGTTTACATGTTTCAGCATTAAGATTTTTAAAAAATTTTGAAAGATATCATTTGATTGGTATGTTCAATCCAGAATATTTTCATAAAAATTAGTCATAAAATGACAAAAATAGATCCTAGTAATGTAACTACGCCTTCAAAGTTTTACGACAAATAATTTTAGATGTTGCGTTGATTCTAAAAAAATGTTCAGAACAAGTTACCAAATTTGGTCCGATAGCTCATGAACTTACAAATAGGGAATGGAAACAAATACTTACGCAATCCTGGCATCTCCTCGAAAGTAGTAATATTTTTATCAGCCAGATCAAGTTCAGGATTTTGCATTTCTCGAGCTTCATCGAGAATCTTTTTCGTCTTTGACATCTTGGCAGTAGGAATACACGATACTGGGGTTTGGTTCATTGCGCGCGCACTTATATGGATGTATAAAATATACACAAACTAAGATTATCTCGTTTGTCTGCTCTTTTCCTCGAGTTGCACACTCTGCGTTCCGTTACACACTGCGCTCTATTAAGTCCCGTACATCAAATATTATACAAGCGTAGGATAAAAAACTTGCGACATTTTTAACATAAAATTTTATTTTCCGATGGAACAGTTTTTAAATAATTTTTTTTTAACTCACTTATTTCAAATAGTATATTGGTATTTCGAATTTTTGGCATGTACATTCAATTAATTATACATATAATTAAAAAGTCCTGAAACAACATTATTAACAATTCATTTATAATTTAATAAAAAAATTTAGAATTACTGGCTATACTATTCTAATTGTGCGTTTATTTTCATTCATTAAATAGAAAATTGAATTTTTTTTTAACATCGTCGTCAAGCTTTTGCGATTCGTTATTTTTAATTATGAATAAATTCTTTAAAAGCACAGGCTAATTTTATTAAATTTTACTTATCATTCAAATGTAAATAGTTGGTAAGTTTAAAAATGATTAAAAATTATTTTCGTCGCACCCGCGCGAACTTTTCACGCAGGTATGGCTGATACTAATACCTTGCAGGTTACCCGGCAGAATAAAATAGACTAATTTTCTCGTAATATTACCCTACCCTACTCTGTTATATTTCTTCTTTCCTAAACATCTTTACTCGAAAATCATTTTATTCCGATTTTACTTCAATTTCACACATTTTTAAATTGAGTTAAAATTTTAGTTTATTGATTTTATTTGTAAAATTTATGTTAGTTTATCAATTAATTTGTTATCAAAAGGTATTAATATTTGAAGCGAATTGAACTTAGAAAATCTAATTAAAATATCATTAAAATTTACCAACCTACTTCGATTATTTTTGACCCAATGTTATTATCATTGACATAAGAACTAATTCTCATTTTCTTTGATGATATCTGAGTGACAATACTAAATTAACAATATCTTATATGTATAAGTCCTTCTGAATGATAATATCTAAAAGTTGTTTGTGTGATTCCTATATTCACATTTGATCATTACGTGTATTAATTATTTTCATATTTCATATATTTTTCAGAAAAACAAAATATTAATTGATTTATTAACATCTCATAAAAGCTTCTTAACCGTTTTTGGAAATTTAATTTCATTGTAAATCACTACAAATATAAACGAATTACACATCTAAATCATGAATAAATACTTAAAGTATTCATTATCTATTTAATGATTTTCAAATCGTTAAAAAGTTGAAAATATTTTAACAATTTTAAAAAGTAGGTCCCACCGAGATTTGAACTCGGATCGCTGGATTCAGAGTCCAGAGTGCTAACCATTACACCATGGAACCTTGTCGAGGGATGATGTTTCAATCATTTTGATTCGGAAATCCAAGAATCAATTATAGTGTTTTCTTCGAATTATCCTAATAAAACTGACAGTCTTTCACAAGAGCATGCAATAAAGTAGCATTTTCGAAAGATTAGTACTTAAAAGTTGAAAATAAAACGTAATTGATTCTGTTGTTATCCAAATGGTTTAATTAATTTAATTTAGTAAACTAAACTAGTGCTTCAAATAAACACACAGCATCAACTTTTCGTTGACATGTTTATTGGTTCCATATTTATATGAAAAAAAGTGATGAAAGATATAAAAAACGATACGAGAATTATAATCAATATCAGTTTTATTTTATTTCAGTTCCATATTTTTATTCTTTATTTATTAGTTATCATTAAAAATTGTACGGTATAACACCTTTAAATAAATTTACACTAAAATAACAATGAAAATATAAAAAAATTATTCTCCTAATTTTATTTATTAATTACTAACAATTATTCTATCAGACATTTTTCACAAAGTTTCATTTTGAAATAAATAAAAAATTCTTTCATCTGAACTTTATTTAATATTAATGGAAATAAATGCGAAAAATGTAAATTTATGATATTTTATTGATTTTCTTCGTTGAAAAGAAGAGTAAAGTTCATATGCTCAATGATGGTCTTTTTTTCCTATCTTTAGTTGTATTTTTACCAAATATGGTACCTAATACTCTAGAAACTGAATGTACGCCAAGTTTTCGTCTAATTGGTAATGCTCGGAGGAGTTGAACAGATCTGGCTTCTCTCAACAACCCTTGAAATGCTAATGCGGCTCCTGCTGGACTTTCTGCTGCACTCACTTCATAAAATTGACATCCATGAGCCAAAGAAAGTTGCTGACCTTCATCAACACATACTTCTCTACAAATGATAAACGAAAATATTATATTTTAAAAATTAAATAAAACTTTTGTAAATCAATAATTCATACCGTGCATGATCAAGATCACGTTTATTTCCAAGAAGTAATGTTGTAAAATACGAAGGAAGTCGGAGATCAGTAAGTTGCTTAAGCAATCCTCTTGCCTCTTGAAAACTTTTTTTACATGTTACACTATATACTATAACGAACGCATCACCCCATCTTATGTGTGAATATAAACAGCCATTATCCTGGAATGAAACAGATTTAAACTACATATAATATTACTTTACTGTATACAAGCTTTGGAAGGCTCTGAGAAACGATAACTACCAAAATTATCACTGTTTAAAAAATCATTTTAATGATGATATCAGAGTTTTGAAAAATCTGAGTGACGTAAAAACAAAGATGAATCCCAGTAACCAAATCAAAGTAAGACTGATGACAAATTTCAATTTTTTAACCTACGTTTATTTTATTTAAGCTAGGTGTTATTTTAGTTGTAATTAGCTTTTTTTGCATGTTCTCGCTTGTGCGAACGCTCTTCCTCTTAGCGGTAACTTTCTTAACCATACCGTGTTCTACATTGATATCATGAAGACATTATTTTACTAAGCTCTAATTATCAATTTTATGAAGGAAAGAATACATAAAATCGAATTTAATCAATTGTAGATGGAAAGAGGTGATTATGCAGTTTTGAACATGAATCAAAAATTGATTTAATTTTCTTTCACTGGAATATTTCTGGAACACTGAGAATAAAATCAAAGTTTTTTACAATTCAAAGATAAATTTTTGAACCTTCGAATATATGTTAGAACAGCATTGGAAAAAAACTCTCTTTTGTTTCACTAAATAATTTAATTTATATTTACGCTGTAAAGTCGACAGGTAAATCTATAGCCCCTATATATTGAAATAAATGAGACGAACTTTGTTTCAAAACAATTAAAATATACCTAGTTTTAGTTTATAACAACTAAAATGTTATTACAATTTAAAATATCTGATGAAAAATAATTAATATGATATTTACCTCACAGCGAGAGGTGTCTAGTATTTCTACTTCCATCATAACATTGTCTATGTTGACATTGTGTCTGTAAAGAAAATCTAAAAATGAAAATAAGATTACTAAAGAAATTTATAAAAGATAAATTTTTCATCAAATCAAGTTATTAAATAAATAATTATTTAAAAAAATTTTTATGATATTTATCATTTTATCAAATAAAAAATTAATTTTTTTTATTTTAAATAATGGACAAGGATGAATAAGGCTATCTATTTATCTATCTAAACAATATATAAAACCTTTTTTCACATAAATATAAATTATGCATCAGAGAACATAAATTAGAAATAAAATTTAAAAAAACTGATAAACAACTATCAAGTTATTTTATTGTTTAATTAATACTTATCATATATTGGCAAATTATTAACTTTTCTTACTATGAAATGATATAAAATAATTTTTTAGAGCTTTCATACTTTTATTTTATTTGTAATACTAACCACTTGTTGAACTGTATTCACCAATGTATCGCCTTGTTAGATACCGGACTACAACCGCTGCAAAAAAATATTAATAAATATGGACTGTTGAATACATTAAGAATATGTGAATAATTTTTTAATTTCTCTTATTAAAAATAAAATATTATTAAACCACATAATATCTATTATTCGTTTACTAGGTTTTAAATGTGTAAATATTGAAGCTCTTTGAAATTTAATTTGCAAATGTACTGCAAGACATTACACACCAGATTTTCCCACTCTTGGACCACCAAGAACAACCACTTTAAGTCTGTTGACGTTTGTCATCATTTGGTGATTTTCAAGTGTCATTGGATCGAACACTTAAATACATTAAAAAAGTATATTTCAATTCATAAAGCTCGACTACAGTCGAACATGTCACTACATTCATATGGCTCTATCAGAAATAATATCACATACTAAAGAAAACAACGGAGATTGTTTAAACACGTGAAGCATAATCATGAAAACACATAATATAAACATTTTTACACTTATTTTTATTTTTATAATATCAAAAAATTGATCACATTACTAACGTTTAATTATAACTTAACTTGAAATTCCTCACTTTTATCATAAATACACTTTTTAATGATTTAATGAAAATTTTTTTAGGATTCCCTTATTTGAGAATGCCAATTTGTAATCACACTATTTCAAGTACACTCATTTTTTTCATTAGTAGCGTTTGTTAGGAAGTCGAATTTGATGATATATTAGTGAGTAAATCGTCAGGTTGTCCCATCAGTTAGGCGCCACACCGATTTAAGATTCTCTTTCTCTTTCATTCTTGCTAAACGTCTCGTATATTGCTGATGTTTCACTTTCTCTATCCACTTCACCTTCTTTAAAATACTTATCACTAACAATATATACTTCCAAATATTAAAATATTGAAATGTTTTTCGATCAATATTGATCATTGGCAGTGTAGATGCTGTAACAATCCTGAAAAACAAATTATTTTTTATTAATAAAGTTTTATAATATAGAAAATTATTATAATAAATTAAAAGCAGATGACATATTGCATTTATATTGTCGTAAAAATGAAACAGACTATTTTTAAAATACATCCGTTACATGTCTAATGAAAAATATATTAAGAGTAATAAAAAAGAAATAAATTTCAATAGTAGGTATAGAATGTCGAAATATTCGAAGCATCAAGTACGTACAATACATGTCGCAATATTTATCTTACACATGAATGATTTTTATAATATTCATATTGCTTTTAAGAATATAAGAGTTCCTTTCCTCTAAATGTATAATTTTAATAAGAAAATGACCAATTAATTTTTGAAACTATTAAATAAAAAAATTCATTTTATTCACCTTATTCTGTTATTATTTTTAAGTAATTATCACTGATCAATTTCACGTTTTGTTAACTTTTATTTTAAAACAATTATTTTATAATAATTTATCCATATGATTAATTAATATTAATATAATCATAAAATTAAAAAATTAAAATTGAAGCGATTATCGATGATCAAATTGATCATTGTAATATATACAAGTTCAACAAGTGAAAATACACAACTACTCACATTGCAATCTTATCGGCAAGTGTGAGCATTTGAGTAAGCACAAGCGTAGTAGAGACTGGTGCACCATCTAATATGTACTACTCACTTCTTGTTACATGCATGCAGAGAGAATCATCTCTGCTATATGCATTAAGTTGGTGCATCTTTAACACCATTATTACATCTCACCAATAATATCATTTATAAAAAAATTTTTACACTCGTTTATATTTATTTTTATATTCAAAATCATATAATATTTACTTTTGCAGCAAACAACAATTACAGTACAATTTGATGAGTGATTTTCAATTATACTTTAATCATTTCTAATGTCTAGTCTTTATTATAATGGCAGTAATATTTATAAAATGTATGGCATTTCAAGAATTATCATAATTTAGTAATTCATTTATGTTATTGACATCGCAAATTTAAGTATTGGAAAGGGAATTTTGCTTAAGAATATTGGAAATAGATAAATTTTATTTTACAAAATAAAATACATTATAATATTGGAAAATATTTATTAATTGAATTTTAAAAAAAACATATTAAATTATATCATCGTTGATGAATATATGTAAATTGTTATTCATTTTTTAATAGCAACTGCTTTTGTTTAGCCAAAAATACCAATAATTTGATATTTTTAGTTGCATATCTGTAAGTATTCTTATTAATTTATGATTACTCTAAAAATGGTACATTGTAAATCTATATATATTTATATGTACATATATTTGTGTATATATATCCATAAAGATAAATCACATATATGTAACAATTTTTTAAATTTCATTACTGAACAGGTTAGTGTAAATAACACCAAGCAATTGTTGTAAAACGATTGATCTGCCATCTCCTGTCGATTTTATGAGAAAAAATTATGAGTAAATAAACATCATACTTCAAAACTGAATTTTCGGAGTTTATCAATCAACTCCAATTATGATGAAACAAAGTAAAATTCAAATATTATTGTCAAAATAGATACATAAGATAATGAACTTAAGTAAAAAGTATATTATAAATGCATTTTTAAAAACACTTTATTATATGACTTCTCTAAAGCAAATTAGTAAAGACATTAACTGATTAAATGATTTAGAAGTAATAAAGAATCTATCAATCCTACTGTCCAGTAAAATCATCAAAATAAACATTATATATAAAATAAATATGTAAAAAATAACTAAATCTCAATACAGATAATTTAGATAATTTATAGCTTGATTTCTGAAATTAAATTGAAAATCAATAAACTATTTCTGCTCACTTAAACAATTATAAATTTACAATCAAAATAAAATGATACAAATATAGTTCTTCGACACATATTTGCATACTGAAACCAACTTTTAGAACATTAATTCTATAACTAAGATTATTGTTGGTGATTTAAGAAGGATTACCATGACAACGTAAATAAATTATTTATACTTGCTTTCTACTTTGAACTGATTAATTAAAAAAGTATTTATATTCATGTTAAGTGTTCATATTTAAAATTATGTCTTTATATATTTCTTCTGAATTTTATAAAAAAAGTGGTCTGCTAAAGAAATATGATATTTCCATTGAACATCTATCTTATGAATATCTTGATAAATGTTCAGATGCTGAAGAAATAGAAAAAATTATTATCATTTTAAGGCAAATTAATGATAAAGAGCAGACTATTTTCAGTATTAAAAATTATTTTTATCTCATTTCTTATTCGTTCATTAGATCCGGTGAAGAAGGGTATTATCCTAATCTTATTGAATATGCAGAAAAAAAACTAGAAAAAATACATCCACAAAACAAAATTTTATGGATACCTCGATCCATCATAAAAACAGATAAGTTGAAGCATAATGAAAAATTGGAGTTAAAAAATGATATAACTGATTGGATACAAAAAATGTATTCAATAGAAAAATCTTTAGGCCATGAAAATGCTATAGACACGATATGGTCAATTATATATCCTGATGTTAGATCAACTAAACAAGTAGAAATATTACAGAAAATTAAAAAAAAATCTAAAATAAACCGTATAAAATTTTGTGACTACAATTCATGGGATAAATATGATGTTCATGTTGAGATAAAAAAGATGGATTTAAAAGTAGATCAAAAGTGTGTGGAAATGAAAAGAAATTTAGAGCAAAGAAAAAATATTATAATTACACCAATACATATAGATTTTAATTTAAATGGTATGTAAATAAATAATTAAAAATAGTAATATTTAATCAGATAAATATGATTAATAATTATAGCAAGTTTGTCCGGGATTGAATTGAACCAAATAGCAGAACAAGAAAAGTGGAAAGGAAATGAAGCATTTAAAGTTGGAGATTATCAAGAAGCGCTACATTTTTATAATTTTTGTTTACAAATGAATGCTTCCAACATAAATGGATATAATAATAGAGCAATAACATGTGAGTTTCATTATTAAAAATATTCTTTCCATAATAAATTAATTACTCCGAGAAGGAACAAAAAATTATATATATGTATATAGAAATCCGCCTATATATCTTTATCGCCTCCGCGTTTTGGAGTAAAATTATTTCATTTTTTTCAAAAAAAAGTAGGTATCATAAACTTTAAATTGTGTGCTGTCCGATGCGGCCGCAGGCCGCATCATTTAAGAAAAAATAATCACCCTGCAAGTACAGTGTACCAAGTTACAAAAATTTAGTTAGGTGAGGTTAAACATAGAAAAACCTATTTACCTCCGTTTTGGAAGCAACTATGTCGCCAAATGAGTTCAGAGCGTCATTTCAATATGTTGATACGAAGGCAACAGAGGCATATAAGCGTATTTATATATATATATATATATATATGTCTGAGACTCTAGTCTAATATATTAATAAATTTAAACAATAATTATTTAAATATTAAATTTCATTACATGAGTTTGTGGATATTGAATAGTTTAGTTTAGATCTGGTCACGTCTAATAATATTGACTTTAATTGAATTAACAATTATATAGTTTCTATCAATAAAAAAAAATTTTTGAATAATTAATTTCTCATGTGATTTTACGTGACAGTCATCAAGTTAGAGAAATACGAGGAAGCGCTAGAAGATTGTAATATTGTTTTGAAAATAGAACCAACAAATATTAAAGGATTATTAAGACGTGCATTAGCTCTTGAGAAGTTAGGAAATAAAGACCAGGTATCTTTTTACATTGTAATTATTAAATTTAAATTTTATCTACTTGAAATGATAGAGTAATAGAATATTTTTTTTTAGGCAATCGTTGATTACATACATCTGTTAAAGTTTCAGCCGACAAATAACAATGCGATGGAGGCTTTAAAAAGATTATCAATAAAGAAAAAACAATAAATTGGTAATTTATCACAAGAATACATCAATTAATATAATAAATAATGAGAAATATAGTTGCAGGGTATATGAATATATATATATATATATATATATGTCAGTTATACAAACTGAAATTAATAGAGCAGAATTCAAAATTTTTCATCACCATATTCAAACTGTTTATTAATAAGAAGAATATTTGTTTTTATCCAAGTAGAATAAGTATAAAGTATAATTATTACTTTTTTAAAAATAATTTTTCAACTCTTTGCAGTCTAACAATAATCTAAAGTATTATCGTTATAAAATAATTTTATTTTCTATTCAAAAAGTATTATTATTAGTATTGCCTTAATTTTATTTCTATTGTGTCTTTTCACTTGAGTTGTTATTAAATTGAAAGTTTTTAAAACTCTACACCAACATTTAATCAATGTAATCACCCAAAAATTTAATAATACTGAATTGGTAGGGTTATTTATTTATAACATTTTCGCTCTTGAACAAAAGCTCGATCATTTAATTACAGCGTACAAGAAGATAATTTTTTACTTTTTGGAGCAAGATTTCAATATAAACCCAAACTTTTTTAAACGTTTATAAAAATATTGGTAACGTTTGGAGCAAACAGCAAAAGTTAAACTTTCAACTTTTCTGCGATTAATATCAAATAATGTTTTACAAATTATTCATTTAAAATATTTACTGAAGTCTTTTTAAAATTCATTGAAAGCTCATAATTATTTATCCGTAAATAAGAAGAATTTTTGTTTTTATTGCGAAGACAATTCGGTAACCGTATTGTAAAACATTAATTAGATGATATGTAATTGAATTTTTTTTTTTTGTTTCGATTTAATTGAATTTTTAATAACAACAGTTGTTTTTTATTGAGGAACTTTTCAGCATCTTTTAAAAAAGTTTTAACAGTTATAGCACGTGGCTTACTTTTAATATAAGCTTGTCTTAAATTTTTTATTATTTTTTGTGCATTTTTTAATTTTTCCTCTAAAATGGTTAATTTTTTATTTAATAAATTAATATTATTATAAGTTTTACTTATTGGGGTGGTAACTTTTAATGGAGATGTTGAAGACATTCTATTAGATGGAGTTGAAATGCTTGTCAAAGGCGTTGAAAAATATGCATTCAAATTTGATTTTTCTAATATTGATGAAGTTCTGTACGGAAGTAAGCTCATTGAAGAAGTAGATATGTTATTTACTTCAATATAATTGTCATTTTTACTGTTGTTATCATCATAGAGCATGATACGTGGTAAAGCATTGTGATATAATCTTCGTCTATGTCCAGGTTGGTTAACAATGAAACAATTTGGATCAAAATGTTCTGAACATAATCGCTTTTGATACAGTTGTTCCGGATTTAGGTCAAACAAATCGTTATTGCCACTCCGAATGATCCATTCTGTAGCAATACTATAAACAGAAAAAAATATATGAGATATTTGGAATTAAAAAAGAAAAAAACATTTATCTGTTTGCAAAAAATAAGTTTACCTTTCACTTTTTGGAAAACGATGGAAAGATAAATGTGGCGTTTTTGATGATGAATTTCTACAATTAGAAAATGCACAGATACTTCTACTAGGCATTTTTATACATGAATGCGAATTTTGTAAGGTAACAATCATTTTCTCTAAAAATTATTTTAGAAAACCTGTTGGAAATAGTTTGCATTCATCATTTAAATAACAATAATGTGATTTTTGAAAGAAATATATACAGAGTAATTATTTCATTATTAATAGATAGCAACACATTTATAGTCGAACTAAGAAAAGAGTTCTTCAGTTGCTTCAATGCTTTCGGACTCCCCACTACTGATTTTCTACCCCTTCTACCACGTTTGTTACTACTGCGCAAGCGTACAAGAACACATGAAGAGCATTTAAGGAACTCTCTTCTCAGTCCGACTATATGTATATAGGTTTACTTTTTAACCGGCGGTTACTATAGTCGAACTAAGAGCGTTTTCCATTTAGAAAAAAAAGTCGACACAGTGCAACACAGTGTCGACCATACTATAGCAAAAACCTAATGCCAACTAAAGCTTGGTAACTTCAATACTTTCATTGGCAACACTACTTTTTCACAACGACCAGCAAATTAATGATTGACTTTTAAAAAAAATAATGGATAATACAGGTAAATTGAGAAAATTATCAGATATAAAAGTTTTTCGTTATGAAATTAAGGTAGTATCTTTTATTATTTACACAATGCAATGTTATGTAAATGTCAATGTATCTATGATCTCAAAATTCTCATTTTTTTTTTTAATTTTTTTAAAAAATTTTTTTTCTCCTAGTAACTTTTATAAGCTGCCCTCTATCGAAACACAATAAAAGTAAATGTTCCATTTATAAAATTAGTCGACACAGTGTCAAACACAGAGAGGTTTTCTTTAAATGGAAAACGCCCTCAATTTATAATTACCTGTTTACACGAATTGCACAATAACTTTGCATTACTTTTTATAACAAATTTTAGGTTATGTATGTTATGATCGGATTCTTTAATTTTTAATTTATTTGGGTTGGTACCAATGTCTGGCAGAAGTTGGCAGCTGTGATTAGCAGTTTGCTAATGGTGAACTCGGGCCTAATTTCATCAACGAAACTCAAAAACTCGTTCATATAATACATATCGTACATATGAAGTACAAATTGCAATGTAATTAATGAAATCAGCCAGGTTTTTGCGAAAGCAGTGGATTTTATTTATACATATTATTAATTTGAATATTGAACAATTCAAATTTTTTTTAGACATTACATGATAGATCTAATTTTTTATATAAAACTGTAATATTAAATAATAATAAATTTTTTTTATAATTATATCAATAATGGATCGAAGTATTTTCACTTATTACTCATGTAATTTAGAACGTAATTTTTTAAACGATTATTCAATATTTAAAAAAATTTTTTCTTGGTAACTCTAATTTTTGTGTAAGAGTTTTTTACACGGTTTTATACGATATCACTGTACTCTCGTTATGGTAATTTTTATTTTTTTGAAAGAAACAAATTGAGTTATTCATTCAGATGTAGTAATTTCTTTATAAAAATATTAGTCCAGTCAAATGAGGGAAATAGGATAATTTTGGTTTGCTACGGCCAAATTAATGATTTATAGATGACTGGATCGGAAATTTCGCGAGAAACACAATGGTGTAGGTTAAAATTGTTTGGCACGCATAGGGGGGGAGTAAATCGCGAAAAACCGCTCCCCCTCGCGAATTTCTCGATTTCTATGATAGATATGAAAAAATGTTTTAAATAAAAGTTGTTCAGAATTGAATTTTAATAAAAAAGTATTGAACACTTTTTTTCATATCTATGATAGATAAAAAGTTATTCGCGACTGAAGCTTCACTATTGACAAAAGCTTCAGTCGCGTCTAAGAAAATTAATAAAAAATACTTAATGTTAGAAATATTACTTTTTGGCGATTTATTTCGAAAAATGAGATATTAAATTTCATTTTTAGAGAAAAATTTTTTTTTTTTATTAATTTTTTCATTATTTTTATAAACAATGAATTATTTAAATCATTCCCATATTGGTTCAAATGCACCGATCAGCCCGATTTTGGGCTCAAAATGTGCAGAATTAAAAATGGAACATTTCATCTATGCAAAGTTTTTTATTATTTTGCACCTGTTAAAAGTTATACAGGTATAAATATTTGGTTAAATGTTCCATGCGTGCCAAACAATTTTAACCTACACCATTGTGTTTCTCGCGAAATTTCCGATCCAGTCATCTATAAATCATTAATTTGGCCGCAGCAAACCAAAATTATCCCATTTCCCTCATTTGACTGGACTATATTCTGTAAGTCAGTAATACTAATCGATTCAATTTTGATGAAAACTGAACTATTAAAATAAAATTAAACCACTTGCATTTCTATAAACACCGTGTATTCGAAGGTTTACCTTGAATTTTATCAAGTATGAAGCGCCATCTGAAAACTCCGGGATCTGAGTGCTTCGCTTATCGCGGCCTCTTCCGTTGAAATAGTTACTTTATGACATTTTGTTCCGTTACGTGCAAGATGTTTACTCAATTTGACTGTGCAAAATTCACCATGGCGCCCGGAAAATTAGAGTATGAAAGTGCGATGAAATCGCTATCGGAAGCACATTAATTATCAGGTATGTATTGATGACTTTCTAACCGTTGAATATACAGTAATAACAATAGCTAAATCTCTCTGTATAGTTATAAGTGCTAAAACGTAGGGACGTGTGTTTATAGCCTACAAACCCTGACATAGCAATGGCGTTTCTGTCGAGTCCGAAAAATTTTACACAGCTCCGGAATCATTTTATCAGATATTTACGTTAATTCAATTAATTTATAGTCTTCTGTATATTTTGTTTATATTATATTGTAATATTATAGTTGACGATGATAGTTACCGCAAAAAAGTGTCGACGTCGGTGGTTTTCTCTGTGTATGTGTATGTGTGTGCTCATGTCTTCTACCCCAGAGTAGGCCAGAACAGACCGCGCGGCACGCCATCCTGCTTACGATTGTTCATTGAATACTTTCTTCATCGCGGTTACCATCCACGTTTGTTGAAAACATTTACTTTGTTTCAATATTATATACGAAATTATCCATGATATTTTTTAAATTCACTACATTTCAAAAAAACTTCATATTTATATTAATAAACAATAACTTCTCAATTTACCTTTTTTAATGAGAAGAGAGGGGATACAAAAACAATTAAGTGCTCTACTGTGAATACGTTCTATTCGACAATACACATTCATTATTTGCATTTGTTGCATTATTTCATTAGTTTAGGGCGATTTCAAGTTTTGATATCGCCTAGCATGTTTTACTTCATAAAAATGAAATATAAATATTATTGTTATTTAATGCAAAAAAAGGCATTTTATGAATAGATAATTTGATATGTTGTAAAAGTGTATAATTGTAGTTAGTTTAAAAATGGTTTAAACTCATAATTAAAATGTTCATTTTTACAAATGCATTTTGTTATTTAGAATTTCATAGAGTCCATAGCGGACTGCCATGGATGATGAAGAACGTCTCGACGGTGAGGAGGAAATGGAGCTCGATGAAGCATCCGATGGGGAAGATGATGATGAAGAGACTTCAGGGATTTCCGTCTCACCGGCAAATTTGGAACAACTTTTAGGTGTTCCATCTACGCCTGGCAATGGTTTTTATTCAAAAAAATTCATTAAAATTTCAATTACATGCTATTATTAAATTTACATTAACAAGTTTATTTTCTACAGTAGGCACTGAAGAAGTTTTTCATGACCCTTTACAATATCCAAAATTTCCGTTCCCTGGCGGCAAACCATTAAATATCAGAAGAGGACCGGGAAGGCCACGAAAAGAAAGACCTCCTGGATCAATCCGTGGTGGAAATTCACGAAGATACTTTAGTAGAGGATCAACAAGAGGAAAAGGGTAATTTATACTTATTATTTTAAACTTGATACCCGTTTTAAAATTAAAGTTAAAAAATAATTATATTTATTTAATAAAAAAATATATATATTAAAATCAATGTCATAATAAAATTTTTTTTAACATATTATATAAGTGTTGTAAACTATTTATTAATTTATCATTAATTTTTTATTTCTTTTGAACAAAAATATTGTGTTAGAAAATGTTATAAAATAAAAAGAAACGATTATTTATATTATGTGAATTCGACTCTAGGCAGAAAATTATATTTTTATCATTAAGTTCACAATGAAAATAAAAATTGTCCGTGAAAATAAAGCAATAATTATTTTAACTATAAAATGTTTTTAGATCGGGATATGCAAGAGGAATGTTACGACGAACGAAAAGTAAAGATGATGATACCCATTCTGAGTCGCCAAGTCCCCTTAGACTTACAGATGATCCAAGTATTGATGGTGAATTGTCAGGAGCAGATAAATCAATGCCAGCACCAGAGGAACCTCCAGAACAATGGTACGAGTTATGTTTAATAAAAAAAATGTCTAATGATTAAATGTATAAAATGAACAAAATCAATTAATTTATTCACAATATTGTTTTATTTTGAAATTAGGCCTGGAAAAGTATGTGCATTCTGCAATTTAGGAGAAAGAAGTCAGTTAGGTCAAGGTGAACTAGTTAGACTAATGTATCCTGAAGGATTTACACCTGAGAAAAAAGCCAATCGTGATGAAACACCTGATCTCTTAGATGTATCTTCTTTTGGTGATAAGAGCCCACGCGGTGCAGCAAGCGGTGGTGCAGTTACTTGTCGTAGACAAAAAAGTTTGGCAAAGTTCAGAAATTCTAGTCTAACAAATTTTTCAGAACCTATTGAAGAGTTGACAATTGTTGGATTCTCTGAAGAACCAGAATTAGGGATTCTGTTTGAGGCGTCTGGGCATTATTTTGTTCATCAATCTTGTGCTATTTGGTCAAGTAATAGCCAAGTATTAATCACTGAAAATATAAGTCCAGCGATAGTGCAAGCATCTTCCCGCCGTTGTGCTTATTGTTCTCATTATGGAGCTGGAATCCCTTGTAAAGTGGGATCGTGCAATCGTTATTTTCATTTACCTTGTGCAGCAGCCTCTAGTTGTTTTCAAGATATCAAAACATTGTCTTTATTTTGTGGTCAACATCTCGGACAAGTACCACTTTTGTTAAACAGTGATATCACATGTATGCAGTGTTATAGTATGGGGGATTTATCTAATTTAGTGATGTGTTCAGTCTGTGGAACACACTATCATGGTAACTGTATAAATTTGACAATGATTCCTAGTGTTCGAGCAGGCTGGCAATGTTTGGCTTGTCGAGTTTGTCAAGTTTGCCGTCAACAAGAAGAATTGTCAAAAGTGATGGTGTGTGAGCAGTGTCATAAAGCATATCATCCTAGTTGTTTACGTCCCGTCGTTACTACTGCTCCAAAACATACTTGGAAGTGCAAATGTTGCCGTGCTTGTACAGATTGTGGTTCACGTACACCAGGTGCAGGGCTTTCATCACGTTGGCACGCTAATTACACAGTTTGTGATTCATGTTACCAGCAGAGAAATAAAGGCTTTTCATGTCCACTTTGTAGAAAAGCATATCGTGCAGCAGCTTATCGTGAAATGGTACAGTGTAATTCGTGCAAAAAATTTGTTCATGGCACATGTGATCCCGAAGCTGATCCGACAACGTATCAGCATCGAAAAGATACTAAGCCTGATTATGAATACATTTGTTTATATTGTAAAAATCTTGCAATAGCAAAACGTAAAGATAATGTTGATGACTATACTGGAGACTCTAGTTTCATAGGCTCTCAAGAAAGTTTATATGGCGATGGAGATTCTTCAGAGTTTGATTATCAAGATGAAACTCTGTATTCTATAGGACTCGGTAAGGGAAAACCATTTTGTGCATCAAAAATAGCCAAAAAAAGGTTAGGATTGCCGGGTATAATTGGTCGACCAAAAGGTGTTGGAAAAGTTGGATATCAAAAAAGACAAAAAATGAATGAATTTGGCCGAAAGCGTGGGCCAAAAGCTAAAATGAGAGGAATATTTGGTGTACCTGGTGTAGGTTTACAAAGACCTATGTCTGACTCTTTTTCAAAAGAGGATGAGCCAGGTGTAGAAAATAGATTAGTTTTATGTTCGGCAAAGGATAAATTTGTTTTAACTCAAGATATTTGTGTTATGTGTGGAGCGATTGGTACTGATGCCGAAGGTTGTTTAATAGCTTGTGCCCAATGTGGACAGTGTTATCATCCATATTGTGCTAATGTTAAAGTAACAAAAGTAATTCTCCAACGAGGATGGCGTTGTTTAGATTGTACAGTTTGTGAAGGTTGTGGAGAACGTAATGATGAAGGTCGTTTAATACTATGCGATGATTGCGATATAAGTTATCATATTTATTGCATGGATCCACCCCTTGATTATGTTCCTCATGGTACTTGGAAATGTAAATGGTGTGCAGTATGTCAAGTTTGTGGTTCTAATGATCCAGGATTTAATAGTAGTTGGCAAAAAAATTATACCCAGTGTGGACCTTGTGCTTCTCATACTGCCTGTGCATCTTGCCAAGAACTTTATAATGAAGGGGATTTGATAATTCAATGTGTACAATGTGAAAGGTGGCTTCATTGTGCGTGTGATCACATTAAAACTGAAGCAGAAGCAGAAAAATGTGCGGAAGAAGGTTATAATTGTATTTTATGTCGTCCTAGAGATGTTCCACCACCTCATTTTATTTCTAGTTTAACAAAACAACAAACACACAAATATTCAAAATCACCACCACCAAGTACACGTAGTCCAGAACTTTATAAGCCTACTCCACAACATTATCTTGTTGATGGAGTTTATTTATCTGAAGCAGGGATGCATCATATTAAATCATTAACTTTTGAACAACAACAAACTCGAAAAAAGCGAAGAAAACTTTTGCCTATTATTGATAAAGATGCTGATATTATGGCGACTATTGAGTCAGTTGTAGCAGGAGGAAGTCTAGATAATTCATTAGAAGAAAATGGTGGTAAATCAGATTTGATGGATGTTAAAGATGAACCTGGTGAAGTACTAAAAGAAGGTATGGTTTGGACACCACGTGGTGATCAACCGCCCCCTGAGGGATTCAGTATTTACACTACAGAAAATGGAGTTACTGTTTTAAGACGTAAACGACAACGAAATTTACAAAAATTAGGAATTGGTGGGTTTGTTGTTAGATTGAGAGGAACTAGAAAGGAAAAAGATGAAGAGGGTGAATCAGAAAGAGGTATTGATGGTGTCTCATCAATGTTAAATGATGATAAACCACGAAAAAAAGTACAGAGGAGAAAACCAAAGACAAAACTCTCTGAGTGTTTTCCTCTTTATATGCAGGAAGCATTTTTTGGTAAGGATCTTATGGACATAACTAAGGATAAAGATTTGAAAAGTAGTAGTGATAGTGATAATGAAAAAAATAATTTCGGTAGTACTACCACCATTCAGTTATCTCAAGAAGAGCTGAAAGCTATTGAACAGGTTAAAACAAAGTCAAATAAAGAAGAGCAAAAGTTACCAAATAATGCACATGTCAAAAGAGAAGAGATTATAGATGACGATGCAAGTGATACTGAAGCTCTGGGGGATATTTTACCTATTTCATCTGATTTACTTGATAATGAATTAGTTAATACAATTATGAATGAACCTGACGAAGATCTTGCTAAAGCTAGTGAAGTTTTAGAAGAACTTGATGATACACCTGGTCAAAGTAGAGATGAATTAACAGATATTCTCAGTCCACATTTCAACTTAGAATCTATGGTTAGGGATACTGGTTTACCCAACATGGATAGCAAGGATGTAGAAGAAATATTTAAAGGTGTTTTAACTGATGAATCACAAGAGTCTCAAGAGTCATCTGTTTTTCCAGTACAAAGTCAACCATCTCACACTCCGTCTTCAACAACTTCTTTAGTGTCGCCTTCACCTCATCCTGGTAATTATTGTTTTTTTTTTTCTTTGAATAGAAATAAATCTATTTTAATATTTAATATTAATTTTGACTATTACATATCGCTAGGTATACCTCTTGTAAGACCTCAAGTTCCTGGAGCAATATCTACTGTCGGTCAATCAAACTTGAATTCACCAATGAGTTTTCCACCACCATCTCCGTATCATTCAGAATATAGCAAGTAAGTTATTATTATCAAAATTATTTTTAAAAATATATTTAAAATGTGATAATATAATTTAATTAATAAAAAATAAATTACAGTAGTCCACAATTTAGTCCTGCATTTTCTGAACCACCCAGTCCATGGGTAAATCCTGATGAAGATGTTACAGCGAGTACAGCTGGAGCTACAATTTCATATAATCAACGTAGTAACTTGAAAATGGAAGCAGATGAAGCTCTTGGAACTGGGGCAACAATATCCTCTGTTCTCTATGCAAATATAAACCATCCGGAATGGAAAATAGATTATCCTGGTAAATATTAATTGATGATTAATTTTAAAATTGTTATTTTATTAAGATGATGATAGTAAAAAAAGATTTACGTATTAATATAGCATGGTCGGAAAGATGCAAACAAATTTTGAAAAAATGGCGGGCACTACCCAACGAAGCAAGAGCACCATATTTGACACAAGCGAGGGACAATAGGGCTGCTATTCGAATGAAAAAAACTCAACAGGTGAGTCGACTCAAGATTTATCAAAGTTGACATTTAAATAATAATATATTTTCAAGTGCAAATAAGATTTTTTCTTATTAATCCATAAATCTTTACATACACATTTAACAACATGTTTGATATTTTGAATATATCGTGAATACTCTGTTACAGTAAATCTTGACACAATTGAAGCATAAAAAAGATAAATATATTTACTAAACATAAAAATGACTGTAACAATTATTGAACTTTTTACATAAAAAAGATAAAAAATATCAAACATAAATATTTTTGTGTGGCTCTATTAATAATGGTTGAACTACTAGACGTAATTCATTAATTTAATTGAACATTGTCAACGTTGTTAACCTTTCCTCAAAGTATCTAACTTGGAACCTTGTTATCTGTAAAAAGCAAGAGTCAGAGATAGAGTAACTAAAAATAAATTAGAATTTTCAAGTGCGTGAACGTGTGACACCCATTAAACCTACAGATATCCAAGGATTTACCAAGCACGACCCCAGTCACCACAGCAAGCGCACCTACCATCATTACCAAACCTGTCACAACAATGCCATCAGCTCAAGTATCTTCGGTAGTAGCAACAGGAAACGCAGGTCAAAAGCCGATAGGACTTTCGACATCGATGGCTGGTGATAAATCTCAACAGAAAATGACAGGAAGTGTTCCATCAAGTGTAACCGGGACCGGGATCATAGTTGCAGCAGCTGCTTCATCAACAACTTCAGGATCGATTACTCCTGGGGTTGGTAGTCATCTAGAGGAGGTGTGTGCGGTTTCGGGACCGCTGAAGCAGCTAACATCAACCTCTCCAAGTCTTTCCCCAACCTCTACCAGTTCATCCTCTTCTCGCCCTAGTTCCGTGAATTCAATAAACTGTGTTAATAATCTTGTACACCAAGAACTTAATGGTGTTGTTGGGTCTAAATTAACACAGTTGCCAGCCACCACGGCTATTTGCACAACATCAACCACCTCTTTCTGCAATACGGGCATCGGGGAAGGGCAGCAGCAGTCATCAGCACCCGAGCAACGTTCTGCATCTACTTATATTACGATTAGTACCAGTGCTATCGTAAACAGCCCAAATGTACTTCCTCAGGCGTCCCTTGCTGCCACCAGTAGCGCTCTCGTGGTGGCCGGCACTGTACGCCAATTATCCTCGGTAGATCATCAGATTAGAGTGCTCACCCCATCTGAAATTATGCGCACCCTCCCTTCCCTCAGCCAGGAGCACTACGATCCGCCACCCACTGCAATTATTCACACTGTACCTGTACAGACCCCGGTTATGGTGAGCCACCTATAATGTGCCTCTAGTGTCTTGCATTGTAAAAGTATATATACATTTATATACCAATACCAATCTATCAATTTTTATTTTTTTTATATTTTACTTGTAATATTCAATATTTAGATCAAAATTTATTCTTATATTCTTTTAGTAATATCCAACCTTTGTTTGATAAATGTTATCTCATAGATATTACCCTATTTTTTCGCTTCGAATTATTATTTCAACTTTTTATTATCTAAACCACGATATTATTAAATAGTTTTATTTTTGAAAAATTTTGATTTTTTCAATACTCTTATTATGAGTTCAACAAAAAAACTTCATATTAATCGGCAAATATGCTATATTAGATATTTCCTCCATTATATAATGTACAATTTTTTATCCTAAATTCATAGAAAATGTACGTATTTTTCCATTATTAACTATATCTTCCAGATTATCCTAAACGAAATCCAATTCTTTTCCTTTATTTCCAATCAATATCTCCAACTATCAACTAATAACATCTATTTTATTATTATTATTATTATTATTATTATTATTATTATTATTATTATTATTATTTCATTTTAGTTCGGTTATGGTGCTACTGAATTTTATAGTCTTGATACTTTAATACATTGAGTAGATAAAAAATGGCGCATTTATTATTCTAATAGATGCTTTACTTACTATCTTCAGTTTAAAATAATTTAGTCTGTTTCTCATCAAAAACAACAAAAATTTATATTTCTAATCAGATTATATGCTATTCAATCAACAGATGAATAAATTTTCCATAACAATACTATTCAGGTTAAACATACCAATGGATGGATAATTAAATTCAAAAGATGTAAAAAAAAACTCATAATTTCGAATGCTAAATTAATTCTTTTTAAAAGAATTTTACATTTTTTTAATTCAATAGACTTGGTCTTAAAAAAATTAAAAATATTTTATAAAATTTTAATTTTTAGTTTGTTAAAATTTTTAAAATCCTTTCATCTTTTGAATAGTATCCATTTGTTAATCTAGTTATTCTATTTTGCACGTTTATTTTTAAAAAATTCACAGTAGTAAGGATATAGTATCAATATTTTGATGTAAAATTGGTATCTAAAAAACATGTTTTGGGTGTTTCTCTGGTTCTGAATGGTGGCTGGATATTTTCTACCGTATCTCTGCACAAAAATCAAGATTTTTTTTAAAGTTTTACAGTAAATAATCAAACTGGTTAATAAATTTTACAACTTCTTTTAATTTTCTTTTTCATTTGCGAATGTTATATTTTGATGTATAATGTTGGCTGATTGCATACTATGCCTCATTAATAAAATAAGTCGATTTCTGTTGATCATTAAATATTATGAAAACCGTGTTGTTTCTTTGGTCTCGTATCTAAATTTTATAACTTTAATATTTTATTTATACAATATTCATTACTATGTGGAGTATTTTATTATCCATTTTTTAAAATAAATTTAGTTCAATAAGTTTTTCAACCACATCTAATTCTAATGATTGAAGTTATAAAATTTATTCTATAAATGATTGATGTTGTCGATAGATGAATATGAATGTAATGATCTCAGACTAAATAAAAATATCTAAATAATTTTTAATACACTTTTAGGAGCAAGAACGATTAGTTAATCGTGACCGGACTAGCAGAGAAGCTGAACAAGAACGTCAATGGAAACAATTACAAGCACTAAGGCAACAACAGGCTCAACTACAGCAACAAGTTATTCACGAACAACGTGTTCATGGTAATATTATAAGAACACTACTTGAAAATCCAATTTAAATAATTCATGTTATTACTTCAACCATTTAATATAACCTTTCTTTTAAAATATAATTTTTTAAACATTTGTTTCATTTTTTATTTAGCTATGGTTAGAGCTCATCGACAAATAAGTGACGAAAACTCTTCTCAATTAAATGTTGATGCAAATGCTGGATTAACAACTCAACTTCAAGTTTCAACATCACAGGTAATACATGAACTATTTTTAGTATAACTTTAAATGATTAATTAAATAAATTTTCCTTAGGATACGAGTTCAATTGGATCTATTACATCGCCATCCTCAGGATCTCGAAATGCATTTGCTACTCCACCAATAAAATCAATTCGTAGTAATGCTCCTCAAAGTCCGCGACTAATAAATCAACCTTGTACAACAGTTGCACGTCCTATAAATGCTGCTGTTCGACAAAATGTACCAAATACTTTTGCTCAACCTTTATCGCCATTTTCACCACAAGCACCACAATCGCCACATGATGTTCCACAATCGCCAGCATCCTCGCATACTTCTGAACATTTTCAACGATTCGACAACTCTGAAATGACGTCTAGTTTTGCCCAAAATCCTCCAACACCACGTTCAATAATATCAAATACAACTACATATGAAACTTCACCCAGAAATGATACATTTCCTCAAACACCAGGTACTCCACGTCCTATTTTTAATCCTCCTACACCTCGATCTTCCACCCATGTTTATGCTCCATGTCGTACTCCAGATCCTTACAACAGTCAACCTCCTACACCTTCAACACCAATTAACTATCCATCGCCCAGACAAGAATCTCGGCAAGATATTCAATCACCAATAGAAGTATTCAATCAACAACCAGAACTAAATCTTCAACTTCGAGATTTACTCCAGAGACAACAATTCAATAAAAAAATTGAAAGTACATCAGGATCTTGGACAGACAATCAAACTAATAATGAAACTACTCAACAACAGTTTGACAATAATCATGTTCAAATTCCTCAACATACTCAATCAATGAATAATCCTGTAGAAGGAACATTTCGACATCCACTCCCACCTGGAATTAGACCAAGAATGCCTATTCAATTGAATGTATTTATTCGAAACTCAGCTGGTAAATTTTTTTTTTTCGTTTTCATACTTTATAAAATAATTTAAAACTTAATTATGATGAAAAAATACATTTTTAGGCATTGTAGATACCCGATTACAAGGTGTTGACTCTAGAACGAGAATGCTTTTGCAAAGACCAACAACTAACACAATTTCTCATCATATACAAAATCAGCCTCAACATCAACAACAAAGAATGGTTGTTCCCAGGAATTCTGTAACTGAACAATATGACATGATTCAACAGTCACAAACTCAGCAACAACAACAACAGTCTTCACAACCACAGCAACAATCACAACCGCCTCAGCAAGCTCACAGATTTCCCGATTCAAATCAAGGGCATAATCAAAATATAGGACGATTAGTGCGAATTAATCAAAGCGTAAATCAAAACGTGAAGATAAGCAATGCTCAGTCAATGCCGAAATTATCAATTTCAACATCAACTATCAATGAAAATCCATCGGCAACAGAGTCTTCAGAAATTCCAGATAATGTTACAGCTGAATTAGAAAAGCTAGAACAAGAAGGTACTCCTATGGTAGAGGTCGAGGGTGTCAGTGCAATACTAGGAGAATTAACTACTGATGATGATGATGAACTTCTTGGTACGTTTATGTATTTTAATAATTTTTTAAAAATTTAAGTTTTATTTTTTTATGCTTTAATCTTAACACCATTAAATTTTTTACATCATTTTCAATTTATGATTTCTACAGCAGCAATGGGTGGCGATTTTAATATCTTGGAATATGCAGATCCTGAGTTACATAGTATTACTGGTGGTGAAAAAACGAATATTTTAGATATGGATTTGGAACAAGTAGATGAAGAAACTAAGGATGAGAAACAGAAAAAAGAATCAAAAGATGAAGACGAACAAAAATCTAATGTTTTAACTACTACTCATCCAAATGCTATTGGAGCGTCGAACGCTTCTGCAGTTACATTATCTAATGAAGCTCCTATAGTAGTCTCTGTAACATTAGCTTCTCAATTGCCATCGATCACTGCTACTTCTCAAACGTCAGTTTCTCAACAAACACCTGAAACATTAATAGCACAGAATTATTCACAAGCAGCTGTTGTTCAACAGCAAATGCATCAACAGGTTCAACATGCTGTAGCCTTGGGTAGACCTATACTCCCAGGAACTAGATTACTTTCTCCAGATGGTGCTGTTGGTGTTGTTACTTCAACAAATAGCGTTACTGTTAGCTATCCATCTACATTTCCAAATCAAGTAAAACGCATCCCACCACCACATATGCAGTGTAAGTAATTTATATGGCTTTTTAAAATTTATTTGATCAAAGCATTTATTTACATAAGACATAATTAGGAATCATAAAAAATTATAACTTGGGAAAATTGAATGGCATATAATTAAGTCTAAAGCTTTCTATTAAACAGTACTCAAAATAGGAAAGTATTTTAATTATTGCAGTACAACACCAAAGATTAGGCATGCGATTAACTGGAGTCCAAAGTGTAACAGGAAAAGTTGTATCTATAGGTCCAATGATAGGACCTCGAATGCCATTAGCACCACCGCCGCCACCACCTCCACCCTATCCAGGACCACCGCCGCCTTATCCGGGTCCAGTACAGGTTAGTATCAATAAACTTACATATATCTAAAATTGATGCATTGCTTTTTAACTTTTCGTCTCAATTTATTTCAAATGTATCAGCTGTTAGTCTAACAGTACAAATAATGTATGTTCAACATAATTTAAGTCGAATATGAACATCGACAAATTGCTTAAGTCAAATTTGAATTTTTCAAGTTTATCCGTGATTAACTATTTAAGAACAAATTCAAAACTAGTGTATTTTATGTATTAACAGAGAATAAATTAAAATCTTCAGAGTTGTAAGTTATCGCTATACGAAGTTTAATTCTTCATCAAGATTGATAAAACATTTTTGAGGAAATATAAATACATTAACAGACGTGGAAGCGGGCATGTTTCTCTAAACATTAATCAGTTGAATTAGCTAATCAAGTAGTTAATTTTATTCTCCACAAATAATCATCGTTGCAAAATATGAAAATTTTAACGATAAAAATAAATATTAGTAAAGTAAACAGTAGACGAGTGAATTTTTATTTAAAAAGTAATGGCTGATATAACAATGTTTTGGCCTGAGTGTTTGCAATGCATTGGTGTTGGTGCATGTCTAGATGGGGCTGTGTCCAGGTGGGCGGGGTATGCCGCGACCCTCGGTACATATCGGGCATCAAACGTCTGTTTCGAGTTCTCCAATGACTCCCATTGTTCACATGGGTGCACCAGCAATTACTCAACACTCTCTACGAAGACCCCTACTTCTCCAGGTGAGCAAGGCTTGGGGCATTTAAAAACTAGAAAACTTCCTATTCTGTCTATCAAAGATAATTTCATTATTTTAAATAAATATAAAATATATTTATATATTTATATTATATATTTTATATAAATAAAAACGATTTCATTATTTCATCAACACACATAATCAAATTCAAAAACAATTAGTTATTAATTTAAATTATTAAATAAATATTTTTAACGTTTTAATGTTTCAATGTTATTCGAAGCGTTAATATTGGCTGCAGCAAGATGTGTAATTGCATGATAATTTTCGGTGCTCCCTGGTCAATTAATTAAACATAAAAAAATCTTTTTAATGAATAGTTTTTGAGTTTAAATTGAATTTAACTGCCAGCAGCCATGTTCACAGGAGCAACCGTTATTACTGGAGGATCTGTTAGAACAAGAGAAGCGTGAACAAGAAAAACAACAACAACAAACTCAGCCACAAATTCAAAAACAACAAACACAGTCTCAACAATCAAAACAAAAACAAGAACCGGAACAACCACAACCAGATCAAGATCAACAAAAAGAGCAAGAACAGGATCAACGACAACAACAACAACAACAACAACAGCAACAACAACAACAACAACAACAACAACAACAACAACAACAACAACAACAACAACAACAACGGCATCCACAGCAACAAGTTACTATTACAACTACTACTTCAGGAACACTTTTGAACGAAAATGAGTATGGATATGGAAGATTATGTGCAGATGTTCTTGCTTCAAATGCTCTAGGTTCACCGCCTCAAGGTATTCCTAATGCTTCAAGTATTAATTCAACAATTAGACCTACAGGTAAGTTTGGTTCATCTTTCAAGTACTAATTATTTTAATTAATAATTAAATTGATTAAAAATTGTAAACTTTTTATTATAGCGCGAATATCTTCATTCAATATTTCTCCACTTCCGGCTCCACCTGCTCCACCAGAAATTATCTCAACAGAACAAGATCGTCAGACACAATTACAATACGAACAATGGTTAAACCATCAACATCAGATACTTTCGCAGCAACAAAAATATTATGAAACTGAAGTTCAAAAGTTGAGGAAAGTTCGGAAATCATTAAATAGTAAACAGAGACAACTTCGAAAATCTGGAAATGAATTAACTGAAAATGATGCAGCAGAACTTCAAAGAATTTCTAGTGAACAAGCTATTTTACAAAAACAGTTAGATGCTAGTAGAAAACAAACACGTCAACATGGTATGTTGATACAAGAATATCATAGCAAACAACAGCAAAGACAAGTTCAAATGCAATCAAACGAATCTTGTTCTTCATTAATGTCACCATCACAACATTCATCTCCCATGCATAGCCCTGCTGCTCTAGTTTCTCATAGTCCTGTACCTGGAAATGTTTCCAACATGATTCCACATTCGCCAGCTACTTCAATAATACAACAAAGCCCTAATTCGTCAGTATTACATCATAGTCCAGGCTCTCAACAATCTACCAATAACATAGGTTCCATCTCTCCGCATAGTATGCAAACTTCTCCAAGAATTGGTACTCCACATTCTCAAGGTGAAGAAAGCCCATTTAGTCCTGGTGCAATACCTTCTTCAAGTATTTGTGGGCCAGCAACACCTCGAATGACATCTCCCCAGCATCGGACAGTAATTAGTGGAAGACCTGCAACGAGTCCCAGTCCATTTCCTTCAGAAGCTCGTACACCACAACAATTAATCGGAGAACAAGGAGTTAGAATGCAAAATATACATCAGAGATTTGTACGACCAACAAATATTGGTGATATTGGTCAACGACCACGTTTACAGATACAAGGAGGAATAATATATGGCCAAAGATCGCCTATTGGTAGTCCTCAATCAGCTCAACAACCAATGATGACTCAACAACATCAACAAATGCTTCAAAGGCAACAAATGATTCAACAGCAGCATGAAGTTAGTGGAAATAATTCAGAAAATCAAAATTTAATACATCAACGTACAATTCAAATAGCACAACAAAGGCATCAATTAATGCAACAACAAAGAGTTCAATTTATTCAATTACAGCAACAACAACAACAGCAGCAACAACAACAACAACAACAACAACAACAACAACAACAACAACAACAACAACAACAATCAGATCAACAGCAGCAAGATCAACAACAAATTATGCAAAAACCACCTAATTCCCCAATGGTCTCTCAGCCTATTAGCTCACCTAGTTCACAACTTCAACAAATGCAACAAAATTATGGACAACGTTCAAGCTCTCCTATGCCTCGTAGTCCTATAATACAACAAACATTAAACTCACCTATGCTTCCTCAACAATTAAGTCAAAATTCTCAACCTCCAAGTCCTATGGGTACTCGAGTTCTTCCTCCTCAATCACCTTCACCGATGATGAGTCAATACCAGCCGCCAAGTCCACTAACTCGGCCGTCAACATCTCCGATGCTCCAGCATCAATCTAATAATCATCATCCACCACCGTCTCAAACGCCTACTTCGATGCCGAGGAGTCCAATGATAACTGGATCTCCATTACAAATACAAAGAAGACAATCAAGTGGAAATAGTCCAGCTATGCCAGATCGGCCACAGAGTACAGAAAATCCTGGTACTCCTCGAACTCTTCATACCTCATATGGTCTTAACACTAATCAAAATTCAGGACTTATGGTTGATCAACAACAACAACAACAACAACAAGAATCACAATTAATACAAGAAATTCAGCAGTCAGAACAACAACAACTATCACAAACAATGTCGCAAGAGCAACCAAATCAATGTAATGATCATAATCAAAATTTAGGTGGTGGAAATCCACACAATCCTACTAATCCAATTCCTCTTTTTGCACAATTTGGAAGATATGGTTATTTTAAACCTGGTTTAAGAGGTGGTTCGCCAATGTGGTCAACTAAACCAGAATCAAGCAAAGGAAATTCAGCTGAACCTCGAATTTCGACAACAAATACATCTAATATAATGCCAACAGATAAACCAAACACTTCAAACATTGTTCATCGAAAACCAGGAATATCACAATCAAAAATAAACAGCTTAGTATCTTCTGATTACAATGACTTTGATGATGATTCACATACACCACCTCAAACACCTCCAACAACTATTGAATCTAAAATGAATGTTCCTGCGAATAATGATTTACCTATTGACAAATCATCATCTATTACTTTGTCATTGGAAAGTCCTGAAAAGTTAGAAACAATTCCTGACACTACAGATTATGATGATGACAAAACCATTGTTAATGAAGAGGTGACATTAAGTTCAACTGCACAGAGAGATAATGATGATATTACTGTGATTGAAGGATTCGCTGAATCATCACTAGTTGATGTCGCACTAGGAGCTCTTGATTCTGATATTCAGGAAGAGTATGTTCTCTTTGAACCTGATATGGTAGTAGATCTTTCAGTAGATAGTAATGACTCTCTTAGTAATGCCCTTGTTAATAATAGCAATCAAAGTCATGATTTAGTTCAAATACTTGAAATTGAACAACCTCATGTTGACGACCCAACACTTAGTGATGATGATCTTCTTTCAAGTCATAACGAAAATAAGAAAAGTTTACATCTAGGAATAGTACGATCATTACATAGTGGAAAAAGACTTGTAACACCTGAATCTCCAGAAAGGGAAGAAATGAATGTAGATCCTTCCCCAGACAATTCACCTTTCATGGATCATTCATCCGGTCAAGATCTTATGGCTCTTGTTGGAGCATCTGAAGTAGTAATTATTGATCCTAGTACTAAATCTCCCGATGATAATTTATCAAAAGAATCTTGCGGCGAAGATGAAACAGATAAATCTGAAAATGGAAATGATGATGTTTTATCTAAAACTTTTTCTTCATACTCTGTAGAAATGAGTGAATCTAGAGGAACAGAAGTTTCGGAAAAAAAGAATTCTCCAGCATCAGAAACATCACATTCTATGATGAATATGGACTTAATAGACGTGGACACTAAAATAATTGAATCTAATAATTTAACAGGACGTAAAAATCTTGTAACATCTACTGCAACAGAGAATAATATTGCAACACAAGAAAGGGTTACTGAATCTGAAAGTGAAAAATCTCTTGTAATGTCATCAAAAACATTACCGTCTTCAAGTGATACTAAAAAACAACAGACAATAATGCCAACTTCAATGGCGAGCATTGTAGCAGATGCAAAAATTGCAGCAAAACTCAGTCAAACTGTAATGGGAGTTAATATGAAATTACAAAAAATTAATTCAAACGACACCTTTGAGGAAAATTCAACATTAAAAAATGATTTACCAAACTCTAAAATTCAGGAACATGTATTGGAAAAAATAGCACTCAAAGACATGGAGCAACTTTGTAACATATCGAACGATAATGTAACTCTTCTACCTGTGTCTGTTCAAACAACAGATTCATTAGTTAACTTAACAAAACTCGCAATCACTGTAAAACCAACTTCAGTAACATTATTACAACCAAAGGTATCAGTACCTAATCTCTCTTCACAACATTTGGTATTTGATGCTAATGTAAATAATAAAAATGGGTTGGAAAAGCAAACCTGTAATAGTAAGGAACATCCAAATGAAAAAGAAGAAACAAAATTAGTGGGTGGGAAAAAAAATGTTATTCAATTAAATATCATATCTGATAGCTGTGTGGCTCCGAATGAAGAAGTGATTAAAGAAAGTCAATCCAATAAAGAAAAAGACACTGATTCATTGAATACAACTGATGAACTTGAAAGTATGTTAGAAGCAATTCATTATCCAGCTGAAAATATAATCAATTGTGAAAAAAAGTGTGATAATAAATCAGATCTTTCATCTTTTAAACGAATGTCACCGGTATCTGATGAAATGTCTTTAGTCAATATTTTAGAAAATGATACTGAACCAGTGGTAATAAATGAACGAAAAAAAGCATTTTCAGTTGAAAACAAATGTCAACATGATCCATTTGAAACTGAACCAATAAAACAATCATCAGTGGATTTAATACCATCACCATCTAAATCAACACTTCGAGGTACCAAAATGTTTTCTGAAAATACGAGAAATGTTAATGATGAATCATCCGATGAACTTCTTGATATGCTTCAAAATATTATAGAATCAAAAGAAATGGCAAATACACATAGTCTAGATGAAGATAGAAACAGAAAGTCTAGTTTAATATATCACGTACCAGCACCTTTAGACACTTTACCATTAAATATTCTTCAAGATTCATTGATGGATCTAGAGCAAACGCATCAAGAAAAGGGACATGAAAAAATTGTCACAGAAAAAGAAAAAATATTAAAAAGTACAAGAGCAATTACACCAGTATCAGAGAGTTCATCAGTAAATCAAATAAAAAGAAGCTCACCAACACAAACAGTAGATGTTCAAACAGCTCCATCGGTTACTGTTGCTGTAAGTACTGTATCTCATTTACAGAAGAATACTACATCAGTTCCACATTTATCGCCATTATCAAAGCCCACTGAACTGACATCAAATGTTGCTAATGTTTCTCATCAGCTTCGAACTCTTTTATCTTCTCTTCAAACCAATCATTCTCAAAGCTATACTACAACACAAACTGCAATAGTTACTATGGTTTCATCAGCAACATCTGCAAGTCAAATGGGAAATATTATAACGACAGTCACTTCTTCTACTTCTAATTCTCTTAATAGCTCACCATCAAATTTAGGTTTCAAATTTCAATCTACCGCTGAAACTGCATCAACCACGCTGAGCAACATTAAATCATCTGTAGATTCAGGAACAAACGTTACATTTGCTCTTCAATTAAAAGATGCAGCAAACATCACTTCGTCATCTGGAAAAACTATACAACCAGAACAATTTTCACGAATAGTTACAAATGCAGTTCAAACACAATCTATGGTGACTTTACCAGTTACACCAATAACAAGATCTACAACTAATTCAGGAATTTCAATTACTTCAAACGCAATGTTGAATGCAATGTTATCTGGAACAACTTCTGCTAAATCTTCAATAGCAGGACCTCGATCAAATACAATGTTAACTCAAACAAGTAATTTATTGAGCTCAGTTGTACCATCAGCTTCGATTCAAAGAACACAAAATCTTCAAACAATTATCCAAGTAAGCTCCACACCTTCAACCATGGCTTCAAAAATTGTTGTTAATGCAGCTTTAAATACTGTTTCACCATCTATACAATGTGTAAAAACTGTTCCTCCACCTTTAGTAAATATGACAACAAACACCATCAATGTTACAACATCGATTTTGCAATCAACATTATCTCAGACTTCAACTCTTTTACATTCACAATTGACATCAGGTCAAATGCAATATAAAACATCAGCTCTACCAATTGATAATAAAACAAAAGAATCAGAAAGTCATATAGATTCTTCAACAAAAGAAGGAGAAGAAGCTAAAGTGGCAACACCAACAGTCAAAGTAGAAGTAGAAGGATCAAAAACAATAAATCATCGAATGGAAGATTCTCAAAACGTTCTTTTAAAACAGCTTTTACAAAATACTGCATGTGCGACTACCACAGTAGCTTCTAGCACATCTCCAACAACCAACTTACCAGCAGTATCTTCTTTAGAAGTTCAATTAGCACGTCCATTACCTCCTACTTCTTCTAATTTACTTCCACCATTGCTTAATAAAACATCCATGATAAAACTGACAACTCCAAAACAAGTGTTGACCAGAGAAACTTCATTTGTATCATTAGCTGCACCCATCAATTCGACAAGTCCTCCATTAAAGGAAGAACCACAAAAAATTAAAACTTCTATATCGCAACCTATTACGACAATATCTCAATCAACTGTTAACCAAAGATCTATTGATTCGGTAGCTGTTAAAACAACTACTCAATCTCATCAGCTTATTACGTCAATGATTCAATCAAACCAATCAACTACTATTTCAACAGTAAATCAAATGATGACTGCAATATCAAAAAATGAAGAACCAACATTAATACATCAAGATACAGTTTCAACTCAGGCATCATTACAAGTCAAGACATCAACAAATGATTCTCAATCTACTTCTATTCAATGCTCTACTCCAGTTTGTGTAACAACCACAACATCATCAATATTAACAAGAACTGATTCTACTTTAAATCAACCTATCACGACGACGGTAACACCAAAAATGAGTATATCACAAGTATCTGGTAACATCCCACCATCTTCTCAATCATCTATGCCAATTATTACGATGCCATCTCAGACACCAATGTCTGAAACTTTAACACAGCTTTCTGTACAAAAATCTTCTCCGTCTATTCAAGTGCAACGGCAACAATCACAACCTAAATTAACAGTACAACAACAACAAATATCAGACACTTCAATCCAACCTTCAGTGCCTCCAGCGATGGTCCATTCTCTTGGTCCTCATCCGCACCATCAACAAGGTACAATTACACAACATACAGTGCCTTTAGTGGAAGTTAAAAAAGAAATCCTCGATGAAGTTTTATCCGGCAGTATGCATACTCAGCTCACTGATACCAAAGACTTTTTTACTGCCAAAGAAGAATTCACCGATGGATCAATCGATGATAAAACGGGTAAGTTTCCAAATATTTTTAACATTACGCATTGTTTATTGATACTACTTTGGACAAATTTTAAAAAGATACATATAAGATTGCGTTAATATGCTAATTAAAACTGGTATATTTAATAGAAGCTAATAATTATAAAATAAATTATCAAATATTAAAGAAAAATCATTGATTTTATAAATATCTGACAAAAGTAAATATTAATTTTTTTGATGAAATTTTATGAAATGATTAAAATAATATTTATATCAAAAATATGTATATATATATATATATATATATATATATATATTTCTAGATCTTAAAAAATTAAAGAGGCGCCAATATCAACAAAAACGTCGACAAAGTCAAGGAAAAGATGTTTCAACACCACCACAAAAAAAACGTTCTAGGAAAGTTTCAAAATTAGATGAAGATTATGACACTTTTATTGATAATCTTATGATTCAATTACGCCAATTACCACAAATGACAATATTAGAACCATTATTGGGGCGTAATTTTGGAATATGTCCGATATATGGATCTGGTGATTTATCAAAAATTGGAAGTCAAAAAGATTATAATCCAAGAACTGGAGATCTCGTTGGTATTTATGGTAATGCAAAATGTCCTGGAGTATGCGATCATTATAACACTCGACCTTTTGGTGATCTTGAGCCGTCTCCACCAGAACAGCCAGTTTCAACTCAGCGAGGTTTTTATGATCAAGAATTTCCGCCATTAAAACTAGATGATTCAATAGAAAAGAAGGAAAATTTATTAACTCGTGATGTTGATACCCCTGATACAATAATTAGTTCATCATCACCTGAATGCGTTATTCCTGATTTTGTTTATAATTTTCCTGGGTTACGACTAATTGATGAAGAATCAGATGAAGATTCTGATTGGTTAAAAAGAGTTTCACCAATTTTACCACTTGTTTCACCTATTCCAATTAGGCTTAAACCAGAATTTATAAAAGATACAATAAAACAAGACAAAGAAAACATTGGAGCAAAGCTTGGGAAATCTCCACCGATTATTTTGAAAGAAAACGGAAGTGTTACAGTGACACTTACATTAAATAGTCAAGCTGCCGATGACATCATGGGAGTACTTAGAGATCTAGCTAATATACTGAATATTTCACCACCAAATGGATATCAAATAGTTGAGAGAACGACTACACCACCAAGTCAAAAATTAGGACTTTATCGAACTAAAGGAAAAGATGGAAAGGAAGGAGCTCCTATTGATATTCAAAGTATCCTCAATGGTGCTGCTAAATTCTGCCGGCACTGTGATGTTGTTATTCTTAACACTTTAATTCGGAAAAAAGTTTCGGATTTACCATTTTTAAGCAAAGAGGAAGCTGAACCTGGTGATGAATTATGTTTTTGTTCTGTTGCATGTTATATGCAGTTTGCATTAATGCATCGAACACCTGCTAATTATCAAGGAAAGGTAAAGTGTCTTTTTATTTTTAAAATTTAATTAATTAATTTTAAATATTAACAATTTTTAATGATAATATGATATAAAAAATATCAAATTTTTCTCTGTCGATTATTTCTATAAATATTAAAATTTATGAAAGTAATTGGTGGAGAAAAATGATTACTTAAAAATTATTTTAAATGATTTATTTTTATTGTTTCATAGGCTGGAGCAGTTGTTGATCACCTTTGTCAAAAATCTACAGTAAAACCAACACACAATATTGCAAAGAAACCAAACCATGAAAAAAAAGTTGTAGAAAAACAGTCTATTTTACAACTAGAAAATCATAATGTAGAGTCACTAGAAATTTGTAATGATTTAAAAATAAAAATGGAAAATGAAGAAATAGAAAATCATGACATCAAAGAGGAGCATATTCGAATAGATGAAAAACGCCCTAAAAAGCATCTATCTGAAGAACTTATAAATGATACTTCTGATGTAGGACCACCTTCTAAATTATGGAAAGGACTGCGATATAGAATTTGGAGTATTGGAGTAATGCAACCTTCCACAAAGTACAAAAAACCATCTGATAAAGACATTACTGATTTACTATTTCGCATGGCAGTAACAGTAACTCCGGTGAAAACTGATGATAGTCGACGGTGCATGTTTTGTCAAATTCAAGGGGACGGAGCTGCTGATGGGCCTGCTCGTTTATTAAATTTCGATGTTGACAAGTGGGTTCATTTAAATTGTGCCCTTTGGTCAGAGAATGTTTATGAAACTGTGAATGGTGCGCTAATGAATTTAGATACAGCTCTGCAAAATAGTCTTGTTTTAAATTGTATTGTTTGTGAAAAACCTGGAGCGACAGTGAAGTGTTTTAAAATGCGATGTACAAATGTTTATCATTTAAGTTGTGCAGTAAAAGATGGTTGTGTTTTCTATAAAAATAAGAGTACGTATTGCTCTCAGCATGTACAAAAAAATGAAAAAGATAGTGAATTAACAACATTGGCAGTATATCGTCGAGTTTATGTTAATAGAGATGAAAATAGACAAGTGGCAGCAGTAATGCATCATTCAGATCATAATCATCTTTTAAGAGTTGGTAGTTTAATATTCTTGAATGTTGGTCAGCTTCTGCCACACCAACTGGCTAATTTTCACACCCCTAATTACATCTATCCAGTCGGATACAAAATTGTACGGTTCTATTGGAGTATGAGACGACCTAATAAACGTTGTCGATATGTTTGTTCTATTCATGATGTCTCTGGAAGACCAGAATTTCGAGTACTTGTTCAAGAACCGTTTCAGGAAGATATAGAGCTACGAGATACCTCACCTAAAGCTGTTTGGAATCGAATTCTTGAATCTCTTGCAGAAATGAGACGATCAACACAAAGTGTACAACTATTTCCACGTTATGTATCAGGAGAAGATCTTTTTGGTTTAACAGAACCAGCAGTCGTACGGGTGCTTGAAAATCTTCCGGGAGTTGAAACTTTAACAGATTATCGTTACAAGTATGGAAGAAATCCACTATTGGAATTACCTTTAGCAATAAATCCATCTGGAAGTGCAAGAACTGAGCCAAGATTAAGAAATCAACTCCCATGGAAAAAACCTCACACCCAACGAACTGGCTCTTCAGCTCGAGCATCTTTTGCCCCAACTGCTACCGTAGCTGGGGAAGTTGCTTGCCCTTATTCTAAACAATTTGTTCATTCTAAAAGTTCACAATATAAAAAGATGAAACAAGATTGGCGCAATAATGTATATTTGGCCAGATCTAAAATTCAAGGTTTGGGGCTTTATGCTGCGAGAGATTTGGAGAAACATCAAATGGTTATTGAATATATTGGAGAGATTATTAGAACTGAACTAGCCGAAACGAGAGAAAAACAATATGAAGCTAGAGTAAGTTAGATATTGGTGTTAATCAGTTTATTTATTTTATTTTTATATTTTTATGTTGAATACTTTTTTAAACTTCTTGAAAATTATCTTATAGAATCGAGGTATTTACATGTTTCGTTTGGATGAAGAAAGAGTAGTAGATGCAACTTTATGTGGTGGACTGGCACGATATATCAACCACTCGTGTAATCCTAATTGTGTTGCTGAAATCGTTGAAGTTGAAAGAGATCTGAGAATAATTATTTTTGCAAAAAGAAGAATTTCACGCGGAGAAGAGGTAAATAGTTGTTTTTTTCTTCTTTTTAATTGTAATATTCATAAAAATATTAAACATTTAATCAATTTTTCTCTGAAATAAAGCAAAAATCGGTAATACAGTATAATAATAAAAGATGAAATGACCTTAACTAATGCATTATTTACTACATATATAAGAATTCTAAATTTTTTATTGTTATGCTAATAATAATAATCATCATAATAATTACTTTACACCTAATTATATAACAATAATAACGCCTATACTTTCCCCGTGATCTGGGAGGGCGTAGACTACTAAGTTTGGAGTGTCTACATGACAGGTTAGTGATAGGCCTGGCTTGTGACATCCATGAGAGCTCTGATCCTCTTCTCAAGTTCGTGAACAGCTTTGAACTATTGGGAAGGGATGCGTTCCTATATAGAGCGGCATATCAGGCAGTGCAGAACCTCGGTTAAATACTGATAAGTCAATGTAGAATGTCAGCACAATCAATATATCCTCTTGATGAAGGGCATCGAATCTTATGATTAGAGATTGTTTGAGATCAGAGCACTAAGCTACTTGGAATGAAAATTATTGGAAAGTTTTATTAGTTTTTTTTTTTATCAAAACCTTCATTATTCCTATGGCAAAAGTAGGCAAGTTTAATTTCGAATTTAGTACTGTTGAAGAGATTGAAGTAATTACCATAAATTGCGAGTAAATAGTAAATGGTTCACTTCATCATATATTTGTGGCTCAATCTCTAGTTTAATTCATAAGAAGAAAACTGTTTTGCTTTCAATATTATTTTTAAATTCACAGTGAATATTAAAATAAAGAGCCACGATTTTTATAATTAATTTTGTGGAATGGATTAATATTAATATTTATATTTTTTTATAAATTATCTTTTATGAAGGAAACCACTTTTGATGTAACTTTGAAGTCTGATGAATTCATGTCACTGAATATATATTTTTCTTATTTATTTTATATCATTTTATATATTTATGAGCTGTAAAAGAAGATTTTATATTAATTTAATAACTGTGATAATAAATATAATAATGAAATTTTTATTTTTTGATTTTCCTTAATATCGTAATTAATATTTAATTTGTATTTTTCAGCTGGCATATGACTACAAATTTGACATAGAGGATGATCAGCATAAAATAGCTTGCTCATGTGCAGCACCTAACTGCCGCAAGTGGATGAATTGAAGGCAAATCTGCTGTTATTGTTGCTATTTTATTAAATACAGACAGATATATATATATATATATATATATATATATATATATATATATATATATATATATAATTTGTATATGAACTATATGTATATTTATAAAATATATATATATATATATGTATATTATATTATATTATATATATTATATACACATACGAAATTGTAAAGTGCCATTGCAGTTTGACTAATTGATTTACCTAGTAAAGTTGGTGCTAAACCATCATAACATTCCTCCAAAGTTGTATAATATTAGTTTTTACTACAGAGAAAAAAAAATATCTGAAAAAAAATTAAACTACATGTACATTGAGCTGTGTGAACACTTTCACAATGAATTGATATGACTAATTTTTTTGCTGCAGAAAGACTAATTAAAAATAGAATATAACTGTTGAAAATGTAATAAGTCGTGTATGTAAACGAAAAATTTGTATGTTTGTATGTGAAAAATGGAAACCAAAATTTACAAAAAAAAAAAATAGGTTTCCGTATTGTAATATAAAAAAACATTAATTATAGCATATACTTTGCACTGTGTTTGTACATAGTTAGAAATTCATATTATTTTGAATCACCAGAAAGTTATGTATCATAACAGTACCTAATGTAGAATTATATACAATTATAACTATTTGATTATACCTTAATAAATCGATAACAAATTTTATTTTTTATTTTTTAATTTGTAACATGATTTATTAATAGCTGTTAAACTATATTTTCATAATTCGTTCAATTACTATCTATATGATTTTAATACTAACAATAAGTTATTATATCTCCATTAAAAAAATCTAATATTCGATTTTATTTATTACAAAACATAAAGCCAAAGTGCTAGCGTTTTTAAGACACAATTACTTATTTTGTCACTTTTTTAAGCTGTTTCACTGTGTTGAAAATATGATTTACTGTTAGCACTTTATAGAGACGTACATAGACTCAATCATCAATCTTTTACATGGGTCATAATTAAAATAAAAATAATAGAAGCATTTTTTATTCTTTCTTTTATTTATAAAATCACTCATTATTATTTATTAATTATTGTACGGTATTCCAATTTTATTTATTCCCTACATAATCTATTATACAGTAAATATAAATAGATTAAGCCAACTAGCTTTCTTCCTATGTAAGACATTCTGTCATATTGGTACGAAAAGTTTCAATTTTTCCGAAGGATAAAAAAAATTTTTTGTAGAAGTTTGATGAAAAAAATTGTAAAGGAATTTTTAATCATCTTTTCACAGTAGTAAATGTTGTATGACAATAAAAGATACTTCTTTTTTCCGTAAGACCGATTATTTTTAAGATAATTTTCATTAACGTATAAAAAATAGTGTGTATCCTTTTACACTTTTGTATTGAGTATACCCGACAATCAGTATGAAAGTACTAGCAAATAATTATTAATTCCAGATGATGGAATTTTTATGGTTAACCATTTTTTCCAATAATATTAAATATTTTCTAAACATTAATTAATCAACTACTTAACAATGCTTAATGAACAAAGTAAAATAGGTGTTCTGGTATGTGCCTACATTGAACATACAATTGCCTTAACTATTCAAATATAACAATTCCTAGTTTTCACTTTATTAAATATATATATTTTTCATTAATAGTTACAATTCACCTTCATTTGTTTATTATAGTTTCCAAAAACTTAACTATTAATTTATTTAAAAAATAACCACCTTATATACATTTAAGATAAAGTGACCTTTTTAAAAGCAAAATATTGGAAAAATAGCTTTGAAATACTTGGATATCTACTATTAAGTCTCTAAATTTTTTGTGAAAAATAGAACTAAATATCCAAAATAGAATACACTTTTTTTAGATTAATCCAGACTCATTAGAAATATCAAATGAAATTATAATACAATTAACAATATCAAATATGATTTATTTTCTGCTCTACTGGTCTGATTAATAAATCAAATTAAACTTAATACCTTATAATCTGCTTGATAAGATTAAGTATTATTTTCTGAAAATAATTAACGTAAATTTTGTAATCACAATAAAAAAATAAAAACTACTGACAAAAAAAAAGTGTATCGATACAAATAAAGAGTCCGAGCTCGATTATTAATTACAAAAGAATATTTTTTGGCAAATCCTTGAAGCAGTTTATTATAATTATTAAAAAAATATCTATAAAAAACCCTAGTTTTTAAAATTTTTCAGATTTTTCGTATACATAGTATTAAAGGTAGAAATAAGTGTAAATACAATGAGTACAATTTCAACAAAAAAATTAATTTATTAAAGCTATTTAAAATATATATAATTAAATATTCTACGCGTTAGTTTTGAATTACAAAAAATCACTTGTAATCGTTCATTTTTAATTAATGTTTTTGTTTTTTTTTATTAAAATTCCTCTATATATATATATATATTGTTAGAAAAGAAATTTTTATAATTTAATCACAATTATAACAGCAATTTAATTACAATAAAATTAAAATGAAATTGATAAAAAATTAATAAAGCATTAATTAAATTATTGACATTTATAATGTCTTCTTTTTCTATAGATCTTAGAGATTCTATAAACTTACTGATGATCTAGAAATTTCATACAACAAAATTAATAACTAAAATTTTATGAATCATTTATATAAGTTCATTTTGATATGCACAATGGAAATACATGATTTACCGTGAAATTTGTGTGTACTTATGTTTCTATTTTGTCTTTAATTAAAATCATAAACATTAAATTTTATTTTTTAATAACTTTGTCATCCAGGTCGACATATATTAAAGCCAGAAAATTGCCAACGCCTTTCCATATTAGCACCAATGCCAGAAAGTTCTTGTTTGAACACTTGAGGAAATCTTTGCATCAAAGCTTCTACTTCACTAGGTCTGATTTCTGGTTCTATTTTTTGTAAATAAGACCATAAATAATCTACACTTGCTCCGAATGGATGAATATGAAGAAATGTAGCGATGAGACCTAAATAGAATTAATATTGTAATAATTGATTACCAAATACATTCATGAAAATTTTACATAATTTTTTTAATTTAATATTTTTTAACTTAATAAATACGTTTCCATTTTAAGATAGTAACTTTTTTCCGAACCATACCAAAAATTGATCTTATCTTAGTTAAATGAAATGAAGATTGAAAATTTATTCATTTATAATAATAAAAAAATTTATTGTATGACTCAGTTTTACCATAAATACTTGAGAAAACTCAAAAACTGAGTTGACCCAGTAAGATCGTAAAAATTCAGTAACAAATACATCAATTTGTTGACATGAGATCGTTTTTATAAAATAATATTATTTAACTACAAAATAATAAAATTTAATGAACGAGAATGGATTGATGAGCGGCAATTGTAATATTGATTGTAATGTTATATTAATCATACCAATAAGCTTCGCATCCTTTTGTGTTACTTGCACATATCCCGACATAGATCTAGTAACACGAGACTCTTCATTGATGTCATCGTCTTTATCCAACGTGATTACTTCGTTTTCCGAAGATGATGGTTCTTCAGGTATTTTTGAAGCATTTAATTGAGTTGTTAAATCTCGGATCGTTTGATCATCCTGGACTTGTTGTTTTTGAGATTGCATCAACTGCTCTTGCATTCCTTTTAATGTTTGTTGTAACATTTTTATTTGTTTATTCTTATTGTCAATTTCTAATTTTGTCTCTGACTTTAATAAATCAACCTATTGAAAATGATTGAAATATGAAAAATAAACAGAAACTTTTAGCAGTTGCATTACTTTCAAACTTACCTCATTTTTATATGCTTCAAGTTGACACCTCAAACTTTCTGATTCTTCTTTCAGTGATTGAATACCACTTTCTGAGTTATCAGTATTACGTTCAGTAGTATGTTGTAACCGAGATTTTTTCTTCTGAGGTTCTTCTTCTGAATCAGAAACCTCCATTTCCCCTTCACCCTCCATAAGAGTCTCTTCTAATTGTACAGCTTTGATTTCCTGTCATTTATATGAAAGAGTGATTTTTGAAATTTTTCACAGTTTATATGATGAACATTTGATTAACATAAAAATGGGGAAAACAATATAATGCATAGCATGCAATAGTAATAGTAATAATAATATAAATAAGTAATTTTTTTAAAATTATTCATGTCATTTACATGTTTATCACTTTAAAAGTCAAATTTATATATAAACGACATTAAAATAATGAAATATTTTTACATTACTCATATACATAATATTATATTAATACCAAGTACTATATGAACTAAGAAATAATTAATGTTTGACGTAATGAGCAATAATATTTTTGTTCATTTCGTCACGCATGTAAAATTATTAATTAATGTTGTAATTTATAATTGAATATAATGAAATATCAACTAACAAGTATATATACTTTGAAAATAAAACTTATTAATTGATAAAATAATTAATAATTTCATTCTTAGGATTACTTGTTATAGTAAAATACCCGATACTCAATAACGAGTATCTATTTGTCTATCAATTTAAATTTAGATATTTAATTTCACGATAAAGTTACAGTTATTGAAAATTATTTTATTTACAAATACAAAATTAAAATCAAAGTTAACGAAAAGTTAAACTTTAAAGTAATATTGGAGATCTTTATTCTCTTAATTTGTTCGAGTCATTGATCATTTTATTACGCAGATAATTCAAAGATAATTTTAAACGTAAAATTATAAATTTAATTTTTTTTTCTCCCAATTAATTATTCATTTATTAATCAGTTCAATCATTCAATTAATAATTTTTCATTAATTGATATATAAATAATTTTAACTTTTTTGCCAGATACTGATTAAACGTCTACGTTGTCTGCTATCCAATGATTTATAAAAACAAAAATCAAGAAGAATTTAAAATTTTTACATACTAATATGATATATTAATGATGTTTTTGAATAGATTACTGATAAATGGACGAATGAATTAAAAAGTTACTATTTCTTCATCTCATTAAAGCATAAAGTAATTTCGATGACTCGTTCAAGATAACTTACCTGATAGTGATGTTAATTCATCATTGTTGACAGTCGCCAAAGTCATATACTATGTTATAATATTGAAAGAACTAAAAAAAGGGGAGGCGCTATTCGTTTCGAATATTTTGCTGAAAGGTACAAATACATACCGATGACTGTTTCTTCCACATTTCGATGTTTTTCCTCTGTGCCTTGGTGAAATGATCCCATACTTTCTTATGGCTGGCCGCAGTAAACACACGTTCAATCTGACTGACTGTCGATGGACGCGGGTGTAGCACGTCGCATACGCAAAAAAAAACACAACAAATCCTCTGTTGTATCCACGGTTAAATTCTGCTCACATCTTACTTTTTTTCTCCAACTCTCTCTTTTCTTAAATATAATATTTTCGCAAAGTTTGTTGATAATTTGTCGCAAGTTAGATTTAGATACCTTCAATTGTTACGATTAGCCAATTTTTCATCAATTAAAAATGACGTTATGATGAAAATTGCTCCACGATTATATTTACTACGAATAATGTAACTCGTTCTTGTAGTTTTGTCAATTTCAATTAATGCAGTATACTATTATGGAGCTTATACATTCCATCATCAAGATAACTCTGGACATAAGACAGATGTATTTTAAATAACATATTAAACAAAATAAAACATATAAATTTTTTTACTTTTTAATGCTTCATCTCCAGAATTATCGCAATAAAGAAACTTTCCCAACACACCGTACAACCCTTAGCATTGTCAAGCATGCAATTTAAAAAAAAAAACTATACCCTATATTTATATACCCAATAGTATAATTTTTGTTTTATTATAAATTTTACATACTAACTTTCCTCATGAAAATCTTGACTCCAATAAACTAAACTTACCAGGAAAACCAAAATTTGTATGGATGAGTGAAACCTTTTGTGGATGTAATGAATATACACATTAAGACTATGAGATCTTGAGACTGTTGCCTCTATATCGTAGAGAGAAAAAGAGAGAGAGACAGAGGCTATTCATAAGTTAGTGTAAAGAAACTTACATTGAATAAGTAATCCTTGTATTCTGCCTTTCATCAATTCTTTAGCTCGTTGAAGTTCTTCTTCATACGATACTTTTTCACTCAATAATCTTCGAACATGTGAATTTGTAGATTGAATCATTGAGTAAAATGTATTGGCATTCCGTTTAGTACAATCACCACGTTCTAGCCATGTAACGACAACCTATCGATTAAATAGACATACAAGCATGATCATCATCAATAACCATTTAACGAACAAAAATATAAAAAAAAAATACCTGTACAGCTTTCATAAATGTATCATCTTGTTTAATTTTTTCACATATATTAGAAGCTTCATAATCAGTATAATGTACTATTGGTGGAGGACTTGATGGTGGTCTTTGTCTTTCTTTTTCAACCCTTTCTCTATGTCTTTGCTCTCTTTGCAATTGTCTTTGCTTACATTCCCATTCATACTGATCATCTCTTGCGTAAATATGAGCATAATCAACATACAACCTTCCAGTATTTGATGCATCCACCACAGAACCAATTCTAATTCTATACCCTGATAGAAATATAGCTGCATCGACGCTGGATTCGTTTGAAAAACGTATGTGACAAAAATTTTTCTTAGATAAACGAAGCGTAGTGATTTCACCGCATCGTTCAAATATTTCATGTATAATTGTTTCTGTAATATTTTCTGGCAATCCACCGACAAAAACAGTTCGACATCCTGGAGGTTTTTCTCTAGTTGTTGGTACTGGTATATTAGGATTTGGTGGAAGAAGTATACAACTTTTACAATGAATAACATCTTTAGTATTTAAACTACTGTTTTGTTGTGGTGACATACTTGTAGCAGACGATGGTGGTAATCCTGCTGATATTATTTGCGCTGTAGTATCATTGATATGAAGTTGCTCAGGTCCACCAAGCATTTGAGCACTAAGAACTGTACTATCACAATGAGGAATCATTCCCATACTGATTGGTGGACCATATCCATGAGGAGGTGCACCCATATGAGGTCCTAAAGCTATTTCACTCATCATAGCACTCATTGGATTCATTGGACCCATTCCCATCACTTGATATCCTACGCCCATACTCCAAACACTAGGAGTAGTAGCAGTTTCAATTTGAGGAGTAAAACTGTGGGAATTTGTTGTTAGAGTTTGACTATTTAATGATGTCATTTGTGTATTACTACCACTGTTAGCACTATGACTGTTATTGCTTGAGGTCAAATTTACCCGATCATCTAATCTTCTATCTTCTCGTCTTTCTTTTTCATTACGTTCATCCCGTCTGTCTCGTTCCCGATCGCGTCTATCATTTCTATCACTTCTTCTTCGATTATTATCACGATTATCTCTATTCGAGTCTCGATTATCTCCACAATCTCGTCTTGATTCATTTTTATCATTTCGTATTCTATCAAATGATGAATCTTCTGAATTATCACGTCCACTTGGAGGTTGATTTTTATTTGTGCTGAACTCAAGAGGAGAGTCGTTCATTCCTGGCAGTGGAATGGATGGAGGAGGTGGTAAAGGTGGAAAACCTTGTCCTGTTAATTCCATGAAACTTTGAGGACCAGCAATAGGTCCAAGTGGACCCATTGGACCAATACCTATAATAATTATACAGTTATATAAGGTTTATTGACATATAAATATTGCAATATTATTAGGTAAGCTGTAATTTATTAGTTTATCTGAACTCAATCAATAAGCTATAGAGGTTTAAGTTAATAAAACTTACTCATTGGAGGCATTCCGGGTGTTGGCATTCCAGCAAAATTGTAAGCCATGGTATAATATTTAAGTTTTCTACTTTAACGTAAAAACAATTTATTTTTCCTCTAAACTATCTAATTGATAATAATAAAACTTAATTAAGCTATTACACACTTTTCATGCTGTTGTAAAATTCATTAACATGAATTGACTGTAAAATTTATCTAAATTAATTTTTTATTGACTAGTACAAAAATTTTGTTCTAAATCCCGAATCAGGAATATTAGAGCACACTGACTGACATAAAAAAAGAAAAATGCTCATAATATGGCGACTGTAAGTTTAATTGGTAGTAAATCTAATTTTGACTTATGATTTCATGGTGTTTATTGTTGATTGCACTCCATTTATAAATCACTTACACATTTATTTGCAACTTTGTTTACTTTTATAAAAAAATGTACAATGCTGTCATAATTTATCATGATGAAAATCTAAGAGGGGATAATTTACTCAATGAACACGTTAAAATACACACAGCCACACTAACCAAAGAAATAATGTCCCCACTCTTTCGACTCTACAGTATAGTTTCTCCTGGAATCAAACTATCCAATCATCGAATAGAATACATAGGTAAAACAGAATACTATATTAGTTCAATTAGACAATATAAATTCGATCCAACAACTCTCAAAACTAAGCTCATATGTAACATATTCAATTGGTAATTGTTGGATCAAAAATTTCAACTGTAAACTTATTTAATCAGAATTTGCCTTTCATTTGATTATTGGTTTTTTTCAGCAAATCAGTTGCTTTTAATTGTCTTCATTTTATTACAAAAATATATAAATGTTATTCTATTCTAATAGAATAAAATCCTAAATAGATTGGCAAATAGAAATAGACAATTTTACCTATATAAGATGAATGACACTGTCAAATTTAACACAGGTGATGTATAAACAAATCTTAAAATCATCTTATTATACACATAAAATGATTGAGAAATAGAAAAGAGTATTAAATAAAATAATTACTGATCAATATAAATGAATTTTTACTAAATTTATTTCTGTAAATTTATATTTTCAATACTTATTCATAGTTTGTTAACAGATTGTATATTACAATGTCTATATTAAGTAGATTTTTTTTTATAAACGTGTAAATAATTTTCTACTATAATTAGCACTCGTTGGTATAAAAAATTCGAACAAAAAACTATCGAGAACACTTTTCAACTAACGTACAAGAAGGTTTTAGAAAAATATTAAAATAAAAATGTATATTTTCTTTCCTTTATCGTTGTGGATCATCTTCTATTTTTACTGATAAAATATTGAGCTTTTTCAATAGTTCTGTGTTAATAAAAAATACTAGATATGCTGTAGTTTGACCTGCATTTAATGCCTCAGATTCAGTCATAGGTGTAACATCCATATCATTATAGTGAAACCATTGATTTGCATGTTTTACATAACTAGTATAATGGCCATAATCAATTGAGTGTCCAACATGAGCTATTATGCATATTGGTTGAAAACTATGAACTGTATTATTGCTATCATTCATTTGAAGATCACTGGGAATATCAACGGGTGCATTAATTTTTTCCACTGTTCCTTCTGGTGTCATACCGTATCGATTTATCTGAATGATTAAAATATTCGGACATCCTCGAAATGTTGTTGATACATGATGTTTGTTATATTTGCATTTTACACAAATAAAATTTCTTTCTTCAGGCTCCATACTTTTAAAAATTAAGTCAGTCAAACTTAATAATTCGTTTTCTTTGTTCGGAAGATCAACGTAAAACATCAAGTTGTCAATGTTATTTTGACGATGTTTATTACAACCTTGACAGGTGTAATGTTCTATCATATGAAGTAAAAAAAATTCATCTATCGGATTATTGGACCTTGAAGATTCATCTTGTTTCAAAGAACAAGGATAAGTAATGTGTGGCAATTTAACATTTATATCAGTGGTAGAATTTCTTCTTTTTGATGGAGATGTCGAAGTTAACGATGGCCGTCTTTTAGATGTTAACATTGGATGCAGGTTCACTTTATCTATTGGTAGTTTATTGCGATGATTTTCGGATAGATTTTCCATGTCTTCAATTAAATTCATGTTCAATGAACTTGTTTCTGTAACAAATTTTTCACACTCAGATCTAACATAATTTAAAAATATCATTAAAAACTCTGAAACATCTTGTTGTTTTCTTGATGAATATGATTCATCTAAAACGCATAATTCATCTTTAAATTTTTTTAAAGCTTGATAAGTTTTCTCTTTTTCAGCCGCTCCTCTTTTCCAAAATACCTGCATTGCTATAAATGTTTTAGTTAGTCGAGAACATTCATTGAGAACAAAATTATTTAGATATTCAATCAATGGAAGAACAAAAAGTGCATGAAGAGTTGCATTAAGCCAACATTGATTCTCTCCTGGTGGATTCGGAAAACCTGTCATGTAATACGGTATATTTAGATTCGTTTCATTTGTATTAATATTTGTTGTATCTGACCATAGTGATTTAATACGTTCCGTTTCTGACCATGTTGAATGATTATTTTTCGTATCTGACCATATGACATCATCTTGGCTATCAGTTTCGTCTTTTAATGAAGTTGTATCATCATTATGTACGTCTGGATTAATATTATTAACATAGTCATGTTGTTCCACATATCTAATACTTTCATTTTCACCGTCACAGTGACAATTTGACTCATAAGGAGTATAAATATGATTATTGTTGTTATTGTCATCATGGGCTTTGTTGTTAGCTTCTTTTAAATATTTCATAGCATTAAATATTTTTGACCCACGTTTTCGTTTTCTTGAATTATTACTTTTTTCAAGTTTATCTTGATTTGAAGAATCAGACGATTCAGTAGAGAAAACATCAATTTGATTTGAACAAAATATTGACCAAAGATCTCCTCCAGTATTGTTAGTACTACTTAATTTTTCAGTAATATTAGACTCTAATATTTTTTGTGACATCCCAAGTGTATCTTGTTAAATATTATTTCAATAATTGTAATGAGTAGAAACATTCTTTTTATAATCTTGCCTCTTTAGAATTTTTTTACTGTAAAATAAATAATATATTATGAAAGAAAAATATTTTTGGTAAATATTGAAAATGTACCAAACAAATACTTACATGATTTTGGTAAATTTATTTTAATGTCTAATATATTGTCTTAATAAAGAGAATATATTATAAATTTCAAGTACAATATTGCCTTTTATAATATACATCTCGCATTTAATTCACAATTTTTTCAGTTAAACAATGAAATAAATTGTCTCTATACTACTCTGAACTAATGTAACTGATAATTATTTTGTTTGCACTAATTGTTAATAAAACTAATATAAATCAAATAATTTATTTATAAATTACAGAATATAAGTAAATAATAAAGAATAATTGCTATTAACTCCACTTTTTTATTTGTCTTGACCCTTGTATATAATATGTATATTTATTGTAAAATCTAAGAATATAATCGGTATGGCGGCAATAATTGGCGCCAAAGTTGATATAGTAACAGAAAACAATTGCTGCGATCATAAACCATAAAAAATAAGGACAGAAATACTAATGGCGCGTGCGCGTTCTCTCAAAGGTAAAGTGTTTTTTTGACTCAACATAGTCAATTTCAGAAATACTATCCAATGGAAGTACTCATATTCTTTTATGAATGCACTATGATTGGACAATTCGAAAACAAAAGTGCAACCCTAACTAAAGTAGAGTTTTCAAAAATTTTAGGGTTTTTCTTACGGTAGTTAACTGATTCTATATACATGTATATTTATTGGTCTGACTATACTATGTATGCTTTATCGCTTTTTGTTTGTAAATAAGCCTTTGTAGTATGAACTAAGTACCTCATCATGTCTTCATACATTTATACCCTTAACCTTATGATGTATACGTGTATCGTAGTGATGTGTATTGGATATACATAAGTTGAAATTGATAAAACGTAAATTATCATATGATATTATGTTGTCAATTGGTTAGTATAAGTAAACTAGTGTGTTTTAAAATGGCAGACTTAAATGAAAAGTTACTATTAGAACTTTTAAAAAAGCCTGGAAACAATGAATGTGCTGATTGTGGAGCTAAAAGTAAGATATATTTATCACATGGGTTGTATTGGAAATATTACTTTATAAATTATACACGAATTGATCGAGATTTTTATGTTACTCATAGTAATAGGAGGAATTTGCGAGTTGTATTATTTAATTGATAATATCATTCATATAATATTAATGTAAAAGTCATTTAGAATCTTCCTCCTATTCCTATCATTATGACTTGAAATACTGTGCATATTATATATATATATATATCATTATAAATATAGTATTTTTATGAGAAAAATTTATTGTTTTCTTTTCATGCTAGATGTTGATTGTATATGTTTTTTACTGTTAAAGTAATTATCATTTTAAGCAATTATAAATTGAAGAAAATCGCTCAAAGCCGGCATGTATTACAGACCCCGAATGGGCTTCTTACAATATTGGAGTGTTTTTATGCACAAGATGCGCTGGCGTACACCGATCCATGGGTGCACATATTTCGAAAGTAAAACATTTGAAATTGGATAGATGGGAGGATTCACAAGTTACCAGAGTAAGAGAAGTTGGAAATAATGCAGCAAGACTTTATTACGAAGAAAGGGTACCTCCATGTTACAGAAGACCAACTGAAAATACACCCCAGTACATTTTTAAAATTTTCTATATAGTACATCTAATTAATAATTTATTTTCATTCGATTAATTTAATTTTTTTGCTTCATGTAGAGTTTTAGTAGAACAATGGATCAGAGCTAAATATGAAAGAGAAGAATTTTGTCATCCTGAAAGACAAAACCAATATGTTTCTGGATTTATGGAAGGATTTTTGATGAAAAGAGGAAAAGAAGATTCACGATATCACCCTCGTAAATTTGTTCTTTCTGAAGCTGATGATACCTTAAAGTACCATGTGAAAGAACACAAAGATCCTAAAGCAGTTTTAAGAATATCAGAATTGAATGTAGCTTTCGCACCACCGAAAACGGGAAATCAAAATAGTCTTCAAATTTCATTTATGAAAGACGGTTCCACGCGTCATATTTATGTTTATCATGAAGATCCAGAAATTATTACCAATTGGTATTTAGCTATCAGATGCGCCAAGCTTCACAGGTTACAAGTTGCATATCCTGGTGCATCAGAAAATGAATTAATTTCTCAATTGACTAGAGATTTTCCAAGAGAAGGTTTCCTCTGGAAAACTGGACCTCGACATTCTGATGCTTACAAAAAAAGATGGTTTACTTTGGATGGCCGAAAATTGATGTATCATGATGATCCCATGGTAATATTTTCATTCATAAAAGAAACTTTAATTGATCAATATTTATTACCGTTATTTAATTACAAAAATTTTGTACTTAGGATGCTCATCCAAAAGGAGAAATTTTCATTGGACATAGCTCAGAAGGATTCTCAGTAAAGCTTGGTGTTCCACCAGGAGCAAAGGATCAAGGTTTTTCATTTACTCTCGAAACACCAGATAGAAGTTTTTTGTTATCTGCTCAAAGTGATGACGATCGAACCCAATGGATGAATGTTATTCAAAAAGTTATTGACAAACCTTTGACACCACAAGATGCTACTGGTAAGAAATAATATATATATATATATTTTTTTAAATTTTATTTATAAAGAGGAAACATTTAATTATATACAAATTTAAATTTAAGTTGCAGCACGTTTAATAAGAAAACGTACAGCTAGTGGTACAATGAATATATTTTCATCAACAAGATAGAGTTAAATGAATCGATCAAAATCGTATTTTTAATAACATTAGAATCTAATTGTATCTTATATTAATAATGTACGATAATATTGATTACATCATACAACGATAGAAAGCATAACAAAAATTTGATCTAAAAAAATGAACGTATAACAATTAAAAACTTGTAACGTCACTAAGGAGATAATGATTATTTATAGACAATTATTAGCTTACGTAGTTTCACAAAAGAATATAAGACTGACAATAAAGCATCAATGCATGTAACCTTTCTCATGCAAGTTATACTTATTTAATACATTCATTTGTAAAACTTATTTCATATTAAAAACTTTCACTGAATTGAGATTGATTTAACTCGAATGTTATTCATTTTAATAATTATGTGAATATTTTATATTTAATTATCAAAAATTATGATTAAGAATAGTTTTAACGATAATAAATATATTTTTATTTTCGGAAAACCAAACTTTAATAATTATGTGTTATCACGAATTGAATATTGATAAGATTGTGCATCATAATTTCCTTTAAGTAAACTAACATATTTTCCTATATTTTAACAATGTTTGTTTACATACCAATAACAATCGTATTCATGACTTTATATTTATAATTCGATTTAAAAATAATTATCGTAAAATTTACCGATATTTTTCAAACTTCAAGTAATAGATTGAAAAAATTATTTTAATACGATTCAAACAGTATTGTAGGAACATTTGAATGTAATTTATTTTATTCTATTGTGTACATTTACTTCCGTCCAATTCACTATATTAATTACATATGTAAAAATATTTTTAGCTACACGAACTATCCAATTTCTATCAACAATATCAAATATCATGTACATAACTTATGCAAAAAATTACGAATAAAATAAGTAGTTATATTTAGTCTTTTGCAAGTATTTTATCGCTCAAATATTAGACCATGAAATAACTAAATTGATCAATAAATAAGTTTAAATTATATTGTAAACTTTCATATAAAAATAATTAAATTTACCAGATAGTATTGAATTTTTCTAAAAATCATATAAGCCAAGTTCAGTGAAAAAACATAATTTTGTTAATTAAATAATTATACACTCAACAATTATAACATTGACATAAATGTTTAAAAAAATTATTTGATTGACTAAATAAAGAGGAATTGTTAAAACACTTTAATTTTTTATTTACTTATGCAATTGTTGGTGTACGTTTAAAATTACATAAAATATTAACCCAACAAAAAGATGCAATACTGACATATAAAACTCTGTAAGTAGGATGAACTAGTAAAAAGTTTATAAACTGCACCGGAAGCCAAAACAAACAAGATGTCTACCAAAAATAAAATTATTAATATAAAATATTCGTATTTGTATAAGGTAAAAACATCAATAGATGAATACTTTAGACCAAAAGATGAACAAAACGTTAAAAAATACTACCCATTTAAAGATAATTTATATCAAAAGAGTTAGATATTATTTTAATTAATCAGCAAGAATTAATAATTTGTCCATCTATTGGTCTGCTCACTCTAAGTTAAATAATTAAAAGTATTAAAAATTACCTCAAATGTTTTTAAAAATTTCATTTGAAATTCATGTAAAATATCACTTTTTCCTTCCATCAAGCTCATACCTGAAATAAAAATAATTCATTAAAATTCATAAAAAAAACAAATTATTCGTTTGCCTAATTTTCTATGATACTTACTTGTATAAAATATAAAAAGTAATGCTGGAGTTAACATAAATTGGTCACACATTAGTTTACTGATAACAATTTTTTGAGATGTTCCTACGAACGCTTTATCTAGCCATAAATACCTAATAAAAAGTTTTAAATAAAATTTCTTTACAATTTACGAAAATAATTATAATAAAACACTAATAATTTATATAAATTAAAAATGAATAAAAAGTATATTCATTTTGAAAATTTTATGTATATGTTATACAAAAAACATACATATATTTACGGTTAAAAATATATCAATTATTTGAGGAAAAATATTTTCTTTTTCTATATTTTTAATATTAATACATGAAATATTATAAATTTAAATTAATTGATTATTTACCATCCATGAAGAATTGGTCCAGCTATACAATAGCCATAAATGAAATATCTCCCAATAATTGACCAATCAGTTTTCAAATTGATAATTTCTAATTCAGTAATCTCAGTAGAAAGAGAATTCAATTGATTCTTAATATTAATTTTTTCAATTACTTGATTTTCAGTATGTTTTTTTCTATGATACATCTGTTGAATAAACTCCGCAGTTACATAGAAAGAACCGTAGATAAAAGAATTAAATAACATAGGTTTTTTTGTAATAAAAATTTTCACTTGTGATAAAAAAGCCATTATTTTAATAAAAATCAATTATTCAATGATAAAATTTTTCACTAATAAACAGAAAAACGTTTATTGAGTTATGCTTCATAGACGGATACTCAAAATATAATCTGTCAATCTATTAACTATAAAATTTATTCAAAGTAACTGTGTCTCTATGTGTGTGTGTGTGTGTGTGTGTGTATGGGTGTGTGTAGTCGTAGCTATTATGTACATAGATAAATCGAATACATCACAGGAAATATGTATACGAGGAGTTAATAGTACCGTCAACCGGTTCTATCTGTATAAATACTTAAATAAGACTTTCAATCATTTTTTCATCTAACATATTATTGTAATCTGATGTTTTATATAAATTTTAATAATTTAAAAATCATTAAATTGTATATTTTTAAAAAATATTTAACTAAGTTTTACCAGCTCAAATTAAACCTTAACTTGGCACGTGTAGCAAACAGGCGTCCACATTAGACCCAAAAATGATTCATGAACGCATTTTGTTGAAATTTCATAGTTATTATGGACGCATTATTCATTATTTTAGGGATTATGATTCTTCTATGCGTTCGTAATTAAAAACATTTTTTAACTTTCATTCGACTTTGATTAATACTCAGTAGTTGTTTTTTAAATAAAAATTTTTTTTAATTTTCTATATTGGAATTTTCTATACAAGAATATTCCACGTCATCATTTTCTTTACGAATTGAATAATCAGTTTCGTCTTTTAGAAAATTTATCCAGTCGGTATCCACAGTTCGTTCTAATGTTACTTCATTCCATATTGAACTTTTTTCAACCTAGAATTAATTATTTTTAATTAAAACTTTATAAAAGTTTCTCTTAAAACTTCAAATTTGATCCGAAAAATGTATATAGAAAAATAACTTTAATAAAATTTCCAACATTCTTTTTAATTTTGATTCTCTACTAATAAGATCAATGCATTCTTAATGATAAATTAATTAAAACTATAATCATCCCAAGAAAAAACTAAGTCGAAAGAGATCTACATTTTTTTTATTTTTCTAGATTTATTTAAATCTAATAACTCGACGAAAATGCAATTTACTTAAATATATGTATATCTAGTGATATTAGTATATGTATAGTATGGATAAATACAAATTAATTAAAAATTTGATAATTAAACCAAATAAAATATTTTGAATAAAAGCTTAGTACATATACATAATATAATGTATACATATATATATGTATATATCGCATTCATCCTATAGGGTAAATACACTAATTAACAAACAGTTAAATCTAAAAAACAAGTGAAAAATGAAAAGGTGAATGGATGAAGAAAAGAATTGAGACAAAATTATCTTACAAGATATTAAAATTTTCTCTTCTAATTATAAAAAATTACTTTCTCGCAGGATAATTAATTAATAAATCTGTTTCAACGTGTGGGTGCTGTTGATCTTCTCGAGTAGAAATTTTCTTTTGAAAAAGTCTTCTGATTAAACATCTCTAGTAGCCAAATCAACCCTAGTAGCCGTTAAGAAACAGACTGCCGTCAGACTTACGTATGTTGCTGTATTTTGGTTTCCTAACGTAAGATCAACATAAAATCATCGTCAGGCGTCAGATGCTGCCGCAGAAAGAAAACAGACGTACGTAAGTCTGTCGACACCCGGGAAAAAATAAAATAGATCTACATTTTCGCCATTTTTTAGATCTAATTTGATCTACTTATATCTAAAAAACTAAAGAAAATTTGATCTAAGTAAATCTATGTATATCTAGTGAGATCACTGTATATCTATACAAATTACTGTATGGCTACAGGGATCTCCATTGATCTCGATGATAAGAAAAATTTAATGCATCTACAGAGATCACAAAAGATCTAAAGCGATCAAAACAGATGTACACAGAACAAAGTAGATCTAATTGTACCAAAAAATAGATCTCAGTAGATCAATGTAGATTTATTTTATTTTTTCTCGGGTTAAGAAAAACTATAAACTCATAAGAAATTTTTGTGTTATGAACAATAAAAGAAAACATATTACAATCAAATAAGAAAAGAAATTTTTAAATAAAGTTTTAAATTTTTAAAATAAAGGTATAAAACTTTACTAAACATTAATTGAAGCAATTTTGGTAATCTCAATCCTAAAATAAGGATAAAAGTAGCTAAAAACATGTTTCTGATTCAGAAATTAAAATTTAGAAAAGAGTGAAAAAATCTGAAAAAGAATTTAATTAAAAAATTAGGGATTGGAAAAGGTTGAAGAAGCATAATTAGCGTCATTTTTTTCTTAAATTGCTAGTAAAAAAGGTGCGGAACGGCAAATTTTGTTGAAACATATGAAATGGCTAATTTTCACCTTTATCACGCATTCTAGATTGACTAGATTATTCTAGTCTCGTTAACTATTTTTTTAGAAAAGTACATTCTAATTAGTATTAAAAAGATTTTTTTTTTGCTATTCACAATATCTTCATTGGAATGTTTTTATTTTTTCTCTAAAGAGATTCGATACCACGATTTGAGGGATAAAGATAAATTAATAAGTTTTTAACATTTAAAAAAAAGATGATGTTAAAATTTTTTATTTGAATCCGATTATAAATTTATTATGTTAATACTCTTCCGATATTACTCAGTAATTTTATAGCAAAACTGATTTCTATATATGTACTATATTCAGAAATAGTCTGTATATATCAAACATTGCTAATTTAGCGAGTAGTATTGCATTAATGTGTATTATATGTATGAAAATTGAATTAAATTCATGTTTTACGTACCTCTTGAAACTGTAGCTTAGTAAACATCTGTATACTTTCTTTATTATCGAGTTTTATTTTAGCACGATATTTAGTGGCCTCTAATAGATCTATACCTAAAAATAAAACCAATGCATGAAATAGTTGTTATCATGGAAGTGATAAAATGAATTACCATATCGTAACATAAGTATCATAGCTTCCCATCCCATACGCTGGCCTCTAGCATTTACATCCGCAATCATAATTTCACATTCTGCTGTGTAACATTCTTTTGGATCATTGAAATATAAATTTGTGTCTCCAATCATTGAAACTACGTCATCTTTGGAGTTGGTAAACTTTTTGCGATCCAGGATAATAAAGGTACATTCTTAAAAAAGGAATATACAAAAATTATGCATATATGATTATAAGGATGCAAAATGATAAAGGTTGTAAGTTTAGCTAATAAGCTGAGGAGTCTGACAAAAATACTGAAAAATATGTAATACAAAATGCTTCTTGACGTTTATTGAAATTTTATTGTTGAAAAAAAAATATTTATCAATATAAATCATTAACAGAGAAAAAATGACTTTTTTTCTCGATTTGAGAAAACAAATTAGTTTATAAATATTATGCTTTTTACAAAATATATTATAACTATAATTTATTATTAATATACATACTATAATAAATAATATTTATTATGAATGTATCAGAAAGAATCTATTGGTAGAAGTGATAACGTTTCCTTTTATCCAGTACTGTAAAATTTTGCAAGAACGAATACTATAATACTTTATAAGAAGCCATTAGCAAATAATATTTTTTAATTTATGAATTGATTTATAAGAAACTATTAGATCATTTCAAAGAAGATCCTATAAGAATTTATGAGGAAGTGATGCCTTTTGATTCCCCGTCCGATTGTATACGATTCTTTTAGAACAAATGTCATTAAATTAAATAAAAGTTATTAATTTTTATCAACATATCAACTTTTTCTATCCAAAACTATAGGACCACTTCTCATAAGAACATTTATGAATTATTTCAAGCATGAAAGTGCGACTTAAAAAATATTTTCTCATCACGATATTCTTTATTAGAATTTTGCTTACCAATCCTATTTAAATCTCTACTTTTATTGTCTATAGAAACTTTTTATTAACTTCCCATTAGGAAGTTAGTGTAATTGAGTCGATTGGTGAAATTTGAATTTTCATTAAATCTCCACGTTTCAAGATATTTGCAAGCATACTGACCAATTTTGAGAATGATGTATGTGTGTACGTACGTATGTATGTATGGACGTCAGCATTTTTTTCGTTTTGGATATCTCAAGAACGGATTAAAATATCAACTTCAACCAAAACTAATTCGAAAGATATTATTATAAAGAAGACTTGAAAGAAATTTGAACGAATTCGATCGAGCCGTTCTTTTTTTATAACAAAATAACTAATCAAAAAATGAAAAGATTAGCTATTCAAAATACTTTTAAGCCAAACAATAACAATTTCATTTGAAAATTAAGTCGATATTGACTAGACATTATTGTTCATAACTAAATATGACTCTTAACAATTACGCATTGTCTATAACAATATGAATTTGTTATAAACAATTGAAAATTGTATTTATCGATTAACTGATGCGTATATCACATGGATTTGGATGTTTTCAACAAAATACTATTATTAATGATGAAATATGACTCGTAAAAATTACATATTGTTTATAACAATACGAATTTGTTATAAACAATTAAAAATTGTCATTATTGAATAAGTAATGTGTATATCACATGTATTTGGATGTTCTCAACGAACATTGATTACAACTATTTAAATTTGTTATAAACAATTACTAATGGGAAGTTCGTCGTATCAGCACAGACAAAGGGTGCTCAGACATATTTTTTTCTATAAAATCGCTAACTTTTATTCATTTATTCTCATTTATTTCATTTAAAAATATCAACATTTATTAATCAAATGACAATCCAGCTTATCTCATCTTTAAAATATTTGTCGAATAGGAATATAATTTAGTTTTAAAATAAATTATCTACAATCTAAAGATTATTCTGTCGATTTTATGTTTATCATATTTATCAAACAAAACATACATATAAACAAAAAAACCTCCAGAGTAAATTGAAATTTCTTTTTGTTTAAACTGATTTTTTTGTGGTAGGAAGATAAATTTCGATAAAATACGATACAAAACGTGCTGATAGATTCTTATGAGTGTATACGAATGGATTGAAAAATTGCATGAGAAATGTGGCGATTTTAACAAGAATTTATAAGAAAATGTCTTAGTGATTCTTATGAAATGTGCAATATTTTTCATGCAATTTTCCGATTCATGCTTATGAATTTTTTTTATAAGTTTTTATCGGATTGTTTAACTAGGATTTAAATACTCTATAAGTTAAAAGAAAGTTCACTTATCTTATAGGAAATAAGCATATTATACATACTGTCATCATCATTTTGCCATGATTGTTGCATTGTATATTCGGAGTCAAGTGTCAAAAGATCAGATCCTGTAAGATATCGAAGATCTTCTGATTTCATCCATTCATGATATCTGTAACATGTTTAATTTTTTATTTTATCATTTACAAACATATATATAATAAACATAACGTCATTTTCTTTTTTTTTGATAATAAAAATATCATAAAATAATCATATATATACTAATAGAATGATCTACTATAGCAATTGAGTTTTACAATTGGTTATAAGCATCGTGACATGAATTAAATGATAATTCGGAAATGTTGTATTGTATGATTGAATCAATAACAATTTTATAATAAAACATAGACATTTTTATCATGATTTCCAACGATACTAAATCGATGAAAAACTTATCATAAAATATACAGTTGTCTTTACTTGTAAAGTTAATGTAAAAAAAAACAATTACATACTTTTAGGAAATTTTAAATTCCCATACCCTTAATTTTTGATTCATCAAAATGTCCCAATTTAATTTTTCATGATTCAAATTCACACTTTTTATCTTTTTATTTAGAAAATACTGGTTTATGTTTTTTTTTCCTTCAACCAATCTGTTATTACAATATATCTTTAAAAGCAAAAAAAACTATGTAATTCTGATAAAAAAGCTAGATACCTACATTATTCACAATATAATAATGACAAAAACACAAGTTTTACGTATGTTGAAATAAAATTATGGCAACAAATAATTTTCACATATGTGATGTTGATAGGATACACAGATGCCATTCAGTAGAAGATAAATAAAAATAAAACTTGCCTTTCAACGTGTCTCCTTTTATAAGGTACTAAAATTACTTTAGAACCAATTATTTTTGTATTTGCATTTATTTTCATAATTTTTTTTTTGTAAATACTATTGTCATTTCACAAAAAAGTTAATTGCTCGAATATTTAAAGCTCTCTTGATCTTGATTATTATTGTATTTCTTATTGTTTTGTTATTTGTCTAAAGTCACGGCGTATGTGGTATGCTGTGTCGGAACTGATGGTATTTGAAATACTAGAAAACATTTGTTTTCAAAAAGATAAATACGAATTCATGCATTTATTCAGAATCATAATAATAAAAATAATTTTATTTGAATTCAAATACAAAACTAAAGACTATAGTTAAACACATAAAACGTATAAACATTAATTTATACACCCGTGTACATATCTATACGAATTTTATCCAATTACAACGCTGTCATAAAAGAAAGAATGCTCACATTCTGATTAGCTAATAAGACTTTTCAACTCACCAAAGAAAATAACTATCATCAGTTATTCAAAATTAGTATGTTCATTTTATTTCAAAATCAGATCTTCCAGATGATTTTTTCCGGAAATTAGTTTGAAAAAATTCCAATAGGGGATAGAGCTTGCTAGCGAAGTGCCGGAACTCCCCGCGGACTGTTTCAACTACAATACTTCTGAATATTTTTAAATTGTTTAAAAAAAAGCTACGTTCATAGAATTGTATTTAAAAAAATGTTTATAACTCTTTTTAAAGGTTTTCCGACTCGGCGTCAAATAATTAAATAAATAAATTGAAGAAAAAAAAATCAAATCGTTGTAAACAATTACTTTTAGCATGTTAATATTATGATTACATGCAAATCTAATAAATAAAAAAGAAAAAAAAACTTTGCCATGACTGGGATCGAACCCTACCCGACAAAATAGACGTCCAGCGCTCTGACCGCAGAGCTATCGTGTTTATAATTTAGTTATTTGTGCTTGTAAATTATAAGCTGCAGGCTTAGGCACAGAAAGTGGAGGTACGGCTTGCCCGCGAATTGCCGGAACTCGACGCGGATAGTTTAAACTATTTTTTATTGTTAATAAGTTGTTAAAAAAGGCTATTATCAATGTATTTGTACAAAAAAAGGTTAATGGCCCTGTTTAAATATTTTCTCATTTGTCATCGATTAATTGAAAAATAATTTTACATAAAAATTGAAATTTAAAACTCATTTTTGGCATGATAAAATTGCAATTACAAAGAAACGAAACAAATAGAAAAAGCCCCCGTCGCTAGTTGTGCGGGTTGAAGATTTGTAAAACAAAAATTAATTCTTCAACCCACGCAGCTAGCGGTGGGGGGTTTTTTATTTTATTTCTTGTCGCTAAAAAAAAGGCCCCCCAGGCTGCCAGCAATATTTATTGTCAAGGTAATTATGAAATCTATATCTTAACAATGAATATCCCCAGCAGCCCAAAGGATCTCAGTCAGTAATTCTTTATATAAAATTATAAGGCATATAGTAGAAATATTTTTCCATCACGATATTTTCTATTAAGATTTTGCTTTTCAGAGGAGAAATTATGAGACGTACTTTTAGATCTGAAAATTCTACAAAAAAAAGTATGCATCACATATACCTATATCTTTGATAGTTCGGCCGCAAAGAGAGCTCAAAGAAAAAGAGCCCTAAAATCAGTCTATTCAAGCGACAGAGCACCGCTGGTGCAAGACAGACATAGCAATACATGTATTAAACGTTCTCTTAAAGCTCTTAGTCGAAGGAAAGGTGCTACATATTTTCAAGAGTATTATCAAGACCAAAACATTCCTTGGTTCACCAATCTAAATCTAAATCTTTCAAGATTTCAAATTTATACTTTTTACCGCGCTGGCAGCTTACATTAGAATTTAAATTGGAGCCTTCATCGAAAATATCCCCTCTGTGAATGTGGTCACTTTATTGAAAACTTGGAACATGTATTATGGACCTGCTGAGCGTTTTCCATTTAGAAAAAAAAGTCGACACAGTGCAACACAGTGTCGACCATACTATAGCAAAAACCTAATGCCAACTAAAGCTTGGTAACTTCAATACTTTCATTGGCAACACTACTTTTTCACAACGACCAGCAAATTAATGATTGACTTTTAAAAAAAATAATGGATAATACAGGTAAATTGAGAAAATTATCAGATATAAAAGTTTTTCGTTATGAAATTAAGGTAGTATCTTTTATTATTTACACAATGCAATGCTATGTAAATGTCAATGTACAGTACCGGTCATAAATGCTGTGTGACTTTCTATAAAAGGGTATAGGGAAATCACATGTATAACCTCCAAAAAATTAAACAGCATTTATGTCCGGTACTGTATGTATGATCTCAAAATTCTCATTTTTTTTAAAAATTTTTTTTCTCCTAGTAACTTTTATAAGCTGCCCTCTATCGAAACACAATAAAAGTAAATGTTCCATTTATAAAATTAGTCGACACAGTGTCAAACACAGAGAGGTTTTTTTTAAATGGAAAACGCCCGCTCTCTACACATGCAAGACACAGAATTACTCTTTTCAATGCACTGTCTAAAGTGGATATACTCCCTCCTGTTAAAATTGAAGTTATTCTTTCTAACCCTAGTTTGGTCGTGCCACAATGTTAAAATTAATGTGACGGTGTCACATTATAAGCAACATTTTGGCGCTTATTTTAAATTAGTTTATTCAAACTATCATACATGATTGGAGCGCCTCTTACCGGATTCAACATTTGGCAATAGTGCTCATAAAATTTTCCTGTCTTGTTTGGTCGCGTAGTGAGGGAATCGCCGCAATCGACTCATTTTTGATAATAAAAATTGAATTATTTAATAAATATGATTTATTAAAAATATTTTGACGGGTCCACTCGATTCTAAAAAATGTAATTTAGGAATACCTCGGTGCATTCGTATTGATGACATTTAGTTGCATGATAATTATACAATTACTAAAAAGTGCGGCGATTCCCTACTTTTAATAGTCATTTCACACCTAGGGAGGAAAAGTAGAGAAGCTTAAACCATGTGTTTACTACCCTCGCTTTCGGCTCGAGTTGTGATTTTACACGTGGTTTAAGCTAGTCTAATTGTCTTCCCTAGGGCTGAATATGATTTTTCATCCCATTATGAAGAGTTTGTCTTTAATTTATATAAAAAATTACATAATAATTTAACGAAAAACGTATACAATTTTTATCTATTTTAAATTATTCAAATATGATAAAAGTTTTTTTTTATTAAAAATATTAAAATGAATGGTAAAATAATAATTATTATTTAAAAAAAATTACTTGATTTTTAATAAATTTGATATTCATATGTTGTATACATCCATTTATAAATCTTACTATCTACTTATATTATGCATTTTATTTAATTTTGAAAAGATAAAAAATAATAATGTTTATTATTAATTTGAAAAGAAGGAAAGAAAATCGAGATATAGACGTGTTTTAATTTGAATTAGATTCAAAAAATTCAAAATTACCGCCAATAAATTTAATAATCGATTTACATTAGAGTGAAGAAAAACCAACACATTTTTATACTTTTCCTTCTTAGGTTATGGTCACTGTAATATCACGTGATTTTAGTGAAAGTCCACAAAGTCAATGAGTGATAAAAAATATAAACTGTCATAAAAATGATTTTTTGTCACATATTATGGTACTTTAAAAACGTCATATTAAGTAAGAAACTAATACAATTTAAAAAATTAATAACTTGAATGTTTAGTGTACTTATTTATAATTACATTATCATCTTATTTATAAATACATTATACTTCGATATATTTATATGCCAACAACGGAAGATAAATTCATTTTAATGTAATATTGTAATTATTTTACAATGTTTGCTAATTTGGATAAATTATTATTTATATGGCTTTTATTATGCCATTTAAATCTGAGTTTACAATCAACATCTAAGGAAAATGTTACATCATTAAATGAGCATGTTAATATTGATAAAATAAAACATTTGCCCATAAATGAATCATTAAAAACTGGCGAAAATAGCAACAATACTCTGTCGAATGTAAAGTTAAAAGAATTACTTGAAGATAATCGAATGACTACATATGATTTGAGTAATAATTCGACACAGACTACAATAATAAAGCTAGAAACAAATGAAACTCATATTACAACAACGCAAAAGTCACCGAAAGTGTCGGTAAATACAGAAAAAGATCAGAAAGATGCTATAACTGACAGTTCATTATCCAGTGAATCTTCAAATAAATCAAACAAAACAATAAATATCAAAACAACAACCGCTGTTCCTATTGAGCCAATTTTACCTGATAAAGAGTCAGCAGAGGAAGAACACAATAGTTCTATGTCTATATTTTTTGTACTATGTGTATTAGCACTTGGTATTTTGCTCATACATTTAATGTTACAGACAAATTTTCAGTATTTACCTGAATCAGTAGTAATAGTATTTCTTGGAGCAGCTATTGGAATGTTTATTAATTTAATGTCACATCAAAATATAGCTAATTGGAAAAAAGAGGAAGCTTTTTCACCAACTGCATTTTTTCTCTTTTTATTACCACCGATAATATTTGAATCAGGATATAATTTACATAAAGGTAATTTTTTTCAAAATATCGGAAGTATTTTAGTATTTTCCATATTTGGTACAGCCATATCAGCCTTTGTCATTGGAGTTGGAATATACTTACTGGGTCTTGCACAAGTTGCATATAAATTAAGTTTCGTTGAGAGTTTTGCATTTGGTTCTCTAATTTCTGCAGTTGATCCTGTGGCAACTGTTGCTATTTTTCATGCTCTAGATGTTGATCCTGTACTCAACATGTTAGTGTTTGGAGAATCAATTTTAAATGATGCAATAGCAATTGTTTTAACAACATCAGTTTTAGAATCAAATAATGGTGCAACAACTGGAGAAGCTATTATTCTTGGATTAAATCGATTCTGCTTAATGTTCTTTGCTTCTGCTGGAATTGGTGTAGTATTTGCACTTATAAGTGCTTTATTATTAAAACATGTAGACTTACGGAAAAATCCTTCATTGGAGTTTGGAATAATGTTAGTATTTACTTATGCTCCATATGTCTTAGCTGAAGGGATCCAACTATCTGGAATAATGGCTATTTTATTTAATGGAATAGTTATGTCTCATTATACTCACTTCAATTTATCAACAGTTACACAAATTACAATGCAACAAACTATGAGGACCCTAGCGTTTATTGCTGAAACGTGTGTTTTTGCTTACCTGGGTCTTGCATTATTTAGCTTCCGGCATCGTGTGGAACCAGCTTTAATTATATGGTCATTAATTCTTTGTTTAATTGGACGAGCAGCTAATATATTCCCATTAGCATCACTTGTTAATCGTTTTCGTGAACATAAAATAACACGAAAAATGATGTTTATTATGTGGTTTAGTGGATTACGAGGTGCCATATCTTATGCTCTATCATTGCATCTTAACTTTAGTGAAGAAACTCGTCATGTTATTATCACTACTACATTGATAATTGTTTTATTTACAACATTATTTTTTGGAGGATCTACAATGCCATTACTTAAATTTTTACGCGCTGAGAAAAAGCAAAACTCTAATAGTAGAAGAAAGAAACGTGATAAAGAAATTTCTTTGAGTAAAACTAGAGAATGGGTAAGTAGTTTATTGTAAACAATATGTTTCAATTTTATGATTATTTTAAATAAAAAAATAATTAATAATAATAATTATAATTTTAGGGACAAACGATTGATTCAGAGCACTTATCAGAATTAACTGAAGAAGAAATGGAAGTATCTTTTATGCAATCACGAATACGAGGATTCGCTCGTTGGGATTTAAAATTTTTCATTCCATTTTTCACAAGACGTTTTACTCAACAAGAATTAAAAGATTGTAAATCACAGATGACTGATTTGACTAATCAATGGTATCAAGCTATTAGAATTAGTCCAGTTGAATCCGATAATGAGTCAGAAGCCACAGTCATTTCTAATACACACATGAATGGTACTAATTCTACGTTAGACAATACAAATGAAAACTATCAACAACATGTGGATAAAAAGAACCAGTCAAATCATAGATCAATATTAATAATATAATTTTATAGCTTCAACACATATTTATCGAAAAATTATCTTAAGTAATTGCTCATATGTGATCCATTTTTTATCAAAAAAAAGTTATTCTGTATGTTTCATACAAAATTAAAGATTATTTGTTTTTAAGTAAGTTGTTGGTTTATAACTGAAGTAATATTTTGTAGTACAAGTATTTTCATATAAATAACATAACATGTATTTGTTGAAATTCTTCAAGATTTTCATATGTATATACACGGTTATTTTAATTTCTCTTAAATAGTTTTGTTTTTAAAGATGGCTATAACAGAATTGAATAATTTTTATCTATTTTATGATGAAATTTAATTATATTTATATGTTATAACATGTACCAAAGTTGATTATTACTTAGCACTAAAGCAGGAAGTAAACAATAAATAATTTTCATGTAATTATCTTATTTATATTTTCTAGCTATAAAATTCATTTTAAATAGTATACTTCATTTATACACTAACTAAATTTTATCAACAATCAGTTTAGAAGCATTTTAGCTACAGAGCTACATTATACTTCATTTGTAGAATTAATTTTATTTTTAAAAACTAGATCAGAGAGAAATACATTTATTGTGATTTTTTATGTTTCAATTCTGTAAATAGTATGGAAAGACATGATTAGTTTATTAACATTCAAATTATTGAAAAAATGAGACATAAATTATAGATCAACGCGAATATCCCAATTAACTTTTTTTTTGTTAACAAAAATTTTATGTATTACAGTTGTTTTATATCATATCATAGATATTACATTCAGTACTCACGATTTTTTCCTGATACAACTGTTGACCTTTATTTTAATTTATTATTATTATAAATTTTATCCTTAAATATACATATTATTAAAGTTTATTTATCGAATATTTTATGTATTAATAAAGTAATGAAATAAAAAGATATAAAAATAAACTAAAAACTTTAATAAATCAATATTAAAAAAAATAATATCTTTTTCATCACAGAATTTATATAAAACAGCCAGTTAAGAATATTTACGTATAAAATATCAGAAGTGATTTAATATAATTTGTATTAACAATAGATTTTTTTCATTCTAAATAAGTTTTTTAGTAAAATTAATTATCATTAAATAATTTTATAAATCTACATTTTGTGTAATTAAATCTAGTTTTTGTAATTTAATCAATTCAGAGTCATTAATTGGGACGTTCATTTAATATCTTTAAAAAATGTTAAGAATTTAAACCAAAAGTTTAAACTTTTTGAATTTCAAGGAGTGGCAAAAATGTATGTATAATAAAAAACAATTATCAAATGTTAAAAATGAAAAATATAACAACACATTGGGTCGTCGCATTGATCTTTTTGTTTCTACTGAGGTATTATGGAGAAATAAGTAATAGCATCTATTTATACTCAATATCCCTGTGTATGCTAATTTCAGATATGCTATTACAATATTTTATCAGAACGTTATTGCTTCGAAAAATCCATAAACTCGTTATGATTAATTGACCAATATTTCTCTTCAATTTAATTCGTTTTCTTTTACAATAAAAATCCGTGCCTGCTTTAGTTAATAAGTAACTGCAACATTTAATCCAAATATATCTATATGAATTATTCATGATGTAATAAGAAACACAGAATTTATAAAAATTTTGTTTTAGTTGCTTGACAAGCTTCTGAACACTTATCGGTACTCAGTAATTTTTATATTCAAACGAAAATCAAGAACCCAACTAATTGCACAGTTTCTGTAATAAATAATATATAAATTATTGGTATCATTATTGTTATTGTTACTATTTTTACTATTACTATTATTATTATTTTGTTATTATTCTTTTTTTTTTTTTCAATATTTAATTATCTAACTTATATTTGTTGATATTTATAATTGTATTGTCTGTAGCACTTTATGCAAACAAATAAAAATGAATATCTATGTACTTACTATTCACGAATAATACACTTTAATTTGGATTTTTGTTTATGTATAATATTAATATTTTTATCAACAATTCATAAATAATAAATAATTAATAATGTATAATTTACTAAATTGACTACAGAATTTAGATATCAATAATGCATAAAACATAATAATTCATTTGATAGTGTTGTTACTTTTTGAAATATTTTTATTTTATATAAAGTTTATTGTTAAGTATTGTGTATAATATAGACCATCATTATTCTAAAGCACAAGAACATGAATTGGTCAATATTAGCAATATTTATTATTAACATCATATTTTTCAAATTTATCTATCAATACTTATATAATAGTGTTAATTGTTAAATAATAACAATAGTAATAATAATAGTAATGATGATAATAAAAATAATAAAGACACAAGACATAACAGGGAAAACTATGAAAATGATAATAAAAATAATAATAATAATAATAATAATAATAATAATAATAATAATAATAATAATAATAATAAATAAATAGATTTAAAAAATGAATAAATTTAGCGAGAATTAAAAATACCAAATACTATAAAAAATAGGAATGTCAAAATGTAATAAAAAACTGTATAGCATCTTATTTTCAAAATATACAATTGTAGTCACTATTTTTCAGGCTTGAACAATATATCACCGGATTTATGACTAAATGAGACACAAATAGTATACTATTAACGTATCTTTCAGTACATATTTCTAAAAACATTTTATAAATTTTGTAAAATGAAATTATTATTCTTACAAAGGGTAAAAAAAAAAAAACAATACAATGTCACAACTCGATAATTTTTTCTTTCTACATTCTACATTATATTAATATTCGACCACGTCGAGTGATAAAAATTTCTAAATTTTTTATGATAATATACCTTGAAATTCGAATTGTTTTACTTAATTTGTAACCAGGGATGCTTAAGACATTCAGCTGCAGTAGCACGCGTATTCGGATCAAAATCAAGCATCGGTGTCAAAAAGTCAGCGAATTCTCGCGCTTCATTTGGTGACCAATCATATTTTTCAGTTAATACTTCATATAGTCCCCAAGGTTTTAAACCAGTTATATGCTTGAGTTCTCCTTTTTTGTTAAAAAATCCTTTTGAATATTTACCGGAAAGAGCAATACGTCGAGGAATCTCACCAAGAAGTTCAATTATGTGCGCTAAGTGATCTTCATCTCTGAAAATAAAAATAAAAAATATTGTCAAAAATATTCAAGATATTTTGTTATTATTTTCTATTATATTGTTTTTATATTACCTTGTATAGTCGGTACCGCTGTGAGGTTCAAATAAATAATCACCCGTAGCTAATTCAAATGCCATACATGCAGTAGACCAAATGTCTGCTGAAGTACTATAACCTGCGCCAAGCAGTACTTCGAGTGATCTGTATTGACGAGTTTGAATATCTTCTGTGAATTTTTTATGTACCCAACAAGCATTACCCAAATCAGCAATCTTTACTTCAACTTCACAGTCAACTAATGCAGGATCTAATGGTGCTACGGATGCACGTTTTGGATGTTTATTTTCAGGAGGATTAAGATTACGTCTTTCACTACATTCATCTGTATCTTCAGGATCGTTTATTTTTGACATAATTCCAGGATCACTCTCGCAATTTTTTGGTCCATCATCACCGCCTTCCATAAGTATTTGTGATTCAACAAACAAATTTGACGATCTTTCGAAAGTTTGATTATTTGTACCAATAGAACTAGAATAAATACCATTTACAGGAGATGAAGCAACTGGATCAGAAATATCAGGTGAACTTTTACTTCCTGTATTTTCTTCAATACTATCTGCTTTAGCATCTTGTTCAGGATTGTTTGTTATATCATTTAATTCTCCATTTTCTTGAATATTGTTCATAGATTTGGCTTTTTCTTCAAGCTCTTCAATTTGTTCCATTTGCTTTTTTAACAATTCATTTTGTCGTTTTGCTTTTTTCTTCAGACGTTTCTTTTTATTTTTAGACATTTTAGAATTTAAATTAGGTTCTTGAAATTTTTTTGGAGCAGTAGAAACTAATGAAACTGGAAGTTTAACACCCAATGAATGGAGTTCTGTAGCAACAAAGGCAAGTTTTCTAATATAATTTTCATCAACACATATGAGTACATTTTCAGGTTTGATGTCTGTATGAATAATTTTACCTGCAATAATACAAAGTGTATTATTAATATTTAAATATTCTTATTTGATACAATAAACAATTTCAATTTCATCACAAAAATACTATAAACTGTAGTAGTTTTCTTTAATTTCAATTATTTTAAAGTAACTCTTATGTATATACTTTTTAATTTTAACATTAAATATAAAAATTATATAATTATTTATAATGCAACATGTTTTCGAAAAGGCAAAATTTTTTGATATGTGTATATATATTATATTTTTATTGACTTTTATCAATATTGACTAAACTAAACGTTAAAAATAATCTATATTTCCCTTCAATTAAATAATAGCAATAAAATATATAGTGTTTAGAATCAGTTATTGTTAAAGAAATACTAAATTAAAATAGTGAAGCCAGAAATTTGAAAATAATTGTTGTTACCGTTATTTGAATATTATATTAATAATTAATTTTATGTTACTTACATTTATTGTGTAAATAATCTAAACCTTCGAGAACTTGTCTAATGATGCGTTTAACATTATTTCGTGGAATCCCTCGATAATTTGACTTGATTATTAATTTAAGTAAATTATGGCCTAGGACTTCAAATACCATACATACGTGCAAGCCGTTTATTCCACTTATTTTAAAATCAGTTAATAGTTGTACTGTTTTGTTGCGTTTTGGATCACTGGGATCTGTATCACGTACATCTTTAAGTAACTTTATTTCATCTAAAGCAGTTTCCGTAAAGTGTGATGCAGATTTGACGACTTTTAGTGCAACAAATCGTCTATCCTATAAAGAAAATAAATTTATTTATTCACCGAGCATGGAAAAAAATTTCATAAAAGGATAACAATGACATTGTAGTTATCCATATTTAGATGCTTTTCAAGGCATATAAAGATTGAAAATAGTTTTAGGACTAATTAATATGAATTTATATTGATTAAAAAAAATATTTTTGTGCTTTTATGTTGATCAAATAAATAAATTCTTACTAAAGATGTGTGATTATTATAAATTTTCATATTTCTTATTTTATCACTTAAAAAATTAAAGTATTGTTGATTGCAATGAATATTATAACTAAAAGTAAATTAAAATATTATGAAAAACAATATACTTTGTAAAAGATACCTGTAAATCCCAACAAAGCCAAACTGTTGAAAAATGGCCCCAGCCAAGTTTACGAGTAACATGGTACCTGTTTAAAAAAAGATCTCCTATCTTTACAGGATGATAACCACCTTCACAATAATCACTGCTGTCTTCTTGTTCTTCTTCTTCACTACTGTAGACATCATCATCATCCTCGATTGTTTCATTACTCGAACTGTGGCTTGGTTCTAACCTACATATATAGATATAACACACACGTAAATACATATACATTTATTAGAATGATTCAAGTTATTAATATGATTATGTTTGAATTATATTACGATAAATATAATTAATCATAAATGGAAAAAAAAGATTATTAAAAAAAAAGTTAAATTAACATACCTATTTCTGTTATCAGCAGTATAGGATTTTTGTACGGCTCCATCCTGTTGGAAATTTTCAGGTCTTTGAGACTGTCGTGTAGATGACGATTTAGAACAAGCAGCCCCAGCAACATTATTATCACCTTCTGCTTGAGAATTATTTTTGCCCTTTCGTTTACTAGGCTTATAACGTTTTTTCTTTGCTTGAATAGCTAAGACTCGTCTATTTACAGACGCCTTGGTGCTCATACCGGAGCGAACTTTGGCAACGGTCTTACACAAATAAAAGTGTCAATTTCAGCAATACTAATATCACAACACTTTCACAATTATGTTTATATTAACTCACAGTATGACAATGTAATTTTTATCAATTTTTTTTTGTGCATCAATAATTTAAGATTTTATTTTATATTTTATTATCTCATTTTTTATTACTATCCTGTTTTTGATCGCTGTTGCACTCGGCAGTTGTTTGAGTATGGCTGACTTTTACTTAAGTTTTTTTCAAAAATTATTTCATATGTCAAATAAACTAATAAAAAGTAAAATGTCACATATCTATTTTATTAACGTTTTTTCCGTAATTATTCGAGAAAAATTAATAACTTTTTTAGTTTGAATGTCAATTTTAAAAAGACACTTCCTCGTCAACGATCACTATCAAATTATTTACTCACATAACAGGGATGATCTACCTTAACTCTCGTGGTTTCCAAAGACGTTTTTTTTTCCACAATCATCCATGATTGAAAATGTAATTTCTAGTAACTCTAGAAAATACTATACCCTCTATACGTATACATACATATTATACAAAAAAAATCCCTACTATTTATACTAGATTTTTCCATTTTTTAATCAATAAACTAATAATTAAACAAAGAATTAAAACACCAAAATATTTTATAAGAAAAATTATGAAATAAAGTTAAATATATTTTAGAGTATTTCAAGATTATTTATGCTTTTTTAATATTTAACTTTATTTGGTAGACTGGTTTATGTGAAATTCACTAGTAATATCACTAGACAATTATAAAGTTCCTAAAAAAATGACTACGCATAATGATATTATTGGTTTTACCGGGACGTACGCAAAGAGCCAGAACTCTATAGTCCCGGATGGAGTAGAACCACAAAAAATAATTGAACCTTGATTACGTTATAGACTAGAAAATTCAAAATCCTTAACGTCTATTGTCACGAATAATGTAGATTACCGAATTTTACAGAATCCCAATCATTTTAAATCACGAGAATAACTTACTTTATTTTGAACCTTATATTCCTATGAGAATATTCATTGTCCCGAAAAATAGTTTTTCGAAAGGATGTGATTCTTACAACTGTCGGTAATGAAGTTTTGACAAAATAAAGTTAGTATTATTATGAGAATTTGGAGCAGAGTACAGCCAAACAAAAATTTCGTTTTATTTGAATAATAGATGGATTTAGTATTATATAAACCATCTTGCAGAACTAAAATTTTCAACCTTCGACAACTCTTAAACTATCAAAACCAAACTCAACATATGTACATGTATGTATATATATATATAAAACTGAAAATTCTTTGTTTTTGACTTACATTAACTATACACTTAGATTTGTGAATCTCAAATAAACATTTATTGAATTAATAAACTAAATATCTGAGTCTAAACAATTATAGAAAGTTTTTACTGATTTTACTGTTAGTGAACAAACTATTGATAAATATTTATCGATTTGTAGACTTTATTTATAATTTAATCTTGTAACCATTGTACAAGATACTTATTTGATACTCACATATGATATTCGATTTAATATAGGTTATAGTTAAATTGTAAAGTGAATTTATTTGAAATATGAGTGCTCGACTTTTAAAAGATCCAGCAACAGCCAGCTGTCGTATATTCGTTGGTCATCTTCAAACTGATGACACAAATAAGTTAGAATTAGAACAACACTTTTCAAAATATGGAACTGTAATTGGATCATTAATCAATCGAGGTTTCGGTTTCGTTCAATTTGAGAATGAAAAAGCTGCTCAAACAGCTATTCAAAATGAAAACGGTCAAATGTTTAAAGGTCGTAGAATAGATGTAAGACCAGCGAAAAAAGATTCCCACAATGCCAATTCAAATTCAGGGAATCAAAATAACGATGATAAATCAAAAATACAAGGAGGGAATCAATTTTCATCTAAAAATAATATGTTCAATTCAAAGAATAATACATTCGGTAACACAAGTAATAATCAAAACTTTAATAAGAAAAACTTTTCTGATACTTCATTTGATGATCATCCAAAATCTGATAATGATTGTTATGATAAAAACTCCAAAAATGATAGTATGACGAATCAGCATGAAAATGACTTTCAATCATTTTCAAATAATGATAATTCATTTAATTCTAGTAATCATAATTCAAGTAAAGACAATGAAAAAGAAAAATTCAATTCAGGATATGGTAATGATCAAATGAACAGCAATGTTGATCGAGAAAATAATTCAAATAGCAATTCGAATAATAGTATGAATAACAACAATGATAATAGTAATGACGATGATAACAATAGTAAAAATAATAATCAAAATAATGAAGGTAACAATGAAAACTCTTCAGCTAATTCCGGAAACCAAAATCGGCAACATAACAATAATAATAATAATAATAATAATAATAATAATAATAACAACAACCAAAATCGTAATAACCAAGGAAACGCACCTCGTCAACGGGGAAACCGAGGCGGGAAAAATAGGAACAAAAATCGGGGAGCTGGTGGTGGTGGCAGTGGTGGTGGAGGAGGAGGAGATAATGTACTTAATAATGGAAATAATTTTCGAGATAGAAGTCCTTTAAACCGAGGTATGCGAGGTGGAAATGACGAAAAAGGTCGAGACTGGGATCATAATATTATGATCCGAAATAACAATTTTAATAGAGATTCCTTCAATGAAAACCGTTTTGATGATAGATTCAAAGATGTCATACCTTCAGGAAATTATAATTACAATAGAGATTCTTTCAATGGAAATCGTTTTGATGACAGATTTAAAGATCCCATAAATACTGGTAATTACCCAAGAGGTCCTTCAGATTATCCTCCAATACCTGTTTCAGATAAAAACGATTGTGAAATAATCGTTGTCAATAAAAATTTAACAGAATATGCAGAAGCAATTGAGGCACGATTAAAAAAAATGTGTCTTACTGTAGACCTTTTGTTTCCTAATGAAGAAGTACCTTTGAGTCGTGTTCTAGGAAATATAGCTAATCGTGGATGTTTATATGCTGTTGTTATAACGCCAATAAATATGGAACATTATTCAATCACCTTGAATATTTTACATGGACTACCACAAGGTAATGCAATCGAATTTATATTGAAATTATTAATGTTTCTTCTTCTTTAATTATTTTCATTTATTGTTTGCTAATATTATTTTTCTTTTTAGAACATAGAAACATGCCGGTAGAAGATGCGTTAAGTCTAATTAGCCGAGATTTTAGTAATTATAAATCAGGTGGTCGATCAGTACCATTTAATACACCATTTGCAAGTGATCGTCATCCTGATGCAATTCAAGTTTTATTAAATATGTTAGCTGATAATCACCAGTTAACTGTGTTACAATATGATCGTTTGATCAAATATTTGGAAGTAAAACGTGAAGAACAAGTACAAAGCGAACTTGGGGATACAAAAGATTTACCTACATCAACTGCACTTGCTACCGTTAACGATCCAAAACAAGCAGAGTTACAATCAAGGATTTTAAATATTTTGAATAGTAATAAAACATCAAACACAAATTTACCAGCCCCCAGTCCCGTGCCTGCTCCTGCTCCGGTTCCAGCACCTCCTAGCACTTGGGAAGCAGGTGAGTTTTTATCATAGCCACAATTATTTCATTAAAAGTATTTTTATTTTTAAAATGATTAATATATCTCAAATATTATAGAAATAATAGAATAAATTATTTAAACACTGCTTTACATTTTTAAATGTAAATCTAATTTAATAGCATAGATATTATAATATACATATATTTTATTAGGTAAAAATCATTAGTTGTCTTTTTATGATTTGGTATAATAAAACTATATAACTGTAATAAAAGAAACTTAAATTTATAGTCTAAATATTCATATTGAAAGTGTAGCCAATAAATGACTTATTTATAAATAAATAAGAAAATAATCCACTCGACTTCTAGAAATTTTTATGTTTTTTCAAACTACAATTTTCTTCCGAATTATCAATTAAATACTCCTTTTTCTAAATAAAAAGTATATTATCAAAAATTGCCTAACCGTATTATATAAGATTTTTTTTATTTAATGGTATGGAAACTTGGAAAAAAAAAATTGTAATGAATTTAACAACATACATTACTGTAAAGATAATCTGAAATCTAGACATTAAAGTATCCATTCATTTGCATTATTATTTTACATTACTTTTTTCAAAATACTAGTTTATTTTTAGATATTTATAATTTCATATAATATTTTATAGGAGTATCTTCAACCACTACAACATCAGTAACATCAACAAGTACTACAGGAGTATCACCATCACCTTTGCTAAACGATCCAACAGTACAGAAAGCTCTTGATAGTCTTTTGCAAGGAAATTTATTAAAAAATATTGGAGATTCACAGTCAACGTCCACACAACAGCCCTTATTTGCAGCATTTCCGAATATTAATCGTTTTTAAAATGTAGTTACATTAGAGTTAAGTGTTTGATTATTCTACGAAGCTAAAAAAATTATTATTTTATCACATTAATAATCAGCTAATTAATTATTGTAATTATTCATAGATTATTCAATTTTTTTGAATAAACTTCATAAATAGTAACTATAACTAAATTAGGAAAACCAAGTAGAAGGACAAACCGTTAACATGTAAAATTTATTTTCTGTGATGGTCTCAATTTATCTATACTGGTTATAATTATTGCAGTAGTGAATAAATATTTTTTATTTTACAGTGTATTTACTTTAAACGTTAACATTCATTTCTTAATATAATATTAATTACTAACAAAATTTAAATTTAACAAAATTAATTTAACATTTAATCATTCTCTTGATGATTATAATTTTTATTATAACAGAACGTACAGTTGAAATAACAGCACAATTATATGTAAATTTCTTCATAGATAAAACTCCAAATTTGTATCCTCATAATCTGGAATTGAAAAACTTTTCATATAATTATGATCATAAAAATATCATTCTCAAGCATTGGTGTGCATTATATAGCTTTATGCAAAGGAAACATAAAATATATATAATAAAAATAAACTGAGTTAATAATAATGAGCTTGCAACTATTTAATTTTTTATATTATAAAATGTTTGATTTTTCATTTAATTAAAATCAACTATTCAATGATCATTTTAAAATTCATTATTTCTCGAAATATATAAACAATGAAATGTAAATGAATTATGTTATAATAAAAATTCTCAATAAATTTTTAACTCTTAAATTTTATACATTACATTTAAAAAAATTTTAATAAAGTAAGAAAAAAGCATTATTTACAAAAAAGAAGCAATGAAAAATTATTTAAGCAATAATTTACTGCTAAAGGGTAAAGCAAAGCTGATGTTTGAACTATCCTTGATGTATTTTACCCAAATAATAACTTCGTAGATAATGTACGGCATGTAATATTTCTTCACAAGGTTTTTCAACATTATCATGAAGTATTTGAAGAACTTGTTTTACTGCTTCAATGTCAAATTTATTCTCCATTAGTTGTTGTTTATATGGTTTTAATTGATCAACTAATTTTTTATTTTTCTTTATCGATCCAACATGATTTTTCAGTATTTCTTCATAAGTCGGCCAATCATTAACACATGCTGGACATTGGCAATCGAAAAAATATTCTTCCATGAGTTTCTCTTTTCTTTTATTTCTTGGCATATAAGAATAATCAGCGCCATATCCTGTAAAAACTTGGTCACCAACATTAATTGGTTCCATTGAACGAGTTATCATAATAAGACCTTCAAAATATCTAAAAGTATTTGGTGCACAAGAATGATTGTACAAACTGTGAGTTACGAAGAGTCCGGAACCAGATTTAATACCTGGTTCGGGTTGAATCTGTAAAAATAATTATAAGTAATATTTACATGAAAAAAAAATTTTTTCGACATTACGTTATAAGTTTTTATAGATAAAAGTTATTAAACGAAAAAAAAAAAAATTTTTTTAAAAACTAAAATTCAGTTTCCATAAATAATTCATATTCTTTTAGTAAAACCTAATAATATTTTTTTATACAAATCTACATCATTTATTTTGACTCAAGTTAAGATTAGAATATTTTATTATTTATTTGTATTAAATATTATATAAAAAAAAATGTCTTTTTCACTTGCTCTTATGACAAAACTTCAAAAAATTCTTTTTTTTTTTAAGCACAAAGAAGACAATTACAAATTTGCACATGAAATCATGTTATAAGACGAATATTTATATTAATTCATATGAAAATAATAATTTTTATTCAACTTATTTCTTGAACGTAATGTAAATAAAAGTTTTTTATTTAAATGAAAATTGACTTTCGTATATTTAAATTTATCGAATCTAATTTATTTTCATACAAACTGCTATTCGATATAAGTGATACACACTAAAGAGAAATTCCCTTCTAAATAATAGAACAATCCCAGTAAACACTATTATATTGTAGTTATATGTATATTTTATTACAGTTATGTACCATAGAAGTAACATAGATGTTACTATTTCCGCCTTAATTATATAATATTGTTTTATAACTTTGTTATATTACAGTAATATTATGGTTACATAACATTTTTATCAAGATTGATATTGTTTAAACTAAAAAAAAAACCTACGTTTTTACCTACTATTAGGTAGGCTATTCTGATACTTAATTTTCAAATTGAAAATAGGCCCATATAGACATATATTTTAGTTACATGTATAAATATATAGAAAAATGAGAATAATTGTGTGAATTATAGTTCATTTTAGTTATTATGTAATAATTATTATATATAATGTCTTCTTTTTATTTTTAATTGAGATTTATTCATTTTTGAGATTACAAAACATTTTGTAAATGTCTTAGGTTAAACAAATTGATAAGAAAATCCTTATTTTCTGAGTATTAAATACACATAGCCAATAATGGAGTGAACGAGAAATTCTCTGACAATTTAGGTACACAAATAGTTCTTAAACTGTAAAGTATCCTTATGGCTTAGAAACAATTACCCTGATCTGCTATCAATCTCAATTTATCTATACATTGAAAAGAAAAGCAACTATAACCAGAATTTTGTAATGTTACATCTGTAGAATATGCCGTCAATACAAAGAACGTATGTAACATCGATGTGGCGATGTTACATTACAAGAACATTGCGCGTATGCAACGAATGTTACCTAATATTAGTAAAAATATGTTATGTAACATTCAAATAACAGTTGCATAACAAATGTAATGTAACACAGAGATTACAGTGTTATATCATAGAAACATAACATTAAATAACAAAAAATATATACTACTAGTATAACAGTGTTATCTAACATGAATACAACATGCATGTAACACTAATTATATTGCCATTAGATAACTACGTTATATAGCTACAACGTCACATGGGTGTGACATCTGCAATATAAACTTGTTACTTTGACAATATATTACAGTTATATAACATATATGTATGTAACTTTTCGTTATATAACTTGTTACATATTGTTACCTTTGTGTTATATTGCTGTTATATTCAGTGTTTACTGGGAAGTATTCAATTTATCAGTAGCAAATATTTTGTACTTAATAATAAGTAGAACTTGGCCAGTAAAATTTAAACACATCTGGTCTTGTCATTGACAAATACTCTATTGAGTAAAAAGTTTGCATCATTTTGATGTATTACATCTTTTTTAAAATTCGAATTTAGTAAAAAATTTCACTTAATATGAAAATATCACAAGTGTCTATCCAGATATAATAATCTGTAGGAAATTAAATTCTCTTGCCCCAAAAAATGAAATATGAAATGCGTAATAATGATAACGAATGTTCATAAAAAGCTATAATTACCGAAAAACAATTCGATGATGTTATTACACAAGCTCTCAACATTAAACTTCCACAGAATCTAATGTCTGCTAATGAATCAATATCATGTAATTCATCAAATGAATATTTTTTTCCAAATAGATTTGTTTGAGTTGCCAAAATGATTGCTGTGAGTGCAGAAATGCAAGCAAAAGCACTGATACCAATGAGTGGACGAGTAGTCATATTCATAGCAAGACTTAAAGCACATCGTGCATTCATACTTTCAAATGTACCATTAACGGTGAAACCTGCAGTTCTATTATCTACAGAACATAAAAGTAGTATTTAAAAATTTTATTTCCTAAATTTTAATCCCAATAAATAGAATGCAGAATACCAGGATTTATTTCAGCAATTTTCATATCTTCTCGTAATTCATTAATTTTTTTTCCATTTGATGTGACAGTTATCAAGAGACGCATGATTTTTGTAATCATTCGGAACTTATCTTGATCAATATTTAAAAGATTAACTAAAATACTAAAAACTGAACATTCTATATTATGCGCTAAATCCCAATTAAGTTTACAACATTTTTCAGAGCAATATTGAGCAATCGGACAATTTGGGCATGGAATTAAACAATACGATCTTTCCAAACAATGATGACAGTGAGTATAAAATCTATTTAAGCAAAAACAGTAAAAAATAAGTAAACTTGTTTTTTTATCAAAAAGCTATTAATAAAATTTTCAACTCAGACATGCAGAATTTTATATCTATATTATTTTTTTAAGTAAATTGAAATCAAATATGTTGCATAGAAGCTCCTAATAAAACAAACTCACACAAATAATATGTAAATTTTTTATTTATTTTATTGTTATTTATAAAATGATATGAGTTTGTTTTATTATAGAAATTTTTTGTCAGAAATAGTAAGTGAATATGATAATTTCAATTATAGTACTTGAAATATTTTGTATAAATCAAAAACACATACTTGTCACGGTAAATAACCCAACAGTAAGGTTTTTCGATGGTTACAATGTCACCTGGTTTAAATTTTTTTGTAGCAACTAAATGTCGTCCATATTTTTGTGAAAAAGAAATTTGTATACCATCACTATTAGCCGGTGCTTCTTTACTAGGACCATAAGGTAACTCCATTACTTTTGGATTTGATAAATATTTTGGTTTAGGCTTTTCTAAATTTTCATTCTCCATTTTATCAATAATGTTTTTAATATGTTCATCTGTTAAATTATTCTTTTTGTTTTTACAGCAATAATCTGTAGATATTTTTTTTTCTCTTTCAATTTTTGCAAACCAAGATTCATCAATTTTTTGTAGGGTTTTCATTCGTCTTTCCTCTAACTTTTTCCGCTTATGTTCTGGATATCCTAATCTTAATGCTGCATCAATGTCTAATAAACACTCTCGATATAACTGTTTTCGATATAAAGCAGCAGAACGATTAGCATGAGCATACGCCATTAATTCATTTGAATCAGCATATGCTAAAGACTTGGTGAAACTTTCAATAGCTTCTAAATCGTCTCCACTAACAAATTGTTGATTACCTAATTTAAAAAGTCATTACAAATTATTTTCAAAATAAGATTTGTCTATTACTGAAATTAAATATATCAAAATGAATAGTTTATACCTTCTTCTCGATATTTGATAGAATCTTTTTCATTTTTTTCTTCAATTTTAAATGATGGCATTGAAGATTTCATCATGTTTTTCATGATATGACCCACCAATGCTTCACATTCAGCTTGCAATCCATATCCTACATGTGATTTGTTTTTTGTTTTCATTTGCATTACTAATTCTTTAGCGATATCCATTATATTAATAAATTAGTATTTTTGTTTCAATTATTATTTAACGTATCAATAAAAAATAATTAACTGAAAGAGTACAGCTTAACTTTACAAAGTATAACTCATCACTGCGAAGAGTTATAGAAAACTAAAAGGAACTAAGATGGGGAAAACTAAAATTACCTTCTCGAACAGATGAAGTGAGGGGAAGATTTTGTCGAATTACTGAGATGATTACCTACATCTATCACGTGATTTAAAACCTTTTGCTACGGGAATTTCGGTTGCATATAAAAATACATTTATAGGATAATTAAAAATAGTTCATTATATATATTAGAAAATATTTTTATATTTATTTTATTAATTTAATCAAATAAATAAATAACTAAAACAATTTAATTTATAAACAGTAGTTTATTAATAAAATTTTTTTTATTTTAAGTGTACAGTTTGGAAATTTTTTTGTAAAATCGTGATTGAAATTTAAATATAAAATATGAGAAGATATACTCTGAAAACTGATTTCATAGAATATGATTAATCAATACCATACACAATTATTCTGAATTGATATTTTTTTTATAATTAACAAATAATATTACAAATTTAAATAATTATTTATATTTAAATTTATTTATTCAATCTTCTTCAGTTTCTAAATTAATATGACTGCCAAATTTGCCATATAATTGTGCTTTTAAATCAGTCATTAAGTTTTTCAACTCTGCACATTTGTTCTCCAATATTTCTATTTCACATAGTTTTTGCTGTTTTGCTTGCTCTAAGCATTTCTTTAATAATACAATAATACATTATTAATTTTATGCAACGAATGAATTAATCGCCATTAGTATAATAAATATAATAATAATTTAAATCATATTTGTGAAAATAATAGTTAAATACCTGAGTTTTTTCAATATCTTGAGTAATAAATAAATCTCCTATACGATATGATATTTTTTCATCATCATCCATTAGAGTTATTTCATTACAGGCATCTTCTAAATTTTTTAAAGTGTTCTATAGTAGAATGTAATGTAAAATTGGTTTGTTACTATCAATATACAATGTTTATTAATTTGAATGAAAGATCAATATAAGTAAACCTGTTTTATTTTAAGTTCTTCTTTTAAATCATCCATTTGTGCATTTTGTTTTGCAAATTTGTTAATTTTTTGTTGATCTTCATATGAAATATGTACATCTGAATCCTAAAAATAGAATCATATAGATTTGAATAATGTTAAAATAATTTACATCATTAGTTAATAGATATAAAATTAAATTCTATGATATTAATATGAAATTTATTTAATTGAAACTTATGGTTGTAAATTTATTTATAATAAATAAAAAAACTTAATAAATAATTTATTTTCGTTTATTTACTGGTTGATATGATGCCTGAGCAGTTTTTCCAGTAGCCATGGTTCGCTTTTTTATATTGAATGTTTCTTAATATTTTAAAATTATTTATACATATACACAGATACACAGCAATAGTAACCTAACTTCGTAACTCCGTAAAGATAGAATTGGAAATTAGTCAGCCATGTTTAAATTTTTTTTTTTATTAGAGAAAAATATGGGCTCGGACTGCGTCTACTCGGCCCTCTACAGTACTAACTTGGTTTTACAAAAATACAAATTCAGAATAGACTATTAAATTTTCTTTTAACACTATTTACCTTAGACTCTAAACAATACTGAAGTCTCTTATACTAATTACCCCTAAGATCATCTTACAGAACAATGAGATCTTTAATTTACAGATTACAAAAATAACAAGTCTATACAATTACTAGCTCTAGAGTGCATATGATCTATCAGGTACATACGTATACACCTTGATATAATTATGGCGCGAAAATCAAATTTAAACTTAAATAAAACGAGGTAATACTCACAATAAATCGACATAACTCTGAAACAATACCAATTGACATAGTTTGAAAAATTGGTTTGATGCTATAAGGAGGAAAAACCTTCATTTTTATTAAGTTCTTAACCAAAAATTTTCTTTGGTCCTCATATAAGGAACACTACCAAAAAATATATTCATCATTTTCCTCCTCACCGCATTCACAATTAGAAGACTTAACGATTCTAAAACGATATAAACTAGAATTAAGCGAGGTGTGACCAGATCTTAGCCGATTGACCGATACTATTGATCTTCTATTGAGCTTAAACTTACTGAACCAGCATTTAAAAGTGCTATCAGCGTAATCATCAAAATACATTTTACCCTTATTTTCAACATAAGTTCTTTGCTTAGCTCAGCTAAAAGCTTCTTCTTTTATCTTTGCCCTCCAAACTGCCTTAAAATCACCAAGAGGTAACAATACCTGAGAATCTCTACCTGTATAAATGGCGCTTTTGACTGCAAAATCTGCTTTCTCATTATGATCAAGACTCACATGAGCCAAGACTCATCAAAATTCAACTATTTTCCCTCTAGCTCTTAACCTTAACAATTGCTCTTTGATAAGTCATGTTTAAATACAAGCTTGTGATCTCTGCGCCATAATTTCTCTTTTGTATCTTGTAAATTTATAGATGTATATGAATTATTTAATTACTTAAAATAAACTCATTTATAATATAAATTTAAAAATGAAAATATATATATATATACTTGTTTCGTTGATTAATAATTATTATTTACTAATACTCTTTAATTAAGAGTAATTCTGTAGAAATAGTGTTTTTTAAAAAGTCCTATTTCAATTTGTATTGCTGTAATAGAATCTTATTTATTTTTAAATTTAATTAGTTTATCATAAAATAAAAAGTATGTAAATTATCATAAAATCTGACTATATATTTATATTTAAATAAATTCATAAAATTTTGTTAACAAAAATTTTTCAAAAAAAAAATTAATAAAAATGAAATACTTTAAAAAAATTTTTATTATTTAAATATTATGATTAACGAAATCAAATAACAAATAAACTGATTTTGATGCAATATAATATTAATTCATGAAAAACGATTTCAAAGGATAAGTTTTTATAATAAATTAATATATTTATTTCAAATATGTTTTTAAATAACATATTTTCCTAGGATAAATTAATATTTTTAATTGAAATATAATATAAAAAATACTCACGCGTATTCTATAGAAACAAAAAATTTTACAATAGTATAAAAGGTGCATAATATTTTTTACAATGTTTTATTTGGTAATATAAAAAGAAACTAAAGAAACTTTAATTATTAAATTTCTTATGAGTTTTCTAAAGATTTATCTTTCAATGCTTTTTCTCTTCGTTCTCTCAGACTTCGAAGTGAAGGAAAAGGAAATTGTCGTCTCAGTAACTCTTCATATCCCCTTGTCCCACAGATATCTTTTAATTTAAGAGCATCTCGTATAGTTTCATTTGACCAAGATCTAACTCTCTTTCCATAACTTAATTTTATTCTCAAATATTCGATCTGATCGTTATTAAATAAATTTTCTAAAATTTTTCTGTAGTGATTGTGCATTAATGTCTCGTTTTTATGTTTAAGTTGTCTAATCATATTTCTGTAACGTTTAATTAACTTTTGTTGATTCATTAATAATTTATTGGCGCGTTCTAATTTTTCTTGATCATTGAGCGTTATTAAGTTCCGTTGATTATTCAATAATGATGTGTTATCGATTAAATTAACGTTCTCCGCATTTGAATAAGAAGAATTTTTAATTTCTATAAGTATTAGATTTTGATCTGATCCTTTATTAGACTCCAAGTTTGTATCAAGATTCTGAAATGTATTAATTACAATAAAATACAGCGTGTATCAAACAAATAAAAATCAACAATAATTACCTGTTCATTATTCAATATTTCCCCATTTAATAGTTCTTCTTCTAATGCAAATTCTAGATCCCCCGAAATATTCTCATTAGAGCTGGCACCATAAATGCTTGAATCAGTCAATCCTGTATTCATTGAACCAGTCTAAAAATACAGTTATTTAATAAAACATACAATATGTTAACACCATATTTTCTATAATCATTTTTACCGTTTTACTGTTTAAGATAATTCTTCGATTTGGAAAAATTGTAGGAACTGCTCGTAGTTTCAATACCCTTTTGCCATCTTCTCGAGGCTTTTCCCACATATCAGGTTCAAAGTGGACCTGTCAAACAATATTTATTTTTTTTTTTTTTTTTGTAAATATGTAATTTTGAATATTTTATATTGACGATAATAGTTTTACTTTTGAATTTTTTTGTTTACTAAAAAAATTGATCAAAATTTTCATTTTTATTTCATTTTAAAATAAAATTTTAACTTTTTTTGATGAATGAAAGTCATACCTCACAAATGTATGTTCGATCACTAGGAACCCAATTCTTTCGTCCAATATTTTCTATCCATTTTCTACGACGTTCAGGATCTCGAGGAATAACTTTCATAATGAATTTTTTTTTACTAGAATTTGAACAACCTGGTACACAACAGCCTCCCATTTTCGATATTTTAGATTGAAAAAATCAATCAAAGTCAATATAAATAATATTTCAAAACAATATACACTTTTTCAGGTTATGTTTCTTCAAGTGTCAAAAAAACCTATAAACAGCTCGGTTCGTTGATTACACCTAGTCCCTTAAGATAGAATCTGACAAGGACATCGCCATATTGCTTGAGTCTTGCCTAAAATCCGATAAGAACTTAAGGGACTTTAGTCTTGCCGGACTCTATCTTGCAATCTCTAATTTAGGGGACTCTAATCATATACTACGACATCCTCCCTCTCAACTGCTTGTTAAGAGTAGAGATCTTACTTATCCTTCTCTTATTTCACCGACACAAACTTTAAAAAATTTAAAAACCAACTATAATAAGAACATTAAACTTTAAACTTTAGAGTAAGGAATTGACATAACACAAAATATTACACTTAATTCTAGTATATAAATGAAACATTAGATCAGAGCAGATTAAAATTATTTTTTTGCCACAAAATATCACATCTAATCTAGATAGATGCAAATTTGATTGAGTTTTCCATAATGCATGTTTTTTTTTTTTTTTAATTTTAAAAAGTAATAACAATGAATTAATGCAAAGTTGATTTACATACTTGGCATGAATATAGCTTCTGATTAAAAGAGAAAAACTTCAAAAAGTTCATTTGTTGATGAGCTACGATCAATTGTTAAAAAAATAGTGGTACTTCTGACATAAACGATTAAATATCTCGAGAACTTATTAGTCGTAGAGATTTGAGACTAGTCTCATTATGGCACGCCAAAGTGGTATTTAATAGATACAATTTGATTATATAAAATTTTAAATCAATGATTTTTTTTAAATAAAATAGAAAATTTTTTTCATTAATTTTATTTTGTCATGACATAATAAAAAAGAATTAAAATTATGTCTTGACATAAAATTAATTCAAAATACAAAGGACAAGATAGAAATTATGTTGAGTTACTATTATGTGTAGACATAAATTTAATTGATTTTTTTTATGTCCTGACATAATTTTAAAACATTTTCATTATGTCCTGACATAAAAATAATTCTATGAATTAAATTTTTGTCCTGACATAATATTAATTCAATGAATTAAAATCATGTACACTCGGCGTCATTAATGCCTGGTCCATCAAAAACTTTGATACCATCCGAACAATTATCGATGGAGTAGTTTTTTTTTCAAATAGAGATTCCACATCTAAATTAAATTTAATTTAGAAAGTTCATGATTAAATACTCTTTTAGATAGTCCCTACAACGATAGAATATCCCGACTAAAAAATTTTTAAACCTTAATTTAAATAATAATAATAATAATAATAATAATAATAATAATAATTTAAACTTACTTCTTCAGTCATCATGAAATAATCGTGCACATTAATAGTCATGGCTATAAATGTTAGTTTAATTAAATTCATACTGATGTCTACCGTCACTAAAAACAACCTACTAAACAAAATCGGTTAATGTCCAACTGAATTTCAAATTAGGCTATTTTTTGAAGCATATTGATTGAACTATATACCCTAGTAGCTCAATCAACGTAAAACTGACGGCAGACTTACGTATGTATCGGCCGTTTTTCTGAAGCAGACAGACATACTATACAGATATAATAACATTTCGTCAGAAGACATACACATATAATAATATTTTCGTCAGAAATATATGGCAATCTGATGCAGAAAGAAAGCAGACGAATGTAAGTCTGTATGTTGGTAATAAATAACCAAGTAAATTATGGTAATTGACGAAGTTATTTTTATTTCTATTTCTTCGAATTGGCACTACAGTACCAATTAAACTAGTACGTTTATATCTATATATATATATGTATATATACATATATATATATACAGAAAAAAAACAATTAAAACCATTATTAATATTAATAAATGGATTAATAAAGAGATTTTTAAAAATACTCAATATGTTAACATAGAGATGATACGTGGATCTTTCACGAGGATATCTTGGCCGCTGCAACTTCTAAAGCCCGATGAACCTAAGGATTCTTCGCGTATCACAGGGGTGAAGCTTCTATAGTTAAATTGGCTATTTTTTTTGGACTAAGACCATGCTGAAAGATCCCGATTTAACGAAAATCTTTACAATACTGCACTGCCTGCTAGACTCTGTTTTACTGGAATTTCACTGAAAATAAACTTAAACTTAATCGGTTTGACTTAATTATTCGATTGTTCAAATTACTTGGAAAAATATCCACAATAATAATTCAAGTGTCAGGTGTGTTCCACTCCAACATCGTCCGAACTCGATTTCACTGAACCTTTGAATTTATCTCTTTCTGTGTCTGTTTGCTTAAATCCTAGCGGTAAAGATGGGTCTGGGGTTCGTTTTGATAAATTCCACCATAAATATCAACTGAAATACTGTAATACTCTCTGAAATCTAACATACAATATCTGGACTCTACTCTACTATACTATATACTAGATTGACTGGTAAACTTATTTTTTGTTTAAAAAGCAAAAAAAATAGTATAAATTAAGATATCTTGAAAACTAGGAACATATGTTAAATATGTTATGTATATTCACCTTTTAAGTTGAATTATTTTGGTAATAATATCGCTTTGTCTTTAAATAATTCTATACTACTACAGTCTCATTGTTATCCAAAGAATTCTTCAGGTTATTGTCATAACACATGTAGAACATCCGGCAAAAAACTTGTTGACGCTACATACAATGCCCAAATCATCACAACACTATCCATCTCTATTCATTTCAACCAATCACAAGTGCTCTAGCTTCAGTATAGTAATGTTTTTGTAAACTTTAAATTTAAGACATTTTTTGGTTTTACTTCACCAGGTTGAAATGCTTCAAATGGTTGTTTACAAATAAAAAAAAAAGTCTGTACTGTATCATAGTGTCAACTGTTATACAACAATTTTAGTCGTTAGAATTGATAAAAATATTCATTTGTTTTCATTTGAGTTTTTTCTAATCAAGATAAGAATGTTTAACCATGTGACAAAACTAGATCTTGGATACAAAAATCGTATTGGAAAAAATCTTCAATAAAAAATCATTTTTTAGTTGATGAGATAGTGCAGCCCTACCATGCGTACATAGTATTTTAATGACTATTTTGATTAAAATAACAAAATGATTTTAACTAATATTAAATAATAATGACAATATATATTTTATTAGTATAGATTTTCTAGTTAGCTTTAGAATGAACGTTCTGAATAGTTATTAAGACACTTTCATACACAATATTACGATATTTGATATAGTGTTATTAGAACTTTTTGTGAAATGTTTAAGTGTGTCGGAGGATATTTTGATTAAAATATAATTTAGCATTGTATTAGCATTAGATTTAGATTATTAATACTATTTTCGATTGTCTAAATTCTTTATTGGAACTAAATTTTTTGAATTTTCAAATGTTCAAGTTGTAATTAATAAATGTTTTTTTATTATGCAGCTAATGCGTTATAGATCAAAATGTCATTAAATTCAGTCCAATTATTAACTAATAACGTTTCCTGTTCACTAGGGTATTCGTATATAACTACCAATGAAGAGATTCAAGGTATGTATATTAGTACTCAATGTCAATGAAAAAATATACTTTACCGTCTTAAAATTCTATATTCTAATATTATAATTGTTTTTTTCAGTAATTGATTTTGAAATAAATACTGACAATGGATCGTCTATGAATTTAACAGCACTGATAAACTCCATGAATTTTCTACTTCGTAATCAAGAAATACTTGTGAATAGCATAAATACTTTATTCCAAAATCAAAAAATAATGATGCATACAATTGCTGAAATACGTGAATGGAAGATGAAATGTTCAACGTTAACATTGAACAGTGATAACTGTAAAACTGTTGAGGAAACAACTCATTTTCCCCAAATGCCACTCACTACCCTAAAATAATTTTTATTATTCAACCGTGAGCTTAAAAAGAATGAAATTTTTCAGAGAACATTTGTAAGTTTCAATATTTCAACATTAAAGTTAAATTTAACTAACTAATAATTTAATCTTATGAAACAATAAAAAATTTTTTTCGTATCAGCTGTACTTCATAACGAACCCCTGTATTGTAACTATACATTAAAGCATGTCCAAAATATTCTAAAGTCGTGATTGCAACAAGCTCGAAGCCGTCTACGCTCGAAGGAGATACGATAAGTTCAAAAGGCATTGAAATTTGAGCAAAATCATCTTCGAGAAATAAAATTTTTAAAATTTGATTCAAAAGGATTGTATTAATAAAATCTTCATTCTAATAAATTATAGTTTTGGAATAATTTCATCAATCAATATTTATTATTATTTCTATTATTATAATAAAATATATATTTTATAGTCAAATTTACATTTGACTACTTAATTTTAATTTTTATAAAGAATGAAATATTTTATTTTATTATTTATGTTACGAATTATAGATTGGTGCATTCTTAATTTTATTGTGAATGAAATCAAATTTATACACGTAAATACACAAGTGACATAATAATGTATGTTTTAATGAAAAAAAAGAAGACAATTAACTTGATTAATAATTTAAACCAAAAAACTATTATTATCATTATTTTTTATGATTATAAAATTGAAAAATTTTTATTTGTTTAAAGTAATTTTGTATAATTTACTTGATAACTTATTTGCATGATTAATAAGTGAATATTGATTACAACATAGATTGCTCACACAAATATTAGATTATGCACATATTTGTTATATTTTATTATTAATTAATATACATATTTATATATTATTTATACAACACGAATTCATTATAAGAGATTTAAATTACACGTAAGATATTAATTATTAATTAATATGAACATACACTCTTTCTTTTAATAGACATATGAGGAATTGATTTTATTAGTCTTGAAAAACAAAACTTCCTACTGGAAAATTAAATATGTTGTGAAAATATTTATTTCAGTTTATTTATTTGTAATATACAGGTAACACTAACTTTTAAAAAATTTCCATTAAAAGAATAAACATAAAAGCCAAAATAAATGAATATTTACCAACCATACTTTAATTAATGTTGACTAGTAATACATTTAAACATTTATTTAAAATTAAGATTCATTATGAATTATTATTTCGATAAAAAACGATCTCATATCTACCCATCTTAAAATTTGTGCCAACTATAATTTTAGTCTCATTGTAGCCACTATTTAACAAAATATTCATTCTGTAAAAAACATCATTTTGTTTAAACTTTGTATGTATAAAAATTAAATAATTCCTTGTCACGAGTCGGTGTAAAATAATTAAATTGATAGTAAATTTAATGAAAAAAAAAGTTTTTATCATTTTCATATGACATATTTTATCCAATAATCAGTTTTCCATTACCGTACTTGTACTTTATTAACAAATTATTTCATTGTTAATCTTGAGTTTTAAAATTGACTAGCTAATTCAAGTACACCTTTCCTTCACAAAAATTAAATTTAAAAAAACTTTATTATAAAGTTGAATCAATATTATTACAAATAAATAACCTTCGGTTAACAAACATTTTGTATTTCATAAATATTCAATGATTTTACTGTCAAAATAAAAGTGACTCCCGCTCTAATCGACTAATGGTGAAGACGCGTGCCTCACATATATGATATTTGTATAATAAGTGAAGGTAGTTTTGTAAAAAGTTTCTTTTTCTTTTCTTTCTCACTCTCACTAATGTAATCGATGTCGGTATATTACAGCTCAGCTGGTCACATTTACTCACTTTGGTTACTACACTATACTACTTCTATTGATGGAAGCAACTTTCATTTGAATTTAATCTGTGTACATTTGGGAATAAATTTCGATATATTTATATTTTTTTTTGTCTAAAAATGCATATTATTATAAATCAAACAGTATTTAGTGATTAATTACTATATTTGACAGTATCATTGGTGAATTTCTTATTGAAATGTACATATGTGATGATTTTAGAACATTAATAAAAATTATGAAATGATTTATTTAAAAAAAATATTACACATATAAGAATATCATATAATTATTTTAAAATGAAACGTTCGAAAATCGATATTATTAATGCAACTGTTGAATCATATTTAAAACGACGTCGTTATCAGGTACGTTGAGTTTTGTCATTTAATCAAACCATGTTTTGCTATGAATAACCTGTAAACATGTTTAAAATTGTTGGAGTATGATGAATTTCGTAAAACCGATCGTAACAGATCTGTTACCAGTGAAGAAATGACTCTTAATGAAATGGCAGAAACAGGAACATCTACAAAAAATTCAATTATCTTTAGCACAATTATAAATGATGTTGTTGCTGCTAACCAAGCTTATCAGAGGTTATAATCCTTTTTCACGTATTTTATTAAAAACTTTCTATTTGATTTTATTTACTCAAAATATCATGTATTTATTGATGTAGATTCAAAGATTGGATAAACTCAATCAAAAATGATGATATAAAGCAGCAATTAAAATTTATGTTATACCCAGTATTTTGCCATCTTTATTTGGATATTATTTATGCTGGAAATTTACAGGCTGCAATAGAATTTTTTAAAACTTACCAAAAAGATTTTGCAGCAGATACTGAAAAGAATTTCTTGGAAGAATTATCCAATGTTTTTTCTGTTCAAGATGTTGAGATAAGACCATTAGCTAGTGCATTTAGAAATAGGAAATATAAAGTGAATATGTCTGATGAAGCTTATATTGCATTACAAAAATATCTTGGTAAACATGGACATGTTATAATCATGCAGGTAATTGTGATGTTTATAATTAAGTACTAAGCTACTATAATGCTTTAAAATAAAATAAATAAATTTTTCGTCAAAAATATTTTGATTTTTTTATATAATTAATAATAATTTTTTTTAAAGATTATAAATATTCATATAGCTATTGTGAGAAAAATTTCTGATTATGCCGATGAAAATAAGACTTATAATTCTTCAAAATGGGGAAGCATAGGAATAAACGGTCACACAGAACAAGTTTCTGGTACTGGCATAGATAGAGAAATGAGAGAGCTTCAAGAAGCTATTCGATTATTGAAAAATAATCCTCACAAACCACTGAGAATATTAAAAGTTAATAATTCAACAGAAAAGTATGTATCAAGTACAATACTTGTTCAAACTTGTATTTTAAAATTATTTTTCATTTTACAGTGCTAGTTGTGCAAGAATGACACATAACATGGACAAAATTGCTGTTGGATTTAGCTCAAATGAGATTAGAATATGGGCTATGGGTGATAATGTATTAATGAGGCCCAAGTTGAGATCTAGATCAGTTATTCTTGCACCAAGTATTACTTCATCTAATCAGTTGTCTGAAGAGAATTTTGAAATGTAAGTTTTTCACATGTATGTAAGTAATAAATTATTTGATCATTTATTCTATTTTCCGTCAACTATCACAAGGTAATTCAGAATAATGTCGAAAAAATATTTTATTGGTCAAAGAAATTGTATGAAAATTAGAAAATTTTAGTTATAGTCAAAGTTAGTTTGTTAAAAAATTTTTATATAATAATATTTTTTGTAGTGAAGAAGCAGGAAGTATAATTCTACGAGGACATACAGATGTAGTCCATGACTTGAGATTTGTTTGTGAGTCGCAAGTTCTTCTTTCTGTTTCTAGTGATAATGATATGAGAGCATGGCGTACTGATGATTATACCTGTTCTACAATTTATAGGTAAACATGAAGTTATACATGTATTATTACAACATTATTTTTTAAAAATAACATTTTTTAAATATTAATCTAAAGTTATTCAATAAGAATTTATAAAAACAAGTATTCTCAATTCATTTCAGTAAATTTTCAAAAATACATTTATGATTAGAATTATCGTATTAATAAAAAAAAATACTCATTGATTTTTTAGCGGTCACAATTATCCAATTTGGTGTATGGATACAAGTCTATTTGATTTACATATTGCCACTGGATCTCATGATCGAACGGCCAAACTTTGGTCTCTTGATAGAAAATTTCCCCTTCGAGTCTTCGCTGGCCATTTTATGGATGTTAATGTAAGTGATGAAATATAAAAGGAATTTCCTTTATTTTTGTAAAATAAGTATTCACTGAATGAATATTCAATGTCTTAGAAATAAAATATTTCAGTCAGTCAAATTTCATCCGAACGCACGATATATCGCAACGGGTTCTGCAGACAAATCACTTCGACTATGGAATAAAGATGATGGAAAATTATTACGATCCTATGTTGGAGCACAATCGACTATTTATAGTTTGGTATTTAGTCCCGATGGAAGGTATTTAGCTTCAGCTGGTGAGTAAATTCAATTAAAATTTAATGCGTTAATATGAATAATTTTTTAATATATATATATAAAATATAAACTTTAAATTATTATTTATAATAGTAAAAAAAAAATACTTGAGTTGGAAAGAAATTTCAATTTTATTTAAAGGTAGAACCGGTAAAATTTTTCATGAAATTTCATAAATTTTGCTGATTCATACATAACAAATTATGTAAATGATATTTTTGTTTGTAAATATATATATTTATTCAATTTTAACATGAAATTAGACATTTTTAATTTTTTTATTGAAAAAGTAAATTCGTATCAACAAACACCATCATTTTTTTAAATTAATGAATTTATTAATGCATTACAGGTGAAGATAAATCTGTTATGATTTGGGATTTAGCAACAGATGCTCTTCTTAATGAATTAAAAGGTCATCAAGCTACTGTAATGCAATTAGATTGGAGTCCGGACGGACAATTCATTGCTAGTGGAAGCAGTGATGGTGTTGTCAGAATATGGTCTACCAAAACATTTGTGAAAACTACTAGCAGGTAATTTTTATTTATGATTTATTATGCATAAACTATATATCAAACCCTAATTTTATAAAGTGTAAAAATTGAATTCAAAACTATACTCCAATCCTTGAAAATTTTAAAATAATGATTATTATTTAAAATTGAGATCAGGAAACGTGTGCTCTTGAGAATATAATGTACTTTTATTGTTTTCATAAATATCGGAGATTTTGAATTTACATTAAAATCTTTTATAAATTTTTCTGTTTTTACTTTAATAAATTGCAAAAAATTTTTCTTAACTTTACTGAAAGTAAATAATAAAATTCATCAGTTTCATATTTTTTTTTGTTTCATTTAATGTTATTTTTAGTATAATTATTTAAATTTTTATTAAAATAATTATCAAGAAATAATAAAACCAATATTCAATTATTTATCGAATCTGTTTTAAATTCTAGTGGATCAAGTGGCCCCGTATCAGATACAGAAATTCCTACAGTTCAAGAATTCGCAACAAGTAGTTCAGCAATTTTATCACTTCAGTTCAACCCTAAAACTAATTCACCAATTTGTATTGTTTCTTCGTAAAATATGAAAAAAATATAAATATTTCTTAGTTTATTCTGTACTTTTTTTTTAAACGTATTATATTTATATGTAGTTTGATTATTAATAATAGTAGAGTCTAATCTAAGAAAGGAGTTTTAAATTTACAAAATCCTGATTTCGAAAAAAAATCGATCAAATTGTTAAGCAAACATACATTACACAAAATCTTATTCCGGTCGTATAGAATGAGATGTTAATTTTTATAAAATAAAAATTAGCTGGATTAAAAGTTGATAAATTAAATCTTTGATAAACATTTCATTTTTTTTGCTCGGTATAATTTTTTTATCTTAATTATTTAAGTTTTTATTGATATAAAATACACAAATAAAATAAAAATTTGAAAAAAGAATTAATTTACAAGTAAGTAGAGAAGAAAAAAATGGAAAATATAATTGAAAAATTGTTCCTTTTCTTAGTTCATTTTAAGAGCAAATACAATTTTAAGAAAATAATTCATCAGGCAATTCTGTTTTAATTGGAAAACTTGATTGTGTCCCTGACTTCAAAACACTTTGAGAAGCTATTCTACAAGCCCTTCTAATAGATTCTGCCATTGAAATTTGTGGATGATAAGCAATGAAATAGGCCAACGCTCCTAAAAATGCATCCCCAGCCCCCTGTAATTTACCATGTGATTAAATTTTAAATAGTGATCGATGAAACATATGACGAGATACACGATAATAATTTATTTACTGTTGTGTCAACTGGTTTCACTTCATCAATTGGAATATGAATCATTTTTGGTTTATTTCGAGATGCAAAAATCGCACCATTAGCTCCCAAGGTAATTATAACAGTGTTACATCCCATATTAAATAGTTTATAAAATGCTTCTTGTGCATTTAATAATGTTAATGACTGAATTCCAGTCATAATTTCTGTCTAATAAACAATATTAAACATTTATTTTATCATGCCTTTAAAAAGTAAATTTTAAAAAAATACCTCTGTTTCATTGAGACAAAATATATCACAGTTTTTTAAAATATCTGAAGTAACATCTTTTATCGCTGGAGCACCATTTACAATTGAAGTCCCTAAAAATGATTCAGGCTTTAAATAATTATCATCATTCAGTTATGAATTTTATACAGAAATTAAAAAATACACCATGTCCTTTGTGAAGTTTCAAAGCGTAGAGAGTAGTTTCAAGACAAGTTTCAAATTGTGCAAGAAGAACTGTTGCATTTTTAATAACTTCATGAGCTTCATCAACATCAGTTGGACTTAAAAGTACATTTGCTCCCACAACAATTACAATACTGTTTTCTCCATTTTCAGCTACCATAATTTGAGCAACACCACTATTCACATTATCTCTAATCTTTAAATGATCAATATTGACATTTAGAGATTTAAGTAATTGTAAGTATTCCTGGCCAAATATATCATTACCTAGCTAAAGTAAACAAAATAGTGAAGTAATAAAAATTTATAAATGTAGAATGAGTAGTATGATTTAATGTTCAATTACAGAAGCCACTAAAAACGTTGAAGCACCGAGTTTAGTTGCTGCTACGCATTGATTAGCCCCTTTACCTCCAAAAGTTCGTTTAAATTCCGATCCAATCAATGTTTCACCTGGTCTAGGGAGACGTGGAACATAGCTAAAAATTATGTATGTGAACAATAATAGCAATAAAATTTGTATTGATAAAATAGATTATGTTTTATTAGTTGCTTATTTTTGTAAAATGATGCATACCTGACAAAGTCAATCATACATGATCCAACGATAACAATATCTTTCGACATAGTTGTCGTTTATTAAGTATTTCTTGATTCTCACGAAATATTAATTTTTAACCTACACGTTATTTGAATTTATTATTTTTATATATATTTTTATGACAACTCAGAATGTACGTAATATTATTTTGTGTTACTGAACGAGTGTTAATTTATTAATAATTCTTGTAATCATTTTTATATAATATCTTATCTAAACTTGTCAAGATTAAGTATATAACTATGTCAATATAAAATAGATACGTTTAAAATCAGGCCACGCGTTATGAAAAAGTATTATAATCAAGCAAAGTAAAATGAATTTGTACACAAAATACACATTGGAGCAAGAAAAAAACTTATAAATTTTGACTTGACAGTTTAATTAAGATTTTAAACTTTACAATGATCTTAAAATTTATAAATTTATCATAAAGATCAAACATTTTTTAGAGTTTAAAAAAATGTACTATAAAAATATTATATATTCAAAAGTTTATTAAAATTTTATTTTTAATAAATTTATCTTATTTGGTCACTATGTTGGAAAGTTTAGATTATTTTTATTGAGATATCTATCATCTAAAATAATAAAATCCATTAACCAAATATGTGTAATTAAAATTTTTTTATTATTCTGAATTTAAAATAAAATAGATTACAGAAGTATCATCTTATAAATTGGATCAATAAGAACACAATTTACATTTTTACACTTTACAGTATCAATTACATATCCAAAATAATTTATATAAATGGAATTTACAGAAATTCATTAAAATTAAATGACAAAATATAGGGTTTTACAAATATAGATAATCAAAATTGTTTATAATTTATTTACTTGGATTATTTTTACAATATTATAGAAATTAAAAACATCATTTTAAGGTAAAAAAAAATTAACAGTGTTGATAGAGTAATTGTACCAGTCATTGACCATATACTAGTAGTTGAATAAGAAATTAGAAAACACAAAACAATGATTTATGTCCATTACTTATAACGGTCAACTAGTAGAGTATTTACCCTAATGGTTTATTGAAAAAACATAAATTTAATGATGAATTTTATAGATAATTACAATTATATATCTATATATAAAATCACAAAGAGTATGTTAATCGATCAATTAAAATAAATTTTCTAATACTACCGTTTGTAGCGCCCTTTTATTAGTTGAAGCGCTTTTGCCATCAGTGGAGCTTTATGTTTTTTTACAATTCCAGAACCTGAAAAGAAATTAAATATATTTAATAATAATCATGATTAATATTAAATATATATTATATAAATAATACAAATATTACTTCTAGAAATTGGAGCCGGAACTGAAACTTTAGTTGCCCCTAAGCTACTAGCTATTATCTTTTTCTTTATGTCGGATGAAGAGGAGGTATTAGCAGTTCCATATTTCGCTTGTTTTCTCAAAATATTCCTCGGTGGTTTAGCAACATCATCGACATAAGCCATTATTGTAGATCTCACTGGAAGTGATTTATCTATTGACTGTTTAATGTTTGCAGTAAGTGTTTTTAATTTAGCTTCACGCTCGTCCAAACAACGCTAAAATAAATTTATTTAATATTATCATTTCTCTTTTAATTGAGTTTAATTAAATATTCAATATTACCATATACATTTCTCTCCATGATTCCATCTCTTCTCGCACTTTACTCCTAAATTCTCGATTACAATGAAATTTCCACAATTCATCAGTATCTTCTATCAGGTAAGGATTATAATGTTCAATCATGAAAAGTTGATCAGCCGTTGCTCGTTCCAATACAGGTTTTATTATATAATATGGAACACCTCCAGTAAATTCGAGTGCTTCAATATTTTCTATTAATACTCTGATGCATAATTCATACAGACTTGGAACGCTCGTATAACCTGATTTATTACCCGAGTATACTTTAGTCCTAACAGAAACAAATAAATTATAAATTAATATTATAATTAAATTTATGTTCCACAGAAAATAAATATATATATATATATATATATATGTATATATTGGTTTAAAAAGATCATTCTATAATGAAAATCATCATAATTAATTTCATCAATTGAATTGAAGAAAATTTTGCCTATTTTTAGTTCAATAACGGTAGATAAAAATTATTTGAGGAATTTGGAGAAATTAGAGATACTGATAATATTTTTATAAAAGTTTCGTAGAATGTAAATGAATTATGCATAATTTCATAGTTCGAATTCAAATATCTACACATTTTTTGGAAAATAAAATTTGAAATTTTTATATTTAACATAAGCTCTTATGAATGTCAATATAATAATAACATACGCAATACTTGTAATAGCTTATATTAAAATAAAATTGTTTAATTTTTATTTTTAAAAACTGTGTAAATGAAGATACTTAAATTTTGATTATAAAATGATATAATATTAATCTAAATTCTATTTAACTTTGGTCAAACTCTTATTATCGAACTAAATCTTGCTAAATTCCTTTAATTACCTAATGTTTTTTGCATAAATGGCTTCATCAAGAGCTTTTCGTTCTTCAAATTTTCGATGAATAGCGGGAATCACTGGAAGTGGTTTGTAATTTGGATTTATTTCAGGAAGTGTTGAATCAAGATCTACTTTTAATGGCTCCAGTTTGACATTTGGAGCCAAAAGAGAGGGTGGCTAAAATTTGAATAAAACAAAATAAAATATATTCATTGAATTCTTAAATCTTAATGAATATAAGCATAAAAATTTTTAAAATTATACTTCATCGGTCTTTAGAGATGGAGGTTCAATTTTTACAGCTGGAAATTCAGTTTTCACGGATGAAAACTCAGTTTTTACTTTAGGTTTACTACTAAGCGATACAGCATTCTCTGACTTAGAAGGAACTGTTGAATTTTTCTTTCGCAAAGACACAGGACCCGCACACATTCCTAAAGCTTCAGCAAAGCTTGTACCTATTTATTAAACACAATAAAGTATTAAAAGGAAAAAAAATCAATCACTATGTTGATTGCTTGACATACCAGAATTACAATCAATGCCACCATCGCCATTGATTTTCTTTTGATCTTTACTTTTTTTATGTCCTTTACTTTTACTCTCAGATTCCGATTTTTTTCTTTCACTACTATCTTTATAAACTCTCTTAGATTTACTTTCACTCTTATCTTTCCGGTGAGAAGTCGTATCATTTGAATTATTCAATGTTGTTGAGGTATTATGTATTTCTTCTTTTCTTTGTTCATGAGTTTTTTCATTATGCGATTTACTTTTATGCTTACTAGTTAAGTTTTCTAATTTTTCCGTTTTAATTTTAATATTACTATCGTATTTTTCTTTATTCTTTCTTTTACTTGTTAGATCAACGTTCGATATTGATTCATCTTCTGATTCATTGATATTAGAATTTCGGCTTTTATCTATATTTTTATCGGAAGAAAACGATCTACGTTTCCGTGATTTTTGAGCATCACCATTATTTTCAACAAACGCATCAACTTTATAATGAGATAATTCATTGGAATACTTTTTTTTAGAACTAACTGAATTATTATTGTGATTAGATGTGTCATTGTTCAATTTTTTAGAATTATGTTTGGTATTTTTTGATTCTCCTGAATCGCTTGATTTTCTCTTTCGTTTAGATTCGTGATTTGAATCCGAATTTTTATAACTTGTTTTTAAACTTAAACTTTGATCGACAACTTTTTCATTTCGATCCAAATTATTTTCATGATGGCTCCTTGTGTTGGAATCTTTTTGTTTTGGATTATCTAAGGAGGGCTGTTTAGGACGTGAAGAACTATGTTTTGATTCATGTTCCTTTGATTTTTTACTTACACGGTCTTGAATATCATCGAGTTTACATCTATGAAAAATAATTATAATTATTACTATTTTAGTAATAAATAAATAGTTGTTTATATTTGTGAAATTTTAAAAAAAATTATTGGTATAAACATCTTTTATCTTCAATTTTAACTATTTGAACAACCTGAATGAGGCATACTTAGTTTAGTTTTTGTACTTTAAAGTAATAATGAAATATAAAAAATAAATTATTAAGATTGTCAAAATTTTCATACAAGCATTTGAAATTAAAATATATATAATTATAATATAAACGTTGAATAATTGTGAATTATCCTATATTTGAATGTAATCATTTCATTTGTATATTAAAAGTGTTTTTATGATGGATTAGTAAATAGATAAATTCTCTACAAAACAACAAAATTATAGGTTTGAGTTATTTAACGAGAAATTGAAAGTGTTATTGTAATTATAACAAGTGAAAAAATAAATTAAAAATTATTTATTTAATTTATGAAAACTGTGTCATAAAAACATAAAATTTTTACTTACACTTAAAATTGTAAGTAAAAATAAAAATATGTTATTTATTAAAATGTTAAAAATACATCTTTAAAAAGAAAAACACAATAATAGCATTATTTTGGAATAATAATGCTTTATTAATTAATCCCTTTTGACTTAAAAAAATGTACTATGTGACTTAAAATCGGAATAATATGAGATTTCAAATTGAAGGCCAACATCAACAATACCTTGTACTTTGAGTCTGAACATCTTTATCAATACTAGAGTCGGAATTATCACTATATCCTTCAGAAATGTCAGGTACACAAGATTCTCCTTCATCACCATCACTGCTTTCTTCATCAACAACCATCGTCTTCCATTTGGCAACTAATGCTTTGGCTGCATCACCAACTGTACCTTCATACTTTCGTAATCCATTTACGGTTCTGCCAACACCTGTTTCTTGAAGATGTTGCACAGTAACTGGTAGCATATAGAGCTTTTCTATACAATGTAAAATCTAATAAAAAATAAAATTATGAAACATATCGTAATTTCGAAAACGATATACAAAAATATTGAAATATTTATGAATATATATTTAATAATATTTTTAAGGATACTATAAACTTATGAATTTATGAGAAACTTACTCTTTTTTCATTGTCGGAATATTTTTCAATGCTCCTTTGATAATGATGAATTTGATTAATAATAGGTGTTCCAGACATATTGTAAATCCAAATCGTGGATATGTGTAAAACTAATTAACTAGTAAAACAAGTATTTTACTTTTATATTTTTTAATATTACAGTTTATTCAAAATTGAAATTCATAATTAAGTAAGTTTTAATTGAAAGTAAGAAGTAATCACTGCGTAATTTGAAGTAACAATAGAAAAGCCAGATATTATAGTTTAATAATCAAAAACAAATTATTATGATAAAATTATAATTTTAAGCATTCATTTGACTAGCTATTACCGTAGTGTATTTAGTGTTAATAATAAAACAAATAACATTATTAATCAGAGATTGGAATTATTTTTTTGTTACTAATCGATATTATTTAAGAATTACAGTGTAATACAAATCTAAGGTACAACTTGCTTCTTTTTAATGTTCACAAATATCATGTTCAATAATACTCGTTCTATAAATTTACTTGATGAATGAAAACTCTTTATAAAATCAGGATTAGACAAGAGAATCGACATACACAATTTCGACGATAGATCCCCTCTGTAGGGGTTTCATTTATGTTATTCCTACTACTACACAGTCAAACTATAGTCAAACAAATCGAAACGAATAGAAAGGCTACCAACTCCTGGTATAAAGTACATACGTAAGGAAAATTTTCAAGATAGTATTTAAAATGGCTATAATCTAGTGAAACTTTCAAGAAAATAAAAATTTTTCTATAAACAAATACCATGTACAGCGTTGATAGTATGTGTATTGAGTGCATACAGTATCGGACATAAATGCTGTTTAATTTTTTAAAGGTTATATATGTGATTTCCCTATACCGTCTTATAGAAAATCACATAGCATTTATGTCCGGTACTGTACATATGTACACTCGAGAGCATTAATGCCTGATTTGTATCTTATGAGCAATTATCGATGGCGGAATTGATTTTTATTCATATTGAGTTCCCAATCTCGAATTTTGAAGTTTAAGGTGAACTGTAAAAATTATAAAATTTGCAATTATATTCCAAATATGATGTTTTAGGATGTACAATGATTTTTTTCATTTTTAGGAAGGTATAAAGGTCTGTTACGAAAAACAATAATCACCAAAAATTCCTTAAAAAAGAGTTATTAGTTACTTATTATTTATGTCTTGAAATAAAGATGGCCGTTCAAACATGACTATAGAAAGTTGAAATTTATTAATTTTTTAAAAAATTTTTGATGATCATTATTATTTGTAATAAACCTTTGTACTTTTCTAATAATAATGAAAATTATTTCACATCCTAAAACATTATATTTTGAGTGTAATAACGAATTTTAGAATTTTTTTGATTCAGCCAAAACTTCAAAAATGTATGATTGGGAACTCAATATGAATAAAAACCATTTTCACCGTCGATAATTGCTCATAAGATACAAACCAGGCATTAATGCTAGAGATGTGAATCGGTAATTGACGGGTAAATTTACCGTAAATTACCGGTAAAAAACGCGTCAATGACCAAGCCTGTTTTACCATACCGGTCAGAAAAATGCTGATCTCTGATTGGTTAATACATGTCCAATCACAGTTTAGAATTCCCAACGGCATACAACTGTTTATTTGTTCTATCAGGTATATATTTTCATTTTTATTTGTTTATTAAAAATACTGATAATATTTAATATAAGAAAATTCAATTTGTAGATAAGGATTTTCATTGAGAACTTGGTGCAATGGGGGAGAACAAATCAATATATAAACATTTCTCTGCATTACCTCTGCAACCTAACCAAAAATCGTATTCATGTAACTATTGCAAGAAAAAGTATGCAGAAAACATTACTCGCATGCGAAAACATCTTTATAAAGAGTGTAGAAGTTGTCCTCAAGACTTACGGAAACTTTTAAAACCATGTAAACCTCGTAAACGAAATAATTCTCATCTAAACAGCACAGACGACTCATTTACTATTGAAGATTTGAATGAAGCAGACAATAGAGCAAGTACTTCAATGATTTCAAATGAAAATTTACCAAATAATATAAGTGTTTGTAGCAATAACTATAAAAAAAATACAATCGATAGTTTTTGTGATAAAATGTCAAAAAAAGATGAAGATTCTCTACAAGAACTACTTGCAGAAGCGATTTATGCATCTGGTACACCATTATGTATAACAGAAAATCCATATTGGCTAAAATTTTTTAACGCATTACGGCCTTCATTTAATTTGCCATCAAGAAATCAAATATCAAATAATCTTTTAGATTCAGTATTCGTTAGAACACAAAATATGGTTAATGAAAAAATTGAATCTGCTACTACTGTTGGAGTGCAATGTGACGCATGGTCTAATATTCGCAAAGAAGGAATCATCAATTTTATTGTAACAACCCCAGCGCCAGTTTTTTTCAAAACATTTCCAACTGGAACCGAATCACAAACTGCCTTATATATTTCTGAAAAAATAGGAAGTGTTATTGATGCTTTGGGAATTAAAAAAGTTATCGGAATTTGTACAGATAATTGTGCTGCAATGAAAAGTGCTTGGACTTTGATAGATCAAAAGTATAATGTCGACAAATTGTATTGTTATGGTTGTACTGCTCACATTCTTAACCTACTCATGAAAGATATTGGTAGTCAAGCAATATTGGAAATATTTTTTCGGAAGAAGAAAAGCTGAGCATATATACTTGTTTAGAAAATCGTAAAACTATGGCTCTACGGCCCATACATTATGCAGCTAACTTACTTGATCCTCAATTAAAAGGAAAAAATTTAAATAGGTCAGAAATGGTTGAAGCTCATCAATTAATTATAAATCTTGGTGATAAATTAAATCTAAATAGTGATAAGGTATTCAAAGATTTAACAGATTATGTGTCAGAATCAAGTATGTGGAGTTACGACTACGTTAAGCGAGCAAGTATAATCACTTCAGCATGTCAATGGTGGCAAAGTATTTGCCAAAAATCTTCGTTGAGCAAAATAGCTGTGGCTATATTGACTTTACCTGCAACATCAGCTGCAACCGAGCGTTCCTTTAGTACACAAGGATGGATTCATTCATCTAAAAGAAATAAGTTAAGTATCGATAGAGCTGGAAAAATAACATACATTGCAAGAAATTTAAAATTACTTAATCCTTCACCAAAAAATACAGAAGAAGAATGGGAAGAAGATGAGGAAAGTAATAAAGGAGAGGATGAAATAAGTGAAATTTGTGCTGAGCATGAAGAAGTTGAATTTTTAGAAGAAGAATTTACTCAAGACTAATTAGTGATGTTGATGGAATTGAATCAGTATTAGACTTGTTATTTCCTAATGAAATATGTCAATTATTATGTGATATTACTAGTTGATAGAAACTATAGATTATATGGTTTTATTTTTTCATAAATAATTTACATAAAAGTTAAAAAAGTCAAATTCTTTATAATATGTAATAACGAAGGATTATCTATTTTATAAAAAAAAATGTACCAAAAACTTAACTAAATAAACGTTTATAATAATTTTCAATATATTTATTATTTCTGTCCTAACAGTCAAAAATGTAAAATATTTTTTTTATTACAAATTACAAAATTTTTTTTTCATCTTATAATAATTAATTAGTTTTAAATTAACAAGTGCAAAAAGCAAAATTAACATAAGCAAATTGGCAAGCAAGTTCGAAAGCAAGCCATTTCCTCGGTAAAAAGCTCATCATATTCATCTATATAGATGCGAATGACCGGTAATTTACGGTAATTACGCTGACCGACGGCTTGACGGTAAATTTTACATTCAGAATTTTTTGACGTCAGAATACCGTCAGATACCGGTAATTTTACGTGGTAATTACCGAATTTTCTATTACCGGTAAATTCACATCTCTAATTAATGCTCCCGATTGTATGTACTATGTTGATTTTACATAGGAGTCGCGCGACATTTAAAATTTATAAAAATAATTTATTCTTATATTTTAATTTACATCTATGTAATAATCACATAAATTTTATGTTCACGATATTATTTAATTATAAAATATCTATAACCATTTTTATAATTAAATAAATTCTTAAATTTTCCATAACTTGTTTACAATTTTTATATGAAGTAAATTAATGCTATGCTTACGCGCAGTGTAACATTGAAGTTAGGTTCCTTACATTGACGTTGACATCGATGTTAGTGCGCGTAAACAGCCTTAACATTAGTTGCTTAACTGCAGTTAGGCCCGAGTTCACCATTAGCAAACTGCTAATCATAGCTGCCAACTTCTGCCAGACACTGATACCAACCCAAATAAATTAAAAATTAAAGAACCCGATCATAACATACATAAACTAAAATTTTTTATAAAAAAGTAATGCAAATTTATTGTGCAATTCGTGTAAAAACAGGTAATTATAAATTAAATAAATTATTAAGATGCTGTTAATATTTGAATAAGTTTTTTAATTTTTAATTAATTTATGTTGATACCAGTGTCTGGCAGAAGTTGGCAGCTATGATTAGCAGTTTGCTAATGGTAAACTCGGGCCTTAATAAACTTTTGTTAACACCGATGTTTAGTCTGCACGTAAACATAGCAAAAAAAATTAACAAAATCAGACACCATTTATGTCATGTATCTCACTATATCACACAATACAGTACTGGACATAAATGCTGTGTGATTTTCTATAGGAGGGTATAGGGAAATCGCATGTATAACCTTCAAAAAATTAAACAGCATTTATGTCCGGTACCGTATAGTGCGATGAGTCTAAAAGAGCTGAACGCAGTCCGATTCAAACAGAAAAAATTCATAAACTTTTTACAAAAACATGCACCATGTATCATGAATGATAGGATAAAAAACTAAACTTATTGTATTATATTTCATATATTAAAGCAATAATTTTTTTTAAATTATTATTAGAAAAATATTGGTAAATTTTGTTAGCTGGTGAGAATATTTGAGGAATACTTTATTTTCCTACTACATAATTTATAACAATAAAGCATTATGTGTTGTCTTACAATTGTCTTAATATTGAATCCATAGTTTTCAATTTTCAAATTTTAATATTTAAATTCGAAAATTGTTGATAATGTAAATAACTTTATATGCATGTATGTATATGTATAAGAATAATTAATGTAAAACAAAACAGATGTTTAGAAAAAAAAATTCAATCATATTATTTAACGTAATCACAAGATAGAAAAACATTTCAAGTAAAATATTTTTTATAATGAGAATTAACTTGCCTGAATTATCTATATGCATGAAGATTGTGATATTATAAAATAAATTAAAACCGATGTATTGGTAAAATTTCTGATAAAATGAACGAGAACACAATAAAGTTATTAATGGTAGGAAAAATTGACGGTCACTTTAAGTCAAATGGTAAGATTAATAAAATGTGAAGAGTAATATTTTGTAACAACAGTTATCAGTCAGTTTAGCCCAATTTACATTTATCTTTGACTACAAATACGTTTAATTTGTACATCAAAAAATTTATATTCAATAAACCTTCTAATAAAGCAATCTACCTACAAGTATTTGACAAATAATTCATTAACTGAGATCAAAATTCAATTTTTTAAATTTGTATAAATATTAAAGGTAGTATGGGTTGAATGAAGAAAAAGTTATAATTGTATTGTGATATTTTTTACACACTAGAAATGAACATACAAACTCTGTCAGTAAATTTAAAAGATTCAAAAAAAATTATGCATACATTTACAGACATTTTATATTTAAAAAATGTCTGATTTTTATATAATTAACGACTTATACTAATATTTGGGAATGCTTTAAATATTTAATCATACGAAAAAATATACTAAAATTGTTTAAAACATGTGAGAAGTATCGTACAAGTGACTCCAATGTATTATGTATTCATATAAACTTTATAACAATTTTTTGAAACTTTATAAAATATATCATGAAATCTTTTGTATTTATTAAATATTCTATCATATGATAATCAATTTTTATATTATAATTAAGTTTTATTTATTTTTTTTTAATATATCAAACCCATGCTACCTCTGTTGATATATTTAAATTTTAAACTTTTTGTATTGGTTCAATTATTTTTATTTTGTACAAACTCATACTGAATGAAAATTATTATCTTTAAACTAAAATAACATTTCAATTTAATTAAGTTGGTATCATAATTTTGTTTTACCATCACTAATGTTGTGATATAATTGAGCAAGGAGGCACCTTCATTATACTGTAAATAGATTTTTTTGAGTTCTTTATATTCTAAAAAAGTACATATTTCACTTTTTCAAGAAAATAGTTAAATTGGACACAGTTTTCTTATTATTCTGTAACTGTATTTTTATATAATTCAGTGAAAATTTTGTTTAACACTTAACTTTTGCACTTTACACGTAAAAATGATTTTATTTTTAATTTATCATATTATAAATTCAAAAAATGAATACAATTCATGTGGAAAGTTACAACCTTGTTTAAAGAAAGGAAAAATATATACGCAAAAAATTTGAGTGAAAAAATTTAACCATATACGATTTAAAGTGTGAAATAACTTTAATCCCAATTATTTAAAACAACCCCTGAAACTGTTAATGGGGCTAATATGATATTATATGTTGTATTTTTGTAATGCACACATAAAAATTGATAATAATTAATAATAATTAATAATAATAATAATAATAATAATAATAATAATAATAATAATAATAATAGTAATGATAACTAATAATTAATTAATTAATAATAATAAATCAATGATGGTTAATCAATAATAACGTAAGGCAATATGTGGAGAATTTGGCCATCGTAACTGGGCTTTGCGAGCATCTCATGCCACTCTCGAAATTCTCTATTCGTTCCATCTTGAACTCGCCGTTTAGAGATTCCTACTGTTGGTTCTATTGCCTCAAGCTCTGTCAATTCTTCTTCATCTATTTTGTTTAGCTTTAATTGAAAATTACCATTAACACTTTCTATAGACATTTGATGAAGTCTGTCTACATCAGCATCGGTAATTTGCCGTGGACAACTTATGTGATCAACACTATTTTCTGTATTATTTTGACTATCTGTTTCATCATCACTCCATCTAATTGATTCTATATCCAGTGGTGGTAATTTAGCCAAAATTTCTTTCACGGTCAAGTTAGCTGAAGGCTTATTATTAACTTCAACTGTTTCAATCTCAGGTACCCGTGATTGAAAATGGTTTGACATTGAAGAAAATTTCGTATTATTCACTGTAGAATTATCAGTATCTCGAACATTTGTGGTGTTTCTTAATATCTCTGCTGTTGTTGGCGGCTCTGTTTTAGGTCTTTTTAATACATGGATATCAGAAGTAGCATTAGTAACACCAGTATTAGAACCTCGAGCTTGTAAATCTGCTAACAATTCTTGCGTAGTTTTCAGTTTTGGATTTCTTGAAATACTTGCTAATTTTTCTTTGACTTGATCTTCTACTGTCAATTGATTTTTCATTGATTTACTGCCTTTTTTACGACCACGTTTCTTTGGGCCACCTATATCAATTTCTGTATTACTAGATGTATCCAAAAAGTTACGTTCTTTCATCGTACTAGACGATGGACTAGGCACTTGCGAGTTCGGGTTAATGTTAATAACATTTTCACCATTGATACGTTGTTGTGATTCTTGTTGATGTTGAAGTGGAGACAAATGTTGCTGAATAGTTTTATCTTCTTTTCGTAAACGTTTATTAGAGCTGTGAGTTCTGGGTACCGCTTCTATCGAATGATTCTGATTCGTACTATCTATTAACCTTGGCGAACTAGCTGAATTTGATTTATAAGAGTACACCGTAGGTTGTTTTATTGGTGTTAGATTTGGTGAACCACCATGTTGTTCACTATTAAAAGACAAGCTCGGACTAATAACTTTACTAGGTAGTACATCATGTAAAATTGGACTCTGTGATTTCATAACTCTCGTAATAGCAACATTTTGAGTTATAACACCCTTTGCTATCGGACTTTGAGGTTTTGTTGATCCATTTAATGTATGATATAATGATGTATTGTCAGTTGAGATAGAATGTGATGTACTATGGCTTGATGGCAAAACCATGTCCCTCCACCGTCGAACCAAATCCTTTGCACGTTTTGCCAAAATTTCATTATTAGTTTTTCTTCTAAGTTCATTGATATACTTTCCCAATCGTGTAATCTATCAAAAATATATTTCATGTCATTGATTTTTATATTTATGAGTAAGTAATCATTATTATAACTTGATATTAGTTATACTTACTTCAAGAACTTCTTTAGTAATTGTCGTCTTCTCCAGGGCCGTAATGACGTCCACGACGGCTCCCATATCGACAACCTGTAACACCATATTTTTCAATAATTCTCTATTCATACATAGTTTTTTCAATTAACTTTAATGAATGTGTAAGATTTGTACTATTTTAATCTGTCTTGTAAAGGTATTTTGAAACTATCAAATAAACATAGCTTGCTTGATCTAAATTTTTCTTTCATTAAAAATATAACACTCAAAAACTCTAATGGCGTTTAATATAAACAATGATCTAAAATAATAATAAACAATATGTAATGAATTTTAAGAAAATAGTTTTATTATGATTATTTGACAATGTTTTTTTCAGGGATTTGTCAGGTCTTCTCACAAATAAAAATATCTTGAGAAGTCTATTATAAACAATTAATGGTAAACACTATAAACTAGTTCTTAGTAAGTTTGACAATTGTTATAATAAAAATTCCATAGTTTTATGTGATTACAACCACAATATTATCACATGCACGATTCATTCACGATGCACAAAACCACGTATTATACACATATACACATACAGTGTTATCGAGAGGGACAAGTGTAGTGCGTGTGTAGCGCAGACTACAGGCACACGGCGCACAGAACAGCGAGAGTGGCCCGATAGCCGTTTGCCTGAGCGGACGGTGAACGTCGGACTGCATCAGAGCCTGTCGGTCATGAGGAGTAGGCGAGTTGCCGCCTAACCGTTACTTACATTGTATTCCTTGTCAAGGGATTTCAACAATTTTTCGGTGAGTTCAGTACAATATCTCTGCATCGGTAGGGCACTTAGAAGGCCCTCGTCTCAGGGTGTTTGGGTCAGTGGAAATGAGTCGTCTCCACGTCGCACACGAATCTCACGAATGCGAGGGCGAGAACGCACTGGCAATGGCGACGATTGAACTGCTAAGCGCCTCCGTTTGCTCACATGCCCTCCCTGCCTCCCAAGACCCAAGTGCCACTCAGCACTAGACGAGTGAATTGTTTGCCCCTTACCCCACGCTCTCTTAGTCTTCTTCGGTCAAACCCGTAAAGATTCGTTTGCGTTTGCGCACTTCTAAATGTAAATTTTTCACTTTCATTATCTCAATGTACGAGTTATCATTATTTTTACTAAAAACAATATGGCGTTTACCAAGCTAAGATATTAAAATTATTTTTACTTATACAGATATTGTTGACTAAATACAACAAAAAAATACCTATTTATTCTTATTAAATGGTTAAGAAATATAATTTTAAGTATGATTTTGAAGTAATTTATAGGATAGGTAAACATAAACGTATTTTTTACGTTAATATATTTATGTTGAAGAGAAGAATTTTTTTGTTTATTGATGTTTAAATTTTTTAAAAATAATTTTATTTTATTGATTTATAAAATATAAATAATTTTTATACATTAATTTATCGATGTTTAAATGAAGTATTTGATATTTACCATGTACAATATTAATAAACATTTGCATCAAGTGAATTCCTTGAAAGTTATGACATCATTAATATAGTCGAATCATTTAATGCCTAAATGAATGAAGAAAAGAAAATTATTTTTGCTTTCTTTTTATTACATATATACATAAATTAAACATAATGTATCTAAATATTGTTAGAGCCAATCACAAGTTGTTATCTCGTGGTATTGTGAATTCACTTTCAGGTGTCTCAATTCTAAATACATATGTATACTAATGCCATCTATGTATAACAGATTATTTTGTGTCAATAAATATTGTCTACTTATTGAACAATCATTGAAAAATAAACGTAACCATAAATGTAAATTTTGATATTCTAAAAAGTAAACTAAAAGTTATTTTAAAAGACAAGTAAAACATTTTGACAAAATACATTTTTTTAATAAAAGGTTGTTCGTTAAATTATAAACATCTTATTGTACAATGGCGGAGGCTATTGAACCTGTCGAAAATATTGAAAATGTATCAGAAGAAAATGAACAGAATCATTTGAATGTAGAAGATGGTATGTTAAAATTAATTTTAATTAACTGTTTACATGATATAATTTCTTTTTATAAAGTATACTTCTCTTATTGTTTTTCATAGATTCTATCTTGTTCAATAACACATTTGATAGAACTTTGTCAACATCACATTCAGTAAGTAAATAAGAATAAATTCAATGAATTAATAATAAATAATTCATTTTTTAAAAAGTATTTAGGTGACAATCTAGAAGTGCTGAGAGGTAGGACACTACTAGATAATGGGATATATGTTAATTTACCTTTGTGGCCACCAGAATCAACATGGTTGATACTTTTCCCTGGAGAAACTTTGCCAATAGTTGAACGTAATGTTAAAGTTATTAAAATGTTACGACAAACTGTTGAAAAAGATCGGACTTTTGGGGTTGCTAGCATACGTACTGTAAATAGTGTAGGTACAACAGCTGAAATATATGAATACAGTGAAAATGATACAGTTCATGGATTGACTGAAATTCGTGTGAAGGCAAAAGGTAGACAACGTTTTAAAATCATACGGATAAAAAATGTAAGTACATGAGAAAAATTTTTTATGTCAAATAATTGATTAAAAATTTATATTTTTTAAATCTTTAGACAAGTGAAATGGGAATAGCTGTTGCGGATGTACAAATACTTCCTGAAATAGAACTTGGACCACCTTTTTTTCAAGAACGATTAGCTTCTTTAGATCGATTACGAATTCCGCCAGTAGATGAAAAAGCTATTTACAAACGTAATAGCATAATAAAAAAAGAAGCTATCGTAACTCCTTGGCCATCGTGGGTTTATGATCAATACGATACCAAAATACTGTCAAAAAAGATTCACGAATATTTAGATTTTTTACAATCACGTAAGTTCAATATAATGTAAACAAATAGTTTTATTTAATTTAAATAGTTATTATCATTAATAGGAGGTAGCAATATCCCAAGTGATCCAACTGATCTCTCCTTTTGGGTGGTACAAAATTTAGTTATTACTCCAAAAACAGCACTTTCTCTTTTGGAAATGAATTGTGTTATTCAAAGATTACAACGAGAAGTAAAACTATTAGCGAGAGTATGATTATATTCAATATTTTTTATAATTATGCTTTTAATAGTATAAAATAGTTTTAAAAACGATTTATTATTTATAGTTGACAAATAATTACTTTATCTGCAAACAATGTCGAATTAAAATTGCAAAACAAACTGATGTACTTCAAATGAATGAAGAAGGACTTCAAAGTGCTTATTGTAATGCTGCTGGAATAGTACATGAAACTATAACCTTATATAAAGCACAATCATTAGTTCTTAATCGTGAACCACCATCTACAAACTACAGTTGGTTCCCAGGGTATTTTTGAACCTCAGTTTTTAAGAACCATTTTTATTTTTTCTATTGATTCTTGCTTATTCAGAAAACCTAAATATTAAAAGATGATGCAATTTTGTCTAAAATAATTTATATATAGAATACAGGCATCTTAAAAGCATTATTGCTTGTTTGTTACAAATATTAAGTTAATATCTTTAAATTAGCTTAAAATTCTTTCCATTTTCATGTATGACTCGAATTTTTTTCATTTACCAAATAATACTCTAATCTGGATTAGCCAATACTCAGATATTAAGTACTATTTTCAACATTGATCTCTATTACAACTATTTATTGTTTCATTGTATTGGTAAAAAGTAAAAGAAAAATAGAATCAATTTTACATTTAAGAATTGATTTTTCATAGATACGCATGGACTATTGCCAGTTGTAGTCATTGTGGTTCCCATATGGGTTGGAAATTTACCGCAACAAAAAGTGATTTAAAACCTCCTTCATTTTGGGGATTAACACGTATGGCTTTGCTGTGGAGTGGTAGGAAAAATCAGTATTACGACGGATGGAATACAGATGAAGAAGGAAATGATGATGATGATGATGATGATGATGATGATGATGATGACGAAGATGACATGGGAGAATCAGAAGCGGTATCAGAATCAGAAAATTTAAATTTTTTCCGATGAATGAAATCAGCTACTGATTGAATGTATCAATTATCATCAATGTGTATGGAATATTATAATGGTATGTAAAAAAATATATTAAACATGTTAGCAAATTTTTTATGGAAAGTTTGAGAAAACTAAATTTTTAAAAAATCAGCAGATATTTTTTTGTTATTTCAAGTATTTTTAAAAATGTACCGTTTATCCCAAAAATAATACTTGAATAGTTTTGTATTAATATAAATAATAACTCTATGTATTTGTTGCAAATCTAGTGAATACTGAATTAATAGTATTTAATATTAGATATACCAATAACCGATTGATAATTTTAGAATTAAGGGAATAAAATAAACATTTCTCATTTGGTTATTTAGCGTTTATGTATCGTATATTTATCGACCACCTTAAAGATAATTTATTTTATTATAATTTAACCTAATTTTCCGGCATGTCATTGATTTCATGCCCATCAAATCTCGTTAAATCGCTACGAGATTTTTTATAAATGAAAAGTGTTGGTATTTTACGATAAAGATTTTTGGAGTGCATATATTGCAGCTTATCGCACACCATCTTCTGTTTCGTTCATATTCTTTTTACTTTCGTCTCTTAGTCTCTTCCCATAACTTTTTATACAAAGCATTAGTTACATAAAACATACTTGTATTTTATAAAGAAATTAATTCTCAACATTACATTCCATGTACATTTTTTTAATAATAAATCATAGAGTATTGTTATCTCACATCGTAAAATTTAACAAACAAGTATACGCGTGTTCGTCAGTACAGTGCAATCACATCATTTAAACTAAAAGTTTTTATGATAATTTTATATTATTATAAACCGTTGAAATTAACCTCATCCATTATATTATGTTCATCATTTAACTACATTTATTTTCTATGTTCGATCAAACTTAACATGAATTGGCCAAAGTAAATTAAGATATACTTTTTACTTTGTTATTTTTTTAATAATATTACTAAAAATTAGTAAACAATTATACTGTAAGTCTTCATTGTTATCAGCTGAAAAAAAAATTCGATTCCTCATTACATTGGCTACTTTTTATTGATAATTGTTGAAAAATTCCGGCCAAAATGTAATAGATAATTATAGTATTTATTGACATTCAATTTCATTTCAAATTACCATAAAATGTATTTATTTTAACATATACTTTTTTGGTTTTTTCATCTACAAATGTTTGATCATTAACATGGCCGGTATCATCTGTTAAGTTGAGTAAAATAATTATTAAGATTTCTAGTTGTCATAAATAGAAAATATGCCACATATTTAAAATTTATTTTTTAATTATAACTTGAAAATTATAATTATAATAATAATAATAATAATAATGATAATAATAATCATATATGATTGTGCTTTTTGTACAATCGTAATTCTGTTTATAATCGCGAAATACTTGAATGCTGTCCTTTTCCGACGTATCAGTGCTGGCATGATGTTGATAAGTAAATCTTAGCAGTCTGTATGTAAAAAAGCATTAAAATTAACAATTATTTAATGGAAATTTAAAAGTGATATGGTATTGTCCTTAGTAGCCAGACCTCATGTAACAATTTTTTTCAGACTAACGTCCGTCTATTTTCTTTCTGAATCAGATTGCCATTTATTGTTTGACGTTAAATTTCCTGACAAAAATCTTGTCTTTCTGTTCCAGAAAAATGGCAGATATATACGTAAATGATAAACTTTAGCCATCATCCTAAGTCTGCCGTCAATCTTACGTTGATTTGGCTACTAAGAATATAAAATGTTGTAAATAAACTTACTCTCAATTTCCGACCCGGCAGAAATAAGTTTTGTGTGCGATTGTGTGGATGTATTGGACTGCGAACCATTCAGTGAAGAGCTGGATACTGGACCAAATCCTGGTGGTGGTTGCATCGTCCAATGTTGTACCGATGAATTTTGTTCCTAATAAAGATACAAATATTATTTACTGAAATATAAATAAAAAAAAACAAATCATTTAAAAATTTTAATGTAATTGACTTTCAGAAATTGAATCATCAATCAATTAAAATTTGTCGACTACTTATATTTGAAATTATTCTGTCTGATTTTATTATGGAAAAATATACTAAAAATTTCATGATCTTAAGAAAATTTTTTATTCTATTTTTTAACTGGTTTAAAAGTTCCGAAAATCATTGAATACATTCTTATTCTTTTAATACTTTCTTATGATGTAATATCATAGGCTAATATCTTATGAGAAAAGATAATAAATAAAATTTCTTACAGTATGAGTTATAATTGTAAAAATACAAATAATTTTATATTTATTTGTATAAATAAATTATGTTTAAATATTACATGTATTATTTTATGGATAAGATCTTTTTGAATGTATATATCGTTTATTATACATTTATATAAAATAAAAACCAATAAATTCATGTTAATTATCCTATTCAGAAGAATCCTTTTTATTTGATCTTTTTCTTGTTTTTTAAATTAAAAAACTTTCCTTTTTTTTACTGGGGCGAAGCGTAAGACAAGTAAATTTTTCTTTAAAGCCAGTAAGTCAAATTTAAATAAGAAATTTTGAATTTATAAAAGTTCAAATATATATTGGTTTTTTACTCCTATTAAAATTTTACTGACAACAATATTCTCGCGTAACATTTAATATTAAATAATATTAATGAATAAGTTTACCGGTTGGGTATTGGGTGATCCATTGAGAAGTGCTGCAGGGTGGAATCGCGAAAATTGCCATGTATTTGTTGTAGAGAATTGAAGAGGTCGTGAAGAACTAACAATCGCAGGGTCAATAGAGGTCCAATCAGCAATTGGTCCAAAATTATTCCAGTTAGCTTTTTGATGTAATGGCTGATGATGAAAAGGTTGCAGAGACTGCTGTTGTAATTGTTGTTGTCCTGTAATCTCGCACCAATCTTTTAAATTATATACTGAATCAGTAGCACACTTGTTTATACCTGTAAATGTTTTAAATATAATAATTAGCTGTTAAATGAAAAACATTTCTCATCAAAAATGTATATATTACCATTTGAAAGATAAGAAGTATGTTGTGATTGCTGTGTACCCACTAAAGTATTATTAGTGGGAGCAGCACGAGGAATTCCTAATCCAAATGAGTTCATGTGATTTGGTGTTGAACTAGGAAATCCTGGTGGTGGTAAACGACTTCTTTGTCCAATACAATTTCCAATAACAGACATTGACGATTGTACGGCATTTTGAAGATTGGTTTGTTGTAAAATATTTTGAGGAAGACGTGATACTAAATTGTGCGATTGCTGTAAAGCTTGAAGATGTTGAAAATGTTGGGCTTGTTGTTGGAGCTGTACTAAATGAGCAGTCTGTGTAAAATGTTGTGAATTAAAATTCGATGGTGAAAAATATTGTTGTTGCAATTGTTGTGACCGGCTTTGTTCTTCTCGGTTCCTTTGTTGTGATTGATGCTGTTGTTGGAATAATCGTTGTTGTTGTAATTGCATTTCATTCTCCATAAGTTCTGCCAAAGCTTTTTGAGTTTCATGGAAAGGATCAAATCCCAAATCATCATCAGGTTTAGTTTCAGTATTATAATCTTGATTCATTAATAAATTATCGGAATTATGTCCATTTTGTTTAATATATTCACAATGTTCTTTTTGATTTTGTAAAACAAATCTCTGCCGTGAATGTTGTTGAAAGTCTGTCATAAACTTAGAAGCTGGTGATGTATTAATTAGTGAATTAGATTCATAGTTTTTCCGATTTTTAGGAGATACAGAATTAAACTCGGGATTTAAATAAATATCATTATCGCCATCATCATCATCATCACCATCGTCATCATCGTCAGCATCATCATCATCAAGAAAATTATCAGTGTGAAATGGTATACTGGGAGAAGACGGAGAGCTTGAAGTTATTTGATTATTTGTTTGATTAATTTCTGGATGAAAACCAAAAGCTGCTTGCCAATCTTCACTTGAATGTACAGATGGAAAAGAATCTGGGATTGATGTTAAGCATGTAGTTGTCCAATCATTAGTATTTTGTAAATTCGATGGTAAAGACATAATATTGGATATTTTTTGAAATGTATTTGAACTAAAGAAACTATTATTATCGGTTTGAAAAATTGACCGATGACTAATGTGTGTTTGAGATGTATTGGAATTATATAGATTGGAAGAAGAGTTGATTTGCTCATTTGCATTTGAATTTATAATTGTTTCAGTAGTTGGTAATGAATTCAAAATATCAGGATCTATGTTTTCTTTTAAAGTATTTGGAACAAGTCTTTCAGCAGTATTAGCAATTAAATCTTCAGACGAACTGTTTGAAGTTGTACTAACTGGTGTGCTGCCTTCTCTTTGAGGCTCACTTTCATTTTCTGATTGACTTTGATCCCCATTGCGTATAATACTATTAAGTTTAAGTTCACGAAATGATTGTTCAATTAATTTAGTATTTGCACTAATTTGCCGCATTTTTTGATGACCACTATAATTCTGTTGATACTCATTTTTACATCGACCATTAGAAGGTTGTTCATTATTTTTTAAATCACTAGTATCTATTGTATCATTTTTAATATTTGTCACTTGCTTTTGTCCATTTATTTGCTGGGATTTTTCACTCAACTGAGTGCCGTGAGATCGCGAAGTTGATTCTGTTCGTGAATTATTACGAGTGCTCGAATGTTTTTCTTTATTCTGATTGTTTTTATGTTTATTTCTTGCTGCTTGAACTTTACTTTCACTATTAATTTTTCCACGGCGCGTATTTGATCCACTTGCTGTTACACTCTCACCTTTATTATTGTTACTGTGTTGTGATTTATTATTATTTTCAGTTGATATTGTTTGATGATCTATTATATTTCTGTTATCATTAGAAGATTGTGATGTTGGGACCGGTACTGATGATGACGTATTTTTATCACTTGTTCCATTATTTATGGGACATAGCTGCAACGATGGCCAAGCTTCTTTTGTTTGAGAAATAGTGGTGGTAGTGACAGAAATAGTAGTTGTAATAGTTGTAGATGTTGTATTAGTAGTACCATTCTCTCGAATTGAACTATTACCTACTGGTGGTGATATTGTAGGTTTTCTGTAATCATTATTTCTCTTTAAAACTTACCATTACTTTATTTATTATTATTATTATTATTATTATTATTATTATAATTAAATTAATTATTAATACCTATTTAAGCCCACAGAGGTGTTGGCATTAAGAGATTGAACTAATTTACGTTCATACTCTTGATGTTTACCCTGGTGCATTTCTTCTTTGGTAAATGAAGCTTCTTGATCGCCTAAATCGTGCAAATACATACAATCTGATTTTGGACATGCTTGATTACGCATAAAATGTGAACAATATTTAGTCGTCCCTAATGATGTTTTAACTGTTCGACCATCCACAGTAATATTATTTACAGCTTCAATGGCACGTAATGCATCCTCTTGACGCTTTTATTATAGTTTTAAAAACACATTATAGTATAAAAATATGTATACATTTTTTTGTTTTTATTATTAAATACCTGATAAGTGACATATGCTGATGCACTAGGTCCTTGAGATCCCGCATAAGATGTACTTTGATTTATGACGACTTTATGAATTTTTCCGAATTTTCCAAAATACTCATGCCTTTTTAATACCTAGAATACTTTCGATCAGTACTATTATGATTGGAGGATTTATTTTTAGGGGAATAACATTATTTAAAGTGTGATTGTAATGCTTAAAAAATGGGTTTAATTATTTGGAAATAAATTTTCAATATACATACATCCGCGTCTGCTAATCGCATTGGTAGACCAACCACAAAGACTAAATTTTTTTGAACTACACGTACATTTGCAAGATGTTTACGATTTTCTGTTACTCTTTGTTTTCTTTGTTGATCTTTTAATCGTTTTTCAGCTTTTAACCTATAAATGTAAGTATTTTTTTAATGATAATAAATATGTATTGTTTTGTCGATTTTATGAACAAATGATTACATATTAATAAATAAATACAAACCTGGATATTTCTTCCTTCGTAAGGGGCTTAAAATCGGCGGGGTTTTCAGAGTAGGCCTTTCTACATGCAGGGCATAATCCATTTTCATCTGTACGAATTCTATGCCAGCAAAACCGACATATTTGATAGCCACAGGTGCATGGAAAAAAATTTAGATCATCTACTTCTAATGGTTCCATGCACAAAGGACATTCCACTGCATCTTCTCCACTCTGATTTAAAACTGACATATTTTTTTTTTTACTTTTCCACTTATTTAAACAACCAATTACATAGAGTCACCGATTGTATTCAATATATATGTATATAAACAATCTAAAAAAAAATTAAATTATTCATCATATTACCTTTAATATCATTACAAATGGAAAAAAAAATCACCAAATACTCACCGATAAATTGAAGAGTTAATTTCAAAATGTCATACGTTTGTAAATGATTTTATGATCTCTTTAACCTTATCCAAATTTGAATTTGCTATGATGTCTAAAAAAAACGAAAAATTAATATTATGCTAGATTTGGAAGAAATTTTTAAAGGAGAAAATAGTCAATATTCTTATGTGTTTAAAAATAAAATCGGGTTACTTTTGATAGAAATTCTTATAATTAATCAACACTGAGTAATAAAATTGTAAAAACACAAAATTATTTACAATTATTAAGTAAGTGAAACAGCTGTCAGTTGTAATCAGAGGACAACTCCCAAGAGACGTCAGAACATAAGTAGAAAAATGTGTATTTTTCAAAATGAATGTTACCTTAAACTACTGTTAACAGATACCACGAACGCGCATACAATTTAATATTTCAATAAATAACCATAAAAATGTTATCAATGTGATCATTGGAAGAGTCGATAAAATTTTGTTATTGTCAATTTCAACGGATTAGAAAATAAATTGTATCTGAAATAAACCAGTGCACTATGATTATAACACTCGTATATTCCGTCTTTGTCTTACTTGGCTCTCAGCCATCAGTCAGACAATTTGCGCCTGCTCTTTTTTCTTTTCTTGTCTTTATTATTCTCTCACTAGTCCAGAGTAAGCATAGGAAACAAGTAGAGGGGAAAGAAAAGGACTCCGTTTCTCCTTTTTCAAGGATTCTAAAGTACTTAATGATAAAAAGTATCAATGTATCTCGATTCTTTTCGATTTATAAAATTTATTTCCATGTATATTTCCAGCAATGCTACGTGATTTACACCAACTGTTGTTAAAAATTTGAAGACAATCTATACATTTCAATGTAACCTTAATTCAAAAAAAATATCATCTTTTAATGTTTATCATTTTTTTACATTTTATTGTAGAACTTTATTCATATGTCTGTCAATTTCGAGATAGTAAAAAATAGAAGAAACAAATTTGGTCAATTAGACTGATAACCAGTGTTTACTTACGGTTTACGTTTTTCACTATTTTTCACTACGGTATTTTAGACTGGGAAATTTTTTTATGCCTGATAAATTATTACTCTTTAGTTTTGTTCAGTGTACGTGTATACGCAACAGTTCGCGCAGAAACGGATGTTGAATTCTATCCTAAAAAGTTAACTGTAGAACAAAAAGAACTTTTATCATTGTCAAAGAGAAGAAACATGTATACATTTACAGTAATAGTGACCAAAGAAGATACTTTTCGTTTCGAATCGAGATAGAGGAGCCAGTGATTTACAAGTATGTAGTCTTAAAAAGAGTGGGAGATTTTCTCTTCTAGCAAAAGTATACTATAGTAAAATTAGTATAGACATAGGATTTGTGAAAGAATTTTGGTTTTATTGTTAATGATCAATTCCCTTTACATTACATACATATCAGATAAACATATTGTACATATATGATGTTGGATTTTTCAATTTTTTTTTGTGCTTAAATATGCGATTCCCGTTGTAATGTTTTACGGTACTACACTACTGCTCTCTATTCAATTTAATTAATTATAAGATTAAATATTTTTAAATAAATTAATTATGCTTTTAATGTGCACAAAAATACACGAATCGTGAATGGTCACCCAAGAAATTAAATAAGATAAAATTCGAGTATGTGTAATCAATAAATTTAAGTTGAAATAGTTAACCGATCCTTTATAAATTTAAAATAATTTGTGTAACTTAAGTTGAAATTGTATTTCACAATCTACACTTTAAATAAAAATAAATGATAAGTTCTTCACTTCAATTCAACCTGAAATTTTTTTCAAATTCCAATCCTTTGAATATTTACCGCATTTTGAGTCAATGCTTCAGTGATATACGGGGTGTCCATAGCGAAGCCGGTGTGTATATTGTATGTATTATATGTAAAAAAATAATAATAAAAACGATCTGATATGGGAACTTATATTCGCAAATTGATAGTTTTTGCGAAACAACGTATTAAGATTTAGTGGATTAATTCGCGTTACAATGGAAATTATCGCTATTGTGTATCGTCACACCACCTACAATTGTGAAAATTATTCTTTCGGAATTTAAATACACAATGAATGAATTTTAAAATTAAACTTTTGCAAATTTTATGAATAATAAAAAATTTTTTTATTTAAAAATGAATTTGAGTAATGTACAGTGCATAATATTGTTAAAATCATTTTTATAACGTTTAGTCTTTTTTATTATGTTAATTCATGAATTCAATTAAAAAATTTCACGGATAAATGGATAAAAATCACTCAATCCAAAAACCCCTCAACAAGTTAGTTGGAAGAAAATAATCCAATATTATCATCAATAAAGACACTTTCCAATAGTTTACAGGCCAAGTCATACCTAAGATTTGAACAATCCATTTCGATTAACCGATTAGATAGAATAGATTAAAAGAGTACAGATATTGTAAAGTACAAATATTTAAGAGTACCCGTAAGAACTTAAGGGACTTCAGTCCGGCCGGACTCTATCTCAAAGGACTCTAGTATGATAGTTTGAATAAAGTAGTTTAAAATAAGCGCCAAAATGTGACACCGTCGCACTAATTTTAACATTGCGGCAATTCCCCGCGGCGCAACTAAACTAGGAAGAAATTTTAACGCGATCAACGAAGGGTTAATAAGAAAAGTTCATTTAAATGCTAACAAAAATTGTATTTCAAATACACAATACGTCAATAATTTATTTCTTTGTCTATTTTTTTATTAAAAGTTTGTATTTGAAGTATGAATGATTTTTGTTTCAATATTTTGTTGTTGTATTCAATTAAAATCTCTTCTGTTAAAATAAGTAAGTACATTTAGAATATAAAAATGAGCCTTTATTATACATATACATATGTATATATTATGTATACATGTTAAAACAAAATTTTCAAAAATATTTTTCACTATAAATTTTAATGTTTATTTTACCTAAAAATTGATAGTTTATTATACTGTGAGAGTATAAAAATACTTCCATACGATAATTATGGAAAATGAAGTATCATTGTACATTGTCCATGTCAATTTTAATTCAAAATGATAATATTTTAGAAGTAGAATGAAAATTTTTATTTATTTGCATAATGATATTATTTCATAATAAAACGATGAATGTGCAAAATATGGAATTTGTATCACGTAGTCATCCTTTGAAAACATGGAGTCTTTTTCACATCTCGTTAAAGTTTCTCTTCCAAATTATTTATCTGATTTACCGATTCCAAATTCTATAGGAGGATGGTTCAAACTTGGAGGTAATTATTGTTTTATTGATAATATAATGAAACTATGTGATACTGATATATTACACAATTAGTATGTTTAATTTATGTGTATCATCAAGTTCGAAAAATGAAATAAAAGTCTAATAAATATTAATAGACTATTTTTTCACAGTTAAAGATTGGCTATCTTTAATTCCACCTACTGCTATACTAGCTGGGGTTGGTTATATGTCTTATTATACTTTTTGTCCTAATGCTAAAAAAGTAAGTACTCAATTGGTACTTTTATTTCTACTTATTTTTACCATTTAATAAAAGTTTATGATTTTTCGGTTTAATCACTTTAAAAATATTATATTTTTATTTAATGATGGTTCGAATGATTATTATATTTTGAATTAAATATATATTTCAATTAATTTTTCATAATATTATCAGCCATATTAATATGAAATGAAAGTTATTTTTTAAAAGAATGTAAATTTTTATTAAAAGATAATTGTTTTTTGTATTATTCAACTTTTTTTCTTTACTATTAACATTATTTTAGAATATTAAAACATCTATAAACTACAAAATAAAAAAAGATTCTAAAAAAGTTGTGGATACAGTTGATGTTGAGGATATTGCTGAAAAAGCTGTTTTCTGTCGTTGTTGGAAAAGTGAAAACGTAAGTATTTTTGATTCATTTCATACACTTATCATTCTGATAATAAATTTTCATTTTTCATTAAATCCCATCTAATATTTCAAATATTGTTTTGAGAACAATGAAATAAATATTTAATTGATTTTTTCTTTATATTTATTAATAATATTTTAATAGTTTATTGATAATTTTAAAAAACTTTTACCTTTTTTAGTGGCCTTACTGTGACGGTTCTCATGGACGACATAACGAAGCTACATGTGATAATATAGGTCCACTTATTATAACGAAAAACAAGTAATTTCTAAGATGTAAAAAAATTATAAAGTGATCCAGTATTTTTTATTGTTATTGTTGGCCGTGTAGTAAAGTTTATTAGTATACAGGATTGATGAATCATGTTTTTTATTAAAATATGTGAATTAAATGATAAATAAAATATCGACATATATTTTCGGCTATTTTCATAAAAATTATTTCAAAGTTTTGATAATTGCTTAATACATACTGCATGAGATGTATTTTTTTTTTCTATAATTATTTTATAAAATAATTTTATCAGTCAATCAAAAAAAGTTATTATTATATTCCAGGATGATTTTGAAAATTATAAATATAAAATATTGTAAAACAAGTTTATTAATGAGAGAAAAAAGAATAACTTAAAAATTATTCAAATCAGATTAAATACTCATATCGATTTTTTAAACTGTACAAAATCATCAATATTTTTGAAAAATTTATTTGGTAAATAATTATGTATGCATTTTTATAATTAAACTTACTCATGGAACTATATTTTATCGTTAAAACGTATACCATAATAATTTTTTTAATAATTATTCTTGTAATTATGTAAACTCGGTGGTTGGATTCTAGTAGTCAGTATCAGACATCTTTACATATTATTAATTATTATTATATTACACTTATCTATCAATCTAAAAAAAACCATTTAAAAATATAATGATAGATGTGTTTTATTTTTAATATTAATTAATTTTTTATTTATTTTTTTTTTTTATTTCATCTGAAAAAAAAATTGTTGTTAATTAATACTATTTATTTAGTGCATTATTATAAACATAAATCCGAAAGAGTGTCTCTAAGTAAAACATTCAAGTTGATACAAATGAAAATTTTGTTTTTGATAGTTTTTTTTATTCAACATTTTCATTTGTTGTTAAATCTTTTTTATTACAAAGCTCAAGTAGATTATATTTTTTATATTTATAGTATTCTGGTGCGATTGACAGAAGACAAGAATTTTTTATTATTTCTACAACTACAGCAATATCGGGATTTTTCAAATCAGCTTTATTGCCTGGATTTTTTGATGTTATTATTGATGCTAAAGCTTCAATTACTGCTTGACGCTGAATAGTGTTGTTATAATGGCGGCTGTAATACATTTTGAATTGAAAGTAAACAATTAATTTTTCAATGATAAATACATGATATAAAAATTAAAACAAAAAAATTACATACTTGAAAACTATAGCAAATGTGACAGGCGTTTGCACAAAATGTTTTTCAAACAATAAGTTTGCTTCTGATTTAATCTCATCAATATTTGCTCTACAAATAGTTTGTATTGGAAGGAATCTCAATAAAAATCTACTTATTGGTGTATTGGTTTCAGTTATTGTTTTTATTATTGTTAATGTTAGCTTCAATGGATCAGGAATAGTTGACTTGATAAAAATAACATTTTTTACACCGGTGTCAATGTGCTGGAAAAAATAATTATTTAATTCTCTACACACAAAAATATAATTTATTTCTTAAAAATAAACAAAGTAAAAAAAAACCGAATAATTTCTAAATGACTTATTCCTTGACATGTTTTTACATTTTTGCTTTGAATATGGTATTATTTTTATATTTAGATCCTTTGTTTAAATTTATTATAAAAATTAGAAATTATTTTATACCTGAAATATTTTATTTACAACAGATTTTTCAGTTCCCTTATGGAGTGCATCAATTTCATTTTTTAGTTGGTCAGAAATATCATTACTTTCTTTTTTCAGTAGATCAGTTTTTTTGGTTTGTTTCTTATTTTCGTCATTAGAAGTTTTAATAGATTCATCGTAAAATTTTTCTAAAATTTTATATGCATCCTTAACACATTCTTTTTCTTTAAAATTACATGTACATAAAAATCCAACCAATCCTTTTTCTAACGATAACTGTTTGGTTCTTTTACTATTTACATAACTTTTGTAATGGTATCTTCGTTTTTTGTTCTCCATAGGATCGATTTTAATAATAAATTTTTATCTTGAATTATGTATAACTTTTCATAGGTTATAAAAATAAGTTTATCAAATTTGTTCATTCTGGTTATTTTTTTCTATAGAGAAAAAAATACATTGTACACTCAGCTTTATTTATGCCTGGTGTATGCTTGGAGAGCAATTACCGACCGGAGGTGTGACTTTTTTTACATTGAGTTTCTAATCTAGAATATTTTTTAAGCTTGGGCTGAACTCAAAAAATAGACATCTTTATAAATAGGGACTTTATTAATTAAAGTTATGTACAATAGAGGTCTGTGAAAGTAGACAAATAAAAAAATACACTGACAAAAATATTTTCCGGTGGCGAATTATAGAATTTATTTGTCCCCAGTATAAAAGTGATAGGTAAAAAAATTTCGGAAGGCAGGTAAAGAAAGTACCTGGAATCAGTAAAACTTCGTTTTAAAATGAATAAAAAAAAAACTTAGTCTAAATACAGAATATACCACTCCTTAGTAGACTACAAGCGGTTGAAGAAGTAATAAATATACAAGTTTTATGAAAATAAAGTACTTGTATTTAAATAGTCTTTCTACTTGGAATCAGTATAATGTAAGCCAATGTATTTTGTTTATCTCAAGTAGGTAGATGATAAAAGAAGATTACAAAGTTTACTTCAGTTGATAATATAGTTTTCTTACACTGAGGATCTTCCTTACTTACCATAAGTGTATTTTATACGGAGATCCCGTATAAAGCGTACTTATGCTGAGTATAATGCTGTTTTACACTTCAAAAACCATTTTCTCATATTATGAATTCTTTTTTATTAATAAGAAAATACTTGTTACTTGAATCAAGTATATCAATTCTTTACTGCAAGTATATTATATACTTAAATTAAGTAAATAAAGTACTCATGCTAAAATTTTGTTCTTATTAAATTTAAAAATTTCAAAATATACATAATCACATTACATTATTATAACATGGAAAAAATAGAAACTGTTTTTATAAAACTATTATAATTTTAAGTAATTTAACTAAATTTTGTAAAATTATTATGTTAATAAAATCTGTAAAAAATATTTGTGTCTTTTAACTAAATCATCTTTTAAAATAAGATGATGAACTACATAAATTAAGATAGACTGATGAATTAGAGGCACGTCTATAGTTAAAAATGTTCAAGATAATTCATTAGAATATTTTGTCAATTTCCTAGAATTAATTAATAGGCATTCAATAAATTATTAATTATTATTAAAGATTCTACAATCAATAATTTATTGCTGAGCGCTAAATTACAAGTTAGACTTTTAATAGGCCAAGTCTAAGTGCAGCAGCTCCACGTATTTAAAAGTACAACAGTAATTGTTGTAATTATTATAAGATTACTTTTCATCTGTTCATTAATTACTGGATATTTAATCATTAAGTTACTTCATCAGTAATGCTCACTAATTTAAATTTACCAATATCAATAGGTATAACAGTAACTTTTTTATTATTAATATGTTTGTACAGTACACTTTAAACTTCATTTTGATATAAAATGTACTTGCATCAAATAATAATTATACTCAAATTGAGTATATTCTGTGTTTGCCGCTAGCATATATGTAATCACACCAAAAACAGCCCTGACGGACTTCACAAAAATACGCGCCAAGTATGAATAACGAAGACGATAATCATCGTTCATCAAGTGCGATTTCTATAAAACTTCTTTATGCGAACAACTACAAAAATGCATGAAATCATTGCAGCCAAGTATTTAAACATAAAGATTAATTATATTTATTAAAATAAAATGGAAATGTTTTTTAATTTTCGTTAAATTATTATGTAATTTTCTACATAAATCAAAGACAAACTCTTTATAATAAGATAAAAAAAAAAATTCAATACATGAAGATAGTTGACAGCCTTATTGCGTTTTAAAATTTTAAAAATAGAAAAAAAAATTGAATTAAAAACAAAATTTCTCTTTTTTTATAAAAATTTATTTAAACACAATCAACTTGGCGTGGCTCTTACAGCTGTAGATAAAACGATAATTGATTAGATGGTTCATATAATTGATAGCCACGCCAAGTTAATTGTGTTTAAATACATTTTTATAAAAAAAGAGAAATTTTTTTTTTAATTCAATTGTTTTTCTATTTTCAAAATTTTAAAACGCAATAAGGCTGTCAACTATCTTCATGTATTGAATTTTTTTTTTTATCTTATTATAAAGAGTTTGTTTCTGATTTATGTAGAAAATTACATAATAATTTAACGAAAATTAAAAAACATTTCCATTTTATTTTAATAAATATAATTAATCTTTATGTTTAAATACTTGGCTGCAATGATTTCATGCATTTTTGTAGTTGTTCGCATAAAGAAGTTTTATAGAAATCGCACTTGATGAACGATGATTATCGTCTTCGTTATTCATACTTGGCGCGTATTTTTGTGAAGTCCGTCAGGGCTGTTTTTGGTGTGATTTCACGATTTTTTGTACAACAAACGGAATGTGCATCATTCGACTCCGTTACTATGACATGGAATTTTAGAACAGACATCACTATCTGTGTATAGATAGTACAGTACCAGACATAAATGCTGTTCAATTTTTCAAGGGTTCTACAGGCGATTTTCCTATACCGTCCTATAGAAAATCACACAGCATTTATGTCCGGTACTGTATAATAGTCTTCAGTCTGGTAGTATTTAACTATCATCTCAATAAAAAAAAAATTGTTATCTCCTACCGATCTTGAGATATAAACAAAATTATTGATTGAAGGACATGAATTAGTTTTCAAAAAACGTAAAACAATTTTTTTTAAAACGTCAAACCATCGGTAATACATTCTATGTATTACCTATCAACTTAAAATGTACATAAATATTTGTCGTTTTCGATACCAAAAAACTCGGTCGGCATAATACGGACACGGCATAATGACAGCGCGGAATGTACGATCGATCGTCGCGCATAACATCCACGCAGGTTCAGAATTAGAAGCGGCACCTTAAATTTTCCGGCATATTAGATTTTTGCGCCTTTTCTGATTTTAACTTATAAAATCTAAAAAGTAATAAGTGAGGAGATGTAAGTAAAATAATGAGTGCAATAATTCATATGAACACATAAATTTTAAATTCTATTCTTTAAATTTTTCCTCCTCTCTTTTTCTTCAATTTAGTAGGATACAATTTCTCTTCTATTGCATTCCCACCATCAACTTTTTTCATGAGAATTTCCTACAAATAAAAGAAAAGAAATACTTATTATGTTCAATTTTTAATTATTGTGATTAAATGTAAAAAATGGATTAGCTACCTTACTTATCATTTATGAGTCACTTAATTTTTCGTTAAACATTATAAAATAAATAACAATCTCTAGACTTTGTACACTTTGGTTTTCTTTAGGGGGAAATTGACCGTTCAGAATGAAGTCGTAAGTAGACAGAAGATTCATGCTGCATTCACATGAGAGTGAATCAAAAATCAACAGAATAACTATTTGAATTCTTATGTAAATCTATATTTAGAATTTTCCCAAAAACTCAATTCAAATAAAAAGTAATTTTGAAAAAAATTATTAATAATTTTAACACAATTTTAACTGTTGCGTCTTTAATGCCTTATACTATTGTACTGGAGCGACATTTGTACCAGTACTATACTGTCCTGAACATTTTGGTCATATAACATTTGTGCCCCTTTCGAAATGTGCTAGTAGTAAATTTACAATGTTGGTGGAGTAGAAACAGTTTCAACCGTTCATTGTGTTTATTTATTCAATGATCCTCTAGTACATGTATTTATTGGATATAAAGTATATTCATTATGATTAGTAGAATATTCATTGATTATTTTTTTTATTTATTTACCAAAAAAAGTATATATTTCAATTTATCTGTACCTCAAAATTATGAAAAATTCAAAAAAACATGAAAACATGATTTTAAATCTATTTAATTTTCTCCTAATATTTTTAATAATTTGTCGAACCCGTTTCTTTTCTTTTCCAACTTCTCTTCTTCTTCTTTTTTTCTTTTTGATGTGTAATATCTGGAACAAGACATTGAACTATAAAATGACAATGTTCATTTAGTTGTACTTTACTTCATTGTTATTGCAATAAAATAACCCTTACATTTTGTTTCGCAGCTTGAGATTTTTCCCACACTAGCTCTTTTTTTTTTCTTTGTAGAAACATCTATTTTAATTTTTTGTTTCGTTTGTTCATCTTTTAGTAAATTTTGTGTTCTTGTTTCGATGACCTGTAAATTGAATTTTATTAAAAAGTATTCAGAAAATCAATCACACCGATTTTTTAATATCTCTGTACAGTCACAACTATTGACAGATAAATAAAATATCTTCGTCTGACAATTTATGATTAATTTACCGCTACTATCAACTACCGTACTTACTTGATTTATGTATAGGTACGTTTGACAGAAAGGAGCATTCAACACGCTCACCAGCGCTAAAAAAACATTTATTGAAAGATGGTTGTTTTATTTAAGTAATAGGTACACGGTATATCCCCCCCCCCTATTGATACACTCCCCAAAACTTTATTACTTTTTATTAATTTTTTATACCAAAAAAAATTTACATTTATAATTTGGCGCCTCAGTAATTCTTTCATTTTTTACCAACATAATATTTTCCATAGTCATGCAGCAACTTCATGGTAGTAACAACTTTATAAAAAAAAGTCGTACTTTTAAGGAAAAAGATTCTTTTTACTTAGAATGCGGTCCAAGGGGCGTGGCCAATTTTTATTTTTGCAAATAAATGATTTTCAGGACACAATAGCAATTGCAATTTATTGTCGTAGCTAATCAATGGGGTTTTCAAAGATTTTTTAATAAAGTTTATGTCATTATTGCAGAGAAATTAGAAATTTAAAGGAGCGTTACCTCAAAAGTGCTAATTTGAGCGGAATAGAGACACGGTAGTGCCTTCGTCACCGCTATTCATACTTGGCGCTCGAGACACTACTAAAATAAACGTGTCTCTTGATACTCCTATATTGCTAGTCGGTATAGGGAGAGAGACTTAAACATTACGGTGCAGACATATATGCGTTTGTCTCACTTATTATACGCTGCGACTTGTGCGCATGATTGTGAATGGAGCGTGCGCATTAGATAGCATTTCAATTTGTACAAGAAATGAGATATGAGATATTCATTTTGCATATGAAGTAGCGTCTGTTTTACATGCTACATCCAATTTTTTATATATTTTAATTGACTCCATGTAAAATGTCAAGTTTGTATTATACAATTAAAAGGCGACGCTACTAAAGGCACAATGCCTTTATTATCGCAAATAAAAAATCGCGGACCATATATAACACCATCAAAGGATGTAATGGCTATTTGCAAAGTTTGCGAACAGATTATCAGAAAATATCAATCGGAAATAAGTGAACCTTCAATTAAACAATTTTTAATAAATAAAATATTTAACAACATAGGGATGCAATTTGACAATAAAATCATGAATGAACACATTTTGGATAATCATCGATCGCAACTTTGCAAATACGTTATTGAATTATATTTAAATACTCGGTTACATTATGAAGCTAAAAAAATGTCCGAGAAGGATCATTTTATAAGACAAAAATATACAAAACTCGTATTATTTAAACACCAATAAGTTTAATAATGTATAATTTGGTGTACTGGTATGTGTAAATAATAAATTATTTATTGTTAAGTATTATTTTTTTTATCTTAGTTTTTTATTTCCTTATATCCTTTAATCAATTCCCCATTTTTTCTGAAATGCCTGTTTCAAATATGTTGTTCATTTGAATGAAGCTGCTTATAAGAAGTAGAATATGCAAACTTCATTTTAAAAAAATTAAATGAAATCTTTTGTCATTAAGGAAAGAAAAAAAACATTTCTATTTGTAAATTGTTTAAAATTAATTTCAGAGCTCATGAATGCTACATTTTTTATACAGTAAACTTTAAAATTATTAAATAAAGATATTTAAAATCCAATAGCTTGTATACTATTTATAATTATCATTATCACATTTTAATTGTATTTAGTGTATAATAATTGTCATTAAAATATAGACAGGAAAAAAAATATTTTTTAAATTAATAATCATGAATATTTATTTATCATCATCACATTTATATATGTATAATTAAAAAATAGGAGAGCAATGTTAACTATTGTGGCGATGTACAAAAGTGATTAGTATGTAGTTTGTAAAATCTAATACAAAAATAATAATTTAAAGGAACAATAATTGACTTAATTATTATTTTTCGCATTTATTACATGTTATTTTATTACTGTGGATGTTGGGTCAAACTCAAGGAGTTGGGGCAGCTTGGGGAAAAGACTTTAAAATTTTAATTCTTCAAAAACTTTCAATTGTAATTTTTATAAAACAATTTAATTTATACTGGTATTTAAAAATATCATTTATAGTCATCGAATTGAATTAGACTTATTGAACAATAAAAATTAATTTGTTCTTACAACTTTAGATTATTTTATTTATTATAAATTTATTTACAAAGAAATAATGTATAGAAATACCTTTGAAATTAGATATTAAATTATTATATATGAATGATTTAATTATTATACATGTTTAAACAATTATTAATTGAAGTTATTCTACTAATAATAATAATAATAGAGAAAAGAAAAGAATGAAGAGATTCGAATACCCGAGACTCACTACCGGAGTCGGGAGCTTTACCGCTGAGCTACGAAGCATACAAGAACTTATTTACTATAACTCAATTTTAAGTTGTGAAAGGGAGGTGGCTTGCCCTTCTCCAATTGCCAATTCTCCCTCTACGGTAGTGACGCTTGCGCACAACAGTTCAAATGAAAAGAAAGAGACAGACATATTCATTTTCTGTCTCACTTCATAGGCCACGCGCCCACTTACGGGAACTAGCAATATAGGAGTATTAGATATATGATTAAGAGAGGAAAAATGTCACAGGGAGGTAAGGGTTAAGGTTAAGACTCTTAAGAGAGTTGTACAGGGATTTCCTGTGAGCATTGTATAAAGGACACCACCACCACTACAGAGAGAACTTTTCTCTAGTTACCAACTCTTATTTCATTTCGCTATAGTTCGATTAGTAAACATATCATTTCAAATATGTCAACAATAATATTTTATAAAACTCGATTATTTTTAATTAAGTATGATATTTATTATTTTAATAAAATGTAATTAATACTTAAAATTTTCTTACCTTTTATTAGGGTATTATTCTACAAATAATACATTTTATCCTTCTTATTAATAACTATTACCATTATTTATTATTTATGCTTGGTTAACTATTTTTAAAAATTTTTTAAAGTAAGATTTCTATTTAAATGTATATTTATGGTTATGTACTATAATGAATTACTATAACAATCATTATGTAGTAAAAATATTTTGATGATGACTTTTATACTGAGAGAATTCAAAATATTTTTTGGAGTTATTTTCATAATGTAATTATACGTAATAGTTTTTATTAAAAATTAAAAATGATAAATTTATTATTTACTTGTTATTTTCAAGGAAAATGTAGTAGTTTTAATATGCTTTAATACCAATTTAAAACGAATACCTCTATAACCAATTTCGAGGTTACAAATAATAATTGACTGTATACATATAAATGGAATAATGATCGTACATCAAATATAACATTTCTGTTGATATAAATTACTATTTTGTTAAAGAATATATATATATATATAATTCCACATTTTTTTAAATTTATAATAATAATTCAAAAAATGATACAGATACTTAAATGACATCGAATTATTAATTTTTTAACAATTGTTTTAAAAAAATAAAACAATTCAAAAAATATACGTGGTAAGTAAAAGTTTCTACTTTATAATGTAATCAATTTACATGAAATATTACAACACTACCATTTTTCCAGTACTTATGTTATTATAATAAATTTACAGTTATATCGTTAATATCATTTGTATTTTTTATACATAACAAATGTTTTCTAAAATTTATATTTTAAAACAGAATAAATAATAATATTTCGATTATTATGTAAGAGTTGGAAGAAAAAATGAAATTTTTTTTTTAATTATTAAATTTTTGCACATTAAATATAAAAATGAATAATTTTGTTATAAATTTTGATGAAATATGTGATACATTTATGTATATTTGAAAAATTTTATTTTTTTTCATATAAAAAATGTTGAAACCACTTAAGTGATTAATTATGTAAAATATTTAATAGAATTTTATACCGTAACTGTTTGAATAGAAGGAAATATTTCTAATATTCATTTGAGTTACAGTCATTAATGTTATCAAAGCATCTTTTTATGGTTCGAGTTCTTACTACGTCCGTGTATAACATAATTTTAAACCAATAGCGCATCGTACAACGGTAATGGGGAATAGAATGAAAGGTAGAATACAGTTTCTTCTTCCGTTTTTTTCAGCCTCAGTGAGGCTGTGTAGTATGAAGCAGCGACTTGAACTTGACTGAAGGTGACAGATTCGAACATTCCAAAGTTAAAATAATAATTGAAGATCTTAAATCTTCACAAAGAAATATTAAAAAATTTATTAATGAAATAATATAAATTAATGAATAAAGTGATAAAAAAAGAATAAACATAAATAGAGTAGAAAAAATTTGAGAGTTATGAAATGACAATACTTTTGATGTTGGAATAAATTGATTACCAAATCTTGAAATATATATAGATAATATCAGTGATATACACCGTCACCATGCGCCGTCGCTGAGTATTTTACTAGTCCTCGGATTTTCCACGGATTCCACCGAGGCAAAGTGAAACGTCGTTGTCACCAGTTTACATTTGACGACTATTGATTTAAAACGTTGTTGTATACGTTCAAAAGTAGCTTAATTATTTAAGTGTTTTATTATAATATTGTGATTATTATTATTATTATAATTACTACTTGGAATACACGAAAACAATAACTGACGAAATGAAAGATTTTTCAAGTGAAATAAAAGCTTCTTCTGTTGATACTGATATCCTCAACCCTTTCGTTCATCGTCTTGAACTTGATACTACTTATGACAAGCTTAAGGTAAACAATTACTTGATATTTTTTTCAAAAATATGTTTATTCATTTGGCAATATCTTGATGATGTTAATAAATGTATGTCAACTTGTTTGATATTATATAGTTTTTAATCATTTATTATGAAACACAATATTTATTTTATTTTATGACTTTTTATTTTTATTAAATACTTATTTTTAATTTTTATGAATAATTGAGTAACGGGTTCAAACTCCGCGCCGAAACAAATATTAAAACTTGTCAGATATGATTGAAATTTTTATATCATTTTGGTTCAGTTTAAAGTTTGTCATGTAATGTTCTATTTTTTTTTTCTTTTTCTTTTTTCTATAAAAATTAACTTTTTTGAATAGTCACAAAATATGTTTATAATATTTAGTATGAATTTAATTATTTATTTAACAAAAATATTAAAAGAAAAGCAATGTATTTATACAAAAGACACCAATACGTAAGAAGAAATGTGGAACAAAAATGTAGGCTACTAGAGAATGTATTATATATGGATGTTCTTGTGTATTTATTTATATGTATAGAAAAGCTACATTATACTTACACATTAAATCCAATTGAAGGGTATTTATTTATTTTAATTTTAATCATTAATTAATGATGCTGTTGAATTATTTGATGACTGATAAAGTTCATTTAACGATCGATGCTTTTTCGTTTAGTAATAAAAGAAAAATCATTTACTCTTATTAAAATGTTTGTATATTTAATAAATTGAGCAGTTGACACATTTGATTGTTATAAATTTATATGTTAGTAATGTGTAGATGTATCGTAAAATTAAAAAAGTACATATATATTTATACGGTGACCTTCAGGCATCATTAAAATGAAAGTTTCGATTCCGTACACCCGTAAGCGATTTAGGTTGACAAGTTAAAAAATATGTGAATACTTAAGATATATATGTATAATAAAAATATTATTAAAAATAAATTTATAAAATTCATTATCATTATGTTGTTCTAATCAATATTTATTGAGTTAGATAATTGTTAATCAAATTTTCAGAATATTATGTAATAGTCTTAGATAAATCTATCGAAATAAATTGAACTATTTATTATGGCAGACAGTGATATTATTTAAATTACATAATATTATATTTTTAAATTTACTATTCATTTGTTAAAAAATCATAATAAGAATTTTATTATAAAAAATTATATTCTATTTTAGGAATAATTTTTTTTTTTTTTTTAATCAATAATAAATATTTTTAGTTATTCGTATAATTTGTATAACAATTTTGATTATTTTTAGTTTCAGTTTATAAATATTTATTATTGGCGTGCGAACAACACTATTGACTACTTATTGATACACAAGGTGTTTAATGTGCCTTTGATAAATGCACTGATTTCGATGATAATAATATCTGTTTTTTTTATATTTTATTTTTATTAATAAATATTTAAGATAAAAAAAAAAATTGATTTTTAGGACTTTACTCAATGCTTATAAAGTATTATTGAAAAATTAATAGATAAGTTAATAGTATAAACGTATCAAATATTAATGTCTATTCAATAATAATATCCATTTTTATACTAATTAATATTTTGAAATATCATAAATTCAATTAATGTTAAAAATAGCTAATATCTTTTCTTTTTTATTTCTAATTGAAAAAATTATTAATTATTTAAATAAACTAAGGATATATTTAGTGTGGTAAAAATGACAATAATTAAAAGTAAAAATACTAAATATTAAAAGTAAAAAAAGTAGTTTACTTTACTTTAATGATTTTATCCATATGTATGTAATTTATTCGATTAAATAAAAATTTTTTAATATCAAAATGATCACAGCTCATTAAAAATAATACATTATTGAAAGAACACGTGTTATTGATGCAAGAAGCATCTGAAATGCGTTATTTATTTATAAAAGCGCATGCGCTATTTGTCTGATCAATGATACATGTGCACGTTAAAAATAAATATTTCAATGAAAATTTTTTATTTACATTAATGATTCTATTTTAAAATATCTCTAAAATGTGTTCAATTGATTGACATAATTTATTATTATAAATTATTTCAGACGGCGTTCTTGACGGTTGCTCTGCTACCCTTGCGTCTAGCTTTGATCACAGGTCTCGTAATTTTCGCATGGTTATTAGCATGCTTAGGACTTCATGGTCTATCAGATGAAGATCTACGAAGAACTCCACTTACTGGTTGGCGACGGTAAGTTATTATGTAACTTTAATTTAATATATTATATTTAGAATGAAGTTTGGTTATTTGAAATTAATTTTTTTAACACTTTTGATTTAAACTGATTTAAATCAGTTTTCATTTTGTAAAACGTGATGGATTTATTAAGTCTATATTTATTTTAACTAGCCATTTTCCCATTTAAAATATCAATTAGTTTCAGAAATTTCGAAAAATTCATTTCAGTTAAATACAGAACAAGAAAAATCTTTAAATTGATTCTAATTTAAGTATATGTACATACCTACTAAGGACTATTTGAATAAAGCACATTTCCTTCTAATGTACATTTTGTTTATCAAGTATTTTAAAAAAAAACTTTTTTCATTTTTCAAATGACTTAATATCTAACTATACTTTCACCTGTACTAACATTCAGCTTTATTTTACTATTTTATTTTTAACAAATTATATTAACATTTTTTTTTATCGCCAATATGGATGCTTAAAAGACGGATTTCTCGTATCAAGTACCATAATCACGTTTGCAGATTCAAGCATATGATAATATGCGCGACAGTTATCGTTCCTATTATATGTTTATTAAAGAAAATTAAAATGAATAATTTTTTTATCAAAATTCATGGTATTATTAAACTCTAGTTCAATATCAATAATTCAGTCATTCATTTAGCATTAAGCATTGTTATTTATTACAAATTAATATTATCAAAAAAGTTATATTTCCTATTTTATCTTTTCTATTACAATCATTCTTATATGCTGTCATATACTTAATGACACTACATTATAACCTTGACAATAGTTTACTTTAGTTTGGAACAAATATGACAATATTGAATATTTTTTATAAAAGGACTGGGTTATGTTAGCTAGAAATACTATTATTAATTTAGGCTGTTGTCAGAGGAAAATGTAAAAAATAATGTTGATACTTGAGATTATACAATAATACAATAATTTAGTGAAATTACAATTAAACGATGTAATTTACGCACATTTGAATCTGCAAAGGAGATACTGCTGCTTATAACTAAGTTAGCTATAACTAAATACATATTTCAATGAGGAAGAAAAAAGTCGATAAAGAGAAATGTAAATTGCTCATAACTATACATATAGATTATTTTAATTTTTTAACTATGTAATGACCTTTACTTAGTTTGAGAAAGTAATGGAATAAACAAAAAAATCACGAAATTCATTGTGTATCTATTTATACATATAATTATATACATGGAGAGAAAGAGATAGTAAATTTTATTCCAATAAATAATAGCCTGTCGTTTCGGGTACAAAGATGAAATAAAATTATTTCTTGTAAAAATTTTATTATGAATCAAAATTGTAAACTATACAAAAATATAATATTGTATAAAATATTACAATTGAAGTGTGTAATAAAACATTGTTCACAAGAAAACATTTTTATGTATACTAATGAAATAATTGGTTATTACCATTTTTTTTACCCGACACGACAGGCTACTATTTATTGGAGTAAAATTTACAATTCCTTGTTCTTCGTGTATTTTTGATTAATTTGTTAATTAATATTTAAAAAAATAATCAAATAAATAATTTAGTAGTTTTAATGTATGAATGAAATAACAATAACTGTGTTAAAAATAAAAAATAGTGACATGAGGGTGGTGGTGTGCTGGGTTATGAGGGCAATGTTCATCTGTGGGGGATTCCATCAATTGAAGGTGAAGGGTCAAAAAGCAACAACAAAAGATGCACCTGTTCTGGCTCTCGCACCACACTCGAGTTTCTTCGACGCGTTACCGGTCATCTACCTCGGTGGGCCAAGTATCGTTGCTAAAGCGGAGACGGGAAAAATTCCTTTCTTTGGAAGTAGGTCTTCTTCCTTACTTTACATTATTTCTATCAATAAATGGCAATTCTTTCAATATTTTTATTACTAACGAAAATAGTTATTCTATTGCTAATTTGAGTCTAAATGTTGACGTTAATTTATCATTATTTATAAAACAATCATTTATATTATTACCGATGCCTTTGTTTACAGTGCTCGTGAAATATTAAAGCTGTGTTTTACAATTTTATATGAAAAATACTTGACAATAAAATTATGACATATATCAATGAATGACCTAATTTTTTTTCGGTATAGAGACAATGTAAAAAATAAAATTGAAGCTTGAATATTTATCATATAATTGAAAATTTATTTTTGGCTCAAATTTTTAGTATAAATCTTGATTGTGATCAAAATTAGCACATAGAAAGTAAAACTCAACTTTCTAAAAACCTTCGTGATCAATAAAAATTAAATTCGAGCAATGTCTATCTTCGAAAATCTTTAACCAATAATATCACATTCAAATATTCAAGCGAATATATTTTTTTCTTATTTTTTTATCTTATATTAATTAGATTTTTGTAAAATTAATAAACAAATTATATTATAAAAAAAATTCATATATCATTTTAACTATTAAAATCTGTAAAAACTTGGCCTCGGATATCATCTTTATACATTGGATTTGTTTGATTATTCAAATTAAATTTAATATTTTGACTCAAATTATTACATAATATTGGCATTTCTGTTATAGTTATACTCTTAGAAGTTAGTGGGCAAATCATTTAAATGATTTAGTTTTATGAATAAGAAAATACTCCTACTAATCATAAATAAAACATTTTTCATTATTCATTTCAAGCTTTTTTTAAAACTCAATAGCTTTTTTCTATTTCTCAACTACAACAACTTCAACTTTTCATGTATTATGCAAAACTTATTTCTTATAATTAAGTTTAAATTTTTTTTTAAATAATATAATCATTTTTTCTTACTAAATTTATATTTTGTCTTTCTAAAAATGAAAAATCAACAAATGAACACTTTTTAATTATTCTTTTAAATATAAGAGGATAGTTGATTGTAATGTTTTCAAGACTGCTAATAAACCATATCTAATTAGTTATTATTTATCTTATTGAGATCTTTGGAGAATATAATGAAGAATTTCTTAACATCAAAATCAGTCTCATTCAATCAACACACATATACCACATTAATTGTCATGGGTCAAACCATAGAGCCTATTTCAAGCATTTTTACATTATCGACACTTCTGGAATAAATTTTATTTTTTTTTAAAATAAAATTCTATACCAGCCATTAATTATAATTCATTAAAGTAAACGTCATAAATAAAATTTCAATATATTAAGAGAATATGACAGAAGGAATTCTCTCTATACTATGAAAATTTTAGTTTCTCTCTTCAACTCAATCATAGTTGAACTAATATTTTAGAGTATGAAAAGAAATCTGTTTTTGATACATTTTTATATTGAGTTATTTTTATCTAAAAATATTTATAAATTAGTACATAAGATTCTAAACGCAACTTTTGAATAGAAAATTATTGAGGCTGACCTGAGGGCTATGGTAAGAATATCGAAAAATAAGATCCTTTGAATTAAATAATTTTATCATTGAAAGATTAATATATAGTTTAATAAGAAGAAAAAATTTAATTATTTTTATTTAGATAAAATTTAGTATAATACGATTCATTCTAATAGAGAATTTTTGTGCAATGGTTTTTAATTAATAATTCACATTATATTTCATAATATGGTGTATTCTGTCAAACCTGATATGATCATAATAATAATTGGACATATATTATGCTAACAATTCTCTTTAGTCACTAATCTCTACTAATTATAATACTCTATTTGGCGCATTGACGTAACTTGAGGCGCACTTGTGTTCAGAAAGTGGATATAGACATGATCAGACCAAATTCTTTTATTTACCTAAAAAAAAATTTTACCAGCAGTTGTGACGTTTTATTACGCTATTTCAGGTATTCGTCTACTACTTCAGTGTAACTGAAAATATAAAACTTTATGTAAGAAAGAGTAGGATATAATGGTCATATGAGGTCGCCTATCTTCTCACCTTTTTTTTATTTTATTTTCTCAACCTTTAAATCTCATTCTCATAATAATGTTGTTATCTATAGGGTATAAGTCACAGTTAAATAGCTCTATACTCCCATACTTCTTTAAGAGCATGAGAACAATTTTGAGTTTATATGTATATTTGTTAATACATTGAAAATAAATGAATAATTTGACTATACTTAACATGTTTTTACTTGTTGAACATGAATATTTTTGTTTTATTCTACAAAGTAAAACATTGTTTCCGTCATTTTAAAATATGAAAATTTTTCATTCAACAGTAGAGAGGCTAACTTATTGACTCGAAAACTAACTTCAAATAATAATAAAAATTTTTGACAACTTGTATTGTTATGTATATTATGATAAGAAGTAAAATTCAAATAGATAAATTGTTGAAGTTTACTGAGATTATGGTAGTTTTTCGTTAATAAAGTCTAAATTAGGCCAAGATAAGTGGTAGTTTTTAAAAGAAATCATCAGCAACTTAAGTAGGGGAAGAAGGAGTAAAGTGAAGCACCATGAAAAAATTTAAATCCACAAATTAAACATTATAGTAACAAATGTTAATAATTTTCAATGCATTTTCAATGCAATAAATTGAAAAGTACAATAAGTTTTTTTAAGCTTATTTTAATAAATTAGTACATTTTCTCAAACGTTTAATTTTACCCACCTTTCCCCTATATAAAAAAATATAAATATAATTTGAGGTGAGAATTACGACTCGGTGTGTTAAGTTTTTCCAATGTATGGTGGATGGGATTTTGCTAAATTGAGAATCTAATAATTATTTTTAATAATGATCTGGTATCAGATGTAATAATAATAATAATTATAATAATAATAATGAATTTAAGAGAGAAAAATATGATTAAAGTTATTAAAATTGAACAAACTAATAATCCATATCACAGAAAAATAGTGCCCTGGTTATGCTTTGTCGGCCAGCTGACATATCGTGCTGCAGGAATGAAAATTGTTATTCGCGGGAAGCAAGCATCAAGATCAGAAGCTCCAATATTGGTGGTTGCACCTCATTCTACTTTCATCGATGGTGGGATAGTCTACATCCTTGGGTTTCCATCAACAATCGTCAGAAGGGAATCCGGCTTGAATCCATTTGTTGGAAGTATGTTTTATGTATACGCTTTTATTTTTATTACAATTTATACAAAATATTTTTCTATTCTTATATTGTAAGTAAGTAACTTCTCAACTTACTAATCCCATTCACCGTATATTTTTAAATCTATATCGAAATATAATATATTAGTAAGTTATTAAAACAAAAAAAAACATCTTGCTTTGTGTAAAACTTCTACTAATCACAGATATATCCATTTTTCATCTATTTAAACATATTATTAGCTTTTAAATATTAATCACAATGTATATGTAAATTTCATTTAATAAGCATGCTTAAATATTTTATATAGTTTCATCAATTAATGCTCATCTGTAAATATATAACTAATCTTTCTTCATTTTAATCAATAAATTATGTATAGTATAATTATAAGATTTTGATATTTTAATCAGTAAAAGCTCATGATTATATTTTTTTATATAAAATTTTTTAATTAAAAAAAAAATAATTAAGTAAAGAATCATTAATTATCATAAGCAGTATTAATATTGTTAAATATGATTTAATAATTGAGTAAAAACTATTTTTACATTTAGAATAAAGTTTCTGAACAATATGATTAAGTTTGAAGAGATTTGATCAAATCAAATGTCAATAAGTAGTAGTATGGAACTGTCAAATTTTATGAGTTTTAATTAGATGTGACAGTTATTTGTTGCTTTTTCAGTCAAATTAATTTAAATAAAACTAAATATGATCAATTTCTAATAGATTAACTACCATCAATCTTTATATCTAATTTCATTAGCAGTAAAATATTATTAAAATCAAACAGATATATAATTAATTATGATATTAAAAGATGATATTGAATATATAATTAACTTTTTCAATTTAAAATTTTACTTTGCAAAAAAAAATAATTTCATTAATAATAATCATAATAATAATAATAATAAAAATTATTAAATTCACTTTTATCTTTGTATATTTATTTTATAACTGTACGAAATTATGATATATATATATATATATATATATATATATATATATATATATATATATATATTATTCATTTGTTTTTTAAATTTATTTATAGAATTGATCAACTATACACAGCCAGTATATGTATGGAGAGATGATCCTAACTCGAGACAGAATACAATAAAGGAGATAATTGAACGAGCAACGTCAAAAGAAGATTGGCCTCAGGTAAAGTACTCTTGAAAAAAAATGATTACAAAATTGTTTGTGTTAATGGATGTTAATGTGATATTAATAATTTTTTGTTCATTTTAGATTATGATATTTCCAGAAGGAACTTGCACTAATCGTTCTTGTTTAATTACATTTAAATGTGGAGCGTTTTATCCTGGTGTTCCTGTCCAACCTGTTTGTATTCGTTATCCCAATAAATTAGATACTGTTACTTGGACATGGGAAGGACCTGGACCGTATGTATTTTTTACTTAAAATCATTATATTTTATTATTTAAATTTTGTGTTTGATGTGATTTTTTTTTTAGTTTGAAATTGTTGTGGCTTACGTTGACACAACTTAATAGTAGTTGTGAAATTGAATTTTTACCAGTATATAAACCGAATGAAGCTGAAAAAACTGATCCTAAATTATATGCTAACAATGTACGACGTGTCATGGCACAGTAAGTATGAAAACTGTATTTTTTCATTGTTAAAATTAATATAATGCGAGAAGCTATAAAAATCACTTGGATATATTGAGATAGTCATGTAAATATGATATGTCTACACACATAGACATTCTGTTAAAAATCATAATATTTGACTCGAAGATCTTGAAACGTTAAGATGGGTCAAAATTTAGACTTTTACAAGTCAGATTTATTACAATAACTTCCTATTGGAAAGTTAATAAAATTTTGTAAAAAAAAAAAGAAAGTTCAACATGTTTAACAAAAAAATTGGTATTCCAAATTGACTATGCTTACTGTAAATGATACTGACTTACTTTCATAGAGATGCAAGTTTGTAAACACATTATTTGTTATTTTTATATGTCTAATATATATAATTTAATGTGAAATCAAATATTTGATAAAATTTTTCTATGTATAAAAATGCTACATGCACACTATTTTTATATATTGTGATCTTATTTTTATAAAAACTATCTTTTTTATTAACCTTTGTATTGAGCTATTTAAATAATATATATTTCTTATTATTTCAGAGCTCTTGGAATTCCTGTTTCAGATTATACATATGATGACTGTCGTATTATTAGCAAAGCACATTCATTAAATTTGCCAAACGCCTTTAGTATCCTAGATACTCATAAACTACGCAATACTTTAGGGCTTCAAAATAATAAAATAGAACAAGAGTTAGTACAAAAAAGAAGTCATAAAATTGATGAAGCTGTTGACTTTAATGAATTTGCAAGGATATTAAGATTAGATCCAAAGGATCCTTTGGTTCAACAATTATTTAAAATTTATGACAAAACTAACAAAGGATATGTAGACATGGAAGAATATATATTTACAGTACTTGCTATAGAAAAAGCCAATTCCGTCCTAGATCTTCTTGCCATTGCATTTGATGTTTGCAGCATGCATAGTTCAAGATGTCTTGACATACAAAAATTAAGAAAGGTTTTAAGATTTTCTCTACAACTTGATGCTGAAGAGAGTGATAAAATATTTTTACAAGTTAATCGAGATTCTAGTGAATATGATTCAATCTCTTTAGGTAAAAATTTTATTTTTTTAACTCTATTAAGAAAATAACTTGCCACTGGGAAGTTAAAAAATTACTTGAACTAAATAATTATTATTTAAATTAAATATTTTTTTTGTTGCTAATATTATTATAAATATATCAAAAACACATCAAATATCGTCGGTCTAGAGTGTAACTCTGCTAAATCCATTTTTAAACTTTAGATTTTTCAATAGGATAGTTAGTTAATATAAGCTTATAGTTGATATTTTTGGTAGCCAGCTTTTAAGTAATAATATTCGTTAGACTTATGCACGTCTGTTTCCGTTCTACATTAGATTGCTATTCACTGTCTGCCGTTAAATTTCCTGACGAAAATCTAATGCCTTTCTGCTTCAGAAAAACGGCAGATACATATGTAAGTCTGCTATTAGTTTTACGTTGATTTGACTACGAGGGAAGATCAACCTTAAAACATGAATTATTTTTGGTTGTAAATATAAACTATTTGTACAGACCAAAGACGAGTTTTTCTTAATGTTTACAAAGTTATTTATTTTTAAAAAATCGATACATCAAGTTTTTAAGACTTTAATAAATTTGAATACATATATTATAATAATTACGGATAATATAATAGAATTAAAACTGAAATCGATAAAGTAATACATATACGTTCTACTATCATCCAAAGGAGTAACACAAAATAATTAGTTGGTCAGGTAGCTAAATTACTAAATTTAGTTTTTTTTTTCAATTATAATTAAGTCAATATATTTATTAGAATACATCTTGTTATATAAAATTCAGTTTTGACTAGATAAAAAGCTTTGAAACGTTAATTTAATGTGATGACATGTAGTTTTTTGTTTCCTAATATATTTTTTATTTATAAATGAATTATTTTTAAATATACAAGTTGGTGTATTTGTTTGTTTCAGAGGAAATGTTAACAGTATTAAAGACGCGAGCGGAATTCAATCATCTCTTCACTGCAGACTCTGACGATAGAAAGAAGAAGACTATTTGAGAGTGTCTATACGGCTCGTCAGAAAATCCCCAAATTGTTTCAAAAGATCGGGACTTTGACAAGCCGCTTCTGACAGGTGTATGTTCAAACGCCGTTTAAATGAAATCAGAAAAGTAAAAAATATGATGATGAGACTTGAATGATAAAAATGAAAATTAGTTTTATGTTTAAGATCTTCCTATTTAATCAATGTAATCTAACAGTATCAAATCTTGTAAATAGCAACCATGAAAAAGTTTCATAATATAAACATGAGTATTTTCATGTCAGTATCATCAACTTACAAAATGTAAGTGAAAAAATAAATTGCAAGAAAATAACTCATAGTTAGATTATTAATTCTTTCAGTTTATTACTCAGGGCTACTGACTGTTAAAAGTTTTAAAACTTTCATCAGTCTCGTAACGATATTTTGTTCAAGTTAATGACTTACGTGGTTAAATACAATTAATTTTATTATCTCCCACTTGACAGAAATTTAACACAGGATAAAATATAAACAAGTTAGAAGCATATCGTGTACAGATATTTATACTAAATGTAAAATTATGTTATGTAAAATTTCTCTGATAAAAAAGTATGAAAAAAACTCAATAACAAAATACTTTGATATTCAATATCTTTTACAAAGATAATTAGCTCACAATTCAGTTTTCAAATTACTTTTAATTTTTAATATCATATGAATCATTAATTGTAAAACCTATCTCTAAAAGGACACAAATTCATTCATTTTTTGTTAAAATAAAATAGATTGTTATTTATTTATTTATTTATTTATTTATTTATTGATTTATTTTTTATATATATTTGTTCGATATTTAATTCTTTATAATCATTAAAATATATAAAATATTCCGTTTATTAAGTTAATAATATTGATGACACAACGAAGTTTAAGCAAGTAGTCTCAACAATTAATATTGTTGACATTTAAAGAGATTCAAGTGAATCTTACATTAAAATTTATGTTAAATTGTAAAACTCTTTATTTAAATACTACGTAGTGAAATAAATGACGAATTTATTAAAAAATATTATGTTGTCTCTTTATTAAATCAATTTAATTTTTTTTATTTTTATTTGAGATATAAAAGTTTTTATAGACGGTTTAAATGCTATCCAAATTTGTAGAAAAAAATATATTGTAATTTTAGTTGAAAATTAAAATATTAAAAATGATTTATTTTTGGGAATTTTATTAAATTGTCTGAGAAATAAATAATAAATTAAGTTAATGTATAGAAATAAAATGACTGGTTTGATGAATATTTTATTACAAGTATGTAGTTTGAGTTTGAAAAAAGGATTAATTTATTTTTGATGATCAATATAAATTTCCCCTCTACAATTGTCACTTTATTTGCAATTTTATCGATATTGCACATAAATAGGACGATTAATTATTTTAAAATATTTATGGTTTTTATTTTCTATAAGTTATAAAATAACATAAAGAGCTTATAATGATGCTAATAAAATTATATCTGTGACTGTTTAAAATTATAAATCAATTGTGTTAAGCTGTAATCTTCGTCCAATTAAAAAAATATATGTATTTATATCAATGAATTACCATTAATATATATGTATATATGATATTTTTTTTAAATTTACAACCAATTAAACGTAAAAAATGCTATTCAATGAAACACCTGATATATTACTAAATACGTAGAGATAGAACTATTTCTCCCGAGCAACTTTATGTTAAAGTAAATAATATTGAATACTAATTGGGTGTATGAGTGGATGAGTTAAATTATGTGCTTAATAAGTCTTCTTTATACATACATGCAACGGCTTAAAAATTACCGCTATAATTTACGACACTTTATGAATCTAAAAATATAAAAGACGTGTTGACATTTTCAATTAAATTTTTATTCAATCATTACAATAAAAAGTTAAATCCTTTATTAAAATATCTCTTTGTCAATGAAAATGACTCAAAGGATTTGTTTTAAAAAAAATACTTTTTTAACACATAATTAATATACACAAATAACTTATTTCAGTAAAAAAATTTTTGTTTTAATCATTATTTTACTTGAATTTAACTTAAATTTTTATAACGATTTATTTTAAAAGGCAATCGTTTAAGTGGGTTTATTATTAGAGTAATAATTCGATTATTAAGTTTTCTTCTTATTCAATAATTTATAAGAGACCGCATCGTAATGAATTAAAAAATAATATTAATTAAAACATCATATTTTTGAAAAAAGCATATTTTTTATTTTTTACGAAATATATGTGATATAATTGGCGAATTAGGTTTAGAAGCAAATAATTTAGACATTTTATTTTTCATATCTTCTACACCTTGACCTGTACCTATCAATGTTAATGGCGAAGATGAAGAGGAAGTTGGTAATGATCTGTAGAAAAAAAAATATATAAGAATAAAAAATACAACATGAAATAAAATATACAAACCTTTGCTTCAATTCTACTGAATTATTACGCATTTCAATTTGTTGAATCAATAATTTAACATTATCCTTTTGTTGAAGGAATTGTTGAGAAACAATAACATCTAACTGTTTCAAACTAAATAACAAATTCCCAATAATACATTCTTCACTTAAAGAACAATAAATTAAATTTGAAAATGCATTTATCAAAGCTATAATAATATCGATCTTAACATGGTGTTGTAAAGTTAATATTGTTATTTTTTTTAAATTTATTAAAATAACATTCTCTACATAATCTTGAGGACAATACGGTGCAATGTTAGCTAAAATTGTTATAATCGGAATTGTTAATTCTTGTGGAATGTCATTATAATTTTTCAAAATGTTTTCCAATGCAATTTGACTTTTATTTTTCATTTCTTCAATTTTAAAACCAGTAATAATTTTACCAAGAATTTCAATGACCATTACTTGTACTTGTACATCAGGATCATTGATGAGTTTCATAATTATTGGTATGATTTTTGTAACAACGAGATTTTCATTAATGCCAAAAATTATACGACTGAAAATTTTCAGCGTTTTACTTTTTACGACAGATGGTTGTTCCAATAAATCATCGAAAAATACATTGATAATTTTTTCCATTAATTCAGATTGTTTACATAATATTTTGATACCTATCAATAAGCCTGTTATATCGACTGAATTGTTTGCCAACATGTTGTTGAGATGTTTTAACAATTGTAATAATTCATTAGTGTTTGAGGTAGACAAAACTAATATATGAGCTGGTATAAGTGACATTTTACTAGAAGATTCTCTATTGGACGTTATTTTTCTCTCCAATATCAATAATTCTTCATGAAATATATTTTTTAAATAAGATTGTACAGTGATGCTACTAAAACCCTTACATACTAATTCAAAATATATTAAAAAGTTGGTTAAAATTTTTTCTTGACTAACGTCAATCAATTTAATCATTTCCAAAATCTCTGGAATGAATTTTTTCATAAACCATTCAAGTTCTGGCCATATTTTCTCATCCCAAGAATTTATTAAAAATGTATTGATAAGCTTTCCCGTATCTTCTGGGTATTCAGAAAAAATTAATGGATTTGTAATAGTTAACTTACATAAAGATAATATTTTATTTGGTAATTCTGATGAAGTTTCACTTTGTAAAGCATTTTTAATGGTAGGATTATCGACTACACAAACAATTGTATAAGGTATTAAAATATTTAAAGCATCAATTAGTTTTATAATATTTTCAATGCTTCGAATGTCTTTATTTGGAGAATATTTGATATCAAATTTATCCATTTTTATTAATTGGTCTTTTAATCTTGATAATAAACGTATCATTAGATGTGATAAAAATCGTTTTAAATATAATGCCCATTGAGCAAGAGTAGGCAATAATATTGATAAACCAATTTGGAAAACCTTCGGTGACTCATCTTCTAGTGCTGTAAATGTTAATTCTTCAAACTGAAAATATTTATCAGTATCATCAGTTAACATGATGAGCAATGATAAGCTATGAACAACTTTTGCTCGAACAGCTGATTCTTTATCTTCAAGCAGAATTTGTTGAAGCATAGATGTAATTAATGAATTTCTAATTTCATTCGAAGCATAAGGTGCAAGTGCTGAACAACACTCGACCGCTAATAATCTTCGTTCAGGATACTGATGCTGACTTTGCTCCCAACAGAGAGTTATTATTTTTTCTAATAACATTCGTTTGTTGTCTAATTGTATTGAAAATATTAATGCTTTTATTAAGACTCTTCTTTCCGCTTGACGTGGCTTTTTTTTCAAGTTAAATAATAAATGGACCAATTTATCACAGTTCACACTTGTTGAATAGTATTTAATAGTTGCCAATATCAAAGGTATTATTTCAAATTTTTTGTTGGAGGCTATGTTCGGAGTTATAACTAGTAAACTTTCAATAAGTATATTTATAATATCTTGGGTTAAATAAATATCAGCTAAATTATCAATTACTGGTATTCCCACGTCACATAGATTATTAGAAACAAATCCTAGTATTTGTTTCCTAAAGTATTCAGGTAAATATCTAGATGGCAGGTTTAGTGATGTAAAAAGATCTGGTATAGCTTCTGATGACTGTGTAGTAGTTTTATTATTATCATTTATATCTTCAAAGCTTATAATTGTTGATATGCAGTCACTTGCGTTAGATTCTTGATAGGTACCTGTTTCTTTGTCAAATGATTCGAGCTCATTGGCTGGATCAGATGTTGAATTAATAAATGAATGTGAAATATTTTCACTAAATATATATTCTGAAATATCTTTTTTATCAACTTCATTAACACATTTATTCAAATTTTGATTTTTTTCTGACTTTTGATCAAAATTTCGTTCAAAATATGTTATTTCTTCGGCAATATCAGAATTATCATTCTCAATGATATTGATATTATCATGACATTGAAAATTAAAATTAACCTGTGTTGAAGCATCTGAAAATATTAATTTTTCATTTTCATTTTTATTAATAAATTCTCTATAAATATGTAACAAATTAGGAGGTTTTGGAATATTTAAACCAACGTCCTCCCAATCTTCAAAATCTTGATTTTCATTTTCATCACTAAAAGTAATAGATGTAAGTTTATAAGATTGCATTAATAAATACTCATAGACTAAATAGTTTAAAGCTCTTTCTTCATGTGGTTTAATAGGTTGTTTCTTAAATGAATCCTCTTCGAGTTTTTTGTGTGGTGATGTGCTTGCTGATTTAGTAACAACTGTAAGATTAGTTCTTAATGCCAAAATATTAGCTTTAGCTTTTCTTAGTTCAAATTCAAGTATAGCAACTCTTTCATTCATTTCTCCATCAACTTCAGAATATCTAGTCATATCTAATGAATCTAAAGTGGCTTGACTAGATGATTTTCCAATTGACATATAAGAATCTGGCCTATAAGAACAATTTTCAAAATTATTTGTATTAAAAAAGAAATCACGAAGTATTGGAAGTTCTTTTCCAGCTTCGCATAACTCAGCATGTAATTCTAAAGCTGTTAATAATAACTTTTCACTCAGTAACTTTGTGGCAATTTGATTATAAGATTCAAGTCCCACCATTATTTCACCTTGAGTATTATCTGAATCATTTAATGATGAACGATTTATCCAATTTTCTGAAACTTGCTCCATTATTTTATTTTAATGATCTTAATTATATATGTTTATTTTATTTTAACATTTTTTGATTGTAAAGAAAAGTTATTTATACGCAAATATTTTACTTTCTAGACTAATTTTTTTGTTATCTTCAAGTACACAACAATGTAAAATTTTTAAATATTTGATTGACTATTAAAGTAAATAAATTAAATAAATACTTTGATTAAAATCGCTAACATAAAAATGTTTATATTTTTTTTTTGTTTTGTCAAAAAATTTGATAATTTTAACTACCAAATTGTAGAGCGAAAATGCAATGTATGTACAATGTAAGTAAATAAATAGAGTAAATAAGAACTTGTTTCAAATGTCGTGACACCTACGAAACAAGAAATTTAAAGTGAAACATTTATGAAAATACTGTCTTACAGTAAGACAGTATTATTTGTATCAAGTAAATTTCGATTCAAACCTCCGTCAGTATAAAACGCGTTATCTTGGTGTTACGCTGTTGGCAAAAGTGATTTCTGTGTTCTCCTCATGTGTTAGTGCAAATATCTTCTTTAATCCCATTTGATCACTATGAATTTTCAAATATCATATTTTAATCATAATTTTAAGACGTGGTTCATAGTACACAAATGAATAATTGTCGTTTAAAATTTGTAATGTTTTTATGACAAGTGATGATATGAGATGTGTTATATATTATAAGTCAAATTACAAATTACTTTTGTAATTGATCATTTAAATTACTCAATTAATAATAAGTAATTTTACAAATAATTAATTAAGATTTTCATTTTCATTTATTCTGTAATAAATCCATCATGTAAATAATAGTCAGAAATTCCAATTTTTATTAATTATCGTAATATAATTACATTTACATAATAATTTTATGATTTATATATACATAACAAGTTGGAAATCAAAGTCAAAAATAGTTACAATATATGGATAAAAAAATTTTAATTTAAAATGAATTATAATTTCAAATATTCTTTTTATAAATTGTGCTTGCTTTTTTGACGGTAGGATAGAATTTCTCGCCATATTCTTAGTCCTACTCCTCCTTTCAATTGCATTTTATATAAATCTTCTTTAGAAATATGGTATAAAAAATCTTCGAATGTATATTCTTCGTTTAATACCTGCAAAAATATAAATATCAATAGTTTAATATTATTATTCATCATTACACTAAATCTAATACACTTGAATTAAATAGACTGTATAAAATTTTCTTTCTCTCTCTCTCTCTCTCTCTCTCTCTCTCTCTCTCTCTTATTTCACCGTTTCATGTTATATTTTGTTTAATTGTCGAAACAATAAACTTCATCATTCATCTATCTACATATATTTTTAATAATATAAAAATAAGAGAACGCGACATATATTATTTTATGTTGTTCTTTTGATAATTTAAATTAAAATGAATTATTTTCTCAGTGAGATTATACAATTTAATTTTATCTAATGTTATAATTTAGATCAAATCGAATTTTCTGATAATGATAAAATTCTTAAGAAAGAATAATTAAATGTAAATAGATTGTGTAGGATCAAAGTTAATTTAATTTTTTTTCTTTCGATCCAATTGCATCAGTTATCATATTTTTTGTTACGTATTGTTAAAGAAAATTTTATCGGATTAAAACAAATCTAAATGCATCAGATTTAATCAGGTTGTCAATATAAATACATCTATTGGAATCAAGTCAGTTATGGGTGTTTGTAAAATTTAATTGAATCCAATTTGATCTAATCATTTTGAATAAAAATTTAATAATATTATACGATAAAATTTTGTCATATAAGAGAACAGATTATTAGTAAATATAATTTATTTAATGTTAATACCTTTCGAATTGATTGATCATCAATTCCAATATTTCTAAGCCATGACGCTAATTCACCATTCATGTTTAATATATTTTCACTTTCTGAAATATTTATGAGGGGTACAATCATTAGTTCCGATGAAGAATTTGAACTTTCTTGAAATAAATTTGGACCATATCTAAAAAAAAATAATTGTATTGTTATAGAAGAAAGATATTTTAAGATGAATAAAATTGTACAATACAGTGGAACTACTATTATATTGGAACTTGAGAGGATATTAAATCTTCATATTGCTTTATATATGATTTAATTTACACCCAACACTTGAACGGTATTTTGTCTTGGAACGAAATAGATTCAAGTTATCGTATATTGTTGATTTACTCTGATGTAAAAAGAGTGGAAAAGTAGTAAATAAAACGTTTCTAATTTAAGGAATTAATCTAAAATAAATTATTCAAAATTGATTATTATCGTATTACTACTATTCTTGCGTCAACCATACTTACTTCATTTCTCATTTGAGCTGCTCATGTCAAAAATTTTTTATCTCAGTTGCTCCATTATACTTAAGAATAGAGCATTGAAGGGAAATATTTTTCGGAAGAATTGGATTCTTTTACATTGAACATATTCTACTTCGCTCCGGAATGAAATGAGATTGATGTGTTGAGTGTAAAATTAACCTAGGAGAAAGTGAAGCAAAAACTTATTTTCTCTACAGATTGATAAATATCATATAGGAAGAAAGGAATAAAACAGTATTATCGAGGAAAATCTGTCCAAAATAAATATTAATGATATTCATAAAATTTTATACTATGCTTTGAGTATATAATTACATATAATTTTATGAATAGGATGATTCAAAAGCAAATTGCAATAGAATTCTCAATAAAATTTAATAATTATTTTCAAATCGGTTTCTAACTAATCAGAAAGATTAATAGTCTTCAAATTAAAAATAAACTAAGCCTTACTAAATTTTGATTATTTATTTATTTTTTTTTTAAACTATAAATTGAAAAACTTTAAATAGTAAGGCTTCACTTCTCTTTTGAGGTAGAAAATATTTCAAACAACAAAAACCAATATATGAGAGATTCCACTGTATATACTAATATTAATATAATTGATAAATCTTCATTTCTAAATATGATCAAAATACTACTAAGTACTGCTATGTACTATAACAAAATTTAAATTATTTACCTTGCTCTCTGTTCAATAATACTGTTATTAATATTTCTACAAAGGCTGGTTAAATTTTCAATTTGTATGCACTGTTCATCTAAAGCATTTTTCAAAATTGTATGAAACATTTTTTGACTGTCAATCAATTCTTGAAGAAGTTGCATATTATTTATTTTCATATTTTCCATTTGGTCATGATATTCTCGCCAATATTTTTGCTCTATTGAATCGACAGTTTTTTGAGATTTTAAAGAATTTACGGTTGATACTCCAGATGTTGATCCTTCTTCTGGACCATCTGCACCAACCTGAGTTTGTTCTTGATCAATTAATCCGGCACCGAGTTCTGTCAAAAAATATAAAAATAAATAACTAACTATTTTGATAATAGGAAAAGAATTACTCTTTGCAAAATATCTCGATATTTCATACATTTTTGAAATTTCTTTTGAATTTTTTCAATCTTTTCGTGATTAAACATAATGATTGGGAAATTTGTCAAACTTTCACGAAATTTAAAAAATTTTTTTGTGCTAAGTAGGTGAATTGAAGAAATGCCATATTAGCCAATTTACTATTACCATATTACTATTGATGAACTATACTATTTTCTTATGCAAATTCAAAATGTGATCAGAGTAATTTTTTTCCATTACTATATTTTTTTAATTTAAACAAATTATTTTTGAAATATTTTGAAAAATAGAAATGATTTGCACAATAAAAAACTCATTATTACTATGACTACGTATTATGATTCTAGGGTCCTTAAAATGTGAAAGTATCTCTATATACTATAATTGTTAATTTAAAAAATCTGACCCATTACGATAAACTTCCATTTGGAACGTTCTAAACGTTTACTAATTTTAAGACGTAATATACTTAATTATCTATTAAATAATATTTATAAACTTATACAAATTAATTAATATAAATCTACGAAATGATAAAAAATTTATTTTAATGTACTATACTTACCAGGAGACAAAACCGTTATTGCAGTCTGCACGGCATTCCTAACAAGATTGTCCAACGCAAACATCCAATGTGGTTTAATATTATGCATTCTAAGGACTTCATTAACTGCTGTTTGGAAAAGATAAATAGCTAAATGAAGATGGTTAATTGTAACGGAATCAAAACCCAATTCTTGTTTCAAAGTTCTAAATGCGTCTATTATTTTTTCTTGATTACGATCAGATATATAATCACGTAATCCACGCATTAGTAACTCTAAATGAGTCATTCCGAGAATGGTTTGTCCTCCGTCATGATGAATGTTTCGCATCCAAACCTCACAAATGGTGGCTTCATCGTGACTTAATACTTTCGTTAAAGTCATTCTACGCTGGCTATCTTTTTTCAGTAAATAAAAACCTTCTTGTTCTTCTCCAGACTTTTGTCCAGTCTGTCCATTCAGTTCAATTTCTGGAGATAAAAGACCACCTGAAGAACTTCGTCGTGCTATTGAGCAATTTGATGAATCCGTATCACTAATGTCTATCGATGGTGTACTACTTGTTACATTGCTGAACACGAACAAAATAATAAACATTTTTAACTAATCATTAAATAATTATTTTGTTATTGATTAAAGAAAAATTTTAATTTATATCTATCTATAATAAAATTTAAATTAAACAATAATATATGTCATAGAAATAATATTAGGAGGTAATGTTGCAAACATTAGTTGATTAAAAAGAAAAGACTTAAACTATTACTATACCTGTTTACAGATAAGCAGGCGGTAGAAATATTGATAGGAGATAAAGGATGAGCTAAACTGCGATCTTTCAAAGAACTTGATTTAGTCAGCATTCTACTATATATCACAAATTAAGCAAAAATTAAAATTATGATTATTCATGATTATCTCCGTTTAAATACAAAAATATTACGTAAATGTAGTATGTAAAAATTCTTATTTCTTATATCACGTAATTAACGGTATCATTTGTCGTTCAAATAAAAATTTCACTTCATTCATAATTTGAACCATTTTTTTTTGTTTTTGTTTTAAATATTTAATATACTATTTTTGTTCATAAATGAAGATTTTTAATTTTTTTTTAAATTTCATAATAAAATATACCTATTATCTGATTGAGAATTTGAAAATCCAGTTGTCAATGTATTTGAATTATTTATTACTTTATCATTTTTTCCAGTTCGTTCACCACGATCACTTGGTACTGAAATACTTCTATTGAAGTCTGGAGGTGCTCCAAGTCTTGGACTTTTCTTCTTTCTATTGAAAATAATTAAATCGTATAGAAAAATTCATTTTTAGTTGTACAATAATTTTGTATGACATATTTAAAATTGATAGTTTACTCAGTTAGGAAAGAATCATCCAAAAGTTCCATAGCAGAAGATCGTACATCAGGGTTAGGTTCAAAACACCGCAAAATGAAATTTTTTGCTCTTTCTGACAATTCTGATGGTATCTCTGGATGAATTTTATAATATCCCACCTAAAATTTAATTTATCTATATGTATAAAATTATGATAGTATTAAATTTTTTTTTAAATAAATAATATTTTTAAAAAAAATAATAACAAAATTTTACCTTAAAAACAGCAGCTTGTGGAGAGCCTAATTCAATAAATGGGGGTTTACCCGTTGCCATTTCTACAATAGTGCAACCCAATGACCAAATATCTGCCTAGAAAATATTTAAATAAATGATCATTAAATATATTTTGTAATGTCTAGCTTTTCAGCTTTATGTAAAACAAAGCTTTAAAATGAAACAGTAAGTTTTTATCTTTAATCATTTTGACTGTAAACATAGGTTTATTAAATTACATGCCTAAATTTTTTTTGTTTATTAATTTTTGAAAAGTTTTTTAAGAATCAAATAAATAGCAGTATTCAACTGTTACGGTTAAAATTTTATTATTATTGATCATATTTAATTTTTATAAATAATATTTATTATAAAAAAAAAAAATTTATCATGAATACCAATAATATTGAAACTTTAAACAATAACTTTATAATAAATTTAAAATTAAAATATTCTTTTATTTCAGGTAGAAGAAAAATATTAAATAAAAATTTTTAATAATAATCACAAAACAGTTGAGAGTAAAATTTCTAATTAACAACTTGAGTAATAGACCTGAGCTCTTCACTTCTGTTACTGATTTAACTTATATCAATAATCATGAATAAAAACCATCAATTATTACTATACTTGATATACAATCTACTTATATGACATGTTATTAAAATTAAAAGTTTCTTTAATAATATAAAAATAAATTTACCGGAGCACCGTAGCCACGTTGACCTTTATCAATAACTTCTGGTGCCATATATTGTAATGTTCCGGCAAACGTTTCAGTACTTGGACAAAGACCAGCTAATCGCTTAGACATCCCAAAATCAGATATCTTGACAACACCACTATATGTATTCACTAATACATTGTCACCTATAGATTTTATAAAAATACATTTCTTATATATAATATATTTGATTTTATAATATGGGTGTTGAATTATTATCTAATTGTTAATTTTTATACCTTTTATATCACGGTGAACTATTTTTTGATCATGGAGATATTTTAAACCTTCAAGAATTTGTTTCGTATAATAAGATATCGTTGACTCATTTTCCTTCAATGGACCCCATTTGGATCGTAAAAGAGCTGATAAACTACCTAAAACGTATTATTTTATTTTTTGGTTTATTTTAATATAACAAAACGTTTCATTTATTATAATAATTATGTTTGTTTCATTTAGCTGTGAATAAATGAATTTTACCTCCTGGAACTTGTTCCATAAATATTTTGAAAAACCCATCTTCACTAATCGATCCTAAATATTGAACAATATTTCGATGTCTTAATTGACTATGAAGTTTTATTTCTTCATGTAACGGTTGTACGTCTCCAAGATTTCTTTCACGTATTTCTTTGACTGCTATCCTCACTTGAGTATTCAAATCTCTTGCTGCGTAAACAATGCCATAAGTTCCTTTTCCTAAAATTATTCTTCTATTTTGATCATCTAATTCATATTCATATTTTATTTTATCATCCATCATGTAAGCATCTAAGTTAGTGACCATTCCTTCTTGATCAGCAGTCATTTCTAAAACAAGATCATAAAATCTTTGTCGACATTGATTTGATGGGAAAAACATTTGGAAGTCGTCAGAATTTTCGTGGACATACAAAAAAAGGCATCTTTCATCACGTTTATATAAACTCACACTTCGAATCATATTGGCTGTAAATAACCAATCGTGAACTTGTTTACAACTATTTTTAATACTATCAAGACATAAATTCCAAATTTGAATTGATTTTTCTTCTGCACCGAGATTAACATTTACGTAACTTGGCATTAAAATTTTTGTAGGTTCTAGTATAAGTATAGGGAAACGTATGTTATTTTCAACTTCGCCTTTCGTTGCTTCAACAAAATAGTCCATCCAAAAACTAAAAATTTGTTCTTCTGGTGTTATTTCACTTTCTTCATTTTTTTTTCTGAATCTATCTATTAATGAAATATTACCAATTGTTGATTTAAGATACCAGTTGGGTGGTTTTAGTTTAAACATACACTCAGCTGCTTGAATAGCCTTTGAATAATCTTCTGCTAATACACTTATTTCAAAAAATGTAGCAACATCCCAATACTCTTTCAAACTTGATAAGCTACCTTTCTTTCCAATTAAATTATTTAGAATCATACCGATGTGCTGAAGTTCTTCACTTTTTGAAAATTCATTTCCGGCGATAACTAACAAAGTTGCTAAGTTTACTCCAGCGTATTCATTGGGTTGAACTTCAAAACCTTTCCTATACCAATGAATAGCATTTTTTAAAGAATCTTGATCCGTATGTCGACTTTCAACAAATTGATCTTTATAAATCCGTCCACAAAGACATAACATATCAGGTACATGATTTTCTTTTTTCTCTAAAGCCTTTTCTATTATTCGAACTGCTTTTTCACGATCACCTTCTTTATTTCTTCTACTTAATGCAAATCCATAGAGATAACAAATTGCTGGAGTTTTAATATAGTTTCTATGATTGGGAATAGTTCGTAAATCATCCACTAATTGAACCATTGCATCATAATCTTGAATTTCACGAAAGGATATTAAAACATTAAGTATTACTTCTCCTGATAAAACATTAGGATCATCTAAACGTTTCCTCATGTTGTTTAATATTTTAGCTAAATCTTCTCCCGAGTATGTTTCTCTAGCTCTTCTCAAATCGGTAAGAAATTTTTCTTTCATGTGAGCTTTCGATTGTACTTCAACGTCTTGAAAGAGTTTTTTAAGTTTTACAGTTAAACGTTGTTTAGGATCTATTATTTCTTCTGAACGATTTGCTGATAAATTTTTTGTTACGACACAAGTACCACAATCAAGAACACGATAAGAAATAAATGTATAACTATCACAAGATACTTTCAATCTAATTGTTGTTTCATTGTCCATATCATTGTAAAGTAGAATATTTTCTTTCATTCCAAAACTTTCTCTTACTCCTAAATGATAAAATAAAGCTGACTGCTGCACTTGAATACTCAAATCAACTACAGCAACATCAGCATTGTAAAAAATATCAAGAACATTTGTTTCACCAAAATCAAGTTTTTCAAACTGTACATGATTCCAATTACTACTGAGAAGAGTACATGCTTGCTTTATTTCTTCTAAAGCTATTTTTCTTTGATTAAGATGTTCTGTTTGTTGAACATCCATAACACAAACAACATGAATTTTTGGTTTTCCTGATATCGCAGTATGACCGGAAATGTCACTTTGTGTCCCAACGCTGTCTGTTGTTGATAATCCGTCAATAACATTTGAATGCAATCCATGATCTACAAATACGTTTTGACAAACGTCATTATTAAAATTATGCCAATTAATTACTAATAATACTTACTGAAAAATTCATTAATTTCACCACATGTAGAAGGCATATTTTCAAGTATTTTTTTAATTAAAAAAAATAGAGAATTAAAATATCCAAATTCAGTGAGATTTCAAATATTATAATACCTGTAAAAAATACACTAGATAAATAATCAATATTCAATAAATATTACGCTTTTAATGTTGAATCATGTTAATAATAATAAATTAAGAAGACAATATTTAATAATTATAAAAATTTTAATGTATGTAAACATATTAAAATCTAAAATAATATGGTATATTTTATTTGAATAAAAAGTTATAAATCAATGTTAATATATATTTATATATACAAGGCGAAAATATAAGATAAATTATTGTTGTACAGTTAAATTAAAAGTTGACATTTTTAGTAAGATTCAATTAAAACTTTTTTTTTAAAACTTTAAACATAAAAATGTCTAAAGTAGAAAATAACTAATATATGATGAGAAAAAAAATTTTTTTTATTTTTAAACGATTTTTAATAAATCATGAAAATCAGTTTTTCCCGAAGTAAAGGTTATGTTATACAGCTCATTAATTTTAGTTGAAATATACATGTTATCTCAAAATTTTTTAGAAAAAATAAAAAGTTATTACATTATTACATATAACTATACTTTTTATAATATTAGGAAAAAAATCTGATATTCAACATTAAATTTTTCAATTAAATTGATAAATAATATTGATTAAATAGACAATTTATCAACCAACTGATTCACCAATAATGAAAATACAATATTCTCGATTATAATATATTATAATGAATACGACAAATATTATAATTATTATTAAGATTCAATACTGAGTTTATAAGAAATAATATGATTTGAATATAAAAATTCGAAAATTTATAATTTGAATAGTTCGATACAAGTAAAATGCTTAAAAATAGTAGTAAGTTGAATTTTTTTAACAAAAAAAATAAATTAATATATTTTTAATTGATGATTAATAGTTTTACTTACATACAAATATCTTAAAAATTCTCTTGAAATTGTTTAGTGTATTTTTTGAAAATTTAGAAAAACAACAACAGCGCTTATCAATTTACATGAAGAATCTCTAAGGAGTAAAATATCGAACATTGTTGAATTCTTTGCATGATTAACCAAAAACAGCTCTCTCCAGGGCTGTACGAAAATGTACGCCAAACATAAATTAGAGAAATCTTTTGTCGTATAATAAACACATTTTTCTATTATATACAATAATCCTTTACATTCAAAAAGACAAAAATTACTTAAATCATTCACATAAGACTGATTTTAGAACATTATAAATAAATTATATTGATGAAACATAAATGAATATATTTTTTCTTTGTGACTTAATTTTCATTTGTAATCCTTTAATAATAATGTTTTAAGTATTTATTGATTGAAAAGAAATTTATATAAAAATAAAAAAATATAAAAATTTCGTTTTACGAACAAATTCGATTTTATTAACTGAAAAGTTTATTTTGATCAAACTCCGATTAGATCAATGATCGTAGGCCATGTATTTTTGGTTGGTTTTTCTAAAAAAAAATAAAATTTTAGTACCAAAGTACACGAGTACAAATGACATTACTTTGATTTAGAGTCTTAATCTTTCAAGATTCCTTCTGTCTGAAGTTTTGGTCAGACTTTACGGCAGAATTTTTTTGTATGAGAGAAAAAATAATAGTATTAAATTTTTTCTAATTTCCTTCGACGCATATTTGTATCAAGGCAAATCTCTTGCGCAAATTTTACTTTACATACTACACAAAAATATTTACATAAAAAGTAAATCATTTCTCGTATGAATAGTAAAAATTACGCTTTATCATTGTAGTTGACTAATTTTCTTCTAGTGCGCGAATGTAATTAGTAAAACAAACTCTAAAAAAAATCTTTTCAAGCATAATTGAAGGCATCAGTATGGATGTTATTGCACTACTCACGGAGGACATTTCTCTGCTGTCCTCAAGTGAATTTATGGATTTTATGGAAATTCAAGCGATGAGTCTCTCGTGAAAATCGAACTCTATAAAACTTCTCTTGAGTGTGGTGACTAAAAGGATAAGACTGATGACACTGCGTCTTCTTGTTTTATTATTTCACCTGCGAAAGAATCGTAATATTTTTCTATTTTTAGAGCGGAAGCTGTGGCCATCTTCCGTCATCCTTTCATTATAAAAAACTTCCAACATTCACATCGTTTTCATTCTTATCCGTCGCAGTGTCTACCATTCGCCTACCTGGTTGTTAACATCTTGCAGGAACTTCTTAATTTAACTTTCATCATCAGACTAATTTTAATTCTTAACCATTTTAATATTACCAGTAATGAAATAGTGAACTCTTATCTTTCGCTAATGCAGTCAAAAGCTCTGCCACCCTAAAAACAAAAAGTATCCGGAAAACCATATCATTCCTTATTTTTCAAGGAAACCAACTACTTCCATTCCTACTACCAAGCTTCTTAAAAATTTTGGTCCTATAAATTAGGATTGGAGAGAAGAAAAGTAGTAATTATTATATCTACAAGATCCGTAGTAACTACTACAACTTTAACAATCCGTTCTATTTAAAAAACTTGACTTTTCACCCCAAATGTCAATATGGCCATTCAAAGCAAGACAATCACTACGCGACATAAATGCTTCTGTAAACAACACTTACAGATCTGATCAGATTAGATTTAATCGATAGATATAGATATGATTTCAAAAGACAATGTTGAAGAAAAAGAATTTGATTATATCCTATAGGATATAATCAAATTTTTTAAAAATAGATAACTATCTATTAAAACTCATGACTTACTGTCAGGCAAACAGATGGAATTTCAAAAACCATTCGTGTGAATATAATTAAATATTTATAATATTTTTTATAAAATCATAGAGATTACAATTCGATATTGATAAGAACAAAAAAAATTTTTAAATTACCGTCATAAAAACCAAAAAACAATAATTAAAGAATACAAAATTAAATCGGCCAATCAGAAAACCGTAACCATTTTAAAATTAAATAATTTTTTTACATTATTGACTTGAGACAGCGCCCGTTGTATTTCTAGTTAGCTTTAAATCTTATCTCTACATAAATATTTTAATTAATATTTCAGTGATTATAATTTAGTTCAATGCTGAAAAGAACTTTTGAGGAAAAATAATGAGATTTATGTAGACTAGAAATTGGAACCCTCGTAACTGTAGATTTGCATTGTCACCATTATACTAACCCAGAAAATTTAAGATATTTTTTTGAATCATCTGTTTATATGACGACGGCTATTTATTCTTATTACATCTTTTACGATAACGATTTTCCGGATCTGATTTTTTTTCAACGAAACTGATGTATTTCTTGCACAAAAAAATAAATAAAAGTAATGTTGATTTAATTTTTTTTCAAAACATTCAATTATCTTCTATATAACACTCCAAAAAGTTTCATTCAAGCTTCAATGAAACTTTTTGCTAGCATTTTGAATTAAAAAAAAAAAGTTGTTATTTTTAAAAATGTGCGAGCATTTCTCCTATAGTCGGACTGAGAAGAGAGTTCCTTAAATGCTCTTCATGTGTTCTTGTACGCTTGCGCAGTAGTAAAAAACATGGTAGAAGGGGTAGAAAATCAGTAGTGGGGAGTCCGAGAGCATTGAAGCAACTGAAGAACTCTTTTCTTAGTTCGACTATACAGTACCGGACATAAATGTTGTGTGATTTTCTATAAGACAGTATAGGGAAATTGCATGTATAACCTTCAAAAAATTAAACAGCATTTATGTCCGGTACTGTATCTACAGAAGCCCGGTTGGTTCACTTTCTAATGTGTCACAGTGGCGCCGTTTCTCGTCAACTTTTAAAGTGTGTATTTGAATCTCTCACTCTAAAAAATGAAAATTTCTCAACTTGTACACTCGGCGTCATTAATGCCTGGTCCATCAAAAACTTTGATACCATCGGAGCAATTATCAATGGAGTAGTGTTTTTTTCAAATAGAGATTCTACATCTAAATTAATTTAGAAAGTTCATGATTAAATATCCTTTTAGATAGTCCCTATAACAATAGACTATCCCCACTAAAATATTTTTGAACCTTAACTTAAATAATAATAATTATAATTTAAACTTACCTCTTCAGTCATCACGAAATAATCGTGATCATTAATGTTAGTTTGATTATAGTAATTATAAACTTAAGTTTATAATTAAATTATAATTATCATTATTTCAATTTTCTTGTTATTATTTAAATTAAGGTTTAAAAATTTTTTAGTCGGGATATTCTATCGTTGTCGGGACTATCTAAAAGAGTATTTAATCATAAACTTTCTAAATTAATTTAGATGTGGAATCTCTATTTGAAAAAAAAACTACTCCATCGATAATTGCTCCGATGGTATCAAAGTTTTTGATGGACCAGGCATTAATGACGCCGAGTGTACATATGTACGAAGCTATATTCTGAGAAAAACCGATGTAGCTAGTTGAGAAACATCCTTGAAGAAACTGAACCTCCGCAGCCATTTTGGCGATGAACAACCAAAAAGGAGAGTGGTTATTTTATACAGTTTCGAGATATAACAAGAATTTTTGAGGTAGTATACAATAAATGAACTAAACTCGAAAAAATAAATTCTATTTTTAAATTTCATCCTGTAGAATTTTCAATATTTAATTAAGTGGTCTGTATTTATTATTGAACTTATAATTATTTAAACTAAATACAATAGAATGTTTCAATGTTTTCAATTAACTTATCATTTTCATGCGTAGAAATGTGTGATCCAGCGAGTGCAGCTATACATTTACCGATGAATACTGACGATGATGTTGATGAGCCAATTTCCTGCAGTGACAACGATGTTCTTTTTCAAAATAAACAAAATAAAGTGAATTCCCTACACAGTACCGAGTATTATAAAATAACGTATAATACTGATCGAAAATCAAATTTATTATCAAAAAAAAATATAAATGACCAAGGTATGTGATAAATGAAATTTTTCTGTACACATAATGATTGCAGATTTATTAATTTTTTGTTGAAAAATTCAATTTTGTACTATTAAAAATTTTCAGCTGCTGTACATGAATTGGATTCAACACATAATAGTAATATGAGAAGCTCTAAAGATCACAATTATAGTGATACATTAAAATATGAAAAAACTGAAAATATCTCATACAAAATAAAAAAAGAATATAGTTCTCAATCGGGTGTGATTGGTAAAAATATTTCATCATCATCTTCTCTTAAAACTAATAAATCTTTATTTGAAATAAAAAATATAAATGATTTAAAAAAGGTGTTGCCAAAAGTAAAATTGTTGAATGATCAAATTGATACATTGAATGATTTGAGTAAAACGCATATGTCAAAACCGGTTAACAATTTTATGACATCAGAAGTGACAAATCAAAAATATAAATTAAAAGATTACTGTCGTACATGTGCTGGTTTAAAAATACCTTTAGTTGATATTTTTAGTGAAAAAGGTATTCAAATGAGATTAAGCCAACAAATGAAACATTTGGAAAATATCGAAGAGCATGATAATTTATCTACACAAATGTGTATGGACTGTATCTGTGATCTAAAGATGAGTTACAAATTTTTTATGCAAATAAAAAAAGCGCAAGTTAAATTGAAGTCGATTTATGAATCTTCAAATTTACAATTATCATCTAATGCTGAATATAGATCTACAACACAATCTTTAAAATTTAATCACTCTGAAAAAACGTTCCTAAGAAATAATGATAATTTGAACGTCTATAGTGAAAGAACTAATGAAAATGAATCATTATCAAGTTTAAAAAATAATAATGATTCTATACAAATAGAAAATAAAAAGCAATTAAAACAACTGTATGAAGTTTCACAAAATAATAGTGGATATGATTCAATAGAAGAATTTGATCCCGATGATACTCTAATTCAAACAGAAACTATAGAATCAGACACTTTGGCAATAGATAATGATGATATTAAAAATCCAAAGTGTGACAAAGTTGTTTACATTAAAGAAAATTCTTGTTCTCTTGAAACATCTAAAAGAAGTAATGAATTCGACACAAGCACAGGAGATACAACGATATACCAATATGATACAGAATTAGATACTTATATAAAATTGAATTCATTTGAAGGTGTTTCTAAAATGAAAAATGTCTATGAAGTTGATTCATCTCAATTATTTTCTGTTTCGTCTGAAATGCCTAAAAATACTGAAAATTTTCAAACTGTAAATAATGAAATAAAAGAAATTTCAAAACATCCAAGTATATTAAAAAGGAAAATATTAGTCTGTGATAAACCAACAAATTCAATGAATATAAACCAACATGATAATGAATTGCAAGTTATCAATAAAGAAGCGAAAATTCATAAATTAAATACATTAAATGTATCACCGTCAGATGAGCAAGGAATAATGTATGTTACTGTAAAAGGATCTAAACCAAATGAATTATTATTAGTGAAAGTTAAAAAAATGGATAAAGCTGATGAAAAAAAAGATGATAATAATTTACATAAAAAAGTCACTGACACAAAAATTATAGACAAAACTTGTGGATTTAAAAATATTATTTTTAAAGATAAATATAATATTCGATCAAAAGAATTAGAAAATCGCGGTGCGATAATTGAAGAACAAATTGAAGAATATAAGAAAAAACGTGAGAAAATTCTTGGTGGTATTTCTAATAGTTCCTCATCTGATATAAATAATACATGTGTAGAACCAAAAAGTTATGAAAATCAGCAATCCCAAATTTTAGATTCAAACAAAATAACTTTACATAACGAAGAGTGGGAATTATTAGAAAACATAAATGATCAATCAGATAATGATATACTTTATTTAGATAATAATTTAAATACTACTGAAAAAATAGAACAAAATATCACAGAAAAATATTTAGGTTCATCAGTATTAAATCAAAAATTAGATCAGATGAAAAATAAAAAATTAATTTGCCAAAAAGTAGTTGATGAATCAACCAATTCAGACAACAGCATTGAAAAGTTATCTCGTCTATTAGGAGAAAGAGAAAAAAATTTACAACATTTTCAAGACTATCTTAAACAAAGAAAAATAATTATTAACAAATTAAAGGATAATGACATATTATCATTGTATGAAAACAGTACTTTTAATGATATTGAATCAAGTAATGCTACTACAATTTCACAAAATGCTATTTTAGATTTTCGAAATGAAGTAGATTCGACTCAAGAAAGTATTTTTGACTGCGACTATTGTCTAAATACATTCAAAACTCGTGAAACTCTTGAAGAACATTTCAAAATTCATGATTATAAACTTTTTTATTTTTGTGAAGATTGTAATAGTGAATTTTTAACTAATAAAGCTAAACGATCTCATAGTATTACTTGTTTGAAGAAACTAATTTGTAATTATTGCAATTTAATGTTAGAATCAAAAGGAAAAAAACGTCAACACGAACAAAAACATTGTGATGCCATTTATGGTCAACTTTGCGATGTATGTGGTGAAAAATTTAAGCATCAAGGGACATTAGATCAACATATTAAAACACAGCATATGAGTTGGGAAAAAATTTTTCAATGTCCTAAATGTCCTAAAAAATTTGCTTTTAAACAAAAATTAACATTTCATGTTAAATCTGTTCATACTACTTTGAGAGCATATTTGTGTGAAGATTGTGGCGCTGATTTTAAAAATCCAGCTTCTTTAAGACATCATCGGATAAGAAAACATCAACCAACGAGTAATAAACGTGAATGTCAGGTGTGTCATAAATTAGTTCCATTTTATAGTCTTTCTAAACATATGTATACACATAAAGCGTACACAATTAAATGTCCACATTGTGATAAAATGTTTAAAAATTCATCAACATTAAAACAACATTTACGTATTCATGAAGATCAACGACAATATAGATGCGATACTTGTGGTGTTGGGTTCAATCGACGAGATGGATTAAGATTGCACATGCGAGTTCATCAAAAATCTGATAGCCGTGCTCTTAAAGAATGTTCATGTCAGATTTGTTCTGAAAAGTTTCCAAATCATTCAATGCTTGTTATTCATCGAAATCGTGTTCATAAAGATGGAAAACAATATACGTGTCATATTTGCAACAGATCAATGCTTTCTACGAGATCCTTAGAATGGCATATGTCTCACATTCATAATGAAATACCAGTGGGAATGGCAGATGAACAGTCAGATGTTATTATTGAAAAGAAAAGAGTATCTTGTAACCACTGTAATAAAACTTTTAAAACAGAAATGATATTGCGAACTCATATTAAGAATACGCACATGGAAAAAAATCCAGTTAAATGTGCAGATTGTGATTTAAAATTTACATCAGAAGTAAGATTAAGACATCATATGATGATTGCACATAATCGATTAGAAGGTACATTAACATGTCCTCATTGTCCGAAACGATTTGTGAATCAATTACGATTAAAAACTCATATGATATCGCATTCAGAAGAACGACCGTATACATGTGAAATATGCGGCTTTAATTTGAAAACAAAAATTCAATTGATAAAACATCATCAAAATAGACATAGTGATGAACGACCTCTTCAATGTCGATATTGTCCTTGGCGATGTAAACAAGTTAGTGCACTTGTTTGCCATGAACGAACTCACACTAACGAAAGACCATATTCTTGTATTGTGTGTAAGCAGCGTTTTAAATATCTAGGTGATAAAAACAAACACGAGAGAAGACATGAGAGCCTTGGAGGGTCAGGATTCAAAAGAATCGTCGCAGGAAGAAATATTAAGAATATTCGAAACAGTCATCATGATGTAGGAGAAACAACTTCCGTTTCTGATCAAGAACAAATGGATTTACAAGAAGGTGAATACGATACAAATACAGAAGCCGATTTAACAATGGAGCGACATTATGGAATAGAAGCAAATGAAGAATTTGAAAATAAGTATAATGTCGAAAATCAAGAAATAATTAAATTCGAAGCTGAAGAAAATATTAAAGAAGATTATGATCACACTACAAATTATGAACAACAAGAATTTGAAGAAACGTCGCAAGATGCTTCTGAAGCTGCTGATGTGATAATGAGTATAGAAGATACAGCAGTATATACTGAAGAAGTCACTGCTGATAATATCGAGCATGCAGAAATGATATCGAATCAAATTTTACGGACAGGTACTGTAGTGCATTTACAACAGCAAGACGATACTGGAAAAATTCAAATGATTCCAGTTATGCTATCTTTGCCTGATTTAACTGATGATAGTACTACAGAAGTTAATTTAAGTTCTGCATCAATAGTGTATGATAGTTAGGGAATTTTTATTTTTATTTTTGGACACAATTTTTTAATATATATACATATATATGTATGTATATATATGTATATATATGTATATTTCAGTAGTCACCCATATTACAACTGTTAATTTTCTTTTTATTATTATAAAAACTATGATAAGAGTTTCCGGAGTTGATTTTGATTTCAATTAATTGATACTAATTATGAATAATTTTGTGAATTTGTCGTACGTTTAAAATTTGAATAAAAAACAATTATTCTTCATAATACTATAAATATGCATGTACATCTGTGTAGAATAATATTTTATATCATAGTACATACATATATGTTATGTTATAGTTATTTTGTCATTTATAATATTTAAATTAATTAATAATTAATAATTCCACATTTTACATTTCAATTAATAACTATTAAAAAATTATGGTGTAATTCTTAAGTACGCTTAATAAAATATTTTTAATACTAATGAATTTCGATTTTTTATATGAATATGTTTGTAGATAAAAAAGCGTTTGAAGAAGTAGAAATAAAAAAGAACAAAAAAGTGCTAAATACATATTTGAACGACAGATACTATTAAAAGCCTTTCTTAAATAGTAGAAAATAATTCCAAAAACTTTTTTGTTAATCAAAAATTCAAAATAAATTGTATAAATAAAAATTAAGAGATTACCTATAAATTTTATACTTTTTATATTAAATTCTGTTAGTAGTTGTAAATATCACTGTTTAGTGATGTTTTATGGCCTTTTGTAAAAAGTCCCGATTGCGTATACATATGAAATTGACTTTTTGATCGAAAGGTAATAAATCATAATGAAAATCAAGACATCTAAAATGAATAATAAGAGTAAACATACTTTTCCATTTGATTAATTTTCATCTCAGAGAACGGTTCAATATTATATTGTTTCTTGATAAGAAAACACAAAATTAGTAATATCTTCACAATTTACATCTATCTCCTATTAGGATATTTCTGCTGATTATATACGTAATTTCAACCCATTAGTGTATTTAAATGATAGATACTCTTTAACATCATTTACGACATAATATAAAATAAAATTGTTCTCAACAAGATTGCCATCTAAAAATGTCAGAAAGTCGAGAGATAAATGTAATGCTTTTGGGAATCCCCGATCGATTTAGAAAAGGTGTTAACACTACAAATTCTAAACAAAGTGCAACTGTTAAAAGACATGGGGATACATGGTTATTCACATTAATGTGGTATTAATATAAATAACACGAACGGTTTATAACTCATTAACGAAAAGTTCCAATTGTAAAAAAATAAGAGTAAGAAATATTTTCACATTCTATCAACGCTGAAACGTTCAGTTGAATTGTATGATACTATTCATATTATTTAATTATTTTGTTTTGTAACAGCATATATATGTGTATATGCATAAAACAAAAAAAAAACAACGGCTTTATTTAATCTATTTGAGTCTTTTTTTTCTTCTAATTTTCTTTATTGCATTATTTTTCAAACGGTATTTCCACGAAATCGATATCTTTATTTATTTACACTCAAAATTTCGTAAGTAAGAAAGTTCGGATATAAATTTCGAGTATAAGACTTTGACAAGATTACAACAACTTATTAATAATAAATAAATAGTACCTTGTGTCCCAAAAGTGGTAAATAAGACTTTATGTCACAGTATTAATACCATATCACGGGTAAACGATCATTTACGATTCACTTTACAGACACGAAACTTTTATTTATAAAAGCTATGCACATGTTGAATAAAAATCAACTTAGGTTAATAAAGTCACATCTATTAAGATGTGGATAGATCAGAGGAAAGCGGTTCAGATTTACATGTCATGATTCTCATATGATCTCAAGATGTAATTAGATCATATTTTATCTAATCATCAATCTTTTATGGAAGTTATTGCTGTACATACATATAAATACATATAGCGATGCTCATTCGTTACTAATAATATTCACCTATGGTTAATAACAAAAAATATAAATATTTCTCTAATTATACAGAGAAACTGTCATTAATTAAACACAATCGATTTCATTGGTTTTATTTCTTTTACATATCTTGATTATTTATTCGTTGACATTTGTTATTTTCTTAATTAGTGATAGAAAATTTATTTTTCTTAAACTGCAACTCTATAATAGTTGAATATTTTTATTAATTCTCAAAATAATCTTATTAATTATTTTTTCTTTTCACCAAAGAACTGGCTGAACTCAATCTAATGAAACTTGGATGAGATAAGCATTTTTTGCTGTTCATTTTGGATGTTAATAATTAAGTGATAAAAAGGTAGAAACAATGATGTTTGTTTCATAACGTTTATACTTTCCTACATAATATTGATTAATGAAGAAATAATTTCGCCGTAAACAGTTAAAACAATTTCACAAATTGTGGTGTATAAGGAATTTGAAAGTTCACGTGCCTATCTTGTCAGTAATAATTAACTATCATTTTCTACTAATATTATTTATAAAACTGTTTTTAATTGAAATGCATTAATGTACATTTGGATGAAATATTATTAGTAACATATGCGGAAGCATTTAACTTGTTCGAATAGTATTCAATTGTAATATACACTATTTAACTGTCGTAAACAATATGCAATCGATAATAACAATTGTAAAAATACATACATACATTTAAACGTGTTACATGTCATACACTCATGTATGCAATCACTCAAGAACGATCACAAATAACTTTTAAAAACTCAAAATATATAGATGTATTGATATGGAGTTTTTAAAATCAATCTTCGGATTAAACAGTAAAATTTCCTATGAGGAAAATTACTATAAAATAAACGGTAAGAGGAAAAATAGTGTAAAACAAAATAGTTTTTAAAATTTCTTCTTAGTTATTTATGAATGAAATTATATAATTTAGTAAATTCTCATGTTCGATTAATATTTAATATTGACACTTAAACATGGTAATTTTTCATAAATTTCATAATAGAGAATTGATAGTGTGAACTATCAGAGTTGCATTCAAATCACAGTTTATTTTTTTAAAAAAATTAATAAAATTTAAAAATCAAACTTATGAATAATGTTGATTATTTATTTTTCAAATTGTAAGGAAATTAGGAATTATAAAAATGTAATGTTTTGATAAAGAAAAAGAAATTTATTTTATCACTTCGTATTACGTGAAAATTCATGTTATAAATTTTTCGTAAAATTTCTATGATCCTACTAAATGATATAATATTAGTATCGATACAACTGCTATTATATACTTATATAATCATATTCTATATAGAATCGCTGTTTTTTTTCAAAAATTTTCAGTCTAGATGAAAAACAATTATTTATCACTTGAATATAATTTCTAAAAAGATTTTCAAAGTTATTGCAGCTGATATCTAATATTTGGACGAAGTGCTAGGATAGGTCGTATGTGCGTTTGCATTCTACATACATCATATATGTATATTTAACTGTTCAAACACTGCTTTTATTTCAATTCATTCTTAATGTATTCATTCTCCTAAATATGTTGATTTGTTCAATACTATACATGTCACATTAAAAATTAATTAATTAACTGAAAATAATTATAATAATAATAATAATAATAATAATAATAATAATAATAATAATAATAATAATAATAATAATAATAATAAAGCTACTATAGTTGAATTAAGAAAATTTGTATTTTAAATTACAATTAGGAAGTATGTTTGATTGAAAATAAGATGAACAAAAATAATAAGTAAAATAGTCTTAGTTACGTAAAGTTATTTCAGCATGTAGTTATTGTATCCAGCAATCAAAAAACTGTCGGTGACTAAAGTCAATCTTCACATTCAAGTTTTGAGCACTGTATGACGTGAATCCATGTACGTTTCTCCCAATTCGTTGTAAAGATGAATGCCTTCTACTGTGAATATCGAAACTTCTGTAAAAAAAAAAAATCCATTAAAGTATTTTAAAGTCATTCTTAAATTTGGCACATTCAAATCACCTATCATAATTATTAGACAAAGCTTCAGTTGCACACAATTAAATTTTTATGCAAACAAAAAATGATGAAAAATAAAGTAAAAGTAATATGATCAAAGATGTGGAATAAAAAGGGATAATTTATTTTTAGATAGATAAATTGTTGAAATCATAAAAAATTTCAATGCAAGAACGTATTTTATATTTTTTAAAGCATGATGATCGAACTATGTTGTTTACAGAAAAATTTCGATATAGTATTTTTAAATGTTAAGATGAATGTATATAAAATGTGTTATTTTAAATTTGATTAAAAAGATATAATCCGAAATAATTGTCACTTTTGTTTGCATATGAATCTTAATAATGTGATTAAATGTATAATAAAAATACTTACCATCGGGTAGTTCATATAATTTTCTAGGTAAAGAATTAAAATATTTATGATGCAGAGCCTCTTCAGCATCTATCCTATTATCAGGGTTTAACTGAAGTAATGAGGATGCCAAGTTATCACCTTCAGCAATATCATAAAGTTTTGGAAACGATAGGCCCAGTTTGCGTACAGGATAAAGATGTGGTTTATATCCTGGTAGTCTAGTAACTCCTGGCCATGTTTCTTCCGTTGGTGTTCCCAATATTTTAAATATTTTATCAAGTTGATCATAAGTACAGCGTACACCCGGGAATGTTGGTACCCCCGTTAACATTTCAACAAATATACAACCTACGCCCCACATATCAAGTGAGGTCGAATATTCTGTTGATCCAAGAAGTACATCGGGTGGTCTATACCACAATGTTACTACTTCATGAGAATAGGTATGTGATGGAACAGATTTTGCTCTTGCTAATCCGAAATCTGCCAACTTTAATTCTCCTATTTCGCTAATTAAAAGGTTCTGCGGTTTAACGTCTCGATGTAAAACTTTTCTAAAAAATGTACGTCAAATCCAGTATTGATCAAGTTAAGTAATAATCAAATAAAATATAATTATTTTACCTGCGATGACAATAAGCAAGTCCTCGTAAAAGTTGAAAGAGAAATAATTTAACGTTCCGTGGATCTAATCCACCACCTCCATATTTAGCCATGTATTGTGAAAGATCAGTATGAACATACTCAAATACAAAAGTTAATGTTTCACGGGTATGAATAATATCATGTAATGTGACTATGTTATTATGTTTCAGTTCTTTCAAAAGACTGGCTTCTCGAATAGCAGTAAATGGTGCTCCTTCTTCTTCTTGAAGTCTAATTTCTTTTAAAGCAACTACTTGTTTTGCAAGATGACTATATCCTTTGAATACTGTTGCATAAGAGCCTTCACCCAATTGCTCTAATTTGATATATCCTTCAGATTTACCAAACGGAGAATCACCCTAATTATGTAATTTTTTTATTATTATAAATAAACATTAAATAGTTGAATTTTGAATTTAAAACTAAATTACAGATAAATGATCATTACGATAATATTTATATAAAAAGTTCATTTTTCCATTTGAAATTTAATGAAATTTTTATATATACACAGCAACGAATAGTATACAACTCTAAGGAAAACAATTAAGCAATCTCAAACCATGTGTTCGCCACCTTTACTTTCAGTTTAAACGGATATTACTTATGGATTGAGCTAGCTTACTTTTTCAGAGTTGTTGAATAATATAATAATAAATATACGTTAATATTTTTCAACGGTATTGATTTTTTGAATAGCCATGACTCAACTATTTAAAATTTTAATTATTAAATGTAATAGTTTTGTGTGTTGACATTTTAAAATGAGAAAAAAAATATTTACAATTATATTCTATGTATAAGTGATTTTTAGTTAATAACATACACCAAAAGCAGAAAATCTTTTCAGTTTACGCGGCCCTGAATCAATTCCAAGAAATACTTCCGATTTCGGTCTAGGAGGTCGACGAGGTCTCAAAATTACTCTTGCTTCTTCTCGAATATCTTCATCCAGAAGTTTTGAATCACTGGATACTGATAATTGTCGATGAACTCGTTCGTGTTCTCCAACACCAGTCCACTCTGAGACATGTGATATTGAGGTTGAAGTAATAGACTTCGCTGAAGAAATTACAAATAATTATAATATAAAGTAAATATTTGAAAAGAAATTTTGAGTTTTTTTACTATTAAAGACCTTGAAATACAAAATACAAGTTAAATTATTTATGTGTAGTCTAAATTATTTCAATTAAGTAAATTTATAAATTATTGACATTACATAACTAGTCATGAAAAATTGTTATTAGAAAATAAATAAAAATTTATTTTTCTAATATACTATAAGATAATTATTTTGAAAACTTTCAAAAATTAAATTTCAAAATTTTTTTAAACTATTTATGTAATTTAATTGGAATGAAGGGATTTCAATGCTACAGATATATTTTTTCTTACATACCATAACAATGATCTTTGTTTCTTGACACATTGCCATTTCGTTCCAAACGATCTAAAAATTCTTCTGAAAATCCATTATACGGTAATGATCCTCTGTTTGGCGTTTCTTCTGCTTCTTCTTTTGATATTGCTATAATATCAATAACTAAATTTTAATCAAATATAATTAATCGACTTTAATGAAAAATTTACATTTATACATAATTGTGATTAAAACTTCTCAAACCAAAGTCAAAAAATATAAATACATATAAAAATATTTATGAACTTACAAAGTCGACCGAAACTATGGCTTAGACGTTTTTTTAATTTTTGTACCCTGCTAAGTGCACCGCCTTTTTTTTCTCTCATTGTTACAGTACCTATTGAAATATTAAATAAAAATTCATTTTCATAACTTGAAAATTTCAAGAAAATTATAAATACAAATTGGTTATTTTTACATCATTGTTTTAATATTGTTGAAAATCATATCAATTGTAATAAAATTATAATACACATAAAGTTAAACAATAATATAAAAATGCTAAAATATATCAACATACCACTCTCTTTATGTTTTAACGTAGCGGGTCCTTTTTCTTGAGAGGACATGATAATTTATCAACTCAAATACATGACATATGGGCAGTGAAAAAAAGAAGTTTATGATTCTTTGCTGTTAAAAGTTCTCTCTTAATATCTTTGTTTACAATGTTATCTTATGTAAATATCTAAACTTTTAAAAAGTATAATTCCTATTTTCATGTCATCTAGTCATTGCCATAAAATAATTAGAGCATTTTTTTGTTTAGAAACAAGATATTATTCAAATAGAAGTTAATGTGTATAGGTGAATTGCTTTCACTTCGTATTGAATATTTGAATTTTTTATTATTGGCACAATTTAAAAAAAAGTAATAAACATTTTTATCGCATATTTATTTTAAGTAGAATAGTATTCAGAGTAAAGAATAAATCAAATTCATGATTTATTAAATTTGAAATTTTGCAAGATTAACTTTTGGAATAACAAATAAATTTATATATCTTTCTTTACTATACAAAATCTTTTAAACAGGGTTTTGATAACGACAATAACTTTTTTCGAAAATTATAAATTTAGTACTCAGTAATTTGATACTTATAAATTTCTTCCATTGTAAACTAAAAAGAAATTATTATCAAATAATTGGAATTGATTGTTCATATTTACATTACAATATTATCGGATAAATTTAATTGTATAAAAAAATTTATGCGTCATCCAAATTGTTTCCAAAATACATACACAAACTCACTAAAAACTTTTAGAAGATAAAAACTTTATTGAAAAAATGTAATCAACAATGGGTGGATGAAACGAAGTAAGGTGGACTATTTCATTTTAGAAAGAGTAATCAACCGCAAACTATTGTACATACGTACCATAATATTGAATAGTTATATGTATACACATAACTATGTACATACGTTCTACAATCGGATTAGTCAGAAGTATGTATGTATCCCTAGTGACAGGAGCTGGAAACAATTATTAGGGATAGTGACTGTGTATTTGGAAAGATGAAAATGATAAGGGTGTTTTCCATTTAAGGCTGGGCTGAAGTCAGAAAGTTTCCCGAAGTTGACTTTACGCCCTCACGTTGTGCGGCGAAAAGCCGAAGCTCGATATCAATTGAAATTGAGTAGGTAACAGAGAAATCGTTCGAAAAATGATAATTTTCAGGGATGCACTAAAAAACGGGAGCCTTAGGGCACCAAGAAATTTCAGAATAATCTGTTCCGAGCAAGACAGAGCACAGAATACATCTATCTATCTCCGTCTTATTTTTTAAAGAAGACTGCGAGCGAGTTCGAACAGTTGACGAGCAAGCACATCCCCCACCCTCTGTTACCAAGCCTGAAGCTTATGATATCTAAACGTAAAAAAAGTAAATGAAAATATGCTGGCCCTGTAGTCAGAAAGTTCGACAGTGATTTTACCGAACGGTGTTCGATTCAAATTGCGGCAAAATTTTTTTTTTATTTAAATTGCATGTAATTGCAATTTTATCATGCCAAAAATGAGTTTTAAATTTCAATTTTTATGTAAAATTTTTTTTTCAATTAATCAATGACAAATGAGAAAATATTTGAACAGGGCCATTAACCTTTTTTTGTACAAATACATTGATAATAGCCTTTTTTAACAACTTATTAACAATAAAAAATAGTTTAAACAATCCGCGGCGAGTTCCGACACTTCACCGGCAAACTCGACCCCCACTTTCTGTGCCCAAGCCTGTAGCTTATAATTTTCAAGCATCGTATATATAATTGGAACTATAATAGCTCAGTGGTTAGAGCCCCGACCTTTTATTTTGCTGGGCAGGGTTCGATCCCAGTCATAGGCAATTTTTTTTTCTGTTTCTTGTTCAAGTGACTTTATATACTTATAAATCAATTCATATATTTTATTACATTATTCTTCCAATTAATTACGAAAAAAAACTTGTTTTTCTGAAAATAAGCTGAGGGTGAGGAACGAGTTACTATGAATTCTCTTTTTTAGAAAATGTTGTCTCCAAAAGACTATAGGAATTAATTTTGAACTAATATAAACAACCAATTATTGTATTTATATAAAATTTTGATGAAAAAAAAAAATTGGCTATAACTGGGATCGAACCCTACTCGGTAAAATGAAAGCTTGGTGTTCTACCTACAGAGCTAACATATTATCTCTAACATCATGTTTATGCATATATCTAATACTCCTATATTGCTAGTTCCCGTAAGTGGGCGCGTGGCCTATGAAGTGAGACAGAAAATGAATATGTCTGTCTCTTTCTTTTCATTTGAACTGCTGTGCGCAAGCGTCACTACCGTAGAGGGAGAATTGGCAATTGGAAAAGGGCAAGCCACCTCCCTTTCACAACTTAAAATTGAGTTATAGTAAATAAGTTCTTGTATGCTTCGTAGCTCAGCGGTAAAGCTCCCGACTCCGGTAGTGAGTCTCGGGTATTCGAATCTCTTCATTCTTTTCTTTTCTCTATTATTATTATTATTAGTAGAATAACTTCAATTAATAATTGTTTAAACATGTATAATAATTAAATCATTTATATATAATAATTTAATATCTAATTTCAAAGGTATTTCTATACATTATTTCTTTGTAAATAAATTTATAATAAATAAAATAATCTAAAGTTGTAAGAACAAATTAATTTTTATTGTTCAATAATTCTAATTCAATTCGATGACTATAAATGATATTTTTAAATACCAGTATAAATTAAATTGTTTTATAAAAATTACAATTGAAAGTTTTTGAAGAATTAAAATTTTAAAGTCTTTTCCCCAAGCTGCCCCAACTCCTTGAGTTTGACCCAACATCCACAGTAATAAAATAACATGTAATAAATGCGAAAAATAATAATTAAGTCAATTATTGTTCCTTTAAATTATTATTTTTGTATTAGATTTTACAAACTACATACTAATCACTTTTGTACATCGCCACAATAGTTAACATTGCTTTCCTATTTTTTAATTATACATATATAAATGTGATGATGATAAATAAATATTCATGATTATTAATTTAAAAAATATTTTTTTTCCTGTCTATATTTTAATGACAATTATTATACACTAAATACAATTAAAATGTGATAATGATAATTATAAATAGTATACAAGCTATTGGATTTTAAATATCTTTATTTAATAATTTTAAAGTTTACTGTATAAAAAATGTAGCATTCATGAGCTCTGAAATTAATTTTAAACAATTTACAAATAGAAATGTTTTTTTTTTTGTTAATGACAAAAGATTTCATTTAATTTTTTTAAAATGAAGTTTGCATATTCTACTTCTTATAAGCAGCTTCATTCAAATGAACAACATATTTGAAACAGGCATTTCAGAAAAAATGGGGAATTGATTAAAGGATATAAGGAAATAAAAAACTAAGATAAAAAAAATAATACTTAACAATAAATAATTTATTATTTACACATACCAGTACACCAAATTATACATTATTAAACTTATTGGTGTTTAAATAATACGAGTTTTGTATATTTTTGTCTTATAAAATGATCCTTCTCGGACATTTTTTTAGCTTCATAATGTAACCGAGTATTTAAATATAATTCAATAACGTATTTGCAAAGTTGCGATCGATGATTATCCAAAATGTGTTCATTCATGATTTTATTGTCAAATTGCATCCCTATGTTGTTAAATATTTTATTTATTAAAAATTGTTTAATTGAAGGTTCACTTATTTCCGATTGATATTTTCTGATAATCTGTTCGCAAACTTTGCAAATAGCCATTACATCCTTTGATGGTGTTATATATGGTCCGCGATTTTTTATTTGCGATAATAAAGGCATTGTGCCTTTAGTAGCGTCGCCTTTTAATTGTATAATACAAACTTGACATTTTACATGGAGTCAATTAAAATATATAAAAAATTGGATGTAGCATGTAAAACAGACGCTACTTCATATGCAAAATGAATATCTCATATCTCATTTCTTGTACAAATTGAAATGCTATCTAATGCGCACGCTCCATTCACAATCATGCGCACAAGTCGCAGCGTATAATAAGTGAGACAAACGCATATATGTCTGCACCGTAATGTTTAAGTCTCTCTCCCTATACCGACTAGCAATATAGGAGTATTACATATATGTGTTTATGTTTATAAATTGTATAATGCAGGCTTGAGTACGAAAGGTGAAGATAGAGCTTGCCGGCGAAGTGCCGGAAATCCCCGTGGATTATTTCAACTACTTCTAAATATTTCTAAATTGCTTAAAAAAAAGCTGCGTTCGTATAGATATAGTAAAAAAAGTGTTTATAACCCTGTTCATGTTTTCCGACTCGGCGTCGATAAATTACATAAATAATTGAGAAAAAAAAATCAAATCGTTGGTAAGAATTCATTTTAGCATGTTAATATTATAATTACATGCAAATCTAACAAATGAAAAAGAAAAAAAAAAACTACCATGACTGGAATCGACCCCTGCCCATCAAAATGAAAGACCGATGCGCTAACCACCGAGCTATTATGATTACAAAACATTTATATATGCTCAAAAATTATAAGCTGCAGGCTTGGGCATAGAGAGTGGGGGTAGAGCTTGCCGGGAAAGTGCCGAAACTCGCCACAGATTGTTTAAACTACTTTTCAATGTTGATAATAATATGATTAACTTGTTAATAACATAACATTGTTAATACATGTAAAGATGTATAAGTATAAGTTGTTAAACACAGGCTATTATCAATGTATTTATACAAAAAGAAAGTTTATGGCTCTGTTCAAATATTTTTCGACTTAGCGTCAATAAATTCAATGAATGAAGAGAAAAAAAAATCAAATTGTTATAAAAGATTAATTATAGCATGTCAATATTATAATTACATGCTTATCTAACGAATAAAGTAGAAAAAAAAAAATTGGTTATGACTGGGATCGAACCCTGCCCGGCAAAATAGAACTCTGACGCCCTAACCACATGGCCAGCATAATCTCGATATTAAGTTAATGTATATTTGTTTTTACACTACATGCTTGGATGCGCCGACTTGGAATTGAGCTTCCTTATTAACATTTATACTTAATAAAAATGATAATAATGGATGAGTATATGTATTTGAAGTTATTTGCAGGTATTATATTAATTAATGTTAAATGAGTATCATCATTTTTATTTATCCTAACTGCAATAGTCATCAAAGTGTAGGGCATTGTAAAGTGATACAGTATGTTTACATCACATACATATATTACCCGTACACACACATACAGAATTTACTCGCCAAAATACAGGGCACCATCAGTTCTGGATACGGATTGAGCATTTTTTCAATATGGATGACTGAGGTCATCTGCGAGCATAATGCTGTCACCTATCAGAATTTTTTCAAACTAATTTTCCGGAGAATATCATCTGGAATACAAGATTTCTAATTATTTCTAAA